CATTTTAAGACATCCAATGAAAGCGCCTCAGACAGAATAAATAAATGAAAAAACGCTTATAATAGTGGTCTCGCTCTCTTCACCGTGTTAGCAAAATAATTGGAAGTCAACTATAGAAAGCGAAAGAGGATTAATAAGAGCGAAGGAAGTTCCTTAATGGTGGTGGTTTCTATATTTTATATATTGGAAGTCAACTAAAGAGAGCGAGAGAGGCTGTATAAGAGCGAAGGAAGTCTCTTAATGGTGGTGGTTTTTATAGAGAGAGGCTAAATAAGAGAGAAGGAAGTCTCTTAATGGTGGTGGTTTTTATAGAGAGAGGCTGAATAAGAGTGAAGGAAGTCTCTTAATGGTGGTGGGTTTATAGTGTATTTAGCTTCAACGGGAGAGAGAGCGAGATCACTACAAAAGCATCGCTCGGACTTTGTCGACGATTGGTTAGTCCGCTCGTCCTATTCCCGCCGACGTTTTTTTATGTCAATTATTGTGTGCTTACGTAATATACTTGTTTTAGTTACGGCAGCACGCATACACAAAGCGTTACAAACAAAAATGCAATTAAAATGTACAAAAAAGTGGTAAAGGGGAACGCTTAAAAAATTGTAAAAAAATGTAAACAATTTTATTTCGCAAACTTTGTAAGGGAGGATGCTTTTAAAAATTGCAAAAAATTTTAAATTAAATTTCCCTAAAATCTTTAAGGGGGAAACTTTTAATTATTGCAATAAAATGTCAAATTCAATTTTTCAAAAACTTTATGGGAGGACGCTTATAAAAATTAAAAAAAAAGTAAAAATTTAACTTCGCAAAAACTATATGGATGCACACATATAAAAATTGCAAAAAAAAAAAAAAGAAAATTTAATTTCACAAAAATTTTAAGGAGAACGCTTATAAAAATTGAAGAAAAATTTAAAATTCCATTTTGCAAAAACTGTAGGGAAGGGACACTTATAAAAATTTCAAAAAAAAAAAAATTAAAATTAAATTTTGGAAAAACTATAAGGAAAGACAGATATATAAACTGCAAAAAAAAAAAAATGTTAAATTTAATTTCGCAAAAAAATTTATGGGGAAGGCTTGTAAAAATATGGAAAATTTTATATCGCAAAAAATCTAAGGGAGGACGATAATAAAAATTGCAAAAAAAAAAAAATTAAAATGTAATTTTGCAAAAACTATAAGAATGAGCACTTTTAAAAAATTTTCCATAGTTCCGATTATTGTTCATATGGCAGCTATATGATACATGGTAGTTGTCCGATTTTGATGAAATTTAAATCGTTGTTCAGGAGTCGTCAGAAAACTCTATATTTGAAAAATCATGCTTATCTGATGAAAAACAATGATGTTATAATTTTATTTCCGTTATTTCTGTATAGATTTTTCGATATTTCCTATGGCAGCTGTAAACGTTGTTGGATTTTAATAAAAAAAAATTTTCTCGATTCCAGGGTTATTAAAAAACTCCATACTTTGAAAATCATGCTCGTGGAATTAAAAACAACGACGTTATAATTTGTTTTCCATTATTTATATATATATTTTTTGATCTTTCCTATGGCAGCTGTATGATAAAGTTATCGATTTTGATAAAATGTATATAAAATTTATCAAGAATATTTATACTTTATGGGGTCTGAGCTTCCTTTCTTGTTTTTATGAAAATTGAGATAATTTTATGAAAATCGGACGACTATATCATACAGCTGTCATAGGAACAAAAGGTAAAAATATAGAAAATTAAAAAAAAAAAACAATCGTCAAAGCTTCGACGGTTTCAAGCCTGTATGCCTTTTGCTCGACATTTATGATGGCTATATACGAGCATGTTAGCTTCGGTTTGCCGAAGCTAGGTTCTTTTCTTGTTTAAGTGTAGAATAAAAAAAGACTTACCATAAGCGTGTTTTTTTTTCCATCGACGAATTTTATCCTGATCTCATTGCAAAAAATAGATGATTGCTGCAATAAAAAAAGTAATTTACTCATACATAAGCAGATATTAAACATATACTATATAAAATAGAGACCAATCAAAAAATTTATGTAAGAACATGTCGTGAACTTTGTTGTTTTTCATTGTTATCAAGAAGCTTTGGCTCGCCGAAGCTTGTATCCCCTTGCAGTCATCAAATATGTCGAACAAAATACATAATATTTTTATTAATTTTCTATAAATCGACGTTTGTTCATATGACAGCTACTTATTTAATATAGTTGTCCGATATTTATTACATTTTATTCTCTATTCAAGGGTAATTAAAAATCTTAATGTTCTAAAAATCATGCTCGTGCGATAAAAAACAACGACGTTATTATCAGCTCGACGAGTCTTTCAAATGAAGCAAATACATACATATATATAAAGCGCAAGAGAGGCTGCCAAAGAGCTGTTTCTCTTTTGTTCTTACAAATCGTCGCCAGCCTGTTGCACTTATGTATGAACATACATATGTGTTATATTTGACGCGTCGCTAATACGAGCTCACATGAATATGTTTCTATGTGTGGGGGGCGATCGGATTTAAAACTAATGCAACAGACAGGAACTTACTTGTAGGGTTTTTTTTATTTAAAAAGCCAATTAACGGCGAATTCATGCACATACACACGTTGAGTCCTTAGTTATCATGATTTATATAGTTATTTCCCGAAAACTAGAAAAAAAGGACGCCAGAGACGAGCACCGCACACACATACACCCGCACCTGTATGTGTGGATTTTTTCACCGAACGGAAAGCAACACGAATGTGTTGACACGAAGACCGACGATTTTCGACTGTTGCTTTGGCCCACGGTACAATTATACAAGGTAGTCCCATCGGCTGCAAAATCGTTCGGGTTCTTCCCCTATCGACCCGAACGCTCGGGTTTTCGTAGGAAAACACTCTTTCTCTCGCTCTAATTGTAGTGTCGATAGGGGAAGAAAAAGCCGACGGGACTACCTTGTATAGTTGTACCACGTTTTGGCCATGGTAGTCTCGTCGGCTTTTTTTCCCCCTATTGCGCACTACAAAGTGTGCGAGTGAGAGGGTGTTTTTCCGTAAGTGCGGAAGAAACAGCAACAGAGTGTGTTGTTTAACTCATATGCTGACAACGCGTATTAATTGTTCCGTAATTTTTGGTTTTTACCCAAAACTGCCCTTTAGGACTCGCCCCCTTTCAAAATATTTTTGTGCAATATTACATGTTACGCATTGTATGCCCTTGCTGCAATAATTGCAACAAGTATTTTTTATAAGCACACAAGGGTTAACATTTTGAGAAAAATCTCACTTCGAAAACCCGAGCGCGCTGAGCCATAGGGGGAAAGAACCCGAACCATTTTGCAGCCGACGAGACTACCTTGTATAATTGTACCCATGGTACAATTATATAAGGTAGTCCCGTCGGCTTTTCTTTCCCCTATCGACACTACAATTAGAGCGAGAGAGAGAGTGTTTTCCTATGGGTTCGGGTCGATAGGGGGAAAAAACCCGAACGATTTTGCAGCCGACGGGACTACCTTATATAATTGTACCATGATTGTACCCATGGTAGAATTATACAAGGTAGTCTCGTCGGCTGCAAAATCGCTCGGGTTTTTTCCCCTATGGTTCAGTGCGCTCGGGATTTCGAAGTGAGAGGTTGTCCGCGGACGATTTTTTCTCAAAACGTTAACCCTTGTGTGCTTATGAAAAATACTTGTTGCAATTATTGCAGCAAGCACATACAAGGCGTAACATGTAATATTGCAGAAAAATATTTTGAAATGTGAACAATATGGGAGCGAGTCCTAAAGGGCAGCTTTGGGTAAAAACCAAAAATTACGGAACAATTAATACTCATTGTCATACAACAGTCCTTTTTAAACCCCGTGCACAGCATAAGGGTTTTACGACATCATCTTCTTCTGTTTCTTTCGCACTTACGGGAAAACACCCTCTCACTCGCACTCATTGTAGTGACCAATAGGGGGAAAAAAAAGCCGACGAGACTACCTTGTACTTATTATACCATGATTGTACCATTAATTGTACCATGGGAACGCGAAACAAAAAAAAGGTCACCAAGAAAGCCTAAGAGAGCGCAAGACAGGCTGCCAGAGAGCTGATTCTCTTATGTGCTTACAATTCGGCGCCAGCCCGTTGCACTTATGTACATATCTACATATGAATGTGTTTCCATGTGTGCGGGGCGATCGTCGCAAACGTATGTGTATATATACAAATGTATGTGCGTGCATTGCTAAGCGTTAATGCTTGTTTAAAGTACATATGTATGTAAATACATATTTGCTTCAATTTTTTAGCTTCTCGTAATGTGAATGTTTTGTGAATGATAAATGTTTGTAAACACAGTCAGTCAAAACAATTAAAATATTCTGTTCTTAATCCTCTTAAAGTCGTGTTGCCCTTATGTATGTATGTGTTTTATTTGAAGCATACTCGTATATACATACATATGTACCCTGCAGTCATCAAATATAGGGAATAAAATACATAACGGCTAAACAACATCTAAGCTATGACGATTTTTTATTAAGTTTTTATATTTTTGACGATTGTTCATATGACAGCTGTAATATTTTTATGAATGGTAATTCCAAATTCAAGATTTGTTGGAAAAATTTATTTCCAAAAAGAATATTTTCCCAAAACGACATAAAATTACCACATACCAAAAACTATACTTTGTTTGTATGTACTGTATTGGCATATGTATGGATGTATTAGTAAGAGCTGCCATTTCCAAAAGACGGAGACTTCTGGGGAGTGACGTGGAAGTGTCACACTTCTTTCCGACGGACGTGACTTCTTCGATCCGAAAGCGATATAACGGACGATAATTTCCAACTTCTAAAAGTGACTCAGAAGTGTCTTCCGCGATAGAAAATGCTTGCAGCAATTGCTGGCATTTGTTTAGATTCTTGCTAAAACAGACTTTTTGTTTGTCTAATCGTATGCTAGTAATAATGATAATTTTTAATATTATTGCACTGAAAAACAAGAAAAGGTACTAGTTTCGGCAAGTCGGAGTTGAAATACTCACATACTATTAATCAAAACCACATCTTAAAATTTACATTTACATTTCCATTTTAATATCTTATACAAAAACGTTTGTTTCAAAAGCTTACTTTAATTTTTTAAACGACTGATGTAAAGCACAAAATGTGATTCTTATTACAGAGATCTGTAATAAAAATAATAATAGTTGTTTTCATATGGGTAATATGTACATGAATTATCTTATTATACATACATAAACTACATTTTTAATTGAAAGTAAATGTAAGTGTTACATTCGCTGTTTAATTGTAAGATGCTAAATTAACAAACTACAATATTTTTTCTTAAATTTTTATGGTTTGTTTTAATTTTCTTATTCGCTTTGGCCAAAAATATTTTCGCGAACATTTTTAATTTTTTGAACAAAATACGATTCTAGCGCCTCAGCGCACTGATAAAACGACGATTCTTTTGGGTTATAGTAACGGCAGTTATCAAAGATTTTTGTCATATCACCAATGAACTCAGATAATTTTGTGTAGGCGTTATATTCGAGTTTGGTTTCCACTTTTTTGAGATCTAAAAAAAATGTAATGCATTAATTTTAAATAAATAACTTCTTTGGCTTGTAACATACCCATAGGCTCTTTAATTACTTTGTAATAGTCAGGTGCTTCCTTCGGATCAACCGGTTCCATAAAGGGCCAAGCACTTTTGTGTAACTGTAAAATTAAACAAAAACAAAAGAGTATTAATTTTACTGGCAATTCTGTAAAATTAAAAACGTAATTGTGAAACAATTTTTAACTTAATTTTTAAAAAAAAAAAAGGTTTAATTTTGCGAAAAAAATTTGCCTAATGGAATTTTTATTGTGGACTTTATTTTTAATACTCTTTAATTATCTTTCCTTATTCAACAAATTTTAAATATTTACCTGCATTTGTTTAATAACGTTTTTAAGCTCTTCGATTTCATTACGTGCAAGCTTTTTTATATTAGCGGCGTTTGCATCTGTTTTCCGTTGGCACTCAGGGCAAACATATTCATCAATAAACTCAGCTTCGCTCTGAAGTATTCCGACGCAACGCCCATGGAACCAATCCTGGCATTTATCGCAGCAAATGTAAAATTGTGACTCGTCGTATGGTTGACGACAGCTACAATAAAGCTGTTGAGTTTCTCTCGCCTTTTTGCAATCAATGCAAATAAATTCCGAAAGATTTTTGGAAGCTTCTTCTGAAATACTGACACAGTCACCATGAAACCAATTGCTGCATAGGTCGCATCCCACGTAAAACCTAAAATTTTATCAGTAAAAGTGCTGTCTTATATAAAAGTGTTTATTAACTCACTTTGTATCATCATATGGAGTACGACAAATGCAATATAACTTTTCCTTTTTCTTTGTCAACTTCTTTGGTCTGCCAACACCATGTCTGCTGTTCTGCGCATTTGAGTCGGATCTGTGAATTTTAATTGGCTTTAATAATAACAAGTTCATATAATTCTTCTATAAAACTTACCGCTTAATGTCTATATTTGGATCGCCACTTTTTTCATTTTCGCTCTGTACTTCTGGGGAAGCGACATTTAATGGGCGAACATGTCTTTGGACTTTGGTTTGAACATCTTGGTGTATTTCGTTCTGTAAGTTTCGTTCTAATAATGAACGTTTACGCAAAATACTTTTTTTGAGCAGTTCCTTATGTCTGTCCAACTGTAATTGCTTTTGCTCTCCAAGTTCTTCTAGATCTTGATTCTGCTTGCGATTTTTTTTTAAAAAGCGATTAAACTGGTTACTGGTTGTCATCGCATTTGGACGTTTTAAAGATGTTCGAATTTTCCATTCAACAGAATCGCTGTTGTTATGAAATGTTTCCCAATTATCAATACAGTTTGAATTTACATTTTCCTGTTTTTTCTGCATACTGAATAGTTTTTCTTCAAGTTCCGGACTCAGATCACCTTGCTTAAGGGCATTTGAAATAGCTGAAAAGCAAGACATTTTAATATTTTCAAACAATTGCTTCATTTCACAATACTTACACTCTTGTATATAGCCGCTTGTAATAACAAAGCTCCCGCCTTGCTTGTTTTCTAAGTCGACTTCCTCGATTTCGGATTGAATTTTTGGCTTTCCACTATGTAAGCCCTCTAATAGGGGAGATGTACCGACAAAGGGTTTGTTAATTGTAATATTAGATTTTTCAGTTTCTTCACATTTATTATGCTTCTGCTCACTGCCATTGCTTATGGAACTAAGTCTAATAGTTGGATTGACTTCGGAAGATGTTGTTAGCGCAGTTGCGTCGTTCTCGATGTTGTTGGTCTGCAATGAACATCGTTTAAGGTCTTCACTTTCATATTTTAGGCGATGCTGCTCATTATTGTCTTGATCTTCAACTAGAACTAGATTACAAATTTTTAATTTTGTTGCATTCAGAATTGGCTTACAACTAATGTTGGTGTGGCACGAAAAAACACTTATAGAAATTCTACCTTTGGTAACTTCATATTTTGATGTGGGTTCAATTTCAATGGCCGGACTACAGACAACGATAATTTCATCATCACAGTCTTCTTGCATTTCGTGCAACAGATAATTCAAATTCACCTCACAAGCAATTGATACGCCGCCACCAACCTAATTGTTTCCAAAAATTTCAGTTATATTCAAATCAAAAGCATTATTGCATAAATCTAGAGGTATGCGAAGAGTTTTAAAATGTTGTTGACAGACACACCTACCTGTCTTAATCAGAGATCAGTTGTAGTATTTACTCCAGGCAACCTTTTAATGTGTGTCATTATAGTTGAGTAGTTGTTGTAGTTGGCGAAGAGATTAACACGTGGTTAGGAGTTAAAGTTGTTGACACGCGATATTTAGGCATGGTTAATCATTTTTAAGCAGTGAAATCATGAATTTTATTTGAAGGTAATTCACATTTTGATTACAGAAATAGGATAGTATTTAAATTGGGTTTAAAATATAAAGCAAACTGTGGCAAAAGGACAAATATGCTATGTAAATGGTGAAAGGATGAGAGGTGTATACTTGGCATATTATTTCGAACTTTAGTTTTGAACAAGTGTAAACTTCATTCCGATTTAGATGAGATGATTATAAAATGGCAAAGCCTTTGTGTTTATTTTGAAGGATATTTTGAACGCGTCGTTGGCACATGCGTTTTTATGAAGAAATCTTCCTTTAACTTGCCTTTTTCGAAAACAAGACTTGCCTTAGATTTGTATAACTTCAATGTAATGTCAGCCAACGAAAACTCTGCGTAGGGTTAATCTCTTCAGCAATTTACTTCTTTTCGATTCTTGTTTGAATTAAAAGAAAACTTTTTTTAGCCATTGAAATTATGGCCAATTTAGATGTTATCATAAGGTTTGCGCTCGAATTCAACTGATTTCTGATTAATATTCATAGCTTATTTGCTCTTAAATATTTTTCTTTGTACTGATTCATAAGCCGTTTGAAGAGTTATATACACAATCTATATGAAGCATGCGCTTTTTGTCAACACAAAGGCCAATTTGCAAATAATCATCCAACTAATTCAGAAACAAAAATTTACAAAAGTTTAAACTTTATTAAGGTTTTATAGGTCTTGGGATTCGGAGAATCAAAGAGTTTACTATTAAAGTTATATAACTTTATGAAAAGTATATGCAATATAAACCTCTACAACAAAAAATACGCCTTTAATTTTTTTTCGGTATTAATAAATGAGCTGGAATATTTAAAGCAAGACCATTTTTACAAAAAAAAAAAAGGATCAATTTAACATGTACATGAAAAAAGGTGCCTTTCATAATTACACCAAAGGTTTGTTGAACCATTTAAATTTTATTTGTTACTTTAGGTTTTTATGTTATCTTATTATTTTTTTAAAATTAATTTCTTGCTTTAAATACCGGCACTCTAATTACTTAAAGGGAAATCCCCTCTTGTAACTTCAAACTTTTATTGAGTTTGTGTAAGCTTACTTTTAGGGCATTGCTTTTAAAAAAGATATCTAATAGTTTTATTTTGAAACGTTTAAAATTTTAGGTCAAAACATAAGCTGGGACCATCATTTAATTAAAACTTTGATCGTATACTTATTTAATTTAAAACTGCTTCAAGGAATCTTCGTTTTTGTTTCATGACAAACAGTCGAAGTTTTAAATCCACAAAACCATTGTTTTAGTTAACATTTATCTTTTTTACAACAAAAATTGGAAACTTTTAGAGAATGAATGGATTTTAAAATATGTACTTAAAAACATTTTTAATGTTTTTAAATAATGTCATAATTATGCTTAACTCATGACTGCGCCATGGCTGCTTTTAAACTAAATTCGTCCGAAAAGAAACAGAGCTGGTCACAATTAGTTTGGTCGCATAATAGATTTTATTGCAAAAAGCGCTTAACATTTTACAAGTTTTTGAGTAATACTTAGCAAGCAAGAAAATCTAATCGCAGCGAAGTCGTTGTAATACTATTGCCTTGGTTGAAATCATTAGGTGACAGTCTGTACTATTTTAAGTAAATAAGCTTCCAGTTTTTTACTCACTATCTAATCGTTTCTTATATTTAAAAATATATTAACATTGTTAGGCTAAATACATTATCATATAATTTAAATAAAAAAATGAAATAAATATACCGGCTTTGTCATTAATTAAACAGTTAAATGTATTTCTAAATAAATTTCTTCCTGCTTGGAGGATTGCCAGTTGAATAATTATGTTGCAGTTGTACGCTTTGTTGTATATATTTTAAATAGTTTTGTAGCTGTACTTGGGAAAATACAAGTTACACAGTTACCAGCTTAGGAATGTAGGCATACAAATTAGGAAATGTAAAGAATTTAAATATGTACTATTATAAGCGAACAAACTCAAGGTATAAAATAATATTACAAAAAGACCAAGTTAAGCAGCGTTATGCCTCTCTGCTTTAATAAAAAAATTAATTTAACTTAAACTAGACATAGACAGAACACAAATTGCCATTTCTTACGAGAGTCAGATTATGTAACCTTAGTAGTCCTAACTTATTCCCCACTGCTCCTTGCGCATTTTATTTACAACTAAAAACTACTCACTTGCTGATGCGTAGCTGATTGGTGGACTGGGGTTAGTGGAGGTGGTTGCGATTGAACAGCACTTTCTGGTTGTACTGCCAAGTAAATTTTTGTTGGGCCCAGAACACCGAGTTTGCCATTTGACTCTTGAGCTGAAATAAATATGAGGAAACCGGTATAGATGTTTTCCTTAAACAAAACGTATCACCAAGACACTCACCCTTCATTAACTGCTGTTTCACCTGAGTTTGAACTAATTGCAATTGTTGTGCAGTAAAATCGTTTCCTACAAGGCCTTGCAATACTATACGTGGGCCGTGCTCTGTTTGCAATACTTGAGCGGTGACGCACTTAATAACTGTTCCAGGAGGCTGGTTTTGAAGAAGGCTCTCTTCAACCGTTAATGCTTGCTGTTGAACTTGTCCCTGGACAGTCTGTGCCACCACAGCCGGCTGAGTGACAGAGGATAAGCCACTGTCATAATTTGTTGTCGATTGCTGTGGTATTTGTTGCTGCTGCTGTTGCTGCTGCTGGATAACGACTTGCTGGGGACTTTGTGATGAAAGAGCCTGCTGTGGCTTAACCGGTGAGCACTGGGGACTTGTTTGTGCCACTGCACTGGCTGAATTGTTTGTTACAATATGGGCGTTTCCATCGCCTTGGTGTTTAATGTGCGCTACAATTTGCGCCTGATTATTTCCCAATGGTTTTACAATAACTTGTTGCCCGTTTACAGTGGCCACCTGTAGCTTGCCCTGCGCCAATTGCTGGGCTAGGGTTGAATTTGGAACGAGAACTTGCTGTGTACCAGATTCACTGGCATCAGTAGAAGTTATCTGTGCTTTCTCTTCAATTGTTTCTTGTGATGGTTGTTGAACAACAAGCTGTTTAACCAACTTTGTTTGTGTACTTAACGAAGATTGAACAACAAATTGTTGCTGAGGTTGAACAATGTGCTGTTGCTGCTGAGTTTGAATTTGTTGCTGAACCATTTGCAATGCTTGACTCTGCGGAACGTTTCTTTGAGTGACTATGGTTTGACCTGGGCTTAAAATAATTCGCTGGCCGCCAACTACAATCTGTTGTTGCACGTTGCTGGTGTTAACAATTTGTTGAATAACTTTTTGCGTTGGCTGACTTCCAACTTGGTTTATTGAAACTTGTTGCTGGGGTGATTGTTGAATGTGTTGCGAAAGAGCTTGAGATGGCACCAGTTGCTGCTGTTGTACCGGTGACGTTCCTTGTTGCTGTGCGGACGGTGTGGATATTATAACCTTTTGCCCTTGAGCGATTTGTCCTACCATCAATTTTGAGCCGGACTGTACAAACACTTGCTGCAGATTTTGTCCAGATGAACTCGTGCTTACCACTTTAGACACTATCTTTTGAACGGACGGTGATGTAGTTGTTCCTGACGTTGTTGCTGATGTCGCTTGCTGTTGCTGTTGAGCCAGCAATAATTTGTTTTTAATTTGTGCGAGTGGTAAAGCAACGCGCTGTGAAGATGCTAGAGATGCTAGAGCTCCGGAATTTTTTGCGACATGTTTAACTGCAATTTGTTTAATAACAGGCGTCGCTGTGTTTGAAGTAGTCGGTGCTGATGCTGTTGCTGGGGACGACGAAGTTGATGAAGGCTTAAATGAAGCCTTTACTTTATTCCCTAAATATAATAATGAGTTTTAGAAAACTAACTTAACTGCAATTTTTTTACAATACCCACCTTGCGCAGCTGCATTTGATGAATTGGTCGTAGTCAGCACATGCAGTTTACCATCTGGCATCTGAACTAGCTGTTGCCCAGGATTTAATCCGCGCACGCTCACCTTTCCATCTGGTCCTCTAATAATTTGAACCTTATGTGGTGTGGGCGCAGATGACGCAGGTTGTGTGCTAGACGTGCTTGCTCCCGTAGGAGAAGCGGTTGTCGACGCTAAAGTATTTGCTGATGCTGACCGAGACACCTGTGTAACTGCTTGCTGTATGATTCGCGTTGTTCCATCAGGGTTTTTTACAATGACACGTCTACTGCCAATAACTTGTCCTTTTACTGAACAATTAAAGAACATCGGTTAAATTCAACAACCATTCATAAATTAAGAATCGTTACCTGGAGTCGCAGAACGAGGGACTTCCCCGTACCAACCAGTCTTCTCTGCTGATGAACAGCGCGTTGCAATTTTAATTGCTGTTCCATTTTTTCCTTAACATCTTCACACGGTTTTGGTGCCAATTGGGCCCGGCCAACGCCAGGGGTTCCATTAGTTGAAGAGCTGGGACAATTTGTATCTAGTTGGCGAGAAGTAACCGATCTAGTTACTGCTGATAGGCGTGCCTTTTCCTGTTTTTCTCCAATAAACTTAATTTCCCATAACTCTAGTTTATCTTCATCAACCCATTCCTCGCTAATTTGGGGCTCGGTTGGCTGGGGAGACTCAGCGCGTTTTCGTTTCCGCAGTCCAGATCTTATTGATGTTACTTCTAAAGTAATGTTATAGAATATGAGAATAAAATTATGTATAGACTAATTAAAACTTACCTCTGATAGTCTTAGGCATTTCCAGTGGGATGACAACTTTTCTCCGCAAATAACTGGTTTTCTCACCATATCGACCTGCATGCCGAAGTTTTAACAGCTCCAAAGTGACAATTTCTGTGTCCGTCGTAACCTGATGCTTCCCATCTGCGGATGGAGGCTTTGCTATCATATCGTCCCAGCGAAGACAAGACCATAATATTCGAAGCTGAAGTGCTAGGCTGGATAAGGTGGCGGCATTAGATGTGCGATAAGACCAGCATGTTCGAAAGAGGGGACGCGAGCATTGATATTGCCAGATTGTATTATTTTTAGCAGCGTGATGAAAACCATTAGTGGATGTTTTACCTCCAAGACGCGCTAATTTCAGAAGCTCAAAACGAGGTAGCACAAACAAACTACGTTTCTTTTTATGAGTAAGGTAATTTGAGATAAGAGGATACCGTGAGTATGATGGCCTTTTGGAAGCTGTAGGCTTTTCATCAGTTTTTTCAGCTATTTCGTACAACTTGGATGCATCATTTAGAAGGTATACACGACCCCGAGGTGAATTAGATGTATAGACACGCTCTGTTCCATTCTCAAAGTACTCCCGGTCATATTTTTTTACGCATTCCCGTTTGACGGGACGTGCAGTGATGGGAAACCTGCGGTTTTGTTTATTGAGTGGGATATCCTTGTCCAACGTCTGATCTAACACATCTTTAGTACCAATGTACGTTTTTTTAGATTTTTGGTTACGTTTTCGCCGCCATCCGGGTGTCATATCGATATCTTCAACGTTAGCTGTTGAACAAACTGAACTCAAGCCAGCTACAACAGATTCTTCGGTACTCTCAATTTCAACATTACTGCAAACATCCATACTCTCGATATAGTCCATTTTATCGGAGTCTTGTGTGTTAGAATCAGTAGTTGCACTGCTTCTGACCCTCGGATCATCTTCTTCTTTAATTTTTGCATTGGTTGTGTAGTCTTGTTCAACAAGCAAGCATTGACTCAGCAAGGATTGGTTAAAGGGAATGGCGTGCGAACGTGCATTCTCCCAGTCTTGCAGTAAATCCAACGGCGCTTCGGATTCCGTTTGTTTTCCATCATCTGATTCATCCGTTGTTAGTTGTGGGAACTCTCTCTTACCCTCAGTTAGCTTCTGCTCAAGTATGGATGGCTTTTTAACAGCACCCAGTATAGCGGCAACAGTCTCTTTCGATCCATTTCCCGCGGTATGCGCCTTTCGTAACAGCAACAAAAGTTCTTTCTTTGCCCGTGCTTTTGAAGACACAATGGCGAGTAACAAGTATTTTGGGTAATTTGGGATACAGCATTTGAATTTGTATTACACTCCTTTGTGTAACAACGAAAAATCTTAGCAAAACGATTTAGTTGACTAAATTGTAAGCGCACTGTTTGGATTTGTTTAGCCAGCGAATTAACAAGTTCCAAGTTAACATTTGCAGGTCCCCCTTTTGCAGGGACTTCAGCAAGGCGAAGTAACCGCTTTTCTAGATAAGTTTGTTTGCAGTTTGCTGGAATATGTTGAGACGAAATTAGCACAGCATCGGTGGAAGCTTTGGAAGCAATTTGTTTTTCCGCCTCAGCTAACTTTATACGACGGTCTAACAGATCATCTAATCGACTTTTGCGATTAACTTTTGGGTAGTACGTACGCCCTGGAGCATTTAGCGCCTTGCTGACATCGATGTTCCCATTAATTTTTCCTTCAACATCTTCGATAACTTTTACGTTTGTGTATTGTTCCGGTAAGTAATGACACACCTGACCATCGACATTGCTTGACTCACATTGTTGCATAAAACGTTGAGTGCGTGGGTCGACTAATATAATCTCATTTATGGCATTTTCCTCTCCCATGGTGTAATGCACATACACTCTATTGTGTGCCAGTGGTTGGGCTCGTCGGGCACGAATACCACAGCGACGACTGCTTGAAAGCCAAAGCCAGCCCCACTGCCCATGAACACGATATTCTTCTCCTTTTTGCTTCCACACTTGATGTTTTAAACCCAGGGTATATTTTATATAATTAAATGCTAGGCGATTACGTTCTTCCTCATCATCCCGCTCGCGTTTCTCTCGCTTTTCCATTTTTTTCTCTCTTCTCGTTCGGCACTAGTTATGCGTTGTAAAGTTGTATGACCAAGTTGCTCATGCCAGACGTTAGCAAAGACAACGCTCTTCAAGGAGGATTGGAACAGCAACAACACGGCCGCAAAATCAGATGCCCGACAAGCGTTCATCACAGCAGCATTCCAAATTTTTTTGTTAACCAGCCAGTTTGTATTTAAAAAAGAAGCTGATATGTTGGACTCAAAATTGATCAACGTCTGCCTAAGCGTTGTTATCATGTTTTCGGTAGTTCCCATAGTTATACCGATCCACTTAAAGTCAGAAGCAGTTGTTAACGAAAACTTGTGGGAGAGATGACGTCGTTTATCCCGCTCCTCGTTCCTTTGCGGTTTGTTTAAAGCAATTGGATTAGTTGAGTACTGATTAACATAATTTTTAAAACCTTGCTCCATGCCAAGTTTAAAATGCAGTGTCCCATTGCTAAGTTGATTGGACTTTTGACGTGTTACCATTTTGCTTTCTTCCTGTTTTTTTGTTCCTTCTAGCAAATGATTCTCGGATTTCGATTCCTTGTTGATTGCCTCTTTTTCAAATATTTCCTTAGTAGCCTCTTGTTCAATTTCTATTAAACTTCGCTTGTTATGTTTGTGCTCGTTAGTTAAAGTCTCAGTTAATTTCATTTGGCGCTCGATTTCTTCTTGGCGTTCTGTTAATTGACTATGCAGCCGAGTTTCTAGTTCTTCGGGGTCGAGTCGGTTAAGGAGCAATTTTAATTTACTAGTCGTACTGTAGTACCAGCAAGAGCAGTCTGCCTGATCTTCGATAAAAATACGACGTGCAATAAACCAATATTTGCGCCCATGACGATCAACACCTAGGCTGTCATGTCGGATTAGCACGCCTTGTTTTTCCTGCTGCAGCACACAGTCCATTACGCCGGTGACCTTATGTGAACGGCAAAGGCCGCACTGCCAATCCTCAGTAGGTACGTCGTTCATTGGAGGGTCTACACATTCCAAGTGATAAACGGCAGGGCATGTTTCGCAGCATAACAAATCCCCAAGTCGGTGACATACGCGACAATGGTCATCGTAGTGAATGGGGCCTTCCTGGAGCATTACATCGCGAATCGAATTGGCGGTTAGAAATTGATCTGCCAAAAACTGAAGGACTTCAAGGCGGTCTTCAATGCCCGTGTAGGGGTATTCAGTTCGGCTTAAAATATGGAACACATTGCGATCAAATGTCTTATCACTTTCCACATAGCTGCGCAAAACTTCAGGCCACGTTAAAGCGTCAATCAGGTAAAGACTAATATTAACGGTATCCTTTTGATCTAGGGGTCCAAAGTGTGTACCTTGTGCGTCCTCTTCCCTTAAGATCGCCTTTAGCAGCATTATATGGACATCCGTTAATAAAGCGCTTTGCTCTTCACAAGCCAGTGCTGCGCAAAAATCTTCGAATCGGAACGGAGAAAGGCGCACCAAGTGGCGAAAGCGACGCAGTACTTCATAAATACTGAGAGCAGCCAAGACGTGATTATTGGCTATGGCTAGATCCTCCGAGGAATCGGGCAGGTCAAGCGCTGCATATTCCCGCCCTTCCTGTAGCCAAACCGGTTCTGGACTTGGCGGACGTGGAGGCCGACCAACTCCATTTTGATTAAAGCTACATACAGAGAATTCCGATTCGCTCTCGTTAGCTGCTTCTAGACTCTCGTCATCGCTGGGGGTCAGAAGCATGTCATCCTCATTATCTGATTTGTCTTCATCTGAATCTCCAAAATCAGAACCGTAGTGATATTCTGATTCGTACCCTATAAAATAAAACATGTAGAATAATAAGTATCAATATTTTTTAAACATTTACTTCTCAAGCGGGTGCCGGGTAAATAACCTGTCATTTTGACAAACAACTACTGTTTAAGGGCTGTAGTTACTTTTGTCGACTTGTTTTCGTAACTTATTGAAGTCAAAACGATATACATAGTACAAAATCTGTAAAGCCAGCTCAATGAATTCGTTATTACGATCTTAAAATCAATAAGTTTGAATCAGTAATTGACAGATTCTGAACTGTTTGAGAATAATATTTGGAGCTGCGTTTATTACGTAAAGATAAATTAGTTGTTGTCGCGCTTTAAATAAATGCAAAAGTTAAATAGATTTTAAAGTAAGATTCGACAAGCTTGTACTAGTCGGTTAGCAGCGGGAAAATTTCCCATACAAAATGATATATTAAATTATTTTCCAGGATAGTCCTTGAAAGGAACTGCCCCATGCAAAGAAAAATCCGTTCACGATCTGTAATAACCTACCTTTTCGTCCGGAGATGTGACTGGTGTTGGGTTGCACAGCCGATTTACGGCCGCGTCCCCTCTTGGCAGCGGTTCCGCGACTTCCGCGGTTGTGGTTGTTGTGGCTGCTTCGGCTACCTTCATCGCTCTGCGGGGAAATGCCCCTGGAGGCCGACGGAGTGCTAGGCTGGGACTTTCCTTCGCTGAGATACTTTGGCTTTTTGAGCAGCTGGTAATTGAAGCGTCCCGAAGTCCGCTCGTTAGGTGTCTTTGGTGGCCGACCACGCTTACGGCTGCCTCGACCGCTCATTTCGGTTGTTTTCGCTGTGCAGATAAATAAGGCTCTGTGTGACGTTGAGTCTATGGGTACTCAGATTTGGTTCCGATTTGTGGCTATGGAGCTGCACATCTGAAATAAATAGGAACATAGTTAGTAATGGGCGCCACAGCAGACCGCTTGTTTTTTTGCACCCAGCTACTGAAAACACACTTTTACTTGACAGCGTATGCGGGAAAAAATCGATCAGATTCCCAGTGGCTAATTGCTGGCCGTTTAATGAAAGTTTGTGCCTCTTTGTCACAACAAAAACCCGCCAAAACAGCTTGTTTTGTTCAGCGTGATAGTTATAATTTAGTATATTTAGTGCACGAGTGTAATATCATAAACATTCCCAGTTTCTAAAGTCGGATGGAAAACGCACTAGATAGCAGCACCACCGAATGCGTTCGTGTGTGTGCGGGAAAATGAAGCCAACGCACATTGTCCGCCATTATAGAACAGAGAAAATTTTTTGCGATTACCCCAATACCACGATTCGGTCAAACACAACGCAAATCTTGACAGCTTAAATTACCCAACATATCTGGGACAATTTGAGATGGTTTAACAAAATATTTTCACGGAATATTTAACTAAATTTAGCAAACTGTGAGAGCCACTTTTACCTAACAGTTCAGTTCTGAACTTAACTGAAGACGGTGTACAGTCCGCCAATCACAGCGAGTCTTTATTTCTTGATGTCGCAAGCGACATCTTGCGGTCGGCTTAAGTAGTATATTTTTACTGGTTGCACAAACGATATTTGTAGGGTTGCTTTCGATATTTACATTGAACCGCAGTGACAGCTAAATTTTAAATTAGCGCGGGTTTTTATTGAAACGAAAACGAATTTGCTTAAGTTCGAAGGCCCCACAAATTAAAAAAAAAACTCAGTTTTAAAAATTAAATGTCGTTGGTAAAAGAATCTGTCAAAAGTATTTGGTTTTCCTTGTGTAATAATTGAAAAACCTAAAATGTATTCTTTAAAGGTTTTTTTTTAACGTTCATTTTTTAGCACTGTAGAAATTTTTATCTTATCACCTGCACCAACCCATACTGGGAAGAATGCCGACTTTTTATACGCTAGTGTTACTTTATCAATCAACCTCAGTGGGTGCATTCCAAATTATTACTAGCAAAACTTTATAAATTTCACATGTGCGTTAACACTAATCTACAACTGTTTTTGCTTTGCCAAAATTCACCATTCTTAGTTTAACTTCATTAGAAATTTGAACAAGTTAATTAGTTTTTACACATTATTCTGACGTCATATGGTGATAAAGATAACATAGAAAAAGAGAGAAGCAATACTCACTGTGTTGGTTTCTTGCAGATAAGATAAATGAATATCTTCATGTTTTAACGGTAGGTAAATAAATGTAACTAATGGTTTGTTGTACATACCTTCTTGTGCGTGTGCGGATTGTATTTTTAGTAAATCGATTTATTCCAGACTGTTTTAAAAAAATTCAAAATGAATTTATGTTATTGGAAAATCCTCCTTGCCGTAATTAGCGTAAAACAGTTTTGCAAAACTTCGGGCCAAATCAACGACGGCAGCCATAACTTGATGAGTTTAAATAATTCAAGGTGAAAATGTTGGTACCATTAACAAGAAATGTCTGTAATTTTGTTTTTCATGCTTTTGCATAAAGCCATGTAGAAAAACCCTCAGAGCCGGCGGACTGCTCCCAACGTGAAAGATACAGAAAACAACCAGTAGTAAAAGAATCTTCACGTTTGCGAAAATGCTGCCCACATGGAGAAAATTTGGATATATATCGCGAAAATCAAAGTGATTCTATGTGCGATAACGGCATTTTAAATTTTGAACCGACTATAATAAGTGCTGTCCTGTTTGATAACTGCATTGAAGATTTGGAAATTCACACTACACTAGACTACGACATTGGCAATCCATGCAACAAGTATGTTAATAAGTAAATTCTATTTTAGCCAGAAGCATAGTAACAATTTTACTTTAAGTGTAGCTCCCTTCAATATGACGACTTTGAGGACGTTTTTTTTGTTTTACAAGACGGGTCATTATTAATTATTGACAAGTTTGGCAATGAGTCGTACACAGTGGAAGAAAATTACTGCTTGGATATTGACAAGTCAGGGCATTTTTTTGCGTTCACATGTGTCACACAAGTTGACGAACAAATTGCTTTTGCAAAAGTAAGTTACGACTACTGAGACCCTACTTAAAAGTATGACTAATTTTTTATTTTAGGTAATTTTTGTAGCTGTTTTAATGCTTATTTCAATGCCCTGTCTTTTATTAGTAAGTTATTTGCACATGTCCCTTCGCTCATTGCGAAACTTGCATGGACTGTCGCTAAGTTTGATGTCATTGAGTCTAGCTTCCGGCTACTTTGTCCATTCCGTCGTTCACATATATGGCATCCCAAAACAAGGATTCATTGGATACGTTATACAGTTTTGTATTTTAAGCTATTTTTTTTGGTACTTCTGTATATGCTTTAATGTGCTTTTAAATGTGTGGTATAAGTTACCTTGCTGCATTCAGCTATCCAAAGGTTTGGCAACGTTAAACTTCGCTTGCTACACTCTGTTGGCTTTTTCTGGACCAGCAACAATAGTGGCGCTAACTGTTCAAAAAGGATTGCCAGGAATGCCGTCTTACTTTCTGCAAGGCAAGGCTAAAACAAAAGTAATTAAAACAAAACCAAAGGGTTAAACAAATTTTATTTAAAGGATTGACGGAATCTATACGTGACTCACAACGTTACTTTATACCTCCTGTTTCAACGGTACTTTTCCTAAGTTTTTTGGTATGCTAGTAGATAAAATAATAGCTTTTATTGTAACAGCCATATTCTTTTAGATTAACGTTATTTCTTTCTTTGGATTTCAACGGTTAAACGGAATCGAAAAAGCTACAAAAGGTAATCAACTCCAACGTAATGTGATGTTTGATCAACAGAAATATGAAGAAGTAAAAAAGGAGTAAGTGTATACGTATATATTTTTGTCCTTGACACTTTACTAATTAATAATTATTTACCCTTTTTAACAAGCGCCAAATGCGTTAGCTTACTTGGAATAATAATGCTTATTAGCTGGCTTCTCGAAATAGTAACTTTTTACTCTGGATCGAACTCTAGTTACCTCCTTTTCTGCGACATGGTGAACGGTCTACAAGGAGTTTGGGTATTGCTTATTTTCCTCGTTGTGCGGAGGCGCCGCACAATAATTTTACGATGGTGGTATGATCGTGGATCCCATGAAATTGAAGGCACCGAGCTGCAAGCTCTTAGTAATAATAACAATCCCACATAATTACAAAATATGTATAATATAACTTATTTCACGTTCAGGTTCAGTTTCAATATTACATTTTTATATCAATGATTTTCTAGTCGAAAGGATGATTTGCTTAAAAAAGACAGAGCTCCGCTGCGTTTTAAATTAAAACAAGAAAAGAAGCTAGATTCGGCTAGACAAAGCCTACATGTAATATATATCCTTGTAGTCATCAAATATGTCGTACAAAATACGTAAGGGCAAATAAACAACATCGAAGCTATGGCGATTTATTTATTGAGTTTCTAAATTTTCAAGGGTTATATAATATGATGTGACAGCTATATGATATAGTCGTAAGATTTTATTGAAATTTAATTCGAAATTCGTCGTAAGAAAACCCTATATTCTTCAATTCGATTTTTTAGGGATCCTGCATGTGTGATCAAAAACAACGATGTTATAATTTTGGTTTCGTTAATTTTATATAGATTTTTCGATTTTTCCTATGGCAACTATCATATAGTCATCCGATTTTTAGAAATTAAAGAATAAAAAAACACCATCTGGAAGAAATAATGCCACTATGATAAAAAAAAACAATTAGATTGATTAGTTGGTGATGCTGATCAAGAATACTCTATGGCGTGCCTTCTTCACTGCATTGCACATTTCTACTGAAATTAAAACACCCTCTAACCCTTCGAGGTCCAAGAATGTCAGCATTTTTCAATAAATGAATGGGCACATTTTTCCTTAATAAACAGAAATATACCAAGAATGCTGTAAATTGTGGTTTATTTAGACTTATACATAAATATTATATGTTTATTTTCGCTTATAGAGTCATATGAAGTTAAATAGTCAATCTATTGTAAGAGTGTGTTACCGTCTATGCTAATACTCTAAAAGGAAATGTATAAATATTTGGGAGTCTGATCCGAAATGGGACATTCATTAGTAGATTGCGATTGTTATAAATAAGAATAAGTTTGAAACTGTTGCTTACGTTTCCTTACTACATAGTGGCGATTTCTTCATAAGAATATATATATATATATATATTACATGTTATACGCTACGTATATGGGATCCAACTGGTCGGCCAGAAATCCATCCCGTAAATGCATCCGTTGCTTTTCACCGCGACTATTAATAGGTACCACACCTGGACAATTGAACAAAAGAAAAGTATTGGTTACCTTGGTCTAATGTCCTTTAAAACATAGATTTTGTGTCTTACAGACCTGGATCAACGACCACAACAACACCAACTATAAGTTGATGGTCTTCTAATACTGTGTTTGTAACCAAGGGAACTAGATCCAAAGCTTCCGATTCATTACCGTCTAGTTCGACAACTACAACCAACAAATTAGTCCAGGTAAATACGGCGCTGAAACGAAACATTAAAAAAGATAATAGTTAATAGTTACAAACATCATTTAAAAATATCTTACCACTCAGCAATTTTTTTGTGGCATCGCATCACTGAATTTTCGATATCAATTGGATGATAGTTCATGCCACGTAATGAGATCACTTCATCAACTGCTCCAACTACATACACTGCGTCGTGTAGTTCTTGGTCAATTGAATTGCCTGCGCCGCCTATAAGACTATGCTCAGAGTTTCCACTAAGGGAAACACTTGAAAAATTCAATTGCAATTGACTTATGGAATTCAAAGATTCTGTATCACTGTCGCGACTAGCCACACTTGGTGTGGTCTCGTCTAGTAATGAAGCTGCCTGAGAACATTCGGTGCGTCGTAAGAATCCCAAGTATCCAGTTCGTGCGTATAACTCAGAGGTAGCTCCAGTCACCAATTTCGCGTTGAAGTGGTCATTGTAGTCGGTCTCGTCTCCATAAATTGTGAAGTATCCATTAGCATTATGTGGAGCTTGAACCTAACGGAAACTTTATATATTATAACAGGTGTCAGTTATTTTTTTACTTAGTATTACCCAAATTTCACCCAAATGTGAATCGCCGCAGTGACCTTTGGTATCAGGATTTGCTATAATCACTTTTACTCCAGGTAGAAGTTTTCCTGATTCAATGACACACAGCGAATTTGGTGCACCGCGTTCCACCAAAGCCACGCGATTATTTCGGAGTGCTCTCATATCTACGTACACCTGAGCACTCTCTGCCGAACTAGCTCCTTGTACGCAAATAGCTGGATTCACACGACAACCAAATGATGTGGAGACACAACGAGTGTTAAGACCAAGCGCTTGAAACAGCTTACAAAATTGTTGAGTCAGCTGCACTCTTGGACGTTCTTCCGCCACTACAACACACGTTCGTACGCATCGCAAGTCAATGTTACGTTGCCTTAAAGAGGGTATAGAATTGCTAAGAGCTTTAGTGCATAATTCTATGACACCATATGAACAAAAGGTGTCACGAACACGATGTTGAGAGAGAGTTGACAACCACAAACTGGGATTCGCTTCAACTTCATATGGTGCGATAAGTATCGAATGGTGGCCACTATATACTCCGATAAGTGTCCACATTACAAATCCAAGGCCGCAATACGGGTCCAAGCACAATGCAACATGACGGGAAGGGTACAGCTCACAGGCCAATTTTAAACTAGCGCACAGACTAGAGAGAGATCTGTTGGAGTAACGATAATTAAATTATAATGTAATGTTTTACGAGATTGAGGAGAAGTACCGATGCGTTATGTTAACACCGCTAAGCCGTCCGCAAGTTGACACGCTGAAATCCAAATAGGCGCTAGAGTCAAAGGACACATTGGCGATACTGGTATATTTGCGTTTCGGATTGTCATCAATGTCTAAAATAGGTGGCCATGTCTTTGGGTCAATGGAAGTTGCCGCCTCTCGGGATTTTAGTAACTTTATAATCGCTTGTATAGAGAGTACAATACCACTCTTTGAAACATCAACAATCATGCGAACAGTGGGTAACGTGGTGTTTAAATTTTGTGGATGTGGAGGCCGTATGGTAATTGGTATTGCACCTAGATATAGGCAACCATAAAACGCGCACAACAAATCAAGACCTGGGGGAAATATGAGCGCTGCAAGAAAGCTTGGTTATTTTATTTAAATTTTTGTGTCTATTTGCAATTCCTTACCAACATGATGGCCTGGTTCCACTCTTCCCCGTTCTTGTAATAACGCTGCTATTTTTTCTGCTCGCTTATGTAACTCGGAGCATGTTAGAGTTTTTGCAATTGCCCCTAAAAACGTTTTTAAAATTTATTGCCTTTTTTAAGATAGAACTTACCCTTCGAATTCAGCAATGTAAATATTATGTGATCTGGAGAAGTGTTTGCTCGCCAACGCAATACACCTGTTATAAGTTGGGGCTATTAAAAGAACGAAAATTCAACAATATGAATATTTACTTAATGGTCATACGACTAACCTTGCGTTCACAATCCTCGGCCAATCCAACATCTCGTCCATGGGCTTCAGCCAGTCGATTACCCTGAACTAAATTTCCAACCATCACAGAGGCTGGTCCTACACCCGTGTCTGTAATACCACATCCAGATGAAGAGCTTAATTTTGCGGCAGTTTGCACACCTTATATTGTTTGAGAATGGTTAGTAGTAGAATGTTTTGTCGTTTTTGTACAAGAGTTTATTAGTCAAATTATTAATTTAAGCAATTTTATTAGTTATGATGGCAGTTGTGTTTGTTGTCGATTTTATACAGTGTTGTTGTTATTTTTTTTTTTTGCAGTGAGTGTAGTTGCAGAAGTAATCGCAGCGTTGTTGAAGTGTTGTTGGTGGTTAAAAATAGAGGAAAGCAATATTGGTATTTTAATAAGATAAATAAAGCACAGAAAGTCCAACAAAGCCACTTATTAAAGAATTTTACTTGAACGGATAACTCACCTTGATGTAACTCTCGTGGCTTTGGCAAATTGGTGACGCATGTATGTGGGCACATCAAAACATTTGCTGGGTGAAGGGATCCCTCTAAAAATCTTCGTCTTGCTTCACATAAATGTATGCCTCCGAGTGGTGTCTTGGGCAAATGGTTTGGTGGAACCAATGCCAGACAATAAATGCCAACCTGATGAATGGAATCAACTGCCTGGAGAACGCGCGACATCCATTGAAAACTTTCTTCCTCAGAGCAGTCAGGACGTTGTTCGGCAATAACACACACGCGTTCGTCGCGAAGAACTTTAATGCTAAAAACAGCTATGCGCCCTCGGTAAATAAAACGCATTGGCTCCACTGCTAGTACTGTAGCAATTATATCATCCGCATTATGTTTTCGACCAGTAACAGTCATCAAGCCATCACGGGATCCACATACAAAGACCAAGCCTCCAGGGCCAAGAAAGCCCAGAAGACCTGACCTTACATAAAAGTCTTCTCCTATCGATTTTGAAATTACATTTACCGTGCCATTACCATCTTTTGGCTGCTCAAGTTCTTCCAAAAGTGGTTGCACTTTAAAAGTAGAATTCGTCATTCCATCGAGACCGAAATAACTAGCGCTTGTGGAACCACTAGTAACGCAAATCTCGCCCACTTGGTCTGTTTTGCACAGCACTGGAGCACCCTCCGAGCGCACGACTACCATTTGTGCTGCTGGCATGACTTGACCACAGTCTTGCAAGGTAAGTGACGTTAATGAGTCTTCACTGTCCACCCTCACTACTCCGTGCGAAAGTGCTGCCATGGAAAGTACACCACGTCCAGTAGCTGATGGACTAAATCCACAGGATCCGCGCCCAGGGCGACGAAGGGAAACGGTAAACACTTCAGAGCTACTTGCACACGGACAAATCGCATCTGACCGCAGTCCCTTGGATTGAAAAACGCTCAGAAACTGGTCACACGATGAAAGGGACCAGGGATTGGCTCCATCGGCAACTAACAACATCCGAAGAGAAGATAGCGAGATATCCTTGTGATCTTTGGTAGCTAGTAAGCCCCAATGTAAATCACGACTCTTGACCAAACAGCACGAAGCCCGATGTTTTGTTATTAATTGCATCCAGCTGGATGGTCGTAGCTTCATCAAGGCATATGGTATGAAAATAACATGCATACCATTAAGCACTGAAGTCAAAACCGAATGCCATAATCCAACTTCACGCTTGAAATCCAAGACGCACACTATTGTTTCGCCTTCGGTATAATGGCAGGCCATAGTCAGAGCGCGGCAATGGTTGATCATGGCAGCGCGAGTAACAGTGACACCTATTAAAAAAAGGATTTCATAAGGTCATGTGTTTGGAAAGGTAAAGTGCACTTACCCATAACACTGCCTTCCTTATCTGTCGTGTATTCTATGTAAGCTGCCGCCGAATCGTCTATCCGTAAATTTCCCACATTGAATTCCTTAGGTGGCTTAGGTAAGTGTTCCGTAACAAACCACTGTAAACGTGGCCAGCCCTTTAATTTAGCTATTTCCCCAGTAGTGGTTGATTTCGGAAGACCTTTAAGGCAAGCCTCTGAAGTTAGAGCCACTGTTATGCCACAAGAGCTTAACAAAAATCCCACTTGCTGAGGGGGTGTATCCGAGCTAGAAAGCGGCAACTCGATTGGAAGAGGCACTAGCCCACGAAACATACAGCCATACCAGGCGGTAATAAAACTGTAAATTGTTAAATTATGTCTTGTTTTAAATAAAAATAGGTTTTTACAAACCTTAAAGGGTCATTATTAGGATAAACCAAAGCAACACGATCACCTGGCTTAAGAGTTACTTGCTCAGGTCCCTTGCTAAATATTTTCGTGGACAACGCATACGCAATCTTTTGCGCGCGGGATAGTAGTTTACCATACGTTAAGGTGGTGGTTATTTTGCCATTGGGATCAAGGACCGTAGCCATGGAACTTTTAAAAGAATTTGTGCCATATCTTTGAAGTGCACACTCAAGTGTTCGTGGAAGTCCGGCTGGTATAGACAGTTGCTCTCCTTGTACTGGAGTCATTGTGCTGCCCTCCGGTTTCGGTGCGTTCGGATCCTTCGTGTTGGCAGCAATTTCCAGCTCAATGTCGTTGTCTTCATAAAACTCTGGCAACGGTCGTCGTTTTGGTCTCTTAAGAGTGTTAAGCAGTTGCTGAATTTTGGCTGAGACTTTCCACTTCCCATTTGCATCAGTATCGTTTAAATCGCTCTGAGTAACGTTAACATATCGCGTAACTCGGTCAGCAGCACGGTGCGCATTGTTAAATTGTGTGATATCAGGAGCGTTAACTAATGAAAGAGAGCGAAATATGTTTTTAGAAGTTATAGGTAATTCAACTACATTAATGTTTTTCACGTTCAACGCTATTTATTGTTCTTCGTTGATTTACTTACGTTGCTTTTGCTTATACGCTTTGTCAGAAAAGTCATTCTCTCGCTTATATGCAATAGGGGGCGAATCCGTGCTGGACGTGTCCGATGTTGGCTTCACAAAAAATACTTGGTTTTATATAATTTTTTTTATGAAAGTGTTCTATAACTTACAAGTGAAGGCAAATTTTGCGGTGGTCGTCTTTCCGGAGCGCAGTTTGGAGATGTATATTTCTGATTTGGCATTTGGTTCTGCTTGGAATCAAGCCTTGATTGGTGCTGTGAGCCCATCGATGATTCCCGAATTGGCGGTTTTATTATGGGTTCGGGTGGCAAAATGCTATTGCTAATATGATCCCGCGGATAGTTGTACTCCTTATCAGGAGAAACGGTCTCCTCGGGTATGGACTCGTCATCTGTCGATGAGTCCAGCTCGTCATTACATCCAGGGCTTCGGTTCAAAACAGATGTGCGCTTTGACGGCATCGGGAGGCTCGGCTTTGGTCGACCTTTAAGGGCAGCTAGGGCCTGCTGAACAGCCTCCTGTCGTACTTCTGGGTGTTGAAAAGATTGAAGGAAGGTTTATAAATTATTGGTACTAGTTTGCATAATTTACCGGAATGATAACGTTTTTCATTGTGCGTTACTTTGCGCTGTGTGCGTCGCTGACGATGTTGACTATTATTGGCGGTCTGCTGATTTTGAAAACCGCTCGGTTCGCGAGTGTTTTGATACCCTGGATCTCCTACTGCTCCACCATGTGGTCGCATATTTTCGTAACCCGGAGCCCCGGCATTTCCTCCGGGCTTATGAAAGTCGATTTTTTTGGAATGTCTTTGCTGTGAAGAGGATAGGGAGGGAACTTCGGTCACATAACTGTAGCCTTCACTGGAGACTATGACGCCGTCGTTACTGATGTTTCCGTGGCTGTTGCTATTGTTGGCATCCTTAACATTATAGTACGGGGGTGGCGCCGTGCCTTTTCCCTTGTCGACTGTTGATAAAAGGATTGAGAAACTAGATTCGGAGACCTGCCCAAATTTAAGGCGTACGTACCTTCATGCTTTTTAAGGAACGGCTGTAGCAGTTTCGCCCGTTTTTTTTCGTAACCCTTCTGCGTAATATCACCTGAAATTGCATATCATTACAGTCAATATAGCTTTTTTTCGTTTGATAGCATAATCATAGAAAGGCGATACACTAATGTTTTTATGCTGAACATCCCAGTAGTCTAAATACACACACTAATTTTTTAGTTTACACTTGGTTTTTAGCTGAAGAAAAGTCGGGAGCACAACCTACTTTTCAAATCCGAGGCAAACTATTCAGTAAGTTGGTGGGCTCGTTTAACAAACTCATTTCCCAATAAAAAAAGATGATTGGTAAATTGTCTGTATTATCAAAAAGTGAAAAAAGTATACCTTCTGAGAGTTCCAAATCAAGTTCAGCGAGCTTCTCGCGCACATAGCCAGGCAAAGAGGAAGTTTGCTCCATGATGAACTTATTTAAAGTAACTTCCTAGTTTTGCTTGATGCGCTACTGTTTTAGGACTTCAACTTTGTTAGGCACAATACACACCCAAACCGAGCTGAGACCCCGCTTCTGTCCAACTTCGTTGTCAAAAATCGATCGATATGTCTTTCATATTATTTCACATTTTGCCGACGCAAACTGGTTGATTTTGTAGCTCCCGCATCCCAAACGTATTGGGGAATATAAAAAGGCGTTTTCACGAATGAAATGCAATGCTGCTTCGAATTTGCACAAAGAAAGTAAACAAAGAAAAATAGCAGTAAAAATCGATTTTATGATCTAGAGAAAATTTGATAACTATTTGACCGTAATATTGGGCAGTTGGTCTTTATTGTTGTTCGATATATGGTCACACTGACCTATCGAAAGCAGTTGATTTCGATATATACAACTTTTAAAAGAAATTTAACTCAACAGAACGTTCCTTTAATTGTTATTTAACTGGAATTCCTTCTCTAAAAGAAACAAAAATTTTTTTATTGGTATTGTATCCCTGAAATGTTGAGTTTTGTCAATATCGATTACTTTGAAATAATCGCAGCCTCTTGATGTACAATCTGCTTGACCATTAATAATACAAATATAAACAAACGAATCTGGTAACGACCTATCAAAGCGTTTTTTTTTTTAATTTAATTTGACCAATTCTTGTTTGCCACGACCGTATTTTATCTTTATTATTATCTTTATTTATGCTTACTTCGGCAAAGTGTCATCTCTATTAAAAAATGCGTGAGTTTTTTCGAACTGTGCTGGGAATTCAATATTTTAATGTTTTTTTTTTTTTTACAAATTGCAGAGCACTTAAAGCTACAAGAGGAAATCAAGGAATTGAAGGGCATAGGCCTGCGCTTCGAGCAGCAGCTAAAGCTGGCAAGCGTCGAGATCGGTGACTTCTCCGACGAAGACCTGGCGCTCCTTGACAAATGCGTTCAGTATTATGAAGATAACCACATCCACGAATTTAGCCTGAACTATTTGCGCGACTTCTACTATGCCAAGAAGCGGGACTGCATTGAAAACAAGCAGACACGACTAGAACAAAGCGCCGATCTACAACGCATTAACTCTGCTCTCGACGAGGCAGTTAAAGAAGTAGCCATGTTGGAGCGGTAATTAAGAACTTTAGAAAACCGGTATCTAATATATATGAAAACAATGCGTTTTATTTCAGATTTAAATGTGTCGCGGAAGAGCGTTTTATTCCAGAATCTGTTGTTTTACAGCGAAACAGCCAACAACATGCTACCAAGGAGGAGTTGTTAGACCGACAGAGAGCACTAAAGATACCTAATGATTTCAAAATAGAAAGCGTCATTGAGAAGGTAGGCTCGCTGGAGCGGCGCTAGTGAATTCCGGACACGGTTTTTTAAAAAAAATGATTTATTGTGTATTTACTCAGTAATGAAAAAATCACTTTACAATAACATAAAATCTGCAAATTAAAAAGACTAATTTAAGCAAGCAAAAGATTTTTCTCGTCCGTTAAGATTATATTTTGGGGTCCAAAAGGTTAAAGTTGTTACTATGTTGTGTCAAATATTTATTTAGGATCATGATTGATAAATTAGAAAACCAAATAGTATGTGATAATTTGCCAGCTGCTTAAAGCATACAAAAAGTGTACTGTTTTTCCGTATGTATGTATGTATTTCCAATGTGGTATATGTATCATATATATTGGTGTGTGTATAGATAGAATTAGTAATTTCATATTCTTTAAGTTGTTGCTTGTTGTTATGTATATAAAGGGCGGGTATGTGGCAGACAAACATTTCGGCTAGCAACGCGCTCCACGCCACAGGCCTACTCCACGTTTACAGCCATCTTTTAGCGGAATTCGGGCGCATCATCCTGTGTTATATCGCCGTACTTCCAGATGGCCAGATGTGCAGCGCGAGCTGTCTCCTGCGCCGCCTTGTACTGGTCCACAAGGTCCTTGAGCTTACGCTCGCGTCGCTTTTCGGCAAGCACAAGACCCTCGGCGACAAGTTGTTTTCCAAAATCGGCTTTAGTAGTTGGATCATGCAGCGTGGCCAAGTTTGGCGACCCATGCACCTTCAGCTCTACATTGAGTTGAACCTTGTGGTTCAAAACATCTTCGGAAAAGGCACGTAAGGCTTCTTCCTTGTCTTCGTTGTCAGTAGGCAGGGCGACCAAGGCCAGCGCGTATTCAGTGGCATAAGGTTTTTCGCTGCTGAAGGCTGAGGGCAAAGCTGCCAAACGACTTGTAGGTAGGGTCTAAAAACGGAAAATATGGCTTAAGTACGTCTAAAAAAAATGTTCAAATAATTTTAATAAAGTAAAGTTTGGAAGTGTAGCAAGACGAAGACATATGAAGCATGGTTTGGGCGCCCCCAACTACTCTGTGTTCTCGTCTCGCACGGTTATATTCCTTCTACTTGAACATTGGTTTACCCAAAAAATATGGAAAATCCTTCGAACCTTTGAGGAGGATTCAAAACGATTAAGAATCGAGATCACATTTAATGTAGCTGTAGAGTTTAATTAGCGCCCTCACACAACATATATTGTCATACAAAAAAGCTATTTGATTTGGCAAGCATATGACTCATGCGTTTCACTTTAAGGCGGAAACGGATCTAAGGAACTTGCTAACACTTAAAACATTAAGGCTATCCGCTTACCTCCTTATTTCCATAATCGATGTACAGAACGGTAGCGTTACTTCCTTGTACCCGTTCCACCTTGGCGCGGTACCATTGATTATCAAGAGTAAACTGCGCGGCGACCAAATCGCCACGTTTGGGAGTGTATGATCCAGCGATTGGGGGATTGGATTGAAAGTCGGCATGAAGCTTGCTCATAAGGGACTCCAACTTGGATCCGTTCTCAACGGACTGCGCGAAGAATGTTAGAGTTTCGGTAACCTCAGTAACAATTACGTTCTCGAAGTTCACTTTGCGCTCGGCAGCCAACTTGTCTTCCTTTTCGTCATCAACAAAAGTTTTTTCCTCAGGCACTTGTTCTACATAATTGGCCCAGATATTCTTCTTGGCAGCCTTGGCACGGTCTTCGGCACTCTTCAATTGGCGGTAGTACTCAGATTTTTCAGCACTAAAGTGCACCTCCGCAAGCCCCTCTTCGACAAGGGCAACTGACAAATTGACACCACTGTCTGTCCAGAGCCAACCAATTACAGAAGATCCAGCCTTGTCGGTGGTGTCAATATGAACAGAAACGTCCCGTTGCAAAACACGCTCTCGGGTAAAGGTCAGAGCCTCGTCGCCAAACGGTTCTCCCTCTTGAGCAGGAACGCCGTTTAGCGCTGGGCGAGAAGAGCGCGGGCATGAAATACCGGCAAGCAGGAATGTGACCAGGCAACTGTCCTTTGGCACAAACAGTCGCAAGCGCGACCCGCTGGCGACAAACTCCACGATGGCCTCAGTTCGAAGAGCACGCTGCCATGACGGCAAGTATTGGACTTTAATTCGGGAATGGTCAACAGTAAGATCGTTTACTCTCAGTGTAGCGTTATCCTTCTTTGCGTGCAGTCCCTTTAATCCCTTAATGGCTTGCTGCTCGGCAGCAATCAGTTGGTCATAGGCGGAAGATCTCTGATCGTCGTCCTGGCGATAGCGAACACATGTAGCCAAGCCCTTTGCCACCATGGCCTCAGCGACGTTTTGCCCGCCAATCGAGACGGTATAGCAGTATTTTTCAGGAAAGTTTTCGCGGGGAGGCGAAATGTAGTCAAGGTTGCACTGTACTTTCTTGTTAATCAACTTCTTGCGCAGAAACTCGCGGGCGTCAAACATGTGGGGAATTTCGTAAAGTGGCCGGTAGTTCTTTCCGCGTGGTGGAGCCTTAACGATTTCCTCACCGTCGGTGCCAACCACCGCCCTTTGGTCTCGCGGTGGCCTTATCGAAGAAAAGAACACCTTCTTAACTAAGCCGTTGGAGAGACGTACATTTATAGCATCTCCGTTAAATACTTCCACTACAGTTCCAGAAAAGTCCTTCTCTTTCGAGTTGAATGCAGGTGTTTTGGCTTGATAGTCTTGCCATTGTCGAAGACGTTTTTCCTTGGCAATTCTTTCCGTAGCACGCAGTTTGTCGGCTCCTATAAAGGAAACAAGGAAACTTTATTCCTGAAGTAGTAATATATTATTCATGTGCGATTTATGGCTGGCAGAATTAGATGTCGACGGGGTGAAATGAACGTAGCGACAATAATCTGTCACGAAATTCTTGGAGTCCGTCTTTTTTCTAGCAACTGATTGCAGATAGTGAACAACACAACCGTAGGTTATATACCAATTCGGTGCTGTGCTTTGCAATCGAGCTGCGTACTACGTTTAAAAGTTTCTTTTCAAATTACGAACGTAAAATTAATTGCTTAGCCTTTTTATGTAAATTTGCCATTTCGTTAAACTTACCAGTCTTCATAACAGCCATCGACCAGTCCACACATTTCGCAAGTCCCTCGCGGAGAAGCGATTCTGCAATGTTACCCTTTGGATAAAGAATCGTTCCGATAAAGTTCGAGTTGTTCACGGATTCCAGGCGGATTTCTACATCTCTTTGCAAAAGGCGGGTCTCCACATAGTAGCGTGCCTCATCGGCAAACGGCACCTTTACACTTAAATCGGGTTTGCCATCAGCATCCAACTTGACCCCTGGACACCGAATGCCCGAAATCATCAGCGTTATGTAGTGGAAGTCCGGTAACAAGAACGCACGAACGGTGGAACCATCGCGCACATGTTCGATTATGGCCTTGACTGGCTTTCCTTCGTAGATATCGACAAGGTGGGCAGGATTTTCGTGGGACCACTTAATGTTGCGTACCTTATCGGCGGGACTCGCGTTTGTTGCCCACTTGCCGCGGCCCGCGGCACGTGCCTGGTCTTCCAGTTCGATGAGGGTCTGCTGCTCGGGCGTGGGGCGTCCCTCGCGGCGAACCGACACCAAGCCCTCGCGCACAATGGACTCCACTACATTCTCGCCAGTCTCCTTGTCTTTGCCGATCCAGACAAAGCCGTACTCCCGGTTCGAGTTAGCAGGTTTGTCAAACGTAAAGGTCACCTCGACACCAATCAACTTCTTGCGCAGGAACTCCCGCGACTCCCAAGCCCAGGGCTCGTCCTTGGTCTCGTCCCCGCCGGCGCCGGGGCGACGAGCTAGTTTCGGTGCCAAGACATGGGAGAAGGTTATTTGTTTCTCCGGAGGGGGAGCACCCTTGGTCGCGCGGATAACTACAGTATCGCCGGAAAGCACCTAAAACAGGCAGAAAATTTTCGAGTGAGGTTAAATTTAAATGCACGTGTAGGTTGACTAGATGTGACCAAGAAACGATACCTTAATCACCACTCAGTCTAAAGCGACCGAGAGCACTATCGATAGGTTGTCTCATATTATATTTTAATCACGTGGGGGGAATTTTTTTTTATTAAAAATAAAATAAATATATTAAAATTTAAACTATATTAAAATAACCTTTGCTTTGCAAGGGTATAAAAAATAAATTCATTTAGGTGTGTAGGTTTTGGCAGATGGCGCCTGCGCTGCAAATCTGCCGCATATGTAGGTCCTATTAAAAAGTGAAGTACTAGTAAACAATCGATATGTCTCATATTTTATTTAAATCACGTGAGAAATGTAAATGTTTTATATTAAAAATAAAATAAATATTAATTATATATATTAATTTTAAGTGGTAAGGTGTATGTTTTGACAGATGGCGCCTGCGCTACAAATCTCCCGCGTATGTAGGCCCTATTGTAAGGTAACTACTACTAGTAAACAATCGATATGTCTCATATTTTATTTAAATCACGTGAGAAATGTAAATGTTTTATATTAAAAATAAAATAAATATTAATTTTAAGTGGTAAGGTGTATGTTTTGACAGATGGCGCCTGCGCTACAAATCTCCCGCGTATGTAGGCCCTATTGTAAGGTAATATACCGGTCAACCATCGGGCTTGTTCATGCTGGCAAACCAAATTCGAAATTGTTTCCAAAGTAAAAACAGGCTCGCGTTAAAACCAGTTTATTGTGCAGAAAATGTTGAGTTAACCCCGAAAACCTAGTTGCTCTAATGTTTCGGTCTAACTTAAATAATCTGTACGGAAAACAAACATTTTTGCTGGATGGTCTAAAGTTCACAAAAAGAACAGTAGTCAAAGTTGAAGAGGTCGATATGCAAACGGTCAAGTATTGAGCCGTAGGTTATTACTCGTAAGATCAACAGGTTTTTGAGCTAGAATTACTAGACCAGGAGACTTTCCGGATGTTGAGACTCTGTTTACAGGATGCCAACGTCACCAAGCCAGATCATGCCCGAGAAACCTTGTTGGCCCTGGAAATTGAGTTATTACCAACTACCCAGACCAAAATTTGCTAAACTGAACAAAAATTTCGACTGTATATTTTATTAGGATACCAAGAAGAGAAAGCAGACTATAAGCCACACACGACCAAGAATAATTACATTCATAAACAACGAGAAAGTGGTCGCATAGCGGGTGTTCTTACGCTGCCTGCCTGCCTAAGAGGTTAGAATCGAACCGCCGTTTGGCGCACAAATTAAATCTCAGCAAAATGTGAAAAAGAGGACGGACGGCAAAGCGAATTTGGAGAACCAGAAAACCGTTCTGGTGACGTAGCTACGTTCAAAGGAGCAACAACAACTAGCTTAAGACCCTGCGCCAAAGAAAATATGCCAGCTTGGCACCACGATAACTTTCATTTCTTTAGATCGGACGAGCGTGTGCAACGTGTCACACATACGCACCGAGCTCTATACGCGTCTCTCTCGCACTTGCCAGAGTTGCACCTGGCCACCGCGTTTGCCACGCTGTATATATCGCTGTAAATATCTTTTAAATATACTTTTCAGTGCCCAAGGAGTGGAAGTTTCTAACTGAGAGTCCAGACTCAGATTATAAAACTTACTTGTTTCACTACGCCGGACAACGACTTCACAGGCGTTGGCGGGGCGTCTTTTGCTGCTCCGGCAGATGTCGCGCTGTTTGCTGCTGTTGCCATTTTCTAGGTAAAATGCGGGGAAGTTATTAGCAGAGGCCGTGTCACTAGGCTTTAATAACGGAATATTGTGTTGATTGCGTTTCGGGGCTGAACACCGCACCAACCTAACGAACTTAATTGAGCAAGAGAAGGAACCGCACGCAAAATCTAAAAATTTTCACTGAAGTGACCGTGTTGGCTAGTGGTGGGCGATTGTTTACGAAACTATAAAATACCGTGCCTGACACACGGACAAGTTTGGGGCTGTATATCGGCGTAGAAATATCGATAGTAACCATCCAGCTGTTTGTGGCATTACGTGATTTTTGTGTTTGTTAAGTTGTTAAAACCGCTTAAAATGAATCAAGCTGACGTTACTAAGCTGATGTCACAGCTCCGAATCGCAATAAAAGCCAAAAAGCGCAACTTGAAGAATGCAGACGGGCCGGAAGGGCGGTTGCTGAAGCTGCGGAAAACCGTAACGGCGTTGGTGAAACACGAGCGCATTGAACTGTTCTACAATAGAGCTGATGAAGCCCGTGGCTACACGGAACTAGTAAGTTGTCAAGTTGCCCAATTGCTTAACGCTGTATATTAACCAAAAAGGCATTCTTTTCGCAGCTCATATCCAATGCCATACGCCATGGGGACCGGCACGAGGCCACCATGGAGCTGGCTAATTATTGGCTATTGGAAAAGCAACTGGTGCATAAGCTTTTCAAGGTTCTGGTTCCGCGATATGAGAACTATAATGTATCCTATACACGCATGTACAAAGCTCCTCGTGACTATCCCGGGATTTACTACAGGCAGTCTGTGCTGGAGCTACGGGGCAATCCTTACCCTCTGCTAACTGCGGATCTTTCTCAAAACAGGAATCTTCTGCACAACGTGCTCCTTGACGAGGCAAGGAAAGAGTTCAGACGTCAGAGACTGTCTGAGAATCTAAACTAGTTTGTTTATTTCATTTTCTTTTTATTAACAATTAGTTACTCAGTTCGTCGCTTAGAATGCAGATAAGACTCAAAAGCCATTTTACTACAATGTTTAATATATAAAGAGAGCCAATTGTTAGAACTCGCTTGTTTTACATTGAGACTGGTCAATAGTTGCTCTTATCCAACAAGCCTAAACCTTATTGACATTGCAGTGGCCGAAGAAATCCGTTTTCCAACCTGCAGTTATAGACATCAGCGTTTAAAGAATTACAGTTCGTACCAGAAACCTTACCTTTTCCCGTAAGGCAGGCATCCCGCAACATTTCACAGTGGCTATAGAAAAATTGGTGCTCATTCGTTGACGTCGCGCAGATGGGCAGGAATGGATCACAAGTTTCAATAGCCTTACAGGCTAAGCCACTATTAATAATTGGAAGAGACACAGACAGCGCAAGGAAAATTATGATGTCTAAGATAAGGAACCACGCCAAACAGGTCTTCCTTCCTGATGTGTTTGCTGAATTATATGACACTAACATCTTAAATGGCAGCCTTTCGAAGTTATTTTTAAAGCATAGCAGCGAAAAATTGGGTAGAGGCTCCAATTTTTTTATAAATTGGAATTCGTTAACAGTTTAATTTTTATTTTGTTTATTAGTTTATAATTTGTTTGTCACAGATTGTAGAAAACAAATTTGGCTGCCGAAACACAAATAGCTATCCAAGAACTGATAAGCTCTGGGAGACCTACGCGCTGATGCATATTATTTCGCTTATGTTCCAAATGTTGCCATGGAAACGAGTTCGGAACACTGTCCAGAGAATATATGATAACTTCACCGCTACTTTTCACCGAAGGCTTTTGTTCGCGTATACCCGGAACTGGGTATGAATAGGGTTGCTCAACTGAGTGGAACACTGGCTTTATTCGTAGTTCGCATCGAGTTATCCGGCCGGTTTAGATATTTGAATAAGCAGTATCTCGCAAAAAAGTGCAGATGCGACTACGCACCTAGTAAGTTTGCCAAAACAGTTACACATTTTTATAAAAAGATACACGTATGAAAAGGCCTTATATATTATTAAAGTGCAGAAGCTAAAAAGCTAAAGTTTGAACGGCAGTTAATTGACAAGTTCTTCCCCTCCTTATTTATTTATTATTTCAAAGGTATTTTAAAGGGTATTATAATTTTACTCAAAAGCGTGCAACGCGTGATACTAAATCTGTATCATTAAACGAGGGGATGTAAAAATGTCAGTATGACAGATTTATTTTTTTTTAATTAGTCGCTCAGTTTTATAAGGTTTCATTGCAACTTTACCAAAAGCAACGGCATCATCGAAATTCTAAGGATTATTATATTGTTATTATTATTAGATGTTTATAGAGAAGTACGGGATAAGTCATCAACTTTAGTGATAAAAGGTGGTGTTGCAAAACATAACGACGGACTGACCGCGTTACGCTGGGTCAGCAGACTTAATTACATTTGCATTATTCAGGGCCGGAGAAACAGTTTTGAGTGGGGTGATGACCTCACAAATTTTCAATATCCCCCCCCGCCCCTTTTGTTTCAAAATCATTCCAAATCATGATGAGGGAAACACTGTTGACATAATATAGGTAAGTATAAATTTTAATAAAACAACAACACCAATCAATCAAAATGCAACAGGTAAAAAAAACTATTTTAAATGTAAAATGTTAATTAAAATCCATTTAATATTAATGTAATGTTAATTTAATGTTAAAATAATGTTAATTTAATATAATGTAAATGTAATGTTAACTAAATGTTAATTAAATTAATATGGCCACGTCAGCGACAATGATAATTAATTATTTTTTTCGTTTTCTCGCACCTATAATTCCCAAGTGGTTCTGGCTGATTCGTAGTGGGATACCCCTTGATTTTGGCCAATTTCTCAGTTCTCCGGGATGACCGGCAGTTTCTCTAAGAAACTTTTTCCGGTCTCTGGAAGTGTGTGTGTGTGCGTGTGTGTTAGTGACGTGGTTCCAGAGTGGGAGAGAGTATTTGGCCAACTCCTCCTACTGGAGTCCACTCCCGGATGCAGTGCATCATGGGTCGACTCCTCCTACTGGAGTCCACTCCCGGATGCAGTGCACCATGGGTCGACTCCTCCTACTGGAATCCACTCCCGGATGCAGTGCATCTTGGGTCGACTCCACCTACTGGAGTCCACTCCCGGATGCAGTGCACCATGGGTCGACTCCTCCTAGGATGCACTGCATCATGACCTGACTTGGCATGAACTTAAAGGTGCCCGATCCCTTCCTGCATGTAGTGGACTCCAGGATGCAGGGCATCCAAACCTGAAAAGGTGAGTTGCAGTTTTTTTTAATTATGTGATGACGTGGCTTTTGTAAAAAAAATGCAGTTAATTAATTCAATTTTTTTTATATTTTTTTTTTCAGGTTTTTGGTTGTGTATTTGGCTGATTGCAGAAAATAATTGGTGACACCATCCAACTTGTAACTTGAAGTTCGACATCAGGATGCACTGCACCAAAGTTATTACGCAGTGAGTACATCCTTTAGACAATAAATAATTAAGTTATATATTTTAAAAAATAAATATTTTGACAAAGAAACTAAAAGAAACAGATAAAGATCTGAAAGTTTTCAAGAACATGAAAGAAATTTGAAAGGTAAGTTTTATCAAATATTGAACTTGAAGTACATGAAAATCAAACACAATTAATAATTGTAAACAAGTAGCGACATATAATATAAATATATGTAGTACCTATATATATAGTAATAGTTGTAAGAATGCGGTTACCGGAAATATATAGTATGCTGACACCACATAAATGGACTGGACAACAGGCTGCAGGATCAATTATGAATGGCGTGATCTTCTATTGAACTCCACTCCAGGATGCAGTGCATCACCTCATTGGGGTATGTATTTTTTAAACAACCGATTTGTATAAAATAATTTAACTAATATTTTGGAATGCTTCTTTTCATTACAGGTGATGACTATACCTTTCTACTTGGAGTGTACTTCAAGATGCAGTGAATCACAACCGGAAAAGGTGAGTAGCAGTTTTTTTTTTATTTAAGTGATGACGTGGATTTTTGTAAATGTAATGCATTTATTTAATTTAATATTTATTTTATTTTATTTCAGGTTTGGTTGTGTATTTAGCTGGTTGCAGAAAATAATTGGTGACACCATCTTACATGTAACTTGGAGCTGGTCTTTAGGATGCAGTACACCAAGGTTATTACGGAGTGAGTACATTTTAATTATTTTAAAATGTCAGAAATATTATGGCAAAGAAATTAAAAGCAACAGATAAAGATTTGAAAGTATTCAAGAACTTGAAATAAATTTAAAAGGTCAATCCATTGGGCTATGTATTTGTTAAATTATTAATTTCTATAAAATAATTAAACTAATATTTTGAAATCCCTCTTTTCATTACAGGTAATGACTATACCTTTCTACTTGGAGTGAACTTCAAGATGCATTGAATCAATAACCCAATGAGGTAAATACATTTTTTACTGACAAATTAATTCTAACTAATATTATTTGTAACAAATTATTTATTATTTTTTCTTGTTTTTTATTTAATTTCAGGGTAAAGTGTAAATGTTGCGGATAAAGTGGTTGCAGTGATTATCTTACTTCAAGAAGGCGAAAGATTGCAGTGCACCAAGGCATTTTCGCAGTGAGTACATGAATTAGACAGTAAATAATTAAGTTACGTATTTATTTTAAGATAAATACTACGGCTTAAGGGAGGCCAGCTCTTTTAAATAAAGAAATCAAGGGCAACAGTTAAAGATTAAAAAGTTAAGTTAACAACGAAGTTATCATTTTTTGCCATTATTTATATGTATATATGTTTCGACCTTTCCTATGGCAGCTATGTGATATACTTATCCAATTTTGATAAAATTTAATTCGAAATTCAATAGTAGTCTACAGATAGGTGTCTCCTTCAATGCTTTGGAAACTTCCACTGAAATTATAATACCCTATGCAAGGGTATAAAAATATGGTTTAATTAATATAATAATCATAATAAAGTATATAATTATTGCATTATAGTATATCAGTACTGGATATGCAGACTTTTCGTATAGTGTAAATGTTATGTGTATTGCCACATTTCGGTTTAGGGTGGGGCTGGGGTAACTCCAATAGAACGACGACCAACCGAATATATTTAAAGTGGTCATTTGGCAAATATCAGCGTTCTTTGTCAAAAATATTTTTTTCTAGTAAAATAATATCAACTGGAAAATCCATTCAAGTATTATATCAATCATACCCATTTATATCATGTATACTCCGTTTTAACCAGTTGCGTAAGGCAGCAATTGGCACAAAAGTTAGTGATATTTTTTTAAATTTTCTTTGCAATTGAATTTGCCAGACTTAAAATGCATAAGCAATGCGGAATTCAGTAAAAAAATTGATTGTAAATTATTTATGTGTAGAAAATGCGCAGCTCATTGATAAAAACACAGGCGCTGGTGCGCACTCTCTCCGTAGACCCGGCCGAAATCGAAATTTTGGATTCGCATTCAAGAGAAAAAACGAGAGACTGAGCTTCGTCATGAGCATAAAATCCTGCAGGATATTATACATGCCGTGGCCTTTTATGCTGCTGTCCTTTTATCTTTCTGTTCAGTTTCGAAGAGTCGTGCAACGAAAGCAGTTGATACCATCTGTCGTTAAAAGCTGTACTGCGTCTGTGTCTGAGTCTGGAGTTGTTTTGTGTGTATAACTAACGGTTGGTCGTCACTTTTATCGGTTGTGCGAAAGAAAAATTGGTGTAGAAAGAATTGATACACGCATTACTATAGAAAAACTATCCTGGAGCAGATTTCAAGGAGTCGAGCAGACTTATCTGCCTTCTATAACGTTGATAAATTGTTTTTAGGATATTGCGCTGTATTACCAAAAACAGGCTCGGCATTTGCCAAGCTAATTTCTATTCTGTGAAAACGGCATTTGTGTTGGCTTCTTTTTACATAAATACATACTTTTTAAACTGCATGGAGCCAATTTTATATTTATTCGCGTATATTCGCGTTAAAGTGTCTACCATCTTTTTTGTGCAGATATTCCTCAATGTCTCTTTTTTGCAGTGGGCCGCAGGAGAAGTCACACCATGAAAAATAATTATAACGCGATTTTACTGGCGTCCTTCGTGACATGGTCGGGGGTACTGTGTAGCTCTGTATTAGGCACCACAGAGGGCCAGGAAACACCTCTCGCACTTCCTGTGGCGGAGCAGACCCAGCCCACGACAACCATACAAGGGGAAGTATGGGAGGAAGACGATCACGAAGTATTAATAAGGAACGAACGTGGTACCAAAAGCGACGGTGAGTCAAGGAATTGTTTTGTTTTTAAGGAATTTTGAATCAGATAGGATATCAGCTCTTCTGTAATAGCTATAATAATTTGCTTTGTTGATTATTTTTCAAGGTTTGTCGTGCCGATATGGCAAGAACCCGTGGACTGAGTGCGATACAAAAACTAATACTCGTTCCAGAACCTTAACATTGAAAAAGGGCGATCCAGCATGCGACCAAACGCGAACCATTCAAAAAAAGTGTAAAAAAGGTAATATCACGGTTCCTATCTTATAAGTTATCAGAAAGCGATTGCCTCATACAATCTTCGCCTTTTATCATGGTGCATCCCTTACAGCATGCCGATATGAAAAGGGATCCTGGTCGGAATGCGCAACTGGACAAATGACTAGAGCTGACAAATTAAAAGCGAGCAGTGATCCGTCCTGCGAAGCAACACGGGTCATTAAGAAGAATTGCAAGCCAGGAAAGTCTAAGGACAAGAGTGCCAAAGAACAGCGCAAGAACAAAGATAAAGGTCAGTTATTATTTAGGAATGCCTTAAATATACACTTTGCATTAAAATAACGATTGTGAAACTGTACCAACTATAATTAAGTTATTAGTTTATGAGGAAGTTGGTTTCTTATTTTATTAACAGTTTAATATAAATTTCTCTTTTTTTTTACATGCAGCTGCCCGCAAAGGACGCGTTTAAAAATTTAATATTCGAAAATTTAAAATGCCCCATATTCGTTTGCATCACTCCGATGCAAATAATTTAAGTTAAACTTATTTTTAAATCAATTTAAAACAAAAGAACGTAATGACATTAAGAGTCTGCTATGTATACCCGAAAAGCATTTTAATTAAATGCATATTCTGAATAATGTTGTAGTTTGGTTTTCAAGCAAACGATAAACTTAATATTAACGACAGTAAGTTCGACTGTACAACATAATATCAACTTTGCGAAAATAAGCATATATATGCAATGCAGAATAACAAAATATTTATACAATACCATACCTACATAAAAACAAAACTATTTAGTTTATTCCAAAGGAAAAATCATGCATCAACGCCGATCCATCACTTCCCGAAATAAATGAAACTGAAAAGGCAGTTGCCTTATCGATATAAAATTAAATTCTTCAATTGTGTGACTGTCTCCCTATTCATAAATTTAGCAGAGTTACTTTAAATTGAATTTAAATAATATTAACCACAAATCTAAAATAAAATCCAAAAAAAATAATCTGATTATTGATGTAAAATTTGGTGAACAACAGCTTCTGTATCTGATCTCATAAAAACCAGAACGGCATCGCGGAAAAATCATAAATTAAATACTTAATTTAAAGTGGTGGTCAATGTGTGTCATTCGCAGATAATAAATAAACAAAACACTTAGTGTAAATATTGTAAAAAACAAAAACAAACTATAAAAAAAAAAAACTAACAGATAAAGAAAGTTTCACGGCGGGTCTAGATAAAAGGTCCGTCGTAGTTACAAGGTAGGCGATTGGCATTTTAAAGTAGTTTACAACTTACTTTCACTGGGTACAATTAAAGCATAGATTTGGTAATACCATTTCCAAAATTAATGATCAAGTAAAAATACAGACATAAATACTTACACACATACTTATTCTGGTCAACAATTTAACCATTTCAAAGACGTGGTTTATCTTTTTAATAAACACATATAAAAACTTAGAACGTTAACTACAACTTAATGTATTTGTCTGTAAGCAGTTTTACAACCATTGACATACATCTATTACTACAAAGTAAAGCAAAACGGCTCACTCGCACATGCGAGCTTACACATCATTGGCAGGGGCAGTATTAATTCGAGTCTTAATTCCAAAAGGAAAAGCATTGAACTCCCCCAAAGTAAAGTGAAATTTGTTTACGTACGTATAAAACACAAGAAAAAGTAACTGAACTTTAATAAATACAAGTATTACAGAATTAAATATTTTACATTTTTTGCAAACAATATGTTACCGCGTATATGCATGTATCATTTGGGTAGTTTGTTATGTTGTGCTTTAAAGACTTTATAAGAGCAGCTTATTGTTTTTCAGAGAAACGACCTGCGCACATTGAGATTTGTGGGATAAAAATCCTAAAACCTCCTTTGCATTTCGTAAGAGGCGGGTATCATTCAAAGTGCATTATTTTTTGGACTTACATAATCACATATATACATATGTACATTAATGAACGTAAATTAATCAAAAACCTCTTTTTTTTTGCTGTTATATATGCAAGTGTGGAGGGCTGTTATTCCGAAATTTGTTTGCCTATAGGTATGTGTCTTTGGGGCGTGCATATATGTTCATACAAAAAAAGATTGTCCAACTTTGTGATTGTTTAAAGGACCTGTTAACCTTTTAGGTGGCTATTGGTAAAAAAGTAATAACAGGGATCCTCCAAGTTTAACATAACTTAATAAGTACTCAAAATCAATTTCAGTTTGGTTTGTTAAGCATGCCTTTTTTTCCAACTGTTTTTCTTGTCTGCGCCATCTCTTTGTTTGTTTTCAGCAAACTGAATCTGACTCTCAGAGAAACCACTCAAAACATGTTTGGCTGAGCTCTCGGAAACAAAATGGAACTGGGAAAGAGAGATTCATAAACTGGCTCAAAACTGTATCTACTTGTGTTTTGATATACATAATTGTAAAACTGCTCGAAGAACTCCAATCTGTTACACAATTCGTGGTCATTGCTTACATTTAGCTTACCTGTTTATTTAATGCAACACATACACCGTGCACTTCGATAAAGGATGGTTTATCTTATCATTAAGAGAACAGCGGTGTATTTGTGGAGCTTTGATGAATTAGTCCCAGCACCGTACATGAAACACTAAATCGATGTTTCCTCGTTAAAAATAAAGAAACACCAAATCAATCATTAATTAGATAGGTTCCCCTTAGCGATCAGCTTTTGTGATACATACATATGTACATATGTTTATGCACGATTGCAGTTTTGTATGTAGTTCAGAAATGCAGAGTTTTTGTAGCTGATAATATTTTCCTAAAGTCCCTTCGATTTCTAAAGTAATAAAGTGCCTGAAAAAGAAACCAAAAAGTAAAAAACACAAACTAAAATTAGACCGTTTATATTCAGATAAATATTATTGATAGTAGTTAAGTTATTGAACAAAACCACAGAATTTGCTTTGGCTGGCAGAATCTAGACTTCATTCGTCGCTGTGTATACACATTTGTTGGTGGAATAAGAAAGCATGTCTCAGTGCTCTTGCCTCTGCTCTCTTTGTTTTTGAGCAGTTTTTTATCCTCTCGAGTTCATCGAGCTATTGCGTTTCGCCCACTCAGTTTGGCTACAACTCTGAATCCGATCGTGCGGATCAGGAACCCCAGTCTTACAGTGGAGTACACTTTCTAGGGACATTTTCATTTGTTGTACGCTGCCGAACAACAGCTGGAAACTTGAATCCACTTTGTAAGTGCACGAATATTTTCGCTACGACATTTGAGTGAGTTCCAATTTTTGATTTTCCCTATTGCGTGTGCGCGCAACAGAAGTGCAAGGTACCCCTTTTTGTTATTATTCAGAGAGTTTTCCGTTGAGCGCAAAAGCCATATAAGAGATTCCCAGTTTCCAAATTTAAAGAAATAAATATGGGCTGGTTTAATAGGAAAAATCGAAATGTTATTTTAAAGCGTAATGTTAAAATTATTTGTAATACATTTTTTCGTTAAGATGTGCATATGTTCGCCAGATGTCCATTTATAATACAATATACATATTGCTCACACTGTTTTTGTCTGTATTTTACTAGCAACACACCGCTGTAGATTACCAAATACGGTTTATGGAGATATTATTTACTGTATTGCTTTCAAGGCCAACAGTTTCCGTTATTTTCAGGATATTGTTTAAATGGTTGTTATTATTGTTATAATTAGCAACCTCCATTTTTTCCTGAACTACTGTGTTTTTTATTCTATGTTGCTGAAGGGTATACATTCTCATTTTTCTATCTTCTTCTAAACGTCGAAACATTAAATGCATGGATGGATTAAAGCCAATATTGGAGCTGCTAAACGCACTATTAGAACCGTAGCTTCTTTGACTTTGACCGAGCAAAGTGCATCTATCGGTTTTCGGTTTAAGCAAACGAGAGGAAGTAAGAGTGTTTTTCTTAATGTGGATTTTGCATTTATTATTTTGCGTAGCATCGCTCATCTTTTCAATCCGCCTGTATTTTTTTCTTCTAGTTGCCGCCCTTCTTTCACTTTCATTCACTGGCGTTCGCAACAAAATGTGAAATCCTTCTTCCGTCTCAAAAGTATCTGAGACCTTATATATCTTGAGGCTTACAACTTTTTGCTCAAAGTCGATAGACATTTGAGTAGGCTTAAAGGGCCCCAAATCTCCGCCGTATTGAGCTGAGCAGCAATCGGAGATTTCTTTAGCCAAATCAGAAAATTCTAATTCACCACTTTTAATTATGTTGAGGGTCTGCGTAATTTTTTGAAAAGCCTCTTTTTTAGTTCGAGTATTTATCCGTTCAACGTGAGAAATGGGTGTATTTAATTCATTGTGCTTCACTAGAATATGCCTGCATCGAAGCTTGCATCGGTATTTGTATTCACAGTTTTTTGCGGCAATGCCATTCCAGCCAATCTTATGAGCTTCTATGAAGGGTTTTGAAGGCAACGTGAAGTAAATCTTTTCGGTATTTGTATCATAGTAATAGCATTCTTTAGTTCCATGTGCAATGCGTTCTTTCCATGTGTCAGGTAGTTTGTTGTATTCCCTCTTACTAGCTACGCCAACAGATCCGAGCGACTCATTGCCAGATTCAATATCAATGTACGGATCATTTTTAACAAGGTCATTCCAATCTGCACTTTTGTAGTCCGAGTCTGGGCAACGCCAAGAGTTATTGCGAAAAAGTTTATTACCATTTTTGACATCATCTATTTCGTACTTATCAAACATTCCTGCAGAACTGTCGGATAGACCAGAATGTTTAACATTCATGCATATAAACAAAAAAAATTTTAATATCGTTAGACTATAAATCGTTTTGAATTCTAAAAATGTTTTCATGGCATTCTAAATTACATATTTTAAAAGTTTTAAGCTTACATAATATATGACATTTAATTGACATGGTTAATTAGGGCAGAAAAAAGAAACAATATTCGTTATGTGCAAAAAAAAAAAAAAATTTTTCTTTGAAAAACATTAAAATCAAGTTTATTTTATTCAATATTCTTTTATATTATTGTCCATTTTTTATTGTTTTTAGATTTTCGAATTAGCTATGAATCTCATACTAATTTTAACCACACTTCTGCATTTGGTTTTGGTGGGAATGGCGCAGATTTCGTCATTAGTTGACAGGGACGATATTCGTCTGGTCATGGAGAAAATTTCGGGTGACGTAGTGCACATTCGACCGGCTCGTGGCACTCTGGAGGACGAAACCGTTTCTTCCACAGCCAATGCTGAGGCTCCCCGTCTCAGAAGCCATCGAAAAAACAGCAAGCTGGAGCATTCCCAGCAGTTGGAGGGGCACAAATCTAGGAAACTAACAGTTTCCGAAAATGCAAGTGTAGCCCCACATCAAGACCAACCGAAGAATAAACGAGGTAAAAACAAAATTGACAAGCAACCACGACAAGGAACCAAGCAGCAAAATGGATTTGGCCAACACCATGGGGGCAAGAAAACTGGAGGCAAGTCGAAGACTTCTGACAATATAGGTACGAATCGAAGTGCACAAATTATTTCAGATCACCTTAAAATCGAATTTATTATGTACTTGATGGTTGACAGGGTCGACTTGCCGCTACGCCAAGAGCGCTTGGTCAAACTGTGATGACAAATCTCACATGCGTACCCGAGTTCTATCTCTTAAGAAGGGCGAGCCAAATTGCTTGCCGACAAGGACTATACTAAAGAAGTGCAAGAAAGGTGGGTAGTGGTAATTTATATTCTTTTAAATCATCGATCCGTCTAAATAAGCTTTAAAAGGGTTTTTCACAATTATTTTAGTGCAATGCCTGTGCATCCCCTTTGCCTCTTTTATTAGTGGTATGGTTTTGGCCAATTTCTGGGTGTTTTAAAATTATGGTTTCAATGCTTTGCAACAAATGCTTTCCTGCTCCCAAAAATGAAGTAGTTATGCCATTTATTGCAGCGAATCGTTGTACATCATATTTAATGGTTATTTAACCACTTGTCACTTTGTACAGGCTGCCGTTATGAAAAGGGGACTTGGTCTCAATGTAGCGCTGGGCAAATGACCAGAGAGGATAAGTTGCAGGCAGAGTCTGCCGGTGCTAGTGACCAAAACTGCGATCCCATCCGCACTGTCAATAAGAAGTGCAAGGCAAATGGCAATGCTGGCGGGGTAAAAACACATGGCCAGAATCGTGGCACAAAAGAACGAAAACATAAGGAGAGGGGTAAAACTGAACAAAAGTGTGTGTATTAATCTTTATTGTATTAAGCTTATCCGTTTTACAGGTGAACGTCGCATATCGGGTCAAGATGAATGATCTTTTAAAATGAATAATTTTTTACAGTGCAAAAAGGTTAAAAGTTTTTTTGCAGTATCTTGTAACACGTTTTATTTAAAACCTTTAAAGGTTTTTCTACATAAGTTTTTAAATTTAAAGTGGTTTTTATATTGCTTGGCAAGAAGCGTTGACCTTATGATGAAGAAAATGAAGATCAATAGATATTTGCCAAGAATAGAACTTTATGAAGTATAAAATGGTTGCGTATACACAATGAGTAAATAATTCGTGCTCAATTTTTATAAAAAGCTAGTTCTTTGTTTCTTAACATAAAAATCTACTGGTAGGCAATTGAGCATATACATATGCTTATTATAAGTCGAATATAATTCTGAAGTTCTCTTAAGTTGCCTTCAAATTCGCTTGGACTATGCGGTGTCTCTTGAAACCTACAGTATTTTAGGTCCGCCTTCTGTCTAAATAAAATTATTTTTGAAGTTCTGAATGAACGAGAGAACTATATTGTAGTAAATCGATTACGGAATAAAAAGCATTAAATACATTTTAAGTTGGCTCTGAATATTTTCGACTTTTATTATTCGTAGAAAAATACCTACGCAACCAGCTATCTGCGACAAAATTTCGTTAACAGAAACACACAGAAGAAAAAAATTGACTCTCCCTCGACTGGGCAATACAAAGATGTTAAATTTTATAGTGGCTTACTATTGCAGTGAAAACCCCATATAGAATCGATCGACCAAAAAATGTCTTCAATAGCCATCGTTCAGGTATCTTGTAGATGCCCGCGGTTGGGGCGGAAGCTCATAAATACGTCGCGGGTGCTGACCACTGGCTGGTTGCGCGCAATGGTCGACACACTTCAGGTGCAGGCCGACGGTCAGAAGAAACCTGCTAAAAAGAATGGGTCAGAGCCAGGGTGCAGCTTGCGTATTGGACTTCTACACAGCTGCAATGCATCTTTGGTATTTATGGCGCACCGGCGTTACTCTTCCTATGAGAAGACTTCAACGCAAATTCTGTCAAAGCTGTTTCCGCAAACCTCTGCGGAGCCCAATGACGAGGAAAGTCGTGAGCGGCGCAAGCGGGAGGAGGAGGAAGAGATGAAGGAAATGGAGCGGGCTTGGAAGCGGATGAAACTCGGCTTTGGACTCTGTGGTATAGGAGGCTTGCTTTTCTCATTTTGGGCCATATTTTACTTTGGGAAGCCTGCACTGGATAAGCACGGAAACAATGTGATGGACGAGTTTAGTGAAATGCCACTGATGCAGCAATATATGGCTCGAACCTGGAAGTCGGTAAACCACTTCCAACGATTTATACAAGAACCGTCTAGTCAGAAGCTGCTTCCTGAACCCCTTCAGGCGCCCTATGTGCAGCCTGCGTATACTCTGGTACTTGAGATCAAGGACGTGTTGGTACATCCTGACTGGACTTATGAGACTGGCTGGCGCTTTAAGAAGCGTCCGGGTGTCGACGTTTTTTTAAAAGAATGTGCCAAGTATTTTGAAATCGTTGTTTACACAGCGGAACAAGGAATTACGGTATTTCCGCTGCTCGACGCCCTTGATCCAAACGGCTATATAATGTATCGCTTGGTTCGTGACTCAACACACTTTGTTGGTGGCCATCACGTGAAGAACCTTGACAATCTGAACCGGGACCTAAAGCGTGTGGTTGTCGTAGACTGGGATCGAAACGCCACTAAGTTTCATCCTTCAAATTCTTTCTCAATTCCGCGGTGGTCTGGGAACGACAATGACACGACTCTGTTTGATCTTGTGTCGTTTCTTAGTGTTTTGGGCACCAGTGAGATCGATGACGTCCGGGAGGTGCTGCAGTACTACAATCAGTTCGATGACCCCATATCCCAGTTTCGGGAAAACCAGCGAAAACTAAGTGAAAAAATGCAGGCCGATGAGCAGCAAAAGCTTAGCAAGTCTAAGCCTGTTGTCAAGAATTGGGCCCATGGCTTTATAAAACATTAAAACTTTGTGGTTTTGATGTGTCTTAAACGCCCCATTTGTAATTTGCATGCACGATATAAATAAAGTATTACAAAAAACTTGTAAAAGGTACAACTGTAACGTAAAATTTCTAAATTTTAAGTTCTAGTGGCTCTGCGGGCTTTGGGTGCCATGGAAATGGACCATAGATTCACATCCTCAGATTTCTCTTTTGCTATACTTTAGTGAGGATTTTGTAATAGTAAAATAAAGTAAATGTTGCATTATAAAAGTTTTAAAGTTTATTTGTTATTAACAACTATCAAATTCAAATTTTTTACTTTGGAAGTTCGTCGTTTGGTCAAAAATAAGAATATTGAAAAAAGACCTACGAACTTTTATAGCTGTGACTACATAAAACTAAAACAAAATGTAAGCTTAATATATTTCCAAAACTAACGGAAAATCATCGCCATTAGTTAATGAAAACAATTAGGAACATTTAAAAAAAAATTTGATGACGATTGGTTAACCCCAACGTCCGAAAACGTTTAAAGTATTGGCTTCAAATGGCCGGTGCTCGACATGTGCTCCATATAAAGGCATGTAACTCTTGTAATTTTTCAAATTTTGATCTGAAATTTGTTGAGTACATTCATTAAAGCCAAAAAAAAAATCGATTTTTTTTCGCCACAAGGTGAGAACCTGCCTTAAGCTTTAGTATTCTTTTGTTTCAGCAGCTGGCCACACTGCTAGTGACAATCGATAGTTTGGCGCGTCGCATTGCCAATCGACCTTATTAGTCAAAGAAAAAGTGATAAGTTAAGGAACCATTTCGGCTTGAAAAAAATCAGATAAATAAAAAGCAGGCCACGTTGTGCGCCAGTTCCCCATCAGATCGAAAGCCGCCAACATTGAAATTTCAAATTTGAACTCGTTGGCTTACTAATCTGTGACTCCGACGCACGTAACCCTTAATCTTGCAGTGATGCTGGTCGCCGCTTTGCAGCACAGTTACTCGATAGAGTGCGTGTCGCCAATATCGGACTGGGCCAAACAAATTACAAAGCGTGGTGGTGAGGGGTCCTTGCTTTATGTCCTGGCTTTGTCTATGTTCACCCAATTGCTGTTGGCACTCTACGTGGGACTTGCAGTGTTCCAACCGTGTTCCTTGCGAAGAAAGCAGTTAAATGAGTGGCAGCGCAGGATCTATGCCAGCTTTATCTTCCGGAGGTTGCTTCTACAGCTGGATGAGACATTCAGACCACATGGGTCTCCTGGGAAAGACCAGCTGGGCTACTGTCGGAGTTGCAGCGAAAAGGTAATCTTAGCTATACAACACTTCCGACGAGATGCTTTTAGGGTCCTTCAGCCAGGACAGGATCTCTCATCGGCTCTGAGCAGCGAGTTATACTATGTTCTTGACGAGGAGGAGTATGAGCTCGCAGTGAATGGTTACGGGTGCTCCTGTATTAAAATTGAGGTCATTGAGGATCTGCTGATGTGTCTTATGTACCCTGAACGAATTGTTCAAGAATCGTAGTGAGGGGATTTGTCCTCATCAATACTATAACCTTCTTGAGGGATCCCTACGTGCACTCGGGAGCTAACGGGTTGCCATTTTGATGTCTAGACCTCTTATAATTCAAAGAACAGAAAGAAACAGAACTGGAAGCCTCAAAATCAAGCGCTTAAAAAAAATTGAATTGAAAAAAAAAACATAAAATCAGTGCTAATTTTTATACCCTTGCAGAGCAAAAGGGTATTATAATTTCAGTCAGAAGTTTGCAACGCAGTGAAGGAGACACCTTAGACCCCATAAAGTATATATATTCTTGATCAGCATCACCATCTGAATCGAAATATGTATGTACGTCTGTCCGTCTGTCCGTCGGTCCGTCTGTCCGTCTGTCTGTTTCTATGTAAACTAGTCTCTCAGTTTTAAAGCTATCTTGCTGAAACTTTCACAAAAGTTGTGTAGCTATTGCACGCAGTATATAAGTCGGAACGAGCCGGATCGGCCGACTATATCGGATAGCTCCTATACGAGAGAATGAAATAAAAAATTCTCACCCCTTTGTTTTTGATCAGATCGACTTGAATTCTTCCAGATGGGGTTTTCTAACTACTATTGAATTTCGGATTAAATTTTATCAAAATCGGATAACTCTATCATATAGCTGCCATAGGAGACCTCAAAAAAATATATATAAAATAATGGAAATAAATTGATAACATCGTTGTTTTTTATCCCATGAGCATGATTTTTTGAATATCAATTTTTTTAACAACTCTTATATTGAGAAAAAAGTTTCATAAAAATCGGACAACGATATCTCATAGCTGCCATAGGAAAGATCGAAAAATCTATATAGTTTTAACGGAAATAAAATGATAACATCGTTACTTCTCTTCAGAAAATCATGATTTTTGGAATAAAGAGTTTTCTAACGACTCTTGAATATCAAATTAAATTTTATCAAAATCAGACGACTATATCATATAGCTGCCATATGAACAATAGTCAAAAATATGGAAAGTTAATAGAAAAGTCGTCGTAGCTTCGATGTAGTTTAGCCTCTGTGTATTCTGTTCGAAATGTTTGATGACTGCAAGGGTATATGAGCTTCGGCTTGCCGAAGCTAGCTTCCTTTCTTGTTTATTTATATATCGGTGGAACTGGCCTCATTTTCTAGATTGAATTTGTTTGGTATACCATTTAGGTTTAAGTTCCTGTTTGCAACAGTGGCTGGTTTACGTTGAATTCGAATTAAAAATTCGAATTAAATGTGCGAATTCGCAATACAAAATTAAGCCAAAATTTACGAGCACGCAAACTCAGCAACATGTTGCTGTTGTTTAAAGGTGTGGGTGGACACGTGCCAAAATGAAGTGAAACGGGTAGACCGTTAAGGGAACTTCAACAAATACTGTAGATTTTAGAAGGAAGTGTTTCCACAATAACAAATTACACACTTTGCACCAGTAGGTGAGTCATGCGCAGTGTCGTCAGGAGAACTACAAGAACTTTGAAAACTTAAATGTAATAAGTATTTTCGTTTTGTGGGCCTAGGATTTCAAAAATTAAAGTCACTTAGAAGTTTTTAATTAATCCTTTTGCTTTTGATCACTTTGTATTTAGATATGTGTAATCTCTCTGTATATATTTTGAAAGAATGTTGTTGTCATCGAACGTAACTTCAACAAGTAGTGAAGTTGGGGCCAAATCCGAGTTCACACAGTGCAATTATGTCAGTGGGAAGGTATACTGCGGATATGCCTGCACAAGTCAAAATAAGGCTAATCAGGGCGCAGGCGTCGGACTTGTTCGGTACGTTGTCTGGTACTCTCTCACTTAAACTCGGCATCCTTCAATGAGATTCTCAGCATCCTACAGGCCGTTGTTGGAACAATCTGGTGTAGGACGACTCAAAAAACGCAACTCGCATTTACGGGAACTAGCTGCTGAAATCGAGAGCGCAGTCAATTCAGTTTGGTTTTGACGTAACGGTCGGAACGTTAGAAAATCGCGTTAAGTCTCAGTTGTACGGAGGAAGTGTCACTGTATACAATAGGGTATTGGAAGATACTAAAAACGCATGACAGGGTGTGTATACAATAATAAATTGTCAAGTTTGTGAATAAGAAACAAAACATTGCAAACATGCCAGTTAATTCTGTCGTAAACTACAGGCCTAATGATTTTCTTTTGCATTGGAACTCGTCCCATGATGGCAATTCCACCTAGTCGCCACTGTAGTCCACAACATGATTTTAATAGCTCTAGGTTCCTTATAACATAAATCCATATTAGTTATCGCCCCACCCAACCTGCACTTATTTGTTCATTCGGCTCTTACTTCCGTCCAGTGATTTTGCATGTGTGGATATGTTGGTTCTAACAAGCTATGTCGAGTCGGGTAAGAGAAAGGTTTTGACTTAATGCATTGCCTTCGCATCCTTCACAGCCACACCCTAAAATGAGAATTTTTTGCATTGGCAACTATCTAAAGAAGCATAACAACAGCTCAGATAAAAACAACAAATAATTATAATTGGAAATCACCGAGAAGCCAGTAATTTGTATAGATGCAATAATAAATCAACCATATCACGTTATCTGCATGCTGGGACTATAAATCTTAACATTTTTTTTTTTAATCTGCAGCTTTCGGAAAAAGGAGGCTTATCAATCCCGGCCGGTTTTCGTAGATTTGTGCGTATTGTATAAAGGATGACCACAGAAACTTTTTTGGACTTCACGTATGAGCGGGGAAAGGTGTCAAAGCGGTCGCTAAGGCCAAAACTATTAAAATTGACTGATGTGACGATTTCGCAACGCAGTCGGAAAAAGAACAAAGTTAAGGTGAATCTACAAACTTTGAAATCAGCGGCTTCTGTTTAATTTTTTTATACTTTAGAACATAACTAAATTATATATATTTTCTTTTACCTTTTTTTTTAGACAAAAGACCGCTCATCTACTTCAGTGCGCGATAGAATCTACGATGATCCTGCCTACACCGAGGACATAAGCCACTTGGCAAACCCTATGCGCCGCAATAGCATTTCTGGGAAGCCATTTTCAGAACCCAAGGGTTGGTTAGAGACTCGCGGCCAAAACTCGTCGAGCAGTCTGTTGACAAAGAACCAATTGTCCAAGGAGCTCCATCAATATGTGGCCGGAAAGCAGACCAAAGTCAAGGCAGCTTCCGGCAGCACCGCTATCTGCTTAAATTACGAGTGCGATTCAAGCAGCACCGACAATGAGACGCTGGAGCCAAGCAAGAGCAGCATGACTCGTCGGGTGCGCAGTCTAGAACGGAGTCTAATCGCCACGGCCACAGAGAGAATGGAAAAGAAAGGAACGAAGCGGAACTCAAAGCAGAAGCGGAACCTTAGCCTGGACAACAGACGCCATCTGTCACCAGGTAAACGGCAACGGGAGGCGGAAGTTGCGGCCAAAGACGTCCACGAAGTTGACAATCGACCTCGCAAGGACCGTATTCGAAAGCACTATGGCGAGGGCCCAAACGTACTAGACGACGGTTACTCTGCCCTTAGCTCGGCACACGACTCTTCCGCCACAGTACCTGCAGATCCAGCCGTTGACGCAGCAAAAGTTGCTATTGGCAAACGTTTCCTGCGCGGCGAAATTGGTATTAAAAGCTTTAATTACTATTTGCTTAAGGAGGGCTTGAAAAGCTCAAAAAAACTGGAGAACAAACAACGAAATCCGGTTGGTAGTGAAGAGGCACCTCTCAAATCTGAAAAACGACATTCCCGTAGCGAGGAGAACATCTACGAGGAGATTTTTTTCAAGGAAACCCCTAGCACGTCAACGGGGACGGGCACAGTGACCAGCATAGCAATGTCCGGTGCCTCTTTAACGCTCGCCAAAGATGGTCACGAAAATCTCGCCGTAACAGGTGCAACTCAGGCACATGGAATTAGTCCGTCCAACGACGGAAATGAAAGAGCTGCTAATGGTTTTGGAGACTGTGAGATATGCATGGAGCAGTGCAGTAAGGACAATTGCGAGTACTGCTTGGCACACATTGGGTCGGCGACTAGAAGCAAGCTAAAGGAGGTGCATGCAGAGCAACAGAGTTTCACCAACCAGAGGAACCAACAGGAGAGCAATATCGAAGCGCGAACATCGGGTGGTGCTGGGGTCGGATTGCCGGCGGCTCATATTCTAGAGTTTCAGTCATACAACCCCAATAATCCCGGCGTGTACAAAATCGAGACCACCCCAGTGGCCATAACAGGCGATTATAACCCAATACTCCAGTTCCAGCAGTCGTCGGCGACTACGTCAACCTCAGCTACCACTACGCCAAGCGAGCAACATCTGCAGCAACAAATTTATGGTGAACTCTATCTTCCGCACCAGCACCAAAGGCACTACCAGTCATCTATAGTTGGCAATCCGCAGCCGATTCACTACGCTGTGGGTGGCAGCCTGCTCTTGGCCCAGGTAACGGGGGCTGCACATGGCTCCGCCACCCCTCCTCGCCGACAACAGCAGCCTCACTTCATTGTGGGCTACCATAATGGGGTTGGGCCGGTCGCGGGCGCAGCTTCATTGCAGCGACTTAACGCGAAGTCGTCCTCCTCGAGCGACTCGCTGCCCCACCACAAATACAACACCATGGCGCGGCTCGAGGCGAATGTGTTCGCAGCACCGGCTTCTGGAGACCTTTACTATGCCGTCAGCGGGACGCAGCCGCTGCATTCGCTGATGTACGCTTCTAACCGACCCATTGGGGGATCCCAGATCCTGGTAGACCCCTATGACCCCCAGATGTACAAGAGCGACTCAAAGGCCTCTATTCTCAGCGAGTTCTCCCTTCGCAGCAGTGATAATTCCCAGCGCTACGCTCGGCATCCTCATCGGCGACATGGCGGGCGCATCAGTGATTCGAGTCTCTTTTCAGTGTACTCGACCTCTGGCCAGAGGCGCTACTTTGGTAGCTCGGAGAGCCGGTTCGGTTACGACTGCAGACGCTGCAGTCTAGATGGGGTCATCGGAATGGGCTCTGGGGCAGGAATATCCATGGCCCGTCCCGATAAGTGCAGCTATTCCGACAACTGCCGATACGAGTGCAGAAATTGCGATTGTTCGTCAAATTACTTTAGTTCAGACTTTGACGATGTGTACGGGTCCATTGCCCGGAGTGGCAGCAGTGGTATTCCGCGCAAGACTGCAGCAGGAACACTTCCATCTAGTGCTCAAGATGGGCTTATGGAGCGACTGGAAACCTCGCCGCCATCTATGGAGCATCAGCAAAACCCACCTCCGCTAGATCTGAAACAGAACAAATATGCCCAGGACTTTTTCAAGCATGTGAACGACGTGAAACGCAGCATATATCAGTCTGAGATGCAGAGAAACAATAGCTTGGAATCTACGAGGCGGGGTTCAAGAAGTGGTAGCAACTCGAACAGCAACACTAAAGCGAGTCCCAAACGCACATACTCCCAGGAACCCAGGCAAGAGCCTGTAGTGACCACCCTACCCTTGAGCAGGGGCCGACCGGCTGCAGGATTAAAGCCTACGCCTGCCCCAAGAACCAGTCTGCAGGCTCAGATTCCACCACCGGATAGTCCCGCAACGAGTAAGTGAAACCATAAAGATTGTTTAAATTAGTACATGTATGTTGTTTTAATAGAAGACCCCACGCTGAGCAAACGCAAAAGTCAATCGACAACGAGGAGGGAATATCCTTCTTTGGACAGACTCGTAGCGTCCTCGACTGGAACTATTCCCAAGAAGCATAACAGGACCACGGTGGATAATTTGCAAAGCCTAAACCCAAAGGCCAGATTTTCAGAAGCTCCTAACGTTGAGAAAAAAAATGCAAAAATTGAGGAACAGTTGACGTTACCTCTAGCCAAACGACATAACCGCTCGAGCGGGTCAAAGGCACATCAGAACACACCTGGTCCCAGTCCTCGCCGGAAAGACATTCCGGCACCTCCTCCGCCTTCTCCTGCGACCTATTCCGACCTTCAGGAGTTGAAGGCCAATATGGAGGGTCTTCAAGATGACACCAAGTCGCGAAGCTTGGACAGTGAATCTAACGAAGTAACTGCAGTTAAAGATAAGAAATCAGAGCCAACAATTTGCGTGATAGATGGAAGTGTAGCGGAGACTGATGACAACGACGTGTTTTACGATGCTTGCTGCGAGGACTCCGCCGGTATCACCATGGCTTTGGAGTCAAGTGTTGTTTTGAAAGAGGTAAGAGACAAACTTTTATTCCATTTGTTTTCATTTTGCTTTTATGCACTTGCAAAAGCCCGCTTGTTAAGTAGGGTATTTAAAATCGGCAAAAAAAGAAAAAGTAAAACGATATTTATTATTCGTTAATTCTGCAGGAACCGTCGCACACGACGACATCCAGGCGTCAACAGCGGGATATCGAGGCTAAAGAGAACCACAAGGCCGCAATTGACAACGAAGTGGCGCAATCTGACGGGAACTTCGAAGCCCCTCCTCCCGTAGCCGCTATTGCGGGCGGACCGAAAGGAATTGCCATCAATACTGCCAGCTTTGACGCTCAGTCTTCAAAACGAGCGCTCGGGAGCTCGGCTGAAGTGAACAGCCAACTGGACTCGCGCACGGGCATGGGCACGGGCCCCCCTTTCCCGTTCCCGCGCACACGCCCCCCTACGCACCAGCTACCGCCCGATTCCGTGGACTCGACTGTGGGGGAAGGCGGCGAAAGGACAAGCAAAACAAAAGACAGCAAGAAGGTCCGAGCGGAAGTTGTCCCCAGGCAACATGTTGGTCCAACATGTTCGGAGGGGCAGGGCACTCTCTCGCCAGCAACAAATGTTGCTCGCGGAATCTCACCAACAACCAACGCTGGCAAAAAGAGCGCCAGCAACAGCGCTGTGGAGCTGGAGATTAGTTGCAAGACGGGCAACACGGATAGCGCAACGCCAGCGGTGGCGCACAGGTACGCGACTTGGGCTAAGCTCAGAGCTCCAGCCTATAAGCCTATAAGGAGTAGCTTTAAGTGCCTGAAACTTGAACTTTAATGTGGCGAAAGTGAAAATGGAAGTGTAAACGTAAACATTTGTGCACGGCGAACACTTGTTGTTTGTGGCTGCTACCAGTACGGCCAAATTTCCTGTCCAGTTACCTCATTCTGTGCTTCGTGCTTCCCATATCAGAGGGTGTCAACCAATAAGTCAAAAGAGTGGCAAGTTTAAAATTACTATTAACACTTGCTTTGATTATAAGGCGGGTTAATTACGCTAGTGAAACTATTTGCATTCCGCGAGAGGGTAATCCTATGCGCCGCAGCTCCTGAGAGTTTTTCTGTGTGCCACACTTGGTATTACCTTGTATTAGACCCCCTCGAAATTTTATTTTTGATCAGAGCTGCTTTCCGATTGAACTCTGAGAAAACCTGACAAGATCAAATTCGTAATTTTTGTATTTTGCCGTGCCGATCGAACAATTATCTCAGCATCGAGAAACGTGAGTGTGTTACTTTAAGTCTTAAATCAAATGGTGAAAGCGTGTTAAAGGACTCCGAGAGCCAAAACAAATAATAAGTTAAGAGCTTATTAAATACGAATATCTCCTTCGTATGAAAGTATACTGTCCCACTGCTTTGAAGGTCTGTGATTGCTTAAAAACAGTGTCTTTAGGCAATAATTCTGATTTGATTTATATAAGCCACCGCATGGAAAATTCTATGCTTATATGGATGACAAACTAGAAATGGCTATTATCAAGTCAATTATTGCAGAACTTGCGATTGCACACCTGTATGTAAAAAATCCAAAGATACGGCGAACATATATAAATCATGTATACGTGTTCTTAGCTCATCTTGTGATGAATTACTTGAAACTACGAGCATATATTTCATTTATTAAATTAGTTTAGTGTGACACTCTGCGGCAACAGTGCTCTCGTGGCCCAAATTCCAACAAAAACTGTGCAATCAATAATTTTCGCAAAAAGCTTCACCTGCTGGCTCGTCCCCATGTAACGCAAAGCCCTTAATAGGAGACCGGCCTACATAAATCAATTTTGTCCTTTGTTTTCTTTCATCGTGTTGGTATTCAATCATTTACCCATATACTTATGTGTACCCACCCGTACGGTGAGCGATACATACACCCGCACTAAATTGTTTTGTGCTGGGAAAAAATCAAAGAAGAATAATTTCACGTCATCCTAGTTTAACAGTTCCATGTTTGGGTTACAATAAATTTATTAAGTACACCAAATATTGGGTTGTCTAATAAATACCACTAATACATTTTCAATCGAAGTCTGAATTGAATCGCGTTTGTTCAAAGCGCAGCTAATTGAAAACAAGTTCCACTTGCAATGCGGTACAAAAGCGAGAAAAGCATACCATGGCCAACGGCAAATCAGAAACCACGGAGCCCGAATAGATACACTTTAGGCCAGTACATTTGCGAAATTTGTGACGACCTTCAAAACCTTCAGGCTTAAAATAAAAAGTTTGTAGGCATTTTGCAAATGACTTGCTGCAAATTGGTTGTAGCCAACCATTTAATAATTATAAGGCCGATTATCATAAACACGGCGCACCAATATGGATTGGAAAATGTGAAACTCGTTTCGTATAGTTGCAACTTCATTTGGTCATTGGCTTTTAGTCAATGCCGATGCAGCCTGAACAACGTTACCACATCTTTTAGTGCCGAAGAAGCAGCTTCTGAGCTAGTATAGCAGCTAGTTGCATTTGGACGCAGTCGAAAGTGCAAGTTGACTAACAGGTATGCAAGAAAATGCAATCGATTTACTAGTTGCCGTCCTCGTCCTCGCCTTTGTCCTTCTCTGTCGAAGACAAGTGCGGAACAGCGTGGTCGAAAACCAGTTTTATAATGCATGCCTCAGATGTAAGCGTACTTTTCTTTATTTACGATATCCAAACCGGCAATCACTGCTGCTCAATAGATACCGTGGTTCGGTGAAGAAACGCACAAACATCTTTTTGTGGAAACTTTTGTCCTCTTCGATGTAACGTACAAGTAAAAAAAAAAAACTAATACAACTTGTTTTGAAGTGAAACCACCATAGTGAGGGGTTGAAACCATTATAAAACTTTTCTGAGCTCGTGGCATATTAATAAAAAAGAAGGGAATATTCTTTCAAAAATGTAATTGGATTGATGGGCAAAAATCTTAAAAAAGAAAATATTGTTAACCATCAAAATTGATATTTTTTGTAAATTCTGGTAGATTGAACTTTCTGAATGAGAGTATGTATGTTATGCTCGTGGGCTGTCGTAGAATATAAGCATTGCCCACGCACTTAAAAATTCTGAACATTCCTTATACGTGTTGACCAAGAAAAATTAAAGAAATTAAAAACAAGGTAGTTTTACTATTTTGGCTTTTACTTTTCTTTTTTAAAGTTGAATATCTTTGTTAAGAGCCCTTTAAGCCATGGTATGTGGGTTTTCTATATATTTTAGAAAGGGTTAATAACATGCACACAAAAAATTTAAAAACTCCACGAAATGGCTTTTGATCTACAAAAGCTATCTTAAATATAGACGGACCGGGGCTAGAATTATTACCGAAGAATTTAGCAAGGCTTGCAAGAAATATATATTCTTTATTTAACAAACGCCAGCGTTTCCAGAATTAGACTAGGCGTATAGCGCCCACACAAAAAAAAATTCAACAAACCGAGGCAACGAACCGAAGATTTTATCGCTTTTTTTCGCTCTTGACCGTTTTGGAATGACAAGTTTTTAAGTGAATTCATATGCCCAAATTCGGGCGTTGAGGTTGAACAGATTTTTTTTTGGATTTGTGTTGTAAACCTCTCAAGTTGTAGCATCTTTTGTTAGTGTTCTCATACCTATAAGCCCATAAGTTTCTCCCCCTAAAAATCTAACACAACATAGTAGGTACATAAATGCATTGTCATCGTAAGCAAAAGCATCTTGAGCATGCTTTGTGTCTTCCGGAAATGGCCGACGAAAACTGTCTCGACGATAAGCCCGCAAACTCTTTTGTCGATAAACTGTCACTGACCCTTCCTCGTACATATAATACTTGCCTGATATGTTGACGGACTGGTTGCCCTAATTTAAAGCCAAGCTGTATAGATAATCTTCATCTTCAAACACCCACCCTCACCTTGCAAATTTACTAGTTTCTTATTCTCGCCGTTTGTTTTTTCAAGTAACTTTGTAATATTTATTCCCACTTCATTTTAAGTTCAGGGTCAAGTGTAGGCAACTTTCGACTTCTTTTTAATAGACTTGGACCATAGTCGGGGCCCATAAAATTCAGAGTTTTAGCAAATGAAGGCCTTACGAGTGCCTGCTATGGCTGCTTTTCGTTTAGTTTCCACCATCTCCACCCTGCGCAGCGCTTAGTTGTCCACTGGTTAGCCACCAGCGATGGCAGCAACAAGGCAAAGCACTTACAGGTTGCGAAGCATTAAGTGCCTGCAGTGCAAGCGTTTACTGCTGCATCTGTCCAGATGTCAACGACATTCGGCATTCCATTATTTCGTTATTCGAGCACCGGCACTTGGCCTGGCCAAGTGTCAATCTTCTCCTAACATTTGGGGGTTATTAGCCAAGGATCTGTCATCGATGACAGCGACAATTTTGAATGATTCGTTAAACCTAAAAAACCTTTACACGCACGCCTTTTACAGCGATCAGACATACGAAGAACCTCTTTGTGCCACATCTACAGAAAATAAAACGCAGCCGAAACCACGGACACGGCAGGACTTCGCCTGCCTCGATTCCAGCGAGGCACAGTCGGACGATAGTCACCTTACACGCGATTCCATTACTCGGGAGTCCCAAAACGATGAGCTTTCTTCCTCGACTCTCGAAAAACTAGACGTGAGCACTCTACCGCTTCCCGCTCTACCCAAGCGGCGTCGCACTCGCTCTCGCACCAGTCCCTCAAAGCATCTGTATCAGCGGCAGCAGCACCAGCAGCAACAGCAACAGCAGCAGCAGCAACAGCAACAGCAGCGTCATGAAGCCGTCGAAGATGTCAGAGCTGTGGATGAATCGCCCACAGCAGCAGTCCAACAGAAACAGCAACTACAGCTCAAGCCACGACACCGAGCAGTCACTCCGGAGTCGCAAATTCCAGACTTAAGTGCGCCGAATAGCAACGAAGCCACTTCGCAGCAGGAGCAAGCACATACACAACAGCAGCAGCAGCAGCAGACACACCTTTCCGCCTTTCAGCAGTACGTCGCCAAGCGACGAGAAAGTCTTGAGGCATCCAACCGCTGTTTCAACGAGAAGCTGGAGGCGCGCAGAATGCACTACCACATGGGGGGCAGTGGCAGTGGCAGCAGTATCAATGGAAGCCCTGCCGCCACCCATTTGACGATCTCAACCGGTCCCAGCGAAGTGCCGACATATCTTTTTGGGGAACACGTCCACGTGGTTCCCGGCTCAGGTCGAAAGCCGTTATCGCCCGCCGCCAACAAGGAGGAAATATTTTTGAACAAGTCTGGTTGGGTGCAAGTCAACACGAAGCTTGGGAGGGGAAACAAGGATAACAACTATGGAGGCTATCGCCTTCTCAACTATGGGCAACAGAATGGGGGACAGGTTCTTCCTGACAATGGACGTGGGCGAAGTGCGGCTTGGGCCGTTCATCCGGATCACGGACGTCGCCTGGACCTGGCACGCCAGTCATTTGTACAACAGCATCAGCAGCAGCAGCAGCGTTCTAACGTAAGCATGGCTCAGCCAAAGTTTGTCGGCTCCAAGGTGGAGGAGCTTATCCAAAGAAATGAAGCAAGAGTTATCGGCTACACAGCACGGGATCCTGCACTCCGACCGGGCTACCGAATCCTCGATCCCCAACTGGCAAACATCCTTAACGAGCGACCAGGCTTTCTGCCAGTGAAGAATAACGAGGTGGACTCCCCCATCACACCAATTCTATCGCCCCCACCCGCTTTCCAGGACAACAGCCGGAGTCTGCGGCATCAGGACCGTCGCAAACCAGTTCGACAACAGGGTCCCCTGCCATCGACTGTGCCCCTCCAACCGCAATCCCAGTTTGACTCCCAGAATGCCAATGCAGTTTCCGCAAAGGGAATGGTTTTCTCTCGCAGTTTTGAGTATGACACGCGGCGTCCTACACCCACGGACAGCTATGTAGAGACGTTTTCCCGCAGCTTTGACGGAAACCTGTCGGAGCGCCCGCTAAACCTGGCCGTTTTGGCGGGTTATCGGTCGCCAAACTTCAGCACCCTTACTGGCAACTCCCCCAACTATCTAACGAAGCGGGAAAGCGGCGGTGGTAGCAGTGGGTCCCTCAGGAGCCGCGACAGCTCGCCGAAATATCTTCACCCACAGGCTACAACGGGTTACTTGAATGCCGCTGTGAAGGAGTCGCCGCCCGTCAGTAACATGGTTTCCAGCAATCAGGCCAAGTATTCTCCGCGCTCCAGACATGAACGGAGTTCTGAACGTTCAAAGAGCCACGTCCTCGGGCGTTCTCGTAAGTCGCAGTTTGGCCGAGTGGCTAGCGCCGGACCTCCGCCAAAGCAGTCGAACCTCAGCAATTATGGAGTCTCGCGCTTTAGAAGCTTCGATACGTCCAAGAGCCAGCGACTGAATTCCTGTGACAGTGGCGCGAGATCAGGTGAGTAAAAAGCAAATTTTACTTACTGTTCATTTTAGCACTTAATTTACTTAACAGATCTTTCCAATGACGAGCTAGACAACGAGGATGGCGGACTGAACGAGTTTCTTTCTGCCGACAACCACAAATTTGGCAAAGTCGGAACAAGTATTGTCAACATCTCGCCATTCAAGGTTCAGCGCCAGCGGTCTCTAACTCCAGATCGTAACGAGTCCCAAAGCTCATCTAGCAGTTTGAGAAAGCAAAGATCGCTCACCCCCGAATCCCGGTCCTTGACTCCCGACGAACGGCGCAAGAAGGGTTCACAGCTCTCCTTAAGCAGCTCCCGTCAGAACTCTAACTCAAGGAGCAGCGCATTAGAGGCCCGACAACGGCACGAGGACAAGATGCCACTTAATATATCGCGCAGCTCCTCCAGCTCCAGTTACAGTGGAGGCGACACCCGGGAGCCCCCTAATGCTATCACCAGCTCGACAGTAACGAACTCGGTAGCTGTTTCTGGAAGTGCTTCCACCACCAATCGACGAACGATATCCGCTAAACAAGCGGAGCAGGAGCACCGCATTCGACGATCGAGGTCAGTGAAACACACACAAAAAATCATTAGGAAATTTTCATTTATTCTATTAATTAAAGAGTAAATTCCTAATTTTCCAATTAATTTAAATTATTGAAACACGTTCTCAATAATGTCAGACTTTTTATGTTTCCTGTGCCTTGCAAGAAAAGGGGCTTTTTTTAAATGTGTCATTTTTTGGCTCTACAAGGGGAGAACCTGCCTTAATAATGGTCGCATAACTTTTCTTCGAAAGCCCAATACTTGTATAATTGCCTTATAAATTTAGCAAGTCGGTTCATCCCAGTTTAAAGACAAATTCAATTTTTTTTAGATCGTTGCAGCTAACCGAGCGCTCTCCAAATCGAACGCACAAATCTATTGCTAACGTAGGGACTGTTGTATCCACCCAGCAGCAGAAACAGAATCAGGCTTCAGGCGCCGTTCACCAGCAGACCCGCTTGTCAGGCGGAGGAGGAGGAGTCTTTCCTCCCACCATTCGTGCTCCTTCAACGGGGCATGCCAACACGCCTGCACCGGCCAGCAACTCTGTGCGAATGCGTCAAAACGAAGTGGATAAGGCGCGATCTTTCGACTTTGACTTCAACTCATACCACCGCAGTGAGGGGGCAAAAGGCTCGGCACGATCCGGGCTCACAAGTGGCAGCGGAGGGGACAGCTGCAGCAACCTGAACGATCGTTCGAAGAGGGAGCCGAGCTCCTTCGACGACGACTTCTGTGGCGTAGTGCTGAACAACAACGCCAGTAATGGCAGTAATGTAAGCGGACTGCGTCTCTTGCAGTCTGCCACCGACTCCGTACACGTGTCGTTGGGCTCTACGTCCGCTTCTCGCCTGCGCAAATCTAATTCGCCCGTTAACGCCTCCAACGTGGAAGCCTCCCGATCACCTCAATCATCGGGATCCTCGACTAACAACCTCCACCCGCCGTCAAGGCAGTCGGGAAGCCCCCAGAGCTACGGAACTCGCTTGTGCGACCACGAACTGACGTACGAAATGCTGCGAAAGTCGCCGATCATGAACTTTCGCCGAGAGGACAGTAGTGACTACGACCTGCCTGTGTTGCTGCGAAACCGAGAGACAATCAACTCCGGCGGCAACAGCGAGCTCAATTTTATGAGCAACGAAACGCGAATTTATGAGCACCCGACAACTGTGCTAAAGCCGCAGCGCTCCCAGCGCCAAAGCCCAGGGTCACGGGATGACCCTCCCCTGGAGGTCGCGGTCGGGGTGGGCGGCGACTTCACGTACAGACAGCAGGCACCCCAACCGCGTGGCAGCAACAGGTACTAAAAATTCTTTGGGTGTGAGGAAACACAGCAGCACAGTATCGGCGGAAACCACTGTGTAACGTAATAACCTATTTCCTGAACTAAAATGCACACAGGCTGAAGCCAATTACTACTTCTTTAACCGAATTTACTAACTCGATCTGAAAGATCCAAATATTTAAGAGACTGCTTATGCATAACAACTTATATGTATACTAACCGAATTTACGAGCCTTCCGGTGGTGGAAGCATTACTTCTGACATTAACTTTCTTTGGTTAGCGCCGTCCATACAAAAACACATGTACTTTAAAGAGGATCTGAAAGGGGATTGGTGTGTAGCAGATATCCAAATCAATGATCCCACCACTACTTCAATTAATTCGAAGTCCTGTGATTTGACTAGTTTCCAGAGTTTGGAGAACTACTAAAACCAAGAAAGTTCCCTTTCTGTGGGCTTAACTTTTTCGTGTTGTTTCATAGCAGTAACGTAGAAACCCCAATAACGGCAACCACAAAAAGCTGCAGCAAAACCTTGGAAACCTGCTACTATTGGCCTCGCTGCGCAGCCTGCCAGAAAAACAGGGATCCGGGAGGAACGAAGAGAGACCAGCCAGTGCCCGGTGTGTCTATTAGCGAGCTGGAGCCTTTAAAACCCCACGTCACCTCTGTGAGCGTTAACAAAGGCATTGCGGTCCTGGGCGCAAGGCGTCGCAGTTCCAGTCCATCATGGACATTCTTGTGTAGCGGTATCGCGGATATTGACCATCCTATCAAACAGACGGAAGCCGAGGAGCGAGTGCCCAAAGTGCTGGCAGAAGAAATTGTGCGCAGGTGAGTTTCGTTTAGCAACATCTGAAGTTAAGTGACAGTTTAGAACCAAGTCCTCCTGCCTCCTTTAAATGGCGAAGCCATTAGCGATTGACGAACTGTGGCAGGCAAGCTCGGAACAGGGGGTCCACGTTCTTGAGACATGACAGATTACAATGAAAATAAGTGGAGAAAGCAGAATTAGATTGGATAACGTCAATAATGGAACAGTCATCCATATGATATTTTTACTTTTTCAGAAACATCCAGAGGGGGCAGGAAGAGCGCCCGAAAGATGTAAGCGTCAAGTGCCGCAGGAGGAAGCGCAGTCGGTCTCTGCCAAGTTTGATAATGAGAGGACCTCGAATTGTGGGGTAAGGCTTATACGTAGAATATATGTATGTGTTCTTGACCAGGATCACCATCTGAATTAATTTACTTTTGTCCGTTTGTCTGTTTTCATGTGACTAGTTTCCTCTTGCTAAAACCATACCAAAGGTTTTGTAGGTATTGCACGCAGTAATAATAAGTATTTATCATGAAGGGATGATTTTTAGCAGATGGTTATATCTTACGACTTTTGAATTTAGAATTAAATTTCATGAAAATTGGATAACTTTATCATATAACTGTTATAGGAATGATCGAAAACTTATAAAACTTTAATTAATTGAAAAATATTATCTTATCTAATATTTGGAACGACGATCGAAACAAAGAAAATTGAGTTTTCCAACGACGTTTGAATTTCGAATTAAATTTGGCGAAAATCGGACGACCATATAAAAAAAATTGAGGTAGCTTCGATGTTGTTTAGAATTTATGCATATTGCTTGACTTTAAGCAATTCGTTACAGAAATGGATATTTAAAAATGATTTCTATATTGAACGGACTACTTTATTATCAAATCAAATCCTTAAAATAGCCTATATACATTTCAAACTGCAAGGGGGGGGTATACAAGCTTCGGCTCTCTCTTCCTGTTAGTAAAAAAAAAATATGCAAATAGTGGCGTCACAGCCTTCCGTGTCGTGCTTTTGAGTTCAGCGGCCTACAGGCACAGATTTCAAACTCGTTCCTAATCGGCTCTGCTCCTGGACATCCCACTCCCATATCCATGCTTTCAGTTTCTTGGTCCATAAATAAGCAATGAAGCCCTCTATTCAAAACAACGTTTGTTCGTGCCGGAAGCATCCAGCAAAACCAACAGGCTAGCTTTATTGACAGACAGTGCTTATGTTGAGGAATTTCTGAGAAACGTACGTTTTTAACGTTGGAACATTTAAAGTAAGTGACTTATACCCCCACAACTTGGGACAACCTTAATAATTTGTTTGAATTTGCGGCGTATAAGATCGATGACAGGAACCTGGTGTGATTCTTGGCTAAATCGTAATTTCTTGTCAGATTCGGTATATTTTACTGGCTTTGGTATTTATTTTACCCTCACGCTTGGTCACACTGTCAACACATATTTAAAAAATAACAACAGATCGATGACAAGAACCTGGTGTGATTCTTGGCTAAATCGTAATTTCTTGTCAGATTCGGTATATTTTACTGGCTTTGGTATTTATTTTACCCTCACGCTTGGTCACACTGTCAACACATTAAAAAAAATAACAACAGGCGAAGTAGACGCTTGCAAAGATTGTAAAAAAAAGAAAGATGCAATTAGAAAATACAGCAAAAGAGTGTGTGTCCTAACACCCCCGTCAAAAAAACTTAGCTGCTCGTGGTCGTATACGAGTTCACACTTGGGAATTCCGTAGAGCCCAAGTTATGCAAACGTGAAAGTATTCAAACTCGGTATCCAGTGTCAATTAAACTCGGTGAAAACCGTGCACTTGTGAAAAATAGCCGCATCGCCGGTCGGCAAACCCCGAACGTGGGCGTTCGCCTGTGTGTATCCGTGGGTATACGTACCGCTGGGCAGAAGCCAAAATGTATGCCAACGCATAGGAGACAGAACTACGCAAATAGCTCATCAAAGCAAGAATCATAAGTGAAAATCAATAGCACCAGGCAAAGCCTAAGCGAACAAAGTTTATTACGCAAAACGACGAGAACTCATGGGCAAAAATGTCTACAACTACAATAGGTTTGCCCCTTGCTGCGCAGACAAAGGATGCTGAAATGCAGCAGGATTGCGCGCCAGCAGCCGAAGCAATCGAGTCCGAGGACTATCTCGTCGGGCAAGCGGGGGCCGAGGATACCAAGGTGGCTGGATCAGATAGTGGGCGTGACTCGGCTACCGAGTTCGAGGGTGTCGCTGAGGAGTCCGCCCTTCTTACGGTGGAGCAGAGGGAACCTGCTAAAGGAAGTGGCGATGTTCAAGCCAGCTGCTGCTCTCAGACGACCTGGTATTTGGCCGTGGAGGACTCGCCCTCTCCGCCCACGCCAGCCCCATTGCAGGAACTCAACAAAGATTGTCCGGCGGCGGTTGGCGGAGGCTATCAAAGTGATCCAGCCCTTAGTCCGGCAACAAGCAAAAATATAGAGTAAGTTGTTGTGAAAGAAGAATCAGGCACATATTAAGATATACGTAGGGATAAATATATAGGTACATTTGAAATTTAAACACAATACTTCGAAAGCCAACATTTCTACATATAACTTTTTCCTTCACCAAATTGAAAAAGTGATGAAGTAAAGCTTATAACTTCGTTATTTTTTATTACGAAAGCATAGTTTTTTAAATATTGTTCTCTTTCTTGTTTTTCTTTGGGATTTTCCAATAAATACTGCAAATCAGAATTACGATAGTTAGCAAAATTCAGAATTTGTCTGTCGCTTGTTATTAATTAAACTTCCCATGTGATATTATTTTCAGTGAAAATTGAATCAAATAATTGCTTATTGGCAAACTCTTTCCCCAATATGTTGAGTAAATTTTTGTTTGCGCGAATTAATAGCACGATAGCCACTTTGAAGTTTGCAGCTTGGATAAACACATAAGTATTACCACTATTTTCCACGGTAGCTAGACAAGTTTCGAAATTGAGTGAAATGTTCAGCGATCGTAAAATATGGGCAGCGTCACCTCGCGCAGCGGAAATTCGGAAAATAATGTTTTATTAAGTTGCATATACGATTCCCAAAGGAGTGGAGGCCTGGTGAAAGTTATATCGCTAGAGAAGCCACCACATCTGCTGACCATGCGTTGTTTTGATGCTACCCGCGCTCTATTTTCATTACGTTTTCGTTTCACTGTCAGTCAAAACAAAAAAGTTATGCAGTCAATATCTCCTTGGGTAAATAAGACATTAGGCTGCAACTGCTGCGAAATAAACCGTGCTTGTAAATAGTGTAATGCCAGTCCCGGTGCCTCCACCTCTTCCGCTGGGAGGTCACCCCCAGCCACGACAGGGCGGACGGCAGAGCGCAAAGCTCCTCTCGCTGGCGGTTGGAGTACTTGTCACTGTAGGGAAGCAGCTCTGACAGCTGACGGCGTATCTGGCTGTTGGTTAGAAATCAGATGCTAGTAGTTGCTCACGGTAAAAGCTTTTTCGCAGCTTGACGTTTTCAGGCCAAAGATGCATTTACAATGCGTTGGCGTGCCAGTTTGGGCAAAGTCTTAAATGAAACTCGGCTAATGGTATATTAATTAATATTATTCACGGCTGGAGAGTTGGGTGGTCATTAAGCACATCTCCTTAGTTAATTCGTTTTGGCTCCGTCTGTCATTAATTAGCCACAACGTTTTATTCCTGCCTTTTTCTACTTTTCCCTACATAAAAGTTGTACGTATTTCAGTACTTTTCTTAGGGTATACAAGGGATCGACTTATTATCAACCTGTAGAGTGGAAATTAGTTTTTTGTTTTGTTGCGGAAATTAAAAGCTAAAAACTGAAAACATTGTTGAAAAGTTTTATCTGTAAAACCATCGACACAAAGGCAATTATCTGATGACTTCATTTCGGGTGCCAGCGATCAAGTTTTACTAAGTTTTACTATAAGTTTCCGGTGATTTTAGAGATAGTGAGATATGCAAATGCAGTTATTTTTAACTAAAGTCTTGGCTCATGTGTTGCTTTCTAAAGGAAATAAATGCTATTGATGTTATTGAATGTTATACAGCTACAAAGCCTTTATCACTTACGAAATCTCATGTGATCACTGATCAGTCACAAGGAAGAGTGCAGCACTGTCTAATCCAAAAGCAGATCTTTTCCACCCCGTCTAGCCATTAACAAACAAACAAGCTGCCCAGCTGTTGTGTGCGCCCCACTCTTCGTCAACGTGCATCTGCCATCACTAATAGTTCCTTGGTTGGGTTCTATTTATGAAACGTTCATCACTATCAAAAGAGAACTTCTATTTCGAGCGTTCGCCCTCTGGATTGTATACAAATATGTACATATTTTACCTTGTTGCGCCTACCTTATAAGTGAAGTGTGTGCTCCTATTCTTTTTACTTAATACTCTTTACACTTCACTTCCTAAAAACTGGTTGTCGGCACACGTTTGCCGAGGTTCAGACATGGGCAGGTGAATGATCTCTTAGTTTGCCTAGTCCCACAGTGTTTTCTTCGGTCCTTAAACTAAAAGCAAGTGATTACAGCTTGCGTAAGTAGCTAAGCTCATTCAAAGACGTGCAATTTGACCTTTACGCAGACCTTTGATTAAGCTTTTGAACTTCAGCTATAATCAATTCCATCCCGCAAAGTGAGCACTGTTTGAATTTTAATAATCTGTTTATCAGTGAATCTTTTAGAGTATTGCCAATTACTAATATTAAAAGAAAACCTATATATATTAGTTTATATTTTATTGTATAGTTATAGCGCAACTCAAAATATTTTTGTCATTTGGTAAAGTACCTACAAAGTTATTCGCCTGTGTAAATGTGTATATCTCATAGCGCTAAAAAAGCCGGTCTCAAAGTGCGGAAATGGTAATCTTTTACTAATATGGACGCTATGTAAATTGATCCCCTATTTTTAAGAGTTAAATACATTATATTACCACAAAAACAATTATGAAGGAATCCGATAACACTTAAAAGTTATGCACTTAAAATTTAGTAACAGGTCGATTAAAACCACGTCACTATGGGGAATTTTATTTCCATTCAAAAAATAGTCTTTGTTCACAACTTGATTACACTGCAACTTGTTTGTTTGTCTGCCTTCAAATTGCACTCAAATGGTTATCGCGAATGATTCGTAGAATCTATCTCACCGATGATAAATCTTATTTTTTCATTCGGCTGTACGAACCAACTGTAGTTGGCCACTGTAAGGGCCACCGTCAGTTCGGCCAACGTTGGCCCGTCTTTAATTAAAGCGGCAACAGGGTTTCCCCCTAATGCAACTTTCATCTCATAAATATGCACACGCAAATTCCATTCCCACTCGTATCCGTGAATTATTATATGAAGCTTTTTTATGCGCATGAAGCGGTCTTTTTAAGGGGGGTAAAGTTTTAACAAATTATTTTTTCGATTTTTGTTTTTTTCTAAAAGAGCAATATGTTGAGAACATTGTGTAAAAATTTTGAGTTAATTAGAGTCAAACTAACGGAATTACAGCGTTTTAAACGACCGAATTTGGCCGTATTTTGACATACAAATACTTTAATTCGATTTTTCGGAAAACGTTATTTTGAAAGTCGGTGAACATCAGAACTCAAAATCTACTGAACCGATCCTTTTCAAATTTTTAACACAAATTCTCCGCATAAATACGAAGGTAATTAGGAAGATTTTTTTAATTTAATTTTTTTTTTTCTATTTTTAAGAAATAAACAGCGATTTTTTGAGCTAAAATCGCACTTTTCTACTCTTCCTGATTACCTTGAGAATTTCATTATCTTTACAGCGCATATCACTTTTTTTAAGGTAATCCGCAAAACAACTTTTTCTTTAGGCGCTTCGGAAGATTAACAGCCACAGGCTTATTTCTAAAAGATTTTTTAATAATTTTTTTTTCTAAAACTCTTCAAAAGTTGAACAATAACTTGTAATTAAGCTCAATAAAATAAAACTACTAATTTCGCAGCAAAAAAAAAACAAATATAGACCTTTTTGCCCTTTAAAACGTTGGATCCAGTCATAATTGAACGAACTTATATTTTACGAGTCATACAGGCAGAACTCTGTAGATTGAACGATTTAGACACGCTGACGAAGCGGTTCTCTTGAAAAGTGTAAGTGGTTAGGCCGGCCTTGCACCGACGTACCGCTCAGCTTGTTGTTCTTATTGCGATTTATGTTGGGCCTATTTCGCTTAGGTAGTGCATGTAAATGGCAGCAACTCGTCGCGTAGCAGCCTACCTGTCTGCTTGCCACATTCGCCTGTCCACGCTGCAGCAACCGGTTTGCAGTGGAGCTGCAGTTGCAGTTTCAGTTGCTGCACCTGCCTTCTTTACACACTGCCTTTGGAACACCCAAACTCAAGCTCCCAGCAAAAGCCAGATTCCCGACTTAAGCTTTGAATTGAAAATTAGTTGAATTAAATTTCTAGCTTCTGGAATTACCTTCATTTTATAGATCTCAGCACCTGTTTAAAAAAAACATCAGATCGCAAAAATTCCGAGAGAACTTCCTGTTGTCTAGCCCCATATTGAGTTTCTTTTAGTAGAGGACTGCAGCATTTCCGGTTGAATTCGAGATTTAAATACAAAAAATGTGCACTGAAAATCTCAATTGGTTTGAAGCTAAAACTATTTTAAGTTTTGTTTGTATTCAAAAAATACCTCAAATTTTACCGCCGCCCTGGCGGAATGCAAGCATTTTAAACTCCTTGGCCATATTAGGAATACTTGCCAGGACAGCAGTGCACAAATCCTTTGCTCGACGTTGATTTCTATTACTAGCCGATAGATCACGTTAAGTATGTTAGTATTACTGTTAGGGGAAAGAGCTCAAAAAAGCAGCTGGCAAGACTCAAAGCCGGTTTTGCGCCAGCAACGGCAGATGTTACTTGCTCCCACTTCAATGACTGACCATTATTCTTCTTGAGCTCTTTTTTGATTTTGAGCAACTGCTGATCGTTAAGGGATGGACCTGAAATAAACAGCTGTCGTAGCCTAAACATCCACCATCGAACTGCATCAGTGTTGTATGCAGACCAAACTCACTCAAACTCCTTCCCCTACTCGTATTTTCTTTGCTGCGAGGTTGAGTGCACTGAGCACCTGGGTAGCAAAAACCCTAAGATAGGATCAGTCTGTCCCTGAAAAGTGAACCGAGCACACACGCTAAGCAGGACCCTTTAGTTTTTCGGGGAAATTTAGAATGCAACTCAGCTTGAAAACTCTTTGTGAAAAAGGTGCAACTGTTTGATTATGGTTACGTATCACGTACGGTCAAGCCTGACTCAGTTTAGGGTGCCACAGTCCGAATCGACTGGTCCGGCAACTGTTAAGCGCGGCAAAGGGTCGAACGCAGACACCAATACCAATATGAACATAAAAAACCCGCATAAAAATGATCGTGTGAAATCGTCACAACTATGCCAGCAAAATTTGCCCAGGAAGCGGTTTATTGGAATTGATGGTCGACGGTTAAAAACTTTACAACGGTAAGATCATTTTCCCAGAAGAGGGATGAATGGAAAAAGACAACGAGAGCATTGCGAATGTCCGACCGGTCTTTATAAAAACCAATGCTCAACGAGGTAACAACCAGGGTCAGTAGCTCGCTTTGTGATGCACACTGAAGGCACAAGACCTTTAGGCTCAGAGGCCGAGCACTGCGAGGATTGCATTCCTTAAATGCTTTCCAGATTAAATCCGATCTTTGTGGTGAGCACGCAAAATACCCATGGCCTGCTGTCGCTGTACAGCCTGCAGCTTCGAAGAAATCTCAAGTAAGAAGCTGGCAAATGGCGGGAAAACTGTGCTAGAGGAAGTCTAAGGGACCGAAAACGCGAACTGTGCTCTCACAGTTTTTAAACAAGAATCCCTACCGGCACCCTATCCTCTCTCTCTGTGCGAGAGAGGATAAAAATGGGTCTTTCCAGGTCTTTTATGGTTGTGACATGGGCCTGTTTGATTTTATTGTATGCACGGAATTTCCAAAAAATTTGGTGTTTGCTAACAATAAGCACACGGAAATGGAATTGGCAAGTTTACTTAGGATTCGGTTCGCGCAGTTTGTTTCCGTCTTACCTCCGCCGGCAAAGAAAAATCCTTTTCCTGCCTTATTCTCTAGTGTAAAATTTACCTGAAATAACTCCCGAATATTTACTCTTACCCGCGAATCCACGAAAGAACCAGTTGTCTATGAACTCTTTTAATTGTTTTGGGCACTGATCCACTCCGCCGACAATGGGTCGAACACCAAGCTCAAAAGACCTTTTTACCTGAAGTCGGCGGCGCTAACATTTATGTAATTCTGTTGACTACCGTTTTCTTGTAAGTAGAATCCAAATTCCTACTTATCAGAGTTATTTTTTTTGTACATTTTCAGGAAGCCCAAAACTGGACAACTCGCAATAAAGACGGGCAGTGGATCTGCTGTGGGTTTGGTAAGTAATAAAAAGACTCTTATTTCGCATAATACTTTTTAGGAATATTAACTTGGTTCCGAAAAATCTTTGTAAGGCTAGCATGTGGGAAACCGAGCGGAATGCTAACACAACGGTTTAAAATTACTAGATCAGCTGACATTCTTTTTTAAATAAATTTATTAGTTAATGTTTTTGTTTCGGAAGGAAGATCGTCGAGGTTAAGAATATGCTTTCATGTTTTTTACCGTCCCTCTATTTTAAAGTAGCGTCAAATATGTAAAACTTCCATAAATCTGCATATGCAGTCGATGAAGGCTAGCATTCAACTTCAACCATTAATTTGTACAGCTCCGGAAGCTCAGTTGATTAAGCTGTGTTGTGGCAAAGAGTTCAGTAGACAGTTTTCATTAGTGTCCAAGATGCTTATGTTATTTTATATAATACATTTTCCAATGACACGGATCCTATTACAAGCCATCAATGGCGCAACCGCAAGACATAGCACCAATTATAACGATAGGGACTATTCCGCCCAATGAATGAACTGGCCACCCTGCTTTTTGAAAGTCTTCCAACGCAACCGCACCCAAGGCGAGCTGGATGTCACAGCTGGCTGGGCGCTACTGAAGCCCGTGAAGGCTTATCAAAAGCCGTAGATGAACCCGAAATGTGATCCCTGCCAGAGGTAGTCAATGCAAGAGCTGTGACGGCTTCGCCAATTAAACTTTGTAGCCACTAAGTTGAAGTAATGCAAAATAATGGAACCACAGTAACGAAGGCTCAGGACTTAACGGCAGCCCATTTAATGAGAAAGGTCTTCCGTTTTGCTTTTTTTTAACGCTAAATTTTGTACATTCGAATCTCTGATATTTTTCGTACGCAAAAAGTACTGAAAAAATTTTATAAACTTGCAGAGGAAATTATAATTTTATTGAGATATTTGCAACGCAGTCATGAAGGACACATCATATACATATTCTTAATCAGCATCGACATCTTAATCGATCTAGACTTGAACGTCTGTCAGTTCCTATGTAAACCAGAAAAATTGTCTTTACTTCAATGTTGTTTAGCCTTTATGCATTTTGCTCGACATATGTGATGGCAGTTAGGGCTTAGGAACGTAGTAAAATGAGTTTCCAATTCTTAACCCCTTCGACATTCCGCTATTATTGCAAAGACTTTATTCCGCGTAGGTAATCTCGAGGCAAAAACTAATCACGCAAGACAAAGCATTCTAACTGCAGATTGACATTGAACGAGGCATTTGAATAGTAGTCCCAGCTCGGAGTCAACCAACAAGGTGGCAGCAGCTCGTGCTATAGCATGCGGGCACTAATCTAATCAACCACTTCAATCCAGACTCCCAACAATGGAGCTCGTAAATAGAGTCGATCTCGACGCCTTTATGTCCCTTGATGCGATATCTCCAACTACAATGGGCTGGCCACCAACTTACGACCGGACGACGACACTTGCAATTGTCAGTACTCGCGGGCCGCATTTGCAAGTCTTGTCGTCGGCGTTTTGCGGCCAGTTTCTAGTTATCGCTTCGCCCGGTAACACTTGCCGGTGCTGCTCGCAGAAATCCGTAGGGCCACAGAGGTCGCTATGAAGAAACTAATAATACCCACTCTCATGGACACCTATGGCCTGATCAAGTTTTGGGACTTCGACACGGGCGCCCCTGGAAGTGTATTGCAGACCGCCGGGGGCCGGGTTCACCTTTGCCTGCCTGTCGAAGATATTATGCCCGCCGAGCGCCGCTACACGTGGATACCTCGCCTTCTCCAGGTCAGCCTTCCGTGGCATACTCGTGCCCTGATGGAATGGAAGACTGATAACTCGGCGGTGTTTTTGACCTTGATCACGGCCCCTTTGTACACATGTGCTTCTCATATAAGTTCTGTTGTCAAACGAAAAGTAAAAACGATAAAAATGATTTACCCCCATTCGTATGTGCCGTGTGTATGTGTGTACATTTGATTTTCGCTCAACTGCCCTCCGCCAACTTTCTTATTGCAGACGTTTTCCCTTGCAATCAGGCCGTATCCCCATAGGCCATGTGGACACGCTGGTAGCCACAATCGCGAAGCATTTTTATCCTACCCATTCCCAATTCTACAGTCACGGCAACTGTTGCTGTCGTATCTTTGTTGTTTTGATCCGAACCCCAACGAATACGCGGTCACAAATAAAGCTTCGGAATGATAAGATATTTGTGGTTTTGCGTGAGAAGCCGCGTTGTGCTGAAGTCGAACCACTACCTTAGCGTAGTTGCATAGTTTCAGTTCTGCCCACGACCAGGGGCGTAGCCCCGCAACCAATATCAAGGATTGTGGAATAAAGAGTTCAGTAATGCAACTTGTTTCTTTTTCGCTTTTCTCCTTCGCAGTCGCAGCAGATGAGAGCCGTCTCTAGTCCCGCGCTGTCAGAACCCCTCTTGGAGGCACTGCCCCAGCAGCCCCTAAAGAGCTCGGATGTGACTGTCACAAACAGCAATGGCGGAAGTAGAGGCATTGTCAGTGTCGGTAGTGGTGGTCTCGGTGTCTTGCAGAAATTTAAGCGCACTCTGAACAAAATGCACCTTACTCAGCTGCCATCGGAGGCAACAGGCAGCAATCCGCCAAGGGCCAAGACATCGCCCATAGCACCAACCGTATCTATCACAGCTCCGGCAACAGTGACGATAGCCAGCGAGCCTCATACAGATGGCGGCGATGGGAGCTCCAATAAATACCGATTTGGGCCCCTTATTTGGCGCACTTCCAAGGAGCGGCGCAAAACGAAGTACAACCGACGCGACAAATGTAACTCCGGAGACTCGGGCATTCAGATAGAGCTCGATCAGGATGAGCACTACTCGCGTGTATTGGCGGTCAGCAGCCAGGGAGAAGCCGCTCCTGCTTCTGCCGCTGGGAACACAAGTGCCGCGGGCGCGAGTGTGCGAACAATCCGACGTACCAATTCAGCAAAGGCGAGCAGCATTTTAGGAGCCTTTGCGGTGAATACCAAAAACGATCTTCAACAAAGCACGGGCGAGTCTGACAAAATGGAACGCGAAGCTCCCGAGTCTCTGCCCACGCGATCGCTAAGCCAACCCAATGGCTTGGAGTCTTACGGCATGGGGCGCCTAAATCTTGACGACAGCGACAGTGACAGTGTCGCGTCGAACGAGGATGGTGAGTAAACAGCTTTAGGTGCAGACTGCATATACAAACTAATGTGGTGTCTCTTTGATCTTCAGCTGTCAGCTACTACCCAAACATCTATGCAGAAGTACTCTATAACTTCACGGCCGGCGGGCCTCAGGAGCTGGGTCTGGAGCGGGGAATGCTCATCGAAATATTGCGCAAGGAAGTCGGACCCTGGTGGTTTGGTCGGATTAAGAAAGAGGCGACCAATCTCGTGGAGGATATATTGGATCCTGAACTGGGCTGGTTCCCGAAAGAGTTCGTTCGCATCATTCACTGTCCTCAGACGGACATTTTCTTTAATGCCCACAGGGCTGCCGCTGCTGAAGCGGAGGCTGAACAGGCTAAATCTTGTGGAGAAGAAGGGAGCATTCCTGTTCCCGTTGCGGCGTTCCCTGGTGACACAGACGTCACCGTCACCACGGACCAAAGCAACGTCACTCTTATTGTTATTGAATCGCCGCCAAATCCGCTGAGAGCCTCTGATGCCGACCGTAGTGCCCAACTGGATCATATTACAATTCTGCGCCGAAGTGCTGTCCGCGAACTACTTGATACGGAAGTCAATTATGTCAAACTCCTGGCAGCCATTTGTGATGGGTAAGAGTGGAAATCGATGGAAAACGCTATTACTTGTAAGCTTACCTTGTGATCTGCTTTAGGTATCTGCCAGCCATGAGCAAGCGCATCGATATATTTTCGCCAAACAGTATTCGTTTGATCTTTTCCAACATAACGGCCATTTACAAGTTCCAGCGAAAATTTTTAGAGGCCTTGCAGCGTGGAGTCGAGCAAAATCAGATAGCTAAAGTTTTTCTTAAAATGGTTAGTGTTCTTTCATATTTTTTTTATATAATACTTCATATATTTTTGTGTACTTAGCACAAGGGTTTTTTATGCTACTCAACCTACTGCAACGCCTATCCCCGAGCGCTTATTGAACTTGAGACTTATGACCGCGTAAAAGACGCCCGTACCATCCTGGAGAAGTAAGTTTTTAAATATTAACATTGACTTATGTTTCTTACCTTTTCAATTAATTTGCAGCTGCCGCGAGTCCAAAAACTTGGCCGAACTTCCACTCTCCGCCCACCTCCTGGCCCCAGTGCAACGCATCTGCCGCTATCCCCTGCACCTAAACGAGATTATCAAGTCAGCATTAGAAAACGCGAGTAAGAAATCGGGTACAATAGATGATTACGCCAAGACAACTGCCGAGGACTATGAAAAGTTTGACGTCAGTGAGCTTGACATACCTGATACGCAGGAAACTGTTAATTTGGCGCTAGAGGCAATGCGCGGCATTACAGAAGCGGTCAATGAAGGAAAACGCCACAGCGAGACGATTGCAAGGCACCAAGCCAGCTTCCAAAACTTTAAAGGGCCCCCTCTGCACTTGCACAGTGCTCGCTTTTTCCTGCAGGTCGATGCTACGCGGCAAAAACAAAATCTGTGGAACAGCAGCTACACTCTATTCCTTTTCGATAACCAGCTGATATACTGCAAGCGTGATATTATCAAGCGCAGTCACTTCATCTACAAAGGACGTATTTTCCTGGACCGGTGTCGCGTGGTCAACGTAAGGGACGGAAAGATGTTTGGACACACCATCAAGAATTCGTTACGGTTATATTGTGAATCGCGCGACAAATGGTACGATTTTAGCTTCCGGTCGGCAAACCGCAAGCACCGCTTTCTCAACACCCTCGCTCTAGAGCGTCAATTTGGCGGCAAAGCCCTATATGTGTCGGAAATGACTGGTTTTGAATACAACTACGAGGAGCGACCGGGCGACTTTTCGGACCAGTCTGATTACGAAGCGCAGGACTTTGAAGTCGCCACGGGAGCCACATCTGCCAGTGGTGAAAGCTCTGTGCCGGACTCTCCGGCCAAATTGACGTCGCGCCTGTGCGAGACGCTGCCCAAAAAATCCCTATCCAGAGATGGCATATCTAGCGCTGACAACTCTCAAATATTGTCCAGCACATCAACAGGATCCCTGGGAAGACGCCATTTCGGCATCTGGTTCCGTAAACCAAAGAGCGCCAATTGCACACCCAGTCAGTCGCCGACGCATAAGCCAGGCTTCGACGCAGATGCGACGCTGACGGAAGCTCGGGTGGCTGCCATGGAACTAGCCGAAGCTGCGGCAGCGCTTGTGCCAACAGACAGTTCGTCCGCGTAAATTCTCCACTTAGAAGCGAATAGAATCGAAATAACACAGCATACAACATACAAGATATGTTACAAGCGAATGTACCCATACATAAAATACATGGTTAAAAATGTTTGTTATACTAATATTAGATCGCCTCCTAACACAGTAACAGATAATCAAATGAGTGTTACTTTCTTATTCAATTGACTTTAGCGTTATCCTTTTTTTTAACATAAAATTATATTTGTTTTTGTTGTAAACTATTTGCCGTTTAAATTCGCAGGGTTTGTAGACAACCAAACATTCTTGGTGTAAAAAAATTCTAGACAGAAAATATATAATGTACGTGTACTTCTGGCATTTGAATGCGGTTTTATATATGTATGTCGCCGACTGCTAGTCTAAAAACCCTATTACCTGTCCTTATACTTGTAAACTTAGGTTACGTGATAAATCGATAATAAATTCCCGCAAACTAATTTACCACTTCGGTTTGTAAACCCTAATTCGCTTGAAGACCTCCAAAACCCTTCAAGCTGCATATAAAAAAACTACCCACACGTAGTAGTTACTTTACATATGATACATTTTAACAAGATTTCGATACTGTGCTTATTTAACGAATGGTTTTTGACATGGTATTTGTTACTGTTTTTGTTGGGCCAATCGACCGTTAGCACATATATCGTTAAAAATGTTAACCATACCTATTATTGACCGAAACATATTAATAAAAGTCGTAGAGTATTAATAAAGAAAAAAAACAAAACATAATCCATAAAAAAAATGGGTATTATGAAATTCAAATAAACGAAATTAGCTGTGCTTAATTTGAGACTGAATGTGACAAGAATGTGTGTGCGCAAAAACACTTCGCCGGCATAATGGAAGATTTTTCAATAACAAACAAGCGAACAGAAATGCCTAGGAGGTGTAAATTGATCAGCTGATCAGTCTAAGCTAGAATGGCTTAGTGACGGGTGCGTGACAGCAAATTTTTGCTTCGCCGACAGCAAACAAATTAGAATTTATTAATAACTCATATCAGCAGGCCAAGTTCGTAGCATGCAGAAAAAAACAGTGTGGGTTCACATCTCTAGACTTCGCCAAATTCTTAAATAACGGGTGTTAAAAAAATCTAAAAAGCGTTCATTTAAACAACTAAATTGGTTGCAACGCACCATATTTTTTCTCGGCTCTTTTGGTTTAAACGTTTAACCGCCAATCATTTGTAACGTTTTAGGATTAAAAAAATTCCTAACGCTTTTATGTTTCAGCCTAGCAAAGGTTTAAGTTGCTGAGATAAAGTATATTTCGGTATAAGTTTTAAGAATTTTTCCAAATGTATTACTAAATTACATGCTGCAAACTCGGTATTTAAAACGTATCTGTGAAACGGTCATACCAAAACTAAGTTCTAAAAACGTAAACATTATATTTATTGCGAATCTGTGCTTATGCTTATTGAATTTATTACGGTTATGTGAAGCAGAGTCCCTCAATCGAAGCTAAAAGTGTTCGCATGCTAATATGCACAATCACAGCGGCTCCAGCAAAGTTGTGGCCACTCTTCGCGCGGACGGAAATATTGTGTACCCCATGGAGCAATCCAACCTGATGCACTACGAGATTGTAAGTTTTTTTGTAAAGTTACTTTTGAGCCGCGCCAAACTAACCCAGACGGGTCTTTTTAAGCGCACCGAAGGAGAGGTGCAAAACAAGAAGAACAACCTGGTGGGCCCCGCCACATGCGTAGATCTTGGCAAACAACTGCTTCAGTGCGCTAGGGACAGCGATGTGGTTGGCGTCAAGACGGCGCTGGCCCACGGAGCACCTTTCGCCTCCGACTGGCTTGGCATGTCAGCGCTGCACTTTGCAGCCATGAACAACCAATTGGAGATCTGCGAGATTCTCCTGCAGGGGGGCATCAACATGGACGCCAAAACCAAGGTGGACCGGACGCCCCTACACCTAGCCTGCTATTACGGCCACGAGCGGGTTGTCAGCTTGCTACTAGCTCTCAAGTGCAGCGTCAATTCCCGCGACATGGTTAGAGTTGTTGTACAGTTACTTCGTCCATGCTTAACTTATTCGTATTTTTCCTTTTGCCAGCTTCGCATGACCCCGCTTCACTGGGCCGTTGAGAAAAGGCACAAGGGCATTGTGCGCCTGTTGCTCAAGTGCCAGGCAGATGTCGCATTAGTTTCCAAGTTCGGCAAGACGCCGATCGGATTGGCCGTGTACACAGAACAGGCGGATGTACTAGCGGAACTCGAGGCGGCACGGCAGGCGCAAGCTTGTAAAAAATTCAACGAAGAAACGGAAGTGAGTAGAAAATAAGAATTTTGCGAAAGTCGAGCAACTAATAGTTAATCTTAAGTTGCATTTAAGTTACGTTTTTGTTATGCTCACTTTATTTCTTATTAATGTTAATTTTTTTGCTGCCTTTGGGGCGCTGCAATTACCGAACAACAGCGACAAACGCATAACAGCAAAGTACGTATTTTAATCATTTAAAATTCGATTGCTAAATAAAATTCCACAGGCCTTCAAATTTTTCTAACGTTCTCTATTTTTAACGCTAGATTACACAAATGATTGGAATACCGTGTAAAAAAATGTTAATCATATTTTGTCACTTTGATTGATTCGCAGAAAGAAACCAGTGAGGCTGTCAACTCAATAATGGACGAGCCGGAAATCACAAAAAGTCTTGACGACCGGGAAATGTCGGTGGAAGAGCGGATGGATGTCTTGGAAAACTTGAGAGGCCGTTAGTATAATTATTATTATATCCTGAGAGAATTAAAAATCTTCAACGGGATCCATTGCAGATACTAATGTGCTGGGCAACTCGGCGCTAAACATGCTAAAGTCGCACGGAATCGCAGACATGATGCAGGAGAACGACGACGAGGCCTCGAAAGAAATGTTGAATACGGCACTGCAGAACGGTCGCCAACTTGTCCTCTCGGAAGGTGGCCGTATGCTGCTGCATGAAACAAAAGCGAGCCTCAGCGCAAAACAATCTGTAAACGGCACCGCAAGGTCTCCGACCGTCGCCCTCCGCCCGAACGCCATCAACTCTCCTCCTCAGAAAATACGCATGAATATCATAAAGCAAAAAGATATTCAGCCGCCGGCAGGGGTAACCAAAAACAAGGTATACCATTTGCAATTTTTTTTCTCCTATCGCTATAATGCAGAATATTTTTGAGCAGAATATACGCATAATCTCGTTGACTGATTTTAAGAAGCTATGCGGATCGGACAGTCAGACAAAGTCTTTACAAAAAATACCAGCGTCCTTGGCAAGGTAGTTTGATTTAACTTTTATTCGGTTAACATTAATAAATCTTTTCTTCGAAAGCTCTGGAATGGTACGTCAGCTTCCCGATGGCACCAAGCTAGTCAACATGCGCCATCTTCAGGCTCGACAGGTTTGTGGTGGTGGCTTTGTTTACCTTATTTTAAGATTAGTTTACCTTAGTGACCTCCAGTTTCGGCCACAGGAAAATGCTAAAACCTTAAACACGCGAGTCTTCTTTTTTTAGTTAAAGCTGCCGTCGCTGAATAGACCGCTGGAGCCCACCACAATATTGGATGAGTCGCATGGCATAAACGAAGCCGTGGTGCAAAATACACTGCCTACAAACCATCCAGCATCCGCTAGTTCGCTGAGAGGGCAGGTGGGCACAGTGCAGACGATACAACTGAAGCCCTCACTCACTGCGGGACCTGGACAGAGTGCTACTAACAACGGTCAGCCGCAAAGCAAACCATTCACCAGTGCGACAAAGTTACCTTCGGCTAAGTCTCCAAACGTATTGCCGCTGCTAACGTCTTCCGAGATTTGTCGTCAGCTCCACGAGCTGCGGCGTCAAAACGATGAATTGCGCCGGCGCGCGGACTCCTTTCAGCGAGAAAAGGAGGAAATGCTCAGGCGAATCAACCGCCTGGAGCAACTGGTCTTGGTTCGAGAGTCGGAAGCCGACATGGATTTTGCGGACGAAATGTAGCAAGAGCTAAACTAGGTTTATTGTAAATACGTTAAGGTAGTATTTAAGCCAAGTTCATTAAATATTGTTAAGTGCATTTGTTAATCGCCCAGTAAGCGAACGATTTCATACCATTATTATGATACCCGTATTAACTTAAATGTTTAAAACTACTGCAACAAGTAATTGGCTACAAGTGCAAACGGATTATCCACCTTAAAATGCATTTCTAGCCGCTAATCAAAAAACAACTTTTATAATTTTAATAAAACTTTTTTAAAAACTTATAAAACGGAAAAGCAAGCAGTCCATTTTGCTAAAATTGCACATTTATCAAGCAGTTTACATTAAAATATTTTTTTTTGAGATTTTTGACAGTTAGAAGTGCGGTTACACTATACACGTGTTCGCTTGGCAAAACAAAAATTAAAATGGTACGTAAATTCCATCAATTTTAAAATTTCTCTTAAAATCTATTGATTTACAGCGCAAAAAGCAAGCTGATGAAATACCCGGGTTCCCGTCGTTAGACAATGATGGCCGGGCGGGCGAACAAGGCGACGATATTCTTAAAAGTAAGCCCAAGTCCAAGAAAAGCGGTGGATTTCAGTCGATGGGTTTGGGTTTCGAGTTAATCAAGGGCATAACCAAGCGGGGGTACAAGGTGCCTACTCCCATCCAAAGGAAGACGATTCCTCTGATCCTGGAAGGCCGTGACGTGGTGGCCATGGCCAAGACAGGTTCTGGTAAGACCGCCTGCTTCCTCATTCCGCTGTTCGAAAAGCTGCAAAGGCGGGAACCTACAAAAGGCGCCCGTGCCCTGATCTTGTCACCCACAAGAGAGTTGGCTGTGCAAACGTACAAGTTTATCAAGGAACTGGGCCGTTTTATGGAGCTAAAGACCATCCTGGTGCTTGGCGGCGACTCCATGGACTCACAATTCTCGGCGATACACACTTGCCCCGACCTCATCGTTGCCACACCGGGTCGTTTCCTCCATTTGTGTGTGGAAATGGATTTGAAGTTGAATTCCATAGGTGAGTTGACAATTCAAGAAAAGATATCTGAGAACTAATGATGATTATTCCTTAGAGTATGTCGTGTTTGACGAAGCCGATCGACTTTTTGAGATGGGCTTTGGCGAGCAGCTAAATGAAACGCTGCACAGATTGCCGTCGTCCCGGCAGACGGTCATGTTTTCGGCAACATTGCCAAAGCTCTTGGTGGATTTTGCCCGCGCGGGGCTAAATGACCCTGTCCTTATCCGTTTGGATGTTGAGTCTAAGCTCCCAGACGCACTGGCTTTAAAATTCCTGTACTGCCGGCCCGACGACCGTTACACAGCTCTAGTGGTGCTTCTAAAGTACGTGATACCGGTTGAGTCGCAGACCGTAGTGTTTGCAGGCACGCAGCATCATGTCGAACTAATATCGTACATCCTCACCGAGGCTGGTATCTCTAACACCTCTGTCTACTCAAGCCTGGACCCGGCTGCACGCAAAATAAACACCGCCAAGTTTGTGAACAAGAAGGTTTCTGTCCTAATCGTTACCGACGTGGCAGCTCGCGGAATCGACATTCCCAGCTTGGACTTTGTGGTTAACCTCCATTTCCCGGGTAAACCGAAGTTATTTGTGCACCGCGTCGGTCGATGCGCTCGAGCAGGACGTACAGGAACCGCATACTCTATATTTTCCACCGACGACACAGCCCATTTACTCGATCTACACTTGTTCTTAAACAGGCCATTTAACATTAATGACAGCGCGGCATTGGGAACCATTCCCCAAGATTTGCTCGAGGAAGAGCACCTCACAGTAACCGATATCAAGAAGAGTCACCACATTGTAAGTACTTTTTTTATTCTATCTACTAGCGATCTCTAATCAGCTGAATACTAATTATTCATCCAGGCCGGAGTGTTGCGCACCAGTGAAAACGCTTATAAGAAGTACTTAAGTTCCCGTCCAGTGGCATCCACAGATGCCAATGCTCGCGTAAAGAAAATCAAGTTCTTCGCGCTAAAGCCGTTGGAAGATTTCTTCACAGCTGCTCCAGTTATAGCCCAAGCTGCAAAAGTAAATGGACAATCGACTGAGTCACAAGCAAAGGTGGCTGCAGCCGAGCGAAAGCTCCAGGAGGAGAAGCACGATTTATTGGTTAAAATGCGTAATTTCCGACCGGGTGGTGTAAGTTAATAAGTGTATTTCTCTTAAAGATCTGATCTATTTGATTCTGCTTATTTTAGACTGTTTTTGAACTTAATACCACGCAGAAATCTACGCAATTTGTGGTTATGAAGGAGAAACGTTCTCAGCACGCTGAAGTAATTCAAAAGTTTAGGCAACAACGCGCGGAAGAGGACATCGACGAGGCGAAGAAAGAGGCCCAGTCGCACAAGCTAGTTGACGCCAGAATGCCAACCGCCGACGAGGAGGCCATTAGCAGTACATTCAGTAAAGTCGTGGCTCCCAAAAGGCTCTCAAATATGGACGCTCTGTACAAAGAAAAGCCAAAGAAAAAAAAGCGAAAGATGAACAGTAAAGACGACGAACACTATGTGCCGTACCAGTCGGCGGATAAACATACGGAGGATGGCCTGGCCATCAACACGTTTGAGCGCCAAGCGCAGAATGCCGAGTTCTCGGTGTCGGATCGCAACTTATCTCAGGAGGTGAAGCACAAGCCTGGGTTAAAGAAGTGGGACCGCATTAAAAAGAAAATGGTCTCAGTGCAGGACCCTCGAGCCAACAAGATTCGCACAGAGTCCGGTGCATGGATTCCTGCCTCCTTTAAAACTGGCCGCTACACAGAGTGGAAGGAAAAATCCAAGATTGAGGACCTTCTGCAACGTGAAAACGCAGGCAGCGATGACGAAAAAGCAAATCCTCTGAGCCATGCCCAGCGCTATCCAATTAGTCGCCACGCTCGGCATAACGTAAAACTGGAACTGAAGAAACGTCTTAGCGGAAACGACAAGGAAATGCGGCGCCCCGAGCAAATTGTCAAGGCACGCATGCGCTTAGAGTTCATCAAAAAACGCAACGAGGAGAACGCGGAGAAAAAGAATGAGAACCGCAAGCGGAGCATGCGAAAAAGTCAGCGCCCAAAAGCACAATCAACTGGTGGGTCTAGGAAAAGGAAATAACAGTGTTTGGGTGAGTGTAAAATAACGCAAGGGCAAATTTTTTTGAGGAGTGTTCGTAAGCACGCTTTGCAAAGTATAAACATTAAAGGTAGCTTCCCTAATTCTTTTAAATTAACTTTTGGTGAACCAACGGTTTTGTGTAAACAACACAAATAAGTCTTGTTTATTGGGGTAGTTGTATAGAAGCGAGAGACTGTAAACAACTAGTATACAACGCAGTGACTACTTAATCTAAAAACCTCCCCGATCCCTTGTCATTCAGGCAAAGCGATTAACTCTGTTTTCAAAAGTCTTTTCTTTTTGGTTTTCATTGTTCGACTGACGGGTTGAGAGACAAAATCATGGCATGTTCTTTGAGGATCACAACTTTTACACTGCGATGCACACAGATATCAAACGCAGGAAATGAGTACTTGAGGGCCTCCGAACACGCACGTGTTCCAGACTAAATTTAAACATTCATTGGTCTTACATGCTCATTTATTTAGTGTGTCCAAGACAATAGCGGACAGAAGTAAAATTGAATAGTTTACCATCCCCTGCTGCCATCTGCCGACTCTCGTTTATTTCAACGTGACCCAAATAAGACTTGGCACCAAGAGTCTGACCTACGTTCGTAAAGTCCGATGTATTACGAGGTGTGTTCACCACATGCAGGCCATCCTTTTGCTAAAGGTTCGGCTGTGCTCAGATCTGGGCGCGACCACGTCCAATGACACGCATTCTTGTGCGTGCCCTAAGCCAACACTCTGCACCCCGGGAAACGACCCTTGTTCTGCTGGGTGTGTACACCCAAAAACATGAAAAACTGTTTTATTTTTTTTTTTTTTTTTTTTAGAGGTGGAACAGATCACCACTTAAAATGCTGTGTGCGGCGGCATAAACGTATTGTTGTCGTCGCCCGCAGATAGTCACGTAAATGAATGTTCTTAAAATGTAATGTAAAATCAATCAATTTATTTAACCTATGAAGGTTGCTATCGGGACTAACTTCCTGCTTTCTTATTCACAGGGACATTCGCCTCTTCCGCCTCACGATTTAAAATGCTGATTAAACGCGTCTCCCAAAAAAAACTTAAAATATTTGTTTTACATCGGACTCTTGTGGTGGAGAGCTCCCCAATGTTGTTTAAATATTAAAAAGTTTTTTATAAAAATACATGATAAAATACGTGAAGTACAATATTTTTGAAATTAAGCTTGGGGTGCCGGTGCTGGTGAGTGATTAGGAAAAAGAAAGGCCATAAATAAATTTTAATGCCAAACTGGAACACAAAGTAAATTCAACCAGACCTAGAAAACCTCCTCTGTCGATGGAGACGAAGTTTCTTAAACTACCCGGGTAGTGACCATATGCACATCTTCTTCGATCGTGGGATGGATTCCCCAAAGCCAGTTTTTAATATGGTCCGCGCTCCGTTCTGTCATTGTACTTTACGCTTCTTAGCGAGTCGAAGTGTGTTTCCGGTGCCTGCATCTTCTGGTACTCTTCATTCGTCATAAGTGACGAGTGTTATATATATATAACATCTTTGCCATTAGGACTTTATTTTAAAAGAAACCTATCTGGTCAGCACTAATGCTTCTCTGATTCTCCGATATTTCGGGGGATTGCTTTTCACTAATTATTTCGTAATTGTGAATAGTCTGTAGGTTTAATAATAAATAAAGTTGAAGTTTTAATTGTATTTATTAAGATACTAGAAAACATTCAAATATTTTCCGCCTGCATCCATAGGGAGATCCCACTTCGACCACATGACTTACTTCTTGTGTGGACAATGATATCCGAGGAGAGCCAATCCAAGTCAATCAAACAATTGTGGCGAGCGCCTGGGGAGAAGGGACAATGGCAGTGGCACAAAATACAACTTACATCGACGGATACCAAGTCATCAACCAATTTAGAGATTGTTGAACTCACGCACGCCAGGCTGATCTTTCCAGTACATCTTTTCTGAAGGGTCTAATCTATGCCTCGAGATCTCAATCTATGGTCATGTATGCTTATGTTCTCCAATTTGGGCAGCTCAGGCAATTGCAAAATGAACTCGAGAATGCGTCTAAGCGTCACTTAAGAACGCATTATTCAATTGTCTGGAGTATTATGCTGACAAGTCGGAAAGGCAGCGTGACATAGTAAAAAATATCGCACGGGAATGCTGAAATCTTGTTTTGCCCACAACTACATTTTGGGTGACTACGATTCTTATTTTAAAAACAAACAATTTGGTCGTCGCGTTTTTTAAGTCTAAAATATCTATGTGAAAATTAAGAGTTTAAGCTTAAAATTGAAGTATGTACTTTTTTTGAATACCAAAGTTCCTGTTAATCAAAACAGAATTTTACGAAATGAATACAAAAATTAACAATAATAAAAATTTATTTAATATGAAACATTTATTTAATCAAAATAAAAAAATTATTGATATTAAATTATAAACAATTTTAGAGTAATTTTCTGCTGAAATATGTATTAAAAATTCTAAATTTGGTTATAAACCAAAAATGTTAAATTAAAAAGGGCGTTGTGCAGTGTGACCGCAGATAACTTAACGCGTTAGGGATTACTTATGATTTCGTAAAGAGCCCATAAACTCGCCGAGCTACTCGTCATTCGAAAAAAAATCTCGAGTTCGTTTGACATGTTAACGCCTATCTTCGCGTAATTTGTTTTCGTTTTGGAATACAAAAAAAGGATCGAAAACGCCGAATAAAACGATATTGCTAGTTTGCCAGTTGTGGCAGTGCATAAAAAGTGTGTATGTACACCACAGTGAAGTGGGCGTTGGAGTACCCTTGTGTATTGAAAATTGCATATTGTATACATACTGTATGGGCGCGTCTCTTTTTGTTCCTTTGTGTGTGTATGTCGCAGTGTCTGCGTCCCGCCCCTTGGCTAAAGTTATTGCTGATAATAAGCATATTTAAATTTAAGAGCGATTCAAGATCGGCCAAATAACGAGCAGTATTCTGCTATAATATTGAAACAAGTGTCGTCGAATTGTGATTTCACGTCGCGAGTGAATTTTCGCACGCATACAGTCACCGTTGCTCGCAAACGCACATACACACAAGCAACGAAACGAGATTTTTCAAGTCGAGTCCATGGTTGTATGGGGCCTGTAGATGTAATTGTATAAGTTTCAGTGCTGGTGCTTGTGCAACTACAAAATTATTTTGTTTATTACTGGTCTAACTGTTACTCTGTACACTTTCCACAAAACAAACGGAAAGTAAGCAGCAGTAAGGTGTCTCTGTGGTGCCTCACAATTTCCACCTTCCAAAGTGTAAATCGCGGTGATAAATATAGGAATTTCGATTCGCCAATGCTTGTGAATTTAAAAGCGAAAAGCCACAAGTGAAAGTGACAGACCCTACTCATCTACGCTAATTGTCATCGCATCTTTGATACCCATTGGATTACATCGACTTTGCACCGCCAACTGGATCCCAAGGTTCTGTGAGTATGTGTTTTCGGACTATGTTTTGGACTACATGAATTCCTCGCCCCTGATAAGATATAAATAATTATATCTTCCTTTTTGATTTTGGTCCTCTGACTGCTAGAGCTTTTAAGAAGGGGAGATGTTGCTGACACTGCTAATGAGTTGAAGAACGTTGGGACTATGCGGAAGTCTTACCTTTGGGCAATATGGCAGGCTGCCCACGATTGTATTTATATCACTGGGTGTATCTCTATCTCCATTTCAGCGCATTTGCCATTTGTGCCCAGAGTCATTGATTTGTTGCCCTTTTTCGCCAGATCGTTAACTCGCGTTGACCGCTTTCGCCTTGTTGAGCAGGCGTTTTCAAATTCAATCTAAAGCAGTGCAGTCTCAAAGAAAACGCAAGTGCGTAACCACGCGAAGAGTGTTTGTAAATGCCAATGTGTATACAAAATTCAAAACCAAGTGAAGCCTGTTGTTTCGCCCTCGCACAGCTCCTGTCGCCCGGTCCTAGCTGTGCTTGACTTTAATTCAAAACCCTGCGAAGGTGTTCTCCGGATACAAGGGGCAACTTGGTGCTTAGGCTTTTTGTGAGGCCATGTGTTGTTATGTGGAGCGATTTTTTTGTGTAGCAAGCAACGAATAACCAGTCATCAGTGCACGGCGACCGAGATAAAAGGAGCAGCCAGTGGGACAGGGCAATTTAAGTGCAATTAAGTGACATAATCTCTCTCGACTTACCTGCCGCTGCACGTTGCGTCGGCAGACGCTTGTCAAATAGTTGAGTTAGTTAACCACTCCACAGGAAAATATCCAAAACGGGAATTTTTTAGAGCAGAAGGAAACCAGTTTTGATAGCTTTTCGATCACTAATCATATCATAGCACACGCTGTGAGACTGCAGGTTCAGCGCAAACTAAAGCCAAACACTTGTAGTGGTTTCAGCGCCGCTCTTTCTGTTTCCCAACTTGCTTGCGTAGCTGACTTGTTTCTTAAGCCAGCGATTATTAAAATTAACAATTCATTGACTGACAAACAGAAAGTGGCTGTCGAACAGATAGTCGCTGATACGGTATTTTTCTCGCGATCTGCTTCGCCTGCACAATTATTGAATTGTCAAATATCCTAATCTATCTATCTATTAGTTTTTACCTTTTTAAATTTATCCGAAATAATAACTAATATTGCTTTGCCAAAGACTATGGAAGGTCTTGACTCTTATCGGACCTTTTTTTTTAGGAATCTCAGCTGAGTGCTAGTTATTGTTTTAGCTTGAAGGATATATTAAATTTATTGATTCTGTAAAATATATATATATATATGTATATATATTAAACAAACAACTTTTAAATATTAAAAAATACTCGAAGCTCAGCAAGGGCCAATCACAATACAGCGAGACATCAGGAGCAAGTTCTTCATCCTTCCGTGCAAAAAGTGAAAGTGTAAAGATTTCGTTTTAATCTCCCTTTTTACAGCAACTCACGCGACGTGAAATTTTAAAATGCCATTTGACAAGCTGCTTGGTGTGTTGTTAGAATCTGGGCTGGTTCCCACAACTAACTTTACCAGTCAATTATGTACTTGTAGAACTCGTCGTTCTCACAGGATTGGCCAAACACCAGAAAGGAGGAAATTAAGTGTGGAGTAGAAAGTCGGAGAGTCTAATGTATATGTTCTCTGAGCTTCAGAAAACCGAACTAGTTTTTAATTTTCCAAGGCCCGGCGGGCCTACTTACGTCTTCGGCGCCTTGCCAAAGGACGTTTGTCGTATATGGGGCGACGCACTGCATCTGTTCCTTTCTGGCCATGCCGACTGCGGCGCAACAATCTGCGGCGCCGAGTTTTCCTTTGCCTGCGAGCCACGCGGGCCAAGATGCGCTAAGGTGAGAGAGCGTGAGCCAAGAGATCGTAGTGATTTAGTCTCTTACTTCTGGTTCGAACAGCCTCTTCTTGGCATTGCTCAGTGCATTCCAGTGGACAAGGCCCACCTGAAGTAAGCGGCGCACATCGTAGCTTCGGAAGACTTTCCGCTTTAGGTAGCGAAGGAAGTTGAGGTAGGGCAGTGGGGCTACCAGACTCGGGTCGTCCACGATCCCTGCGGCCCTAATCAGCTTCGGCGTGAGACGTGCCATAGGGCATGTAGCAAGGCCACTTGAAATACCTGAATGAATAGCTTCTTGATCCGATCACAAAGTAACAACAAAACCAAAAAGCCCAGCTTTTCTGACATGGTTGACGTGGGGAGTCAAAGATAAATTCAAGGCTGCTTGACTTTTAGAAACTATACATGTATTTCTTTTCGCAGTGCCTCCTCATTAAAACTAAATGCAATTCCAAAACAAAACGGAGCAATCAATTTCAGTCTATAGCTCACACTTTACAGTAGAATCCCGATTATCCGGATCAATTAAAACCATCGGTATTCCGTATAATCGAAAATCTGGATAACCGATTTCAAAGCAATTCAAATAATATTTTAATTTTAATAATTTTTTTATTATGTAATGGGTTTTACTTTGATAATACGATGGATAAAAAAGAGCTATAACGATAGATAATGAATTACATAATACCTATGTAATTTAAAATTTTGGTTGGAAATACAGTAGAATCCTGTTATAACGACTCCCCTTATCGTGTCCGTCCGGGTATTGTGACAAAAACTCGATGGCTTGATTGGTCCCCAGACAGACTTATACACTTCTATCCTTTTGCTTAGTGCGTCTTCCGGGTATAACTGTTGTAACTGCTGTAACTTGCTATAGAAAATTTTATCGAGTCCGGATAATCGGATGTTCGGATAATCGGGATTCTACTGTACCTCAAAAGCCTCTGCCCCTATAAAGACACGCTCACGACGCCCACAAAACACCACGCCTTATGCAGTTTATTTTCTGTGTCTGTCGCGCTTGCCAGCAGCGATCATTTATTCTGAATGGGATCTGCTTTTGAAAGCCGCTGATAAGGTACTTTGTGTACCGCACGACCAAAGTCCACACAGTGTGTGTACGCATTCTGAGACGCAAATGAATTTTATACTTGGGCACTAAAATGGGTAAACTATGGAGGCAAGGACTGGACTGTCGGATGTTATTTACTTCTACCGTCTCGTCGTTAGTATATTTTTTTTTCTAATCTTTTATGTTGCATACAATTATTGCATTGGGTCTGAGATTAACGAGTAAAGTTTTTCCACTTACGCACCTCTTGCATGTGTCGGTGTATTATTGTTCATATTAACTATGCTTTTGTGGCCAATCACTTTCGCTGGCTGCAGAACTTTCGATCTTCGTAAGCTATGATTGTAGCATTAGCTGCTTTTAATTTTGGACTGGTGAAAATACTAAGGGAAAATATTAGGTAGGGGATTGATGTGGAATCTAGTGGAACGATGCAATAGGAGATGGAGCCCTTACTTTTCTCCGCCCCAAAGACGACCACCCATTCATTGTGTAACCCAACTTTCTCTTAGCTGAAGATGGGAAACGGCCATTAGGCTTTCTCTCTTGCTCTTTGGCTGACTCGCTGTCCGCTCCTTAATGCAACGAAAAATTAATGTTGTGTGACAACTCCACTTACATACATACATATATTGCATTCGGGTTGGCTTCGGACCGCCGTTGTATCTGCTTAAAAAATCTGCCTGAAGGATTTATAAAGTGCTTAAATTCTCTAAAAGCGCAGAGTTGCTGTGACTTATAAATCAGTCCGCAATTTAACTAAAAGAATTCCGCAAACAGGCTACTTATGTATTTGAAAATCTTGGACCAAGGCAGTTGGATTTGAACAACTAGATATTGTAATTGGCTTTTTACGAAGATACAAATGTTAGTACGAGCTCACAGTGTACTGATCGGGCTCAGATTGTAAGCCCTCTCGTAATTGCAAGAGAGTAGAAAACTTGAAAAATCATTTCTATTAGCTAATAAAAAACAAAGATAGGGTACTTGTGTCTCAAAAGATAAGATAATTTTTTGTAAATTGATGTATTGGAATACTGTAGTAATTTGGGCTTGCTGTTGGTTTGCCTTCCAGTGAATGATCGAACTTGAACCCTGTTAAACTAGTTACACTGTGTCAATCGAGCTTACTAGTATTTACAAGTATCAACAGAGTCCGGAGTTTACTTTCGGGGAGCTTTAACGTTCATTCGTACTCAACGTGATTTCTTACCTTGATTGACGCGATTTGAATTCAATGTATTTCGATTCGCCTCGGTTCAGTTTGGTTCTACAGCGCCTTTGATAGTATTTTATTTTTGAAAAGTTATTCAACTAGGTACACGCGAGCGTGTGTGTGTACTCTTTGGCTGTCTGATTGGACTGACCTTGATAGCGCGTTCAAACAAGCTGGCACGTCGCATTCATGTTTCTCTCGGAGGGAGTCTGCTTGGAGCAGCAGCAAAAGTATCTGCCTCTAACTGCGTATATATTTGCGCCTAACTGCGATGTGTTTTGAGCAGTTTGCGGTTTATTAACCGCACAGGAACGGAATGTGAAACTCTAGATTTGCTAATGCAACTGCATTGTATTTTGATTAAAAACTCGAAAATCGGTTAGTTAAAATTTAAGAGATTGAGATATGATTTATCAGAGGAATAAAAGTCAAAGTGATTGTTACAACAAAACTGTCAAAACAACTTTTTGGCTTCTTTTAATTCCAGAGAAATATATTGTGCCCCTGGGTCACTAACACGAAAACCAAATCAAGTTTGGTAGAACAAGCTATGTTTTATGAAATTGTCTCGCGCCTTAGATTACAACCATCAAGCGCACCATTTAAACAATTTGCGATTATGCTGCAGCTGCAGCGATTGAAAGTTTGCCATTCGAAGTTTAAAAAGCAGCGACTAGCATTGAAAGGTCTTCGTTGCTCCCGCGTTTGTTGACAACTCTTGGATATAATGCCCCGTGCTCTTTGCGTTTGCCGAGCCACGGTGCAGATTACCAAACTGCCAAAACTCGGGAGTACGCAGAGCACTGCGCCGGGGAGCTGATTCCAAAAGGTTGCGCAAGCTGCAGCTGAGTTGGCGGTAGAGGTGGCTGAAAAACCGCTGGGGGAAATCGAACACATAACTGCAAGTAGTCGTATGCTGTTGAAGCCGCATGGCTCGTTTTCTTTTCTTTGAGCTTAAATCGTTTGAGCCTAGTTCGAACTAACTACTCTTTATTTTGTGACACAGAACAAGTCTGCGTTTGGCTTAAATTATTTATTTTTGCATTGACTTAATTTAATCGATTAAGTAAAGTTTCTTTTAATAGTACATAACCACTAGAAATTTTCTTTACAAGGAGGGTTATTTTTATACCCTTGCAGAGCAAAAGGCTATTATAATTTCAGTCAGAAGTTTGCAACGCAGTGAAGGAGACACCTCAGACCCCATAAAGTATATATATTCTTGATCAGCATCACGAGCAGAGTCGGAATACGTCTGTACGTCTGTACGTCTGTCCGTCTGTCCGTCTGTCCGTCTGTCCGTCTGTCCGTCTGTCCGTCTGTCTGTCTGTCTGTCTGTCCGTCTGTCTGTTTCTATGTAAACTAGTCTCTCAGTTTTAAAGGTATCTTGCTGAAACTTTCGCAAAAGGTGTGTAGTTATTGCACGCAGTATATAAGTCGGAACGAGCCGGATCGGCCGACTATATCGGATAGCTCCCATACGAGGGAATGAAATGAAAAATTCTAACGCCGTTGTTTTTGATCAGATCGAGTTGAATTCTTCAAGATGGCGTTTTCTAACTGTTATTGAATTTCGGATTAAATTTTATCAAAATCGGATAACACTATCATATAGCTGCCATAGGAGCGATCGAAAATTTATATAGATTTAATGGAAATAAATTGATAACATCGTTGTTTTTTATCGCACGAGCAAGATTTTTTGAACATCAAGTTTTTTAATAACCCTTATAATGAGAAAAAAGTTTCATAAAAATCGGAGTACTATATCATATAGCTGCCATAGGAAAGATCGAAAAATCTATATAGAAATAACGGAAAAAAAATTATAACATCGTTGTATTTCATCAGACAATCATGATTTTTGGAATATAGAGGTTTCTAATGACTCTTGAGTTACAAATTAAATTTCATCAAAATCGGACGACTATATCATATACAGTGGCTCACAGCTTAAAGTATGCAGTGCATACTTTTAACTTTAAACGCCCATAGCGGTAAAACTATAAGGAATATTGAAATGAACAAGGTGCCAAATGAAAGATTAACTTATTTAGAATAACGTAACAAAATCATTTATTTTCAAAAACGGCTTAAACACAAAAAAAAACTTTAAAAATGAAAAATACAGCTTATATTCAGCTCACAGCTTATTTTATGCAGTCTCAAAAATGTTCAAAAAATCAGGAAAAAACTGAAAAATATAACGTTTTTAATATTTGGTATGGTAACCATTGTTGTCAACGACATCTTTCAGCCTTTTCGGCATTGATTCAACCAATTTTTGGGTGACTTCTGACGAGATCTTTCCCCACTCCTTCATTAGGGCATCTTTTAAATCATTTTTGTTAGAAATATGGTAATTTCTAATATTATTATCCAAAATGGCCCATAAATTTTCAATAACATTGAGGTCCGGTGACTGAGCCGGCGTATCCACAACGTGAGGGCAATTGTACAGCAACCACATCCGCACAATTCCAGCCTTGTGCTTTGGATCATTATCCTGATAAAAGCGGAAATTGTCTTTTATTCCAAGATCCTCGGCACTTTGGACCAAATTGTCCTTTAATATTTGAAGGTATGCTTTTTTATCCATTGTCGATTCAATAAAAGTCAGTTTTCCAGGGCCAGCAGCTGACATACAGGCCCAAACCATCACGCTGCCACCGCCGTGCTTCACCGTTGCCTTCAGGTTCTTTGGTTCAAGCTCTGTATTGGACTTCCGCCATACATAAGCGTTCTGGAAAAGTGTGATATTTGCAGACGAATCCAAATTTAATATATTTGGATCAGACGGTAACGCTTATGTATGGCGGAAGTCCAATACAGAGCTTGAACCAAAGAACCTGAAGGCAACGGTGAAGCACGGCGGTGGCAGCGTGATGGTTTGGGCCTGTATGTCAGCTGCTGGCCCTGGAAAACTGACTTTTATTGAATCGACAATGGATAAAAAAGCATACCTTCAAATATTAAAGGACAATTTGGTCCAAAGTGCCGAGGATCTTGGAATAAAAGACAATTTCCGCTTTTATCAGGATAATGATCCAAAGCACAAGGCTGGAATTGTGCGGATGTGGTTGCTGTACAATTGCCCTCACGTTGTGGATACGCCGGCTCAGTCACCGGACCTCAATGTTATTGAAAATTTATGGGCCATTTTGGATAATAATATTAGAAATTACCATATTTCTAACAAAAATGATTTAAAAGATGCCCTAATGAAGGAGTGGGGAAAGATCTCGTCAGAAGTCACCCAAAAATTGGTTGAATCAATGCCGAAAAGGCTGAAAGATGTCGTTGACAACAATGGTTACCATACCAAATATTAAAAACGTTATATTTTTGAGTTTTTTCCTGATTTTTTGAACATTTTTGAGACTGCATAAAATAAGCTGTGAGCTGAATATAAGCTGTATTTTTCATTTTTAAAGTTTTTTTTTGTGTTTAAGCCGTTTTTGAAAATAAATGATTTTGTTACGTTATTCTAAATAAGTTAATCTTTCATTTGGCACCTTGTTTATTCCAATATTCCTTATAGTTTTACCGCTATGGGCGTTTAAAGTTAAAAGTATGCACTGCATACTTTAAGCTGTGAGCCACTGTAGCTGTCATATGAACAATATAAAAGTAATACAAAAATCGCCATAGATTTGATGTTGCTAGCCTTTATGTATTTTGTTTGACATATTTGATGACTGCAAGGGTATATAAGCTTCGGCTTGCCGAAGCTAGCTTCCTTTCTTGTTTTTATTTATTTTTTATTTTTATTTTTACTTGTCATTGAACTACAAAGTGATTGTGATTTATAATAAAAACAAGAAAGGAAGCTAGCTTCGGCAAGCCGAAGCTTATATACCCTTGCAGTCATCAAACAAATCGAACAAAATACATAAAGGCTAACAACCTCGAAGCTATGACGACTTTTCTATTAATTTTCCATATTTTCGACTGTTGTTCATATGGCAGCTATATGATATAGTTGTCCGATTTTTATGAAATTTTTTTCTCGGTTCAAGGGTAGTTCATAAAGTCGATGTGGTAAGAATCATGCCCGTGGAATAAAAAACAACAACGTTATGATTATTTTGCCATTATTTCTATATATATTTTTTGATCTTTCCTATGGCAGCTATATTGATAGGGTTATCCGATTTTGATAAAATTTAATCCGAAATTCAATAACCGTTAGAAAACGCCATCTTGAAGAATTCAAGTCGATCTGATCAAAAACAACGGCGTAATAATTTTTTATCCTTTATTTTTTTGACCTCTTGTATGGGAGCTATCCGATATAGTCGGCCGATCCGGCTCGTTCCGACTTATATACTGCGTGCAATAACTACACAACTTTTGGAAAAGTTTCAACACGATAGCTTTAAAACTGAGAGACTAGTTTACATAGAAACCGACAGGAGGACAGACGGACAGACAGACAGACAGACAGACAGACAGACGGACAGACGGACAGACGTACATACATATTTCGATTCAGATGGTGATGCTGATCAAGAATATATATACTTTATGGGGTCTGAGGTGTCTCCTTCACTGCGTTGCAAACTTCTGACTGAAATTATAATACCCTTTGCTCTGCAAGGGTATAATAAGTTATTAATTTCTTGCCACTTTCGAAACCCAAATATATGTATAGGACCTATGTATGTCTGTGGCATATGAAGTTAAAAGAATTTGCTACCGTCAAATGAACTCCCATGGTTTTAAGGCTCCGGTGCCACGCATAAGATAGAAAAGGACTTTCTTTTAAATAATGAAAAATTTTTCGTTAAGAACAATGAAATATGTTTGAGATTATGTTCTTGCAAGAGCCTGTGCATAATGCACCATGCGTGTAAAAGGAATACACCAAGGCGTTGGTTTTTAATTGATCGAAAATGACTAATTGACACCAATTTTGTTTATCTTTCCAGCGCGTCAACTGACGAGCAGCGCCTGCAACTACGACAACAACAAAAGGCCGTGGTGATATGGGGGCCGCCTGCTCCGCGCCAGTAAACAGAGGAGGCAAGGCGGATAGCTGAGAATTTGACCCATGACTCAGAGCAGAATATTTCACTTGAGAGCCCATAGCCGCGCAATGGAGCACGAGAGCAATTCCAAGGTTGTGCCACAAAGAGCTGCGTATCTAGCCATTTAAGACCACTTAATAAGCGAAGAAAGAACTCCCGCTGGAACCCTCCCCGCGTCGCAATCAAAAATCGAAATGAACTCCGTCATTTCTGCATTTAAAGGAAAAAAGAGCAGTGCGGCGAGCAGTAATCCGCCCAATGGCACGGCCAACGGCTCTGGTGCCGGAGAGAGCAAACAGAACCACGGCGGAGGACTCGTCGGCATGAACATCAGCATAGCCAGCGTGGGCAGCGGCTTGGCAAAAAAGAAGACGGTGGCTCAGAGCAGTGGCTACCAGTATCTGCGGCATATCCGCGAGATTGAGACCGCCAACAAGCTGCTCTCCCCCGTCGTGGTCGTGGCGGAGGACAGGCCAGCCGGCAAGACCGGCTCCGCGTCGGCGTTAGCGACAATGGCTGCAGGAGTAGATCTGGTGGACCACTGTATGCCGGCAACGGTGCGACTTTCCAATGCCGAGACGCTTTCCGACTTTAATATGAACGGAAAGTCAACCGAAGTCAGCGACAATGCGAACCTGGAGTTGGCTGACGCCTGGATTTGCCCACCGCCAGTTGGGGCGGCGGACGACGAAGACCTTTCCGAGCACTCGACTGCCGCCTGCACCAGCACCAGCAGCTCTAGCGAGCACAGCAACAGCACCGTGGTGCGCAGTCCCACGGTGGCGGAGAGCACCACTTCCCCCGTGTCCATGTCAGCATTCGCGTCCGCCACAATCAGCCATCCCGGTCCCGGTCACAGTCCCAGCCTGAGCCAACACAGCACCTCGTCCTCGGCCGCTTCCTGCGGGAGAAGAAGCCCGCACAGCCAGTCGTCGCTGGCCATCACCTGCGAGCCGCACTCGACATCCACCACCACGCTGTCTTCGCTGGGGTCGGAACTGGGCAACGGAAACGACACACCCGCCTTCTTAATCGCAGCCCCAGTCACGTTGGCGATTGGGGGCCAGATGCCCACAGCCAGCTCTGCGGCTAGTACACCCAAGCTCTCGCGCTATCCCAAGCCCCGTCTTAGCCTGAGCCGCGAGTTCAACTACTCCATGCCGTCGGTGCACGGGCGGCCCAATCTGAGTGTGGCGCAGTCACAGGGCGACATGGTCCCCGCCGCTTTGGGAAGTGCTGCAAATCCCCCAAAACGTATTTCCACGCACCAAAGAAACTTGAGTTTGGATTTCAGGTGAGTCCATTGCTGTCTCGTTTCTGCCATTTTTTACCCCTGAGATTCAGATTTTTCCAAGTTTCCGACGGTTTGCTTAAAAGTGTCTCAATACAGCAGTTCCATACCCCATAACTCGACCAACTTTTATCCGATTTCAATGTGGCATACCTCTAAACATTTGTGTTGGGATTCTTAAACGAACTGCATTCAAAGTTTTTCATTTCCTGGTGGTCGGTTCTTTTACCCCTACTCATGTCAGATTTTTCCAAGTTTCCGATGGTTTGCCATAAAGTGAAGCATAGCCTGGCTATGAAGCATAGCCTGGCTATGCGTATTTTAGTTAGAGTCGGAGAAAAGGAAGTGTAGTTTTTAAAAACCGCCCATCTTTTTTTTCATGGCGACCCAATAAAGTAGATACATTTTTCATATCAGTGTGTCTATGGCCAACACTACCAAAATACTCCTTGCTGTTGCAGGAAGCGTTTTGCAGTATATTCCAGTCTTTAGCTGTATTAAAAAACCTTGAACAATAAAGTAAATATTATTAGTAAATATTATTAGAAGAATTTTAGCATTATTTTTCGAAATTGTCTTGAGATTTGTGAAATATGTATGAAGAATAATAGGTTGATTTGTCATACAAAAACGCATTCTCTGTGCATGGCAAAAATATTTGCTGTGGTCTAGCCCCCTTCTCCCATAACCTTCAATATGGCCAACTTTTGCTTAACTAAAAAACAGTTAACGCCGCAGAAAAGCTGTGCTGCTGTATGCTGTCGGGCTTTGTGTATGTACACGAGCTGTGCTTCCGGACGGCGTGCCACACCCTGTCTTTGTTGGTGCGTGCGCCGGCAAAACGCTCCTGTGCGGATGTGGAACTGGGAACTGGGCCACCCCGTGTCACCTTACCGTAGGCAGAGCTCCTTTCGACAGGTATCGACCTCGTGATTGTGCTACTGCAGCTTCCCCTGCCAATTAAATTTCCCTAGCTTTCCTTTTTTTGATGTGGTCCTGACGTCCACGAGGACTTTTAATGAGTTTTTAAAGACTTTTATGAGTCTTTGAAAATGTAAAAATATTTTGATAAAAAACATTCGAAATTACTTAATTATTAATATTTATAGGTTTAGGTTTTTTGGTTTAAGATAAGGACAAGTTTTAAAGGTTAGTAATATTATATTAGGTTTGTGGCGTTGCGCTCTTTAGGTTAAGTAGGTAGTACTTTTTGTTTTACTACGATACATGTTTCTTTCTCTTAAGGCAGGTTCTCACCTTGTAGGGCCGACAAATGGCACTTTTTTAAAAAAATTGTTTTGAGAAAACGGTTAAAGATAAAAAGCTGAAATTTTTAACTTTATTTGAAAAGATTTTTATTTTGCGAAAAATAAATTTCAAAATTGAGAAATCAAAAAGGGGCGGGAGGGGGGTCATTGCTCAGTTGCGGCATTTCGGCAAAAAGGTGTCCCGCTTACGGAAGTGATTCAGCCAAAACGGGTAATCGGAAACGTTTTAAAAGTCATCAACCTTTTGCTGGAAATGGCAATACAATTTTGAATAGTTTCCAGGATAATGAATTTCCTTGAAAAGGCTTAGCAATGCATTTTGGAACAGGATAGGTTCTGAACTGCCAGAGAGCAGCCTTTAATTGGGCTTATTTCGCGGTGGACTTACGTAATCCCAGGTACGTGATGTGTGGACTTGGCAATAGGCATAAGAAGCAGGCAGGGCCCATCAAAACCCACGACTGAGGCAAGCCCCTAAGCAAGCATTGAATACTCGGCGAATTAATGCAAATGCGTAAATGATTGTCACAACAACACAATTAGCGCGGCTTGGTATGCCCGGAATTCGCTTGGTACACCAGTCGAGTGCACGAGCCCAGCTTGCAATCTCAGCATTATCGACGAGAGGTCTTCAACTACAGCCACATGCTAGACAGGCCGTCAGCGATGTGGCCACCGCCGAGAGATGGAACACGACAAGTGACCCGCATGCGAAATGAGATGGAGGGAGATGGCGGCTGGCACCGCGCCAGTTAATCGTTAACGGTCTCTCTGTAGAGTGCCCGTGGACCGGGTTCCAGGACCAGGGAGCACCCGCTAAAAACTCCTCTGACCCAGCTGATAATCTTCTGCTGCTGATTTACTGCTGTTTCCTGTTGCTTTTTATTGTTTAACCCGCAGTAAATATGGGTACGCAGGTGCAAAGCGCACCCTCTCCTTCCCGTCGAAGGTCGCGTTCCCTGTGGAATTCCCAAAGGGCATGGCAGGCCAGGCCGGCTAACAAACTTGCGCGCTCGTCGTGCCGCCAGATTGCTGTTCGCGTAATACTCCACACTTAAGATAAGGCTTCTCGAGCAGACACCTGAGATAGCGACTTTTAGATCCACCCTCGCAATTTAAGGGGGAACCGCCGGAGCTTTTGACGACGTCATCGCATTAACGATTCGGACTCGGCTCGTCACGAGCTTTGGTTCAACCCCCGAGCTCAGTCAGCGACCAGCTGTCAACAAAGGCCCCATAACCGAAAGCTGCTCGATTAGTCAGTCATTGTGGGCTGTGAGTGCTCGACATAGCTTTTGCTCGCCGACTTGCCGACTCCCTGATTCGCCCGTTCGCCGAACCTTTTTGTATTCACTTTGCTGTGCTTCAACTTATTTATGTTTTACTCGCATTGTTCTCGGCCTGGTATGTGAATCTTGCTAATTTAATTTGAAGGGAATCGCTGGATTTATCGCCCAGCCAAATGGCTCGAAGCGATATGATAACTGCGACGTAGCGTACTCGTATAATGTTTTCCTGGTGTGTGTGTCTGAGTGGTCAAACATGTTCAAGCACCTTGTTTAACCACAACAGATGCATTGATTTTTTTACGTTCTAATGCGCCTTCTGGTTTCTTTTCTTTTCGTTTGCAGGTCCATGGGCATACTGCTGCCGCCCGTCTCGCAGGTGACCAATACTCGTATCAATCACACGCAGCACCACCGTAATCGCAGCCTCGACAGCGCCCTGCAACGCATTCCGGAGGTAAGTAGTAGAGCCCGAGACAAATTGTGGCAATTAGCTTTTACCCGGACCAAAACACAAACCCTAACCTGCACCGCGTAACCTTGTCGACCGCGAATGCACATACGCAAACTCGAAACACATACATGCGCGCAGCAAAACCTGGAAAGTTTTTGTTTATTTATATTTTTATCGCTTCGTTGCTGGCATTGTTATTCACTTTTGCACTTACTCTAGTGCTAAATATTTGTGTATTTTTGCCTTTATCAGAACCACCAGCTTTTAACTATAACAAAGACCGGGCTGCAGTTTGATTAAAACTATCCCTAACCTCATATAAAACAACACCTATCTCTCGTTCAGGTCGAAGTATCATCTCCAAATGCTGAAGGTGAGAACACGTTCTGCTCCCCGTCCATTCTTGGTGCGAATATGTGCTCGAAGATTGCCACGACTGCGGCAAGTGTATCGGCAGCCCTCTCCCCTCCAGCCACGCCCACGCCGGCCATGACGTCTGTAGCCACTTCGACGGCGCACTCGCCAACGACTGCGGCAACCAAGGAACACACGGAACACCCAGTACCGAAGCAACAGCGACCTATCTGTTTGCAAGCTGCTGGCAGGTCTAGTACCGTCGGTAAGATCCACGTCTGAGGCAGGTCGTCTGTCCTATATTAACTTTCCACCAATCAATTTCAGTTGTGGAGTCCTGTCCAGTGCTGCGAGTACGGCCCAAATCCAGCGAGTCCGTTGCGACCAACGGACAGGAGATAATCGGGACGATGGTCGGCGGCACTGGCAACGGCGGTCATAGCAGCAACAATAGCTGCAGCAGCGCCGGCAGCAGTAAAAAGCGGGAAGATCTCACCAGTCTCGGATCGGATGACTCGGGTAAGTGCGAGCAAGCGGTTCGGGTCGATCAGTCGTGCCTTTTGCTTTTCTGTACAACAATGTGAGAAATCTCTCATTCATACACTTAACCTGCCTTCAGGCATCATCTGTGGCTCAGAGTCGGACCAAATATCGCTGAACCGCATATGCCAGTCACATGAATCGCTCGATTCGGGTGAGATGGATGCGGACGCTGATGCGGATGCCGATGCAGAGGAGGAGTGCGTTGACCTTATGGAGACGACGTCCATCGACGAGGAGTACAACATAATGCAACCGGAACATCTCTGCTTCTTTCCCCCACATGCCTCTTCCACCGAACAAGACTGTCGAACGCTGCGTCCTTCTCGCAAACAGAAGCGCCCGCAGCAGCCGGCCCTGGAACAAGCCAGTGTATTGTCCCAAGAACTGCACCATAAAGGACTCACTGCGGATGCTGGCGTCGACGCCCGAACAAGGTACCGCGTAATGAACATGTCCCAGGCTGCCATCAACGTAGAACTTGGCGCTACTTCCAATGAAATCGAACCAGTGGTGCACGACAATGAAATAGTCCAGAGTCACACTGCGGATGCAGATTTGCCGAATCTAGTAAAGGCATCACCAAGTGCGGCATCGAGAGCACCAGCGGCGCCATCGACAACCACCACGCCAACCGCTACTCCCACACCAACGGAGAGCTCTAAGAACGACCCAGTGCTGTTCAAAAACTTTTTCGGTGCCACCAAAAATGCGATTTTCCGTACGGCCCAAAGCATTATAGAAAACCACGAGAAGAAGAATGCTGCCAAGCAAAAGGAGCAACCTGATCACTCTGCCACTGCGGCCATATTAAGTTCACCCAGCGGAGGCAGTATTTCTCAACATGACCAAGTCAAGTCTCCCACTGACATTTCAAAAAAAAAGGAATTTTTTAGCCTGCTAACGTCGAATTCAAGCAAAAAGGCCGCCGCTGCTGCGGCTGCGGCAGCTGCGAGCTCCGTTGTTAACACGCCTGTCGCTACACCCACGGAATCATTAGCAGCAACAGCGGACCTTAAGTTTCAACAACCGTCCGACTCATCTGCAGACTCAAAGGTGAAGGAGCGAACGCTAAACTTGCGCCTTCCCGGAGCCGATAGCGAAGCCAGTGAACAAGCTCTGGCAAAGTCTTCTTCAATCAACTCCTTACACAAACTAAAGTTGCCTGTTCCTGGTGTCGTCAAGTACTTTATCAGCGAGAGAGCGCCCGTGACGGACTTGCTGCAAAAGCCAGAGAAAGGTCAGAGCGGCCTTTTACGTTTCTTCGAGTCGCCAGTCTTCAATATCCATTTCGCCGTGCACTACCTATTTTACTCTAAAGAACCGGGAGTTCTTAGCTTTATTGGAAATAAGATCTTTAGCTTTCCCGACCAGGAAGTCGATCTCTACATACCGCAACTGATCGTCATGTACATTCAAATGGATGAACTAGCCGAAGTTTTGGATCCGTATCTGACCATTCGGTGTCGCAAGTCCGTTGACTTCTCGCTTAAGTGTCTGTGGCTCTTGGAGGCCTACAACTACCAGGTGGACCCGCTGGGGAATTCTATCAGCAACTCCCGAAAAACTAAACTGGCACTCATGAAGGAGATATTCTCCAAGAAGGAGCAGAAGCAGTCCCAAAACGAAGTTAAGTATGCAGCCACGGCAGGCAACGGGGAACCGAGAACATTAGCTGCATTTACCAAAAAGACACACCACCGTTCCCAGTCCGATGCCACTGTGCTGCTAGCAGACTCGCGCTCGCCTCACATGCTTAGCATATCCCAACGCATTTACCAGCAGCCACCCTACACCACGCAAACCCTTGCACCCACTCCCGCCAAACTGTGTCTCGGTGACCTAACCTCAGGACACGCCTTCGACAACGGCTGCACCTGCTTCGAGTCGGTACGGGGCCAAGTGAACGGCCTTCTCGGGCAGAGGACACTTTGCAGTTGTGGTGCTCCAAAGACGGCGCCCCAGAAGGAGTTTATGAAGGCGCTAATAAACGTAGGTAAAAATCTTACTTCGCTGTCTTCTAAAGCGGAAAAGACTTCAGCGCTGCGAATGTTCCTTAACTTGATCAACAAGAACTTGCCCGCCAGAGTCTGGCTTCCGCTCTACTCGGATATTTCGCACCATGTCGTTCGCATAACAGAGGAAAAGACTGCTGTTTTAAACTCGAAGGACAAGACTCCATACATTATCTACGTGGAAGTGGTCGAGGTTCCCGACATTTACACTTCTCCCCTGATACCAAAGATGATGCCTTCGCTGCGGCACACCAAAAGCGAAGAGCATCTAGAGGGGTCCTGTCTGAACTCGCACCAGCACCTGAGCTGCAGCCGCACTTCCAGCTGTAGCAGTAGTCAGCAGGGCTCAAGCTGCCGAAGGAAAAAGACGGCAGAACTGGATGGCGGCTGCGGCGACGCTGGTTCAGTGAACTGCTACGGCAACACATTGTCATTGGGTGGGCTTCAGCTCCAGGAGGATGATGTTTGGTCGCAGGAAGACGACGAAATTACAGCGCAGTACCTTAACATGAGCAAAGTGAGCGAGCGGGATACTATTTCACAGATGTCGTTGGACTCTTGCGATTCACGAGACCAAGGTTAGTGTTAAATTTTTTAATGTGCATCAAGTTAGCAGAACATCAAGGTTTTTATACCCTTGCAGAGCAAAGGGTATTATAATTTTGGCCAGAAGTTTGCAACGTAGTGAAGGAGACACCTCAGACCCCATAAAGTATATATTCTTGATCAGCATCACAATCTGAATCGAAATACGTCTGTACGTCTGTCCGTCTGTCCTCCTGTCCGTTTCTGCCCAAACTAGTCTCTCAGTTTTAAAGCTATCTTGCTGAAACTTTCCCAAAAGGTGTGTAGTTATTGCACGCAGTATATAAGTCGGAACAGGCCGGATCGGGCGACTATATCGGATAGCTCCCATACAAGAGATTAAAATAAAAAATTCTAACGCCGTTGTTTTTGATCAGATCGACTTGATTTCTTCTAGATGGCGTTTTCTGACCACTATTGAATTTCTGATAAAATTTTATCAAAATCGGATAACTCCACCATATAGCTGTCATACAAAAGATGAAAAAATATATATATAAATAATGAAAAAAATTATAACGTCGTTGTTTTTAATCCCACGAGCATGATTTTTAAAACATGGAATTTTTCAATAACCCTTAAATCGAGAAAAAATTTCATTAAAATCCGACAACGTTATCATATAGCGGCCATAGGAAAGATCGAAAAATCTATATAGAAATATGTGAAATAAAATTAAACCATCGTTGTTCTTCATCAGACAAGCATAATTTCTGGAATATCGAGTTTTCTAACTGCTCTTGAATTGCATATTAAATTTCATCAAAATCGGACAACAATATCATATAGCTGCCATACGAACAATAGTCGAAAATATGGAAAATGAATAGAAAAATCGTCATAGTTTCGATGTTGTTTAGGTCTTATGCATTTTGATCGACATATTTGATGACTGCAAGGGTATATAAGCTTCGGCTTGCCGAGGCTAGCTTCCTCTCTAGTTTTTAAATAAAAAATCTAAAAATTGAGCGGCAAATTTGATTCTTTCACGAATAATTTACGGATAATTAACGGGAAATTCTTGTAAAAAAAAAAAATTAAAAAAGTTTAATATTAGTGGGTTGTCTTGCCAAGTTGATATCAACTTAGCAGAACACCCAATAATTTTTAAAAAAATTAAGCGGCAAATTTTTTTCTTTCACGAATAATTTACGGATAGTAAACGGCAAATTATGAGAAAGAAAAAAAATTTAAATATCAAAAGTTGTTCTGCTAACTTGATGCACAAAATTTTGTACTAATTGACCCAGGTGTTCAAAGATTGCTGACATTATGTTTGACAGGTCCACCCATTGTCTTTAACATTGGCGACGTGCGCCTGCGACATTGCAGCAACTTAAGCTGCGAAAACACAAAATCCTTTAGCAATGACCCAGAAGATCCCTCGGCAGCAGCCCTAAAGGTATACACTTTCATTTTGGGCTCTGAACTTAATCTTATATTTATCGAACCTTTAAGGAACCATGGCACGAAAAGGAAAAGCTCATTCGTGAGTCTTCGCCCTACGGCCATTTATCAAATTGGAGGCTGCTTTCCGCCATTGTCAAGTGCGGCGACGATTTACGCCAGGAACTTATGGCTACTCAATTGTTACAGGTATGAAAACTATAGATACACAAACAGAAATCCCACCAAAGGCGGTTTTATTTTCAGATGTTTAAAATAATATGGCACGAAGAACATGTGGATCTTTGGGTGCGCCCGTACAAGATAGTTTGCCTGTCGAATGATAGTGGTCTTATTGAGCCTATCCTCAACACTGTCTCTCTGCACCAAATTAAGAAGAACTCCAACAAATCACTAAGAGATTATTTTATCGATGAGTACGGCACACCCACTGGAGAGACTTTCCGCCGGGCACAGAAGAATTTTGTCCAAAGCTGTGCAGCTTACTGTCTAATCTCGTATCTGTTGCAAGTCAAGGACAGGTAAGAGTACATTTCATTGTCGTGGGATTTGTTTTTAATGACGCCTCTTAATTTCATTAAGGCATAACGGAAACATACTTTTCCACTCGGATGGGCACATCATACACATTGACTTTGGATTCATTCTGAGTATTTCTCCAAAAAACTTGGGTTGGTATTTTATCGATGATTTCTAAACGTACAGCTTATTTAAAACTGGGCTTTACAGGATTCGAACAATCACCTTTTAAGCTTACACCGGAATTCGTTGAAGTCATGGGGGGCACCAGCTCGGAGCATTGGCGTGAATTTAATAGGCTCCTGTTAGTTGGCATGATGTCTGCCCGAAAGCATATGGATCGTATTATAAACTTTGTAGAAATTATGCGCAGCAGTGAGTTCGGAATGGAAATGGCTAAAAATTATTGCTGCAATAATAATTTTTTTTTCCACAGATGCTCATTTGCCGTGCTTTAAAAATGGATGCTCCGGAACCGTACAGAATCTCCGCAAACGCTTTCATATGAATTTGACCGAGCAAGAAATGGAACGAAAAGTTGAGCAGCTTGTACAAGACTCGTTGAAGAGTCTTTCAACTAAACTGTACGATGGTTATCAGTATTATACGAATGGCATATTGTGAGAAAGATTTTTCATGAAGATCTAAGTATGAAGTTGGATTGAAATTGCCAAGCTGGTAACCAAAATTATGGACTGACTTTTTGTAAAGGAATTATTGTATATTATATAATATGTAATTATCAGCGACAAAAGCAAAAAGAATGAAATTGTACCAAACATAAATCTGTTATCGTAGCTTAAATCGTTCGTTGTATGCGTTCGCGTTGTTGAATTAGCGTAATGTGTATGTTGTCTAGCTGTTAAGAAAAAGTGTAGATGTTTTGATTGTAATTTTAGTTTGTCTGAGTGAGAACTCGAGTGTCGGTCTGTTGTTACATTTTGAATTCATAATTTACTACTTGTATATACATAACAATTTCAATATCTGTGCATACATTTCATTAACTTGTTTGATTGATACTCTTATCTATTCAACCTTATCTACATTTTATACCATGGCGCTTTTTCACTAGTTAGCAATTAATTCCAATATTTAGTTATAAGTTAAACACTAATGCCAAGTTGCTGCAACTTAAAATTGTAATACAGCAATATCACCATTAAGAATATCTATTAAACTATAAAACAATTTAACATAATTTTTAAAAATAAATATGCCACGATTGTAAGTACACAGAAATGAATGAAAACTTCAAATCGCCGTCAACTTTGTTTACACTTGCCTATTTAACCATTTATAACAAAATTATAAAATCCTTTTGAATATCCAACTTAATCTACTTTTAAGCTAGTGTGGCAAGGAATGAAAATCAAAGCATACGAAACAGTACTAAAACAAATAGCTAGACACTGAAAGTGAAAAATTTCAAGTTTGTATAAATAAGGAACACGTTTAAAATATTGCATACACGTGTGTATATTTAAATTAAGTTACACGCAAACAAACTTTAGCTACAAGTATTTGAAAATGTATAAGAATATTTCTACGATTTATTAATAAAATGCGACTAAAATAAAACAGCTTATTGATATACTTCATACTTTACAAATATATATGTATATCATTTGATAACCGCAAGTATTACCCGATTTAATAATTGTTAAAAAAAAAATCTAACACCATGGCACCTTTTTTATACCTTTGAGGCTTCTATAAATTCAGTCAAAAGTTTGCAACTCGGTGAAGGAGACACCTCAGTTCACTTTATGGGAATATATATTTTTTCAAAATATAGTGTTTTTTACCAAAATTTTCAACTAATCTTTTTCAAATCAGTTTTTAGAAATTAACTAAGGGATAAGTTAAAATGACAATTAAATTGCATTCGCTGACACAGATAGTAGGGCTTCTCTAGTTTCCAAAACTATACTTTCTTTGCCTCTAAGTTGTTTCTTGCCCAAATAACAGACAAATTACCATTAAAAAATGTTTTTTTTCGCCGACAACTACATAAAATACTCAAATAAGCCCAGATTTTTTCAATATCTCAAGAAGTACTCTTCCAAATGTGGAATGGCATACATCGTTGAATTCGCAATAAAATTTCCTATCCGATGGCATTCACACCTAAAATTATTGAAATTTGGCCATTTTTCGCAAAAAATGACGATGTAACCCCTTTAGAAAAAATGCGAAAAATGGCCAAAAATCGTTTGTTTTTAATCGTCCAAACAGTGATTGGACTCGTTAACTATGGTCATAAGGAGCTCAAAACAGTTTTTAGTTCGGCTGTAAGTCGCTTTTTGTATTTATTACAACCGAAAAACCACTAAAAGTATAGTGTTTTCTACCAAAATTGTCAATTAACCTTCTCCAAATTAGTTTTTATGAACTAACTAAGGGATCAATTAACTATAACAATTAAATGGCATTCGGTGGCATGAATAGTTGGGCTTTTCTACTTTCCAAAACTATATTTTGTTTGGCTGTAAGTTGTTTCTTGCCCAAATAACAGGCAAATTACCAATGGAAAAAGTTTTTTTTTCCCAAAACTACATAAAATGACTTAAAAAACTCCAGTTTTTTAGCAATATCTCCGGAAATATTCTTCCAAATGTGGAATGGCATACTTCGTTGAATTCGTGATAAATTTCTGAATCCGATGGTATAAACACCCAAAAAAGTTGAAATTTTTCCATTTTTCGCAAAAAATGACGATGTTACCCCTTATGAAAATTGCGAAAATTGGCCAAAAATCATTTTTTTTGAATCGTCCAAAAAGTGATTGGGCTCGTTAACTGTGGTCATAAGGTGCTCAAAACAGTGTTTGGTTCCGCTGTAAGTCACTTTTTGGCCTTATTACAACCAAAAAACCACTCAAAATATAGTATTTTCTACCGGAATTGTCAACTGATCTTTCCCAAATCAGTTTTTATGAACTAACTAAAGGATCAATTAACTATAACAATTAAATGGCATTCGGTGGCATGAATAGTTGGGCTTTTCTACTTTCCAAAACTATATTTTGTTTGGCTGTAAGTTGTTTCTTGCCCAAATAACAGACAAATTACCAATGGAAAAAGTTTTTTTTTTTCCCAAAACTAAATAAAATGACTCAAAAAACTGCAGTTTTTTAGCAATATCTCCGGAAATATTCTTCCAAATGTGGAATGGCATACTTCGTTGAATTCGTGATAAAATTCTGAATCCGATGGTATAAACACCCAAAAAAGTTGAAATTTTGCCATTTTTCGCAAAAAATGACGATGTAACCCCTTTAGAAAAAATGCGAAAAATGGCCAAAAATCGTTTTTTTTTTAATCGTCCAAACGGTGATTGGGCTCGTTAACTATGGTCATTAGGAGCTCAAAACAGTTTTTGGTTCGGCTGTAAGTCGCTTTTTGTATTTATTACAACCGAAAAACCACTAAAAATATAACCAAAATTGTCAACTAATCTTTTCTAAATCAGTTTTTAGAAACTAACTAAGGAATGCCGAGGCCCGCTCCATCCGCCCCCAATCCCAGCGCCGGTCCGCCGCCGCCGCCCATGCTGCCGCCCACGGGTCCGGTCTTCATGTCGTCGTCGTAGCTGTGCTGCCACGCCGCCCGCGACCCCCTCCGCGACTGCATCCGCGACAGGGGCGCCTCGAAGGGGGCTGTCCGTCCGGCCCCTCACTCCGCGGCGGACTGTTCGAGCGGCTGGGCGCCATGCTGCGGCTGCCCTTCAGTTTTTTTTTTTTTTTTTTTTTTTTTTTTTTTTTTATTTATTTATTTAGTGCAGAATCTGTACAGCAAATTAAAGTACTTAACAACACAGGTGTCACCAATGAGAAAAGTAAACCAAACCTCAGCATTAAGAAGAGGATTATATATAGTATTTTCTTATTGATTCCTTATCGTCTTGGCAAAGCCTTGCCTTTTGAGACGCCTCAAAGGTCTCGCTGGGAGTAGATTCCTAGCCAGTAAGCTGCGGTGTCTTTCTAATCTATCTCGGTATCGGCTTGTGTGTCTCCCAATCTGTTCTTCCACAGTGTGTAGATTTAGGTCTCTGTGAAGTGTCGTGCCACGCACATACCAGGGACAGTCAGTAATGGTACGTAGAAACCGATTCTGCAACACTTGTAACCTTTTGTAGTTCGATTTGGCTGCGATCCCCCAAATTTGAATACCATAAAGCCAGATTGGCAGGATACAGAATGCATATACTGCCCTCTTGCATCTCAGCGGCAAAGTGCTCCTTCTGTGTGTAAGCCAACGCAGTTGCTGAATCCTTTGGTTACATTTTTTGACTGTTGCTTTCTGATGTGGTCCGAACGTAAGGCGCTTATCCAGTGTGATACCAAGATATTTTGCTTGCGACGGCTGTTCCAAACTGACTCCCTCTAGCTGGATTTCAGGGGTGTTAGATACAAGTCTCTTCAGTGTAAAGCAGGGGTTCGTAGTTTTTTGCGGATTGATTCTCATATTCCAACGTTTACACCAAGCAGAAAGATCCTTAAGGTATTCTTGTATTCCATTTGCTGCTTCCCTCCGACATCTGGAATTGTAGATGACTGCAATGTCATCTGCATATGTAGCAATCAAAGCTTTGGAAGGATCTATCATGTGATGTCTGTTTGGGCTTGGTATATCCACTGTATATAAAGAGTAAAGCAGCGGCCCAAGCACACTGCCCTGAGGTACTCCTGCTCTCATTCTATAGTTATCAGAGTATCTGTCCCTAACTCTGACCTTGAACTCCCGTTCTTCTAGGTAGGATCTCAGAAGACCATAGTAGGGGGCAGGTAGGAGGTTTTTGATTTTAAGCAAAAGTCCAACATGCCACACCTTATCGAAGGCTTGCTGCATATCAATGAAAACTGCGTTGGAATACTCTTTGTCATCAAAGGCCTGCAAAATATGTTTCACCAATCTATGCACTTGTTCCACAGTGCCGTGTCCTCTTCGAAAACCAAATTGGTGGTCTGGCAAGATATTGTCTCGATTCATGATAACTGCTATTCGATTGGCAATGAGTCTCTCCCACAACTTGGACAGGGACGATAAGAGGCTTATCGGACGGTAAGACTCAGGATCAGCCTCTGGCTTACCTGGCTTGTGGATCATCTGAATTGCTGCTAATTTCCATTGCTTTGGGAACACTTGAGTCCTAATAATAGCATTAAATATTAAAGCTATAAATAGAATCGCTTTTATGGGCAAGGCCTTCAACGTTACGTTGCAAATTCTATCAATTCCTGGAGCCTTATTTTTCGGTAAGGACTGGATAACTTCAGATATTTCTTCAATCCTTATAGGCTTTATTGGCAACGACATCTGCAGAGGCGTCTCCAGAGTTTGATGGGTCTCGCTAACCTGAACTGTCGATGCAAAGCTATACGGAGTGAAGCGTTCTTCTAGATGTAGACCGAAAGCATTGGCCTGCTCCACTTCATTTTTTGCGAGCTCACCACTGGGACACCGAACAGGAACCTGTCTAAGGGGCTGGCGCTTAAGCGATTTTGTACATTTCCACAGTGAATAATTTGCATCCACCGTGTAGTCCATGGAAGACAATTTATGCTCAAAAAAATCGCTTCGAAGTCTCCTTAAAAGGGTTCGAAGTTGCATTGCAGCTCTGTACCACAAAATACGGTCTTCAGGATCTTGAGAACGAATTGCTCTTCTTCGAAGGCGCCTTTTTGTTACAATTAGCGCCTTGGCTTCCCTTGTGAGAACAACACCATAATTGATAGGACGATAATCCGGTTCCAAAGGCGTCGAAGCAGAAGCAGCCATATAAATATTATTAGTTAGAGTGTCAACTGCAATATATTTTGGGATGGATTTTAAGTTAGCGCAGTAGAAAGTAAAACGAAGTAATATATGTATTTACATATTTATAATAAGTGGCATTGACTAGACATCTAAGATTTACAAGACATGGATTGTCCCAAAAATGTATAGTATTAGTATTAGTCTAGGGCATTAAAATAAATAAAATGAATAAAATAAAACGATTGAAATTGTAGCATACCTTTGGGGACTCACAAAAAAAAAAGTGGTGCAGCTCTTGCTTATTTTTGGGGCATACTTTTGGGGGCAATTAAAAAATTAAAAAAAATAGAGCAGCCACCCACTCTTGCTTTCTGCTCGCCTGGTACTTCAAAATTAGGTTTGGTTGAATATGTTGGTCTTGGCCGAACGATTTCGACGGGACAAATTGGAATTTTAGGATTTAAAATACCAGGCCAACAGAACGCATTAGTAGGCGATTTTTTGGCTGTGCAATTTTACATAAAAATGGGTAGCATACTTTTGGGAACAATTAATTTTTAATTTTTGAAATTTTCATTAAAAAGTGTAGCATACTTTTGGGGGCAAGTAAAAATACGAAAATTAAAAATTGGCCACCATCTAAAGCATTCTGTTCGCCTGGTACTTCAAAATTGGTTTGGCCTAAAAATTGTGCACTTGGCTGATCATTAGTACGCCAATCGATTGCCGAATACTAAATTCCCTTTTTGCCACTGAAATACTTAAATATACCCTTGTTTTTCCCAAATAATAAAAAGATACATGTTCAATACAATAAAATGTTATTTAATAAAATATAAACAATAGTATTTATAACATAATAAAAACAGAAATACAAAGTATTAAAATAAGGAAATAAAGCTAGTGTTATTATTGCATTTTATTCGCCAGGTACACCACGCGTTGCAAACTTCCTTCTGTTCCCGCAGGCCAATGGTTCCAAATCTGTTCCTCGCTCTGCTCGTCCAAGGCGAATAAGTTGCGGAAAGGGAGTACTAGGGGAAGTAGAAACCCTCGCTGACCTACTCTCCTGTGAGTCTGACCCAAACCTTGGTTTTATTTGGTGTTATATGCCCTAGGCCAGGTTCCAGCTGCTCTCGTTGATTTCTGAAAAAAAGTTGTATAGTTTTAATAACATTTGTTCAGTCGGGTTTTCTTTTGCACCACAAATGTGCAACATGTTCACCAATTATGGAGGAATTTTCAATACTCACTTCCTTGCACCTTTTCACTGCCGCAGAAAGTAACTTTTTCCAGGGGCGTGGAGAATGGAAGGGAGCGCTGCATCTGTTCGCATGTGCCATATGTACCTACTCGAATATCGTTTGAATCGATATGAGAAAAAGAGATACGCAGCCGTAGCTCCAGCTCAATTTTTGGTTTTATAACAACCGAAAAACCATTCAAAATATAGCGTTTTTTACCAAAATTGTCAACTTAGTTTGGTTTCGTTTGTTGGGTCAATTTTTTATATTCTTACGAAACAACCACTGTTTTGAAATATATTAATTAATCGGCATAGCTTTGAAGTTGATTAGCCTTTATGATTTTTGTTTGATATATTTGATGGCTGCAAAGGTATATAAGCTTCGGCTTGCCGAATGCTAGCTCCCCTTCTTGTTACTATGGAAAGCTTTAACCGCAGCTGGTTGTATTGATCAAATATTTTAAATTGCTTTTCCGACGAGTATGGACCCAGGTAAAATAATTGGAAAACTGTAGGTACATAAAATATTTATTTATATTTGAGATGCTGAAATGCAATTATTGTATTAAAATTTAGAAAAGAGCAGGTGGGTATGGAGCACAAGTCGCGCCGCAGCTTTCCAAAAGTTTGGAGGCAAATATCGGACAAGGAAACTAACAAGTTCTACCACCAAAATGAGATTGATAGCAAACTAAGAGGTCAACTTAAACTTCAAGGTCAATGATTATTTACTTTTAGTGACTACTACTAAATTAGCATTATTTTAGACTTGTCCCCTATTCTGCACAACAACCTGGGAGAATGTAATTTTGTGTCTCCAGAAATGTATAAAAACATATTGGCTGTATGTCGCTGCGGCCGATCACGTCAAGGACCGCATATGGGAAAATGCCTTCAAAGAACATTAAGTCCCGATTACGAGCGATCCATTGGACAGAAAATACCTAAAGATTCGTATGCGCAAGAAACTGCGCCTCTAGGAAAAAACACTGAGCCATTAGCTGTGCCTAGCACTTCAAACTGTTAGTAAGTCCTGATTGAATATTAGAGTATTAAAAAATGAGTACGATTTTCAGCTACTATTGGCTTTGTGAAAGTCCCTAAAAACTACCAAAAATTAGAGCGTTCTATGCAGTATGTTTCGCCAGCCTCATCTTTGCCGGGACCTCGAATAACAGCAGTCCCATACAATAACATTATCATCGGCTAAGATATGCATAGTGGCTTTTACCCAATAAGATTTTGATGACTCAAATTGGGGTTTTTAGCAGTTAAAAAAGAAAAAAAATGATTACTCTCATCTTATAGAACTGGAAATTCCAGAGACGTCTACATCAGAAACCTGTTCTCAGAGGCGTAGCTGTTTCGGTTACAAAAAAAAAATTTCGGTTTCGGTTTAATAAAATTTATTTACAAAATTTTTTAAATTAACAACCACTTGCCTTTCGATAATAGCTTGGCACCTATGTCCCTAAAAGATCAAAAAATCCCTGTAATAAAACTAGTTTAACGCCTATGTACATATATTGATCTCTTTAATATATGCCTTAATGCAGTAGCTTGGTGGCGACTCAGTTTTACTTAAGCAACAGTCGAAGGTAAAGGCTGCGAATTCGATAGAATATGTTCGACAACTGGCATCCAATATTGGTTTTGGCTTCTTTAAGTCAGTTAATATGGGCTCAAGAACCTCTAATTTTCTCATCTTCAAATAACCCATTAGACATTGGGGGAGCACCAGGGGCGCGACCGCTTGCTTCCGCCAGTTCTAACTTGGTCCTCGTCAACAATGTAAGAATACCAGGGTCAATTACACCATTCGTACCCGCTCCGCCGCCAACACAAGAATTTCTCAACTGCTTCGGAAGCTGCCCTACGACATCGCAGTACAATCCCATTTGTGGGAGCAATATGCAGCTCTATATGAACGAGCAGAAGTTTAACTGCGCTCGCTTCTGCGGTGCTGGTGAGTGTACATTGGTTAAACTTCGAAGCCTTCTTCTAATTAATTATTAATTTATTTTATTAAGATATTCAAATAGTTCGTCGAGGCAGTTGCGAGGGTCTTTTTACGATGACGCGAGGCTGACGTTCTTTAGTGAAGAGAATTTTATCTCAAGCCAAAATTTGTTTCCTCTGGTACCGCTTTCATAAAACTTTGATAAGAGCTGGCAAACTGTATACAGAAGCCATATTAATACTATTACTAATGCACCCATAAGTATATAAAATAATATATGTACATACTTGCTTTTGAAAAACATTCCTGATAAGAACCTGGGTTGCTTGTGTACAATGTCGGGGTGGTTTCCATTCATAGGCAGTTCCGGACAGAACTTTAGAGAGTACATACGCCCAAATGATGTCGTCTTATTACTTCGCCATAATTTTCGGTAGAAAACTCACTTTTATTCTTTTATCCTCTTAACATTTCAATTTCTATTTAGCTGTCTTAGTTGGTCATCTACAATTTCAAGCTATAGTAGTAGCAAGAGTGGCCAGTCCTGTTAATCATCGTGCCAACGCCACAATAGGCCACTCGGCCTTTGCTCCCGGAAATAAAAACTACACCCGTGCCGTACCGTCGCCAAATCGGATTGCGCCAGCGAGTCATCATGCTGCCGTTCAAGCTACCGGATTAACATCGCCTTCTTTAAATAGACCTTGGCTATCCGCCAACCAGAACCCAGCGCAAGCTGTGCCACTTCAAAGTGGCTGGATAGCTTCTAACCATTCCCAGCCAGGAGCTCTTCCATCCGTCTGGTTCCAGACTAATCCTTTTCAAGGCCAATTTGGCACTCCAGCACACTCTTATGGCAGAAGCAATGGAACTGTTTATCCTTCTTATAACCAAACAGTTCAGCAAAGAAGCCCTACAGTCCATGGAAGATCTAACTCCAGTCCTTACGGAAACCTTTCTATTTGATCGTTTTTTAAATGGGTAAATTCCCAATAATGAAACAAAAAATTGAATATTAATTTTTTCAAAACACAATTTATTGCGCAATTTGCATCATGGCACGTCCAAATATTAAGATGATCGTCGAAATTAGTGGATTGCTTTCCGGTATTCCAGAAGTAAAAATAAATGTGTATACAAATGATGAATTTTCCAGATATGGGCAAGTCAGGGACGCGGATATTTGGGGCGGTGAATACGCTGATCACGGCATCTATCAAGTATATCAGCTTTGAACTACTAATAAATGGAGTGCCACGCAACCAAGTACGCAACGACAACTGCGTTTGGAGTCAGCCTATGGTCTTAAACGGTAGAGGATCCCTCGCCGCCGTCGCAAGTTCCCACGCCGCAGTCCTGGTGTCCAACAGTAGTCGGGTGATCCCACGGCGCGATGAAAACTGATGTAGGTCCCACGCCGCAGTCAAGATATCCTGCATCCCTCGCCGCTGTCATGAGTTGACATATCCCTCGCCGCCGTCATGAGTTCGCATATCCCTCGCCGCAGTCCGAAATTCTCATCCCTCGCCGTCCGCCTCCAACGCCGCCGTCAATATTATTGGTGTAATTCCCAGTCGTTTGCAAAATAATGCCCCTAACGCCCTCTTCTAAACGCCCTAATAATCCCACGTTGCAAAACCAGACATCCCACGCCGCAGTCAGGAGTTGGAAGTCCCTCGCCGCCGTCTAAAGTGTCTCCCACGCTGCAGTCAGTCGCCAGAGCCCTCTTATTCCCACGCCGCAGTCAAATTTAAAAATCAATTCTCCAACAAATCTAATATCCTCACGAATGCTCCTCATAGAGAAAAGTTAACCAACCAGTTTGAAGCGAAGGTGAATTGCAGTCCAACTGCAGCATCGGTGCGAAGGGGAAGGTAAATGTTGAAATATAGTTTGGAGCCTCCATTCGAGCCAAGAACGTCAGAAAATCAAAAGCTATTCCAGACCATTGGTGCAAGTTCAAAAAAACGGTTACGGGTCGATGCTGTTACGGCAAGAAATAATATCTCCAATCCACGTGTTGCTCCGCGGATTACGGGGATGATCCAAATGAATAATTCAGGACTTCTCGTATATAAAAAATGATCAAAGCGTGTGTGCTCTTATGTCATATAATGTTTCTATTCTGCTCCAATCAGATACAGGATACGAACTTGGTAGTCGAAAGGCCAGTTAATACTGGTTGAAGTTGCAGATGAATGACGAGAATGTCTTTGAATGCTGCTTTCCCTGATCCCTGCCTTGGTAAGGATCCTGAAATGGCTTTCGCAGTTTTAAACACCAGCACGCTGCTCCTACTGCTCACAGCCACGAAGCTTTATACAATTATTCCTTCTGCTAATTCCCGAACGGACAATCCAGCTGCACTCTTCAAGAAAGTCGAACGTCTGCATAGGGTCTGACTCTTAGGGCATAATGTATACAATTTATGGTTTAAATAGCTTAAAATTCATTTTAACAATTCGTTAAATGTAAGAAAATATTTTAACTAATCTAGAAAAAAAAAACAGTCTACAAACGTTAAAATGCTTACTTTTGCATCACAAATCTTGTTGAATTTGGGTTTAAAATTTTCACTACTAAGATCAGCTGCAAGGATAGGTTTAGGATACAATAACAAAAGTGTGTGCTTCAAGTGGCTGTACCGCGGGCGCGTGTCTCTTGGATTCCCTTTGAGACCGACATGACGAATATGCTTGGAGGCGCGCCTGGCATGGCAGCCAGCTTCGATCTTGGCCGGGAAGTGATTCATACAGGTGTTTGTACGTTTGTGAAAGGATCTTTATGGTGGTCGTTCCTGGAAAGCGTAAGTGCATTGTCTAAAACTCTGCTTATATACCTCTGTGTCATGGTTGACCCTGCCCTGCCGCTGTCGCTGTACATCGCTTTGGGTTCCCTTAACGATTTTTTGCTGAAGCGGAGAATTCGCCCAGAAGCTTGACTTTTACCAGGAGCTCAACGGGGAGCTCGACTGCTGTAGTACCACCTCGCAAGTGTTTCCCTTTTGCGGTACGATGATCGGAGGGCCAGGAGTTAAGGGCTCAACTGGCGGAGCGTGGCGCGACCCATTGGGCCCCCAGCTCGGTCTTCGAACACTAATCGCATTTGTTTCCCTTTGCGATGGATATGGGCTATCTCGAACTCTGGTCTACCTACGGAAGGAGAGTGAAGGTGAAACGACAACCCGCTGGAGGCAACCGACGTGCTTCGTCTTTCCCCTGTTGTATTCTGCATTGAGTTCGATTAGTCTCTTTGGACAGAGCGATAGTCTCCAACTGCTGCTGCTGCACATCTTCATAATCGGATTCGGATGCTTGAACACTAATCGCAGTTGGTTCCCATGTGCGGTCAACGACTTGCTAAAAGTTGTTACTTCAGATCTGTCCATAGCTTCAAGGCTGAACACTGCCGATCGCTGAAAGTGACAAGTGATAATTAGCGATGCTACACGAGGATGCCTGTGGCGCAGTTGCAGCAGCAGCCCTGTAACAACGACAACACATCAGCTCACTTCACAGCGAATACTGGTGATGGTGCGGTGTAGCGGCTCTCGGTCCTAACGCATTTGATTCCCTTTAGCGTGGACCGAACGCACAAGTCTGTGCGGTGCAATGCAGTACGTGCTTAGGCTCACAGCTTAGCACATCACGGCGCCAGTCTCGCTCCGATTCTGGCTATTTGGATCATTTTCCAACGTCTTGGACGCACCCGGCCAACGTTCGCTCCGGTCATCGAGAAACTGTGCTGGACACCGCTTAATGATTTGTTAAACACCAGCAGACCTCTCCGGCAGAACACTTGGCTGCAATGTAAAATTATTAGGGTTCACAATCAGCACAAGCGCGCGGTGTCATTTGTTTGCTTGCTTTCTGTGTAAATACTTGATGTTTACACGACCGTATAGTGCTCGACAGTGGCAGTTTAGCTGAAATTAATTGTCGTCGTAGCGGCGCCACGGTCTACTTGCTTAGAGAAACCGAACTGGATGGACTTGATGCATCGTTTTGGATTCCCTTTACGATTTGCAGCAGCACAGCAAAAGACTTGGCCAGCTAGAAGAGGTGTACGTGTTCACTGCTTGCTCCTCAACGTCAAGGCACGGGACTGCCCTTGGTTTTAAATATAGATCAGTCGATGCCCACAGGCACAATCAACTGTGCGGCACCGCTGTAAGAAGTGCAAAAAAAATTTAGGACTGCTATAAATCTCACTCTTGAAAGGGTCCTATGACACGATGCCTCAAGACAAGCGTTGTTCCTGCAACAAACGACTCCACGTCCTGTCCCGAAAAATGTCTGAAAAACAGGAGTAAGCTGGTTCTAGTTGGGTTCAGACCTGACCTGCTTTTCAAATTGAAATCGAAGTGTTGTATGAATGTTGGACTGCGTCGACTGAGTGTTGGTGTTATTGCTTTCAAGTTGGCATTTGATTCCCATTGCCTCAAGAAATTTTGCTACTTGTTCTCGGTAGGTTTTAATTCAGGCGAATGTGCACGCGTGAGTCAGCAGTGTAATATATCGCAACGGCCGGGAGAAACTCATGTCGTGGAATAAACACTGTAATGAATTTATAAATGAGCCTCTTTTTCATTGGAATGGCATAGAAAAACTTTGGAGAGAAATTGTGACGATCCAATCGAGGGTTGAATGCTGCCACGCAGTGCCGAGAATGGTTGCTTCGCTGTCGGCTCATAAGCGCTATTCGGAGCAGCCTCATCACTACAAAATATAAATATAACGAAAGAAAGAAATATCTTGTCGGTCCCAAAGACACTCAAACGCTGTCGGTGGTACAGGGGCTCAGGCTATCGTCGTCAATAACTCGAGATATGTTTCAAATGAGATCTGGGCAGGTACACTCTACTGCAGACATATCGCTACAAGACAGAAATATTTTGTTTTACATTCACCAAATAATTTACATGTCCGGCCGCTTTGCCGTTTCCTTGGAGCTTTTCTCTGCCTGAATACGTTTGTTATTGCGACTTTAGCAAGGATTTCCTCGGTCAATACATCAACTACAGGAAAAGCCAATATTACGGTTAGATAATACAGCATTCCGTTGGCTCGGGTGCCTAGAGCAATGCGCTAAAAATATTATAACGGCAGCATATTTATCGATTTTAAGTATTGAAAACGATTTACGCTTTTGCTTTTATCCCATCGATGAAGTTGGACTGAAATTTAATAACTCAATATAGTCAAGGGCATCCTCTACCGCAAACTCTCCCAATGGTGCCCTTAAAACATCAAGCCTTCGGAAAGTGCGGAGTGCAGAGTACAGTGTGGAGCGCATCATACATGGTCACTCACAGGAACCGATCAACTGTGAAGTGCCGCTACAAATATTAAATCGGCCTTTGCTAGCCCAAATATTAGGAAGATAAAAAGGGCAACCGCCTAGGGTCCAATCATTGCCTGTCGAAATCATAAAAGCAAAAAGAAAAGAGAAGTCGAACGATATGCCCTCACGCGAATACGGAAGAGGGACCATAGACAAACTTGTTATATTCGATGCCTGCAATTCAGGTGTTAATCGAGACAGTTATCTAAAAGGGCTTACGTGCGAAAATTACAGCAGCAGCTTCTCAAAATCCAAACCGCAAAATACATAAAATACGATTGCTCTCCGATGCTCCATTTGCTGTAAATCTGATCAAAAAGCTATATTTTGTTCGCAGCTGATATACCAAATACCGTGTATCTGTGTGGATAAGTGGGTTGTGGTCAGCAGTCCAGAAGCGTTCTATATAGAATAGGTGGTTGTCGATAGTTGACGATAGCCCGAGAGCTTCGATCGCATGTAAGCTGATGTGAGCTGGAGCTGCTGCCGCGCGCATTCCGCCTTGTCCCCATTGTTTTTTCCATTGCCATAGCATTGAATGTCATGCAGAGGATACGGAGACTCGGTGGTGTTTGCTGCTGCTGCTCCCTGCTCTGGCAATCTGTGCAGAATCGGCCGTCGGCTGGTTTGCGGAACTCACTGCCAGACGGTAAAGGTGGTGGGGGTGACTCGGACAGACGTGAAGACTCACTCAGTTACTCAATTTTGCAACGCCATCGCAACGTTGCAACAATCGACTTGACTCTTCTTTACCAGTCTTGGTCGCGATTCGGTTCCATTTAGTGGCCCCCTACGAAGCAGTCGCTTGTTAAGTATTCCGTTCCTCCTCATCGTCGCCATTAACGTGCGAGGAGCAGGAAACTGCAAAACAAAATCGATTATAGGTGCGTGTTTTGCTAACAGAGAAGTGGGATGGAGGCTTGATTAGCGACAAATCTGAGTGAACAATAAATAAAGGCAGCATTGATTTTAACAGTTATTCGTTACAAAGTTTTATTTTAGTTCTTATCAAATATCAGTTCTGTATGTTTACTTAAAAGTAAATTTATAATTTGTATTTTTTTTTTTTTTTTTGTTTACTTTACAGTAGTGCCAAGTTTCTCGAACGAAAGTTATTTAATTTAAGCCGTAAGTACCTCCCAGAAATGACGATGACGACAACGAACATTCGAGTTCGAATTCGAATTTCTCGACAAATCGGACAACAAAAGTAATTCAACTTGGTGTACACAAAAATAGCACTTGCACACAGACTTGTGTATGTATGCATCGAGTTTCTTTGTCTCTATCTAACAGATTTTGTGACGTTGTGGAATTAGTCGTCTGCGACCTCCAATTTTGCCACAAGCACTAACTACGTAACTTATCTAGGTGTTTATAGTATACTGATTTACAAACCGAGTGTACTCCGGGATCAAATGCTGTTCCTGGTTGCTTTTCTCATGGATTTCTGGTGACTCACACATGTCACTCTCGATTCGAAGGCCGTTGACTCAGCAACTCCTCACACTCTTCCAAGCCTTCACTCTTTTTTTTTACAATCTATAACAGCCTTGTTCATGTTTGCGACTGCAAATGAGAAATTGGTTGTCGTAATAAAACTAGTTTAACAATGATAATTTTAAGCTATTGCGACGCAAGAATAAATGACTCGACAGCTGAAAATCGAATAGTGTTTTCTTTTCCTGCCACCATTTTGTAAATATTTCTGTGTGTGTTAGTCACGTATACACACAAAGCGAACACCATATGGTCATCTCTTTCTAACTGGCCACCGCAATGGCACAGCTATGTTGGCTGTTTTTGTCGCTACCCGTCCCCATGTAACTGTTGCTGCTGTTGCTGGGACCATTGTTGTTGCTGGGACCGTTGTTGTTATTGCTGCTCAGGCTGCGCATGAAATTATCAAGGCCACTGAGCTCGCTGCTCCACAAATTGCTTTCTGCCTCTGCCTCCTCGGCAGCCTTGGATTTTGTGGCACCCAAGTCACTAGCACAGTGGGTCCTGCCGTGGGGCACGAACCGCGTCTGCATCTCTAGCCAGCGGCTAAAGCGCTCCTGCTGCTTCCTCCGCAACTCAATCTCCGCGTGAAGCAGGGCCGTCGACAAAATGGCGTTTACGCGCAGGTCGCTGCCAGCGCCCCTTAGCTTGCGACGCATTTTCTGTCGCTTTACGCGAAAATTATGCACCCAGTCCGTCAAGGTTTTGGGGTTCTCTGTGGCGTCAAACTCGTCGTAGTAGGCCACCATTTCGTTGACTCTCCCTCTTTGTTGCACGGTTGGAAAGATTTGCTAATTTGGTATACACACACACCTTAGATGTAACTGCGACCGATTTTTGACGGAACTCCTCGACCAGTCTATCCAACGAACTTTCTAACAGTGAGGCCTGTATTCTACAGGGATGTGAAATATATATCAAAATATCAGTATATCGATATTTTTTGAATAAAAATAAATAAATGCAAATAACATGATATTTTTGTCCGCTAGAGGTCGCTGGTAACAGAGTTGCATTAGGGGATGTATCAGGGTTACCTTCGTGCTTTTCCGCGGCGGGCGAATTCAAAAGGTAACCTGAGCTAGATGGCGTGCTTTTGCTTGGTGCTCCGTACTCGCACACACTGATGGGCCGCACATCCCATGTACAAGTGCGTCCGGCAAAATGCAATGGACAAGTGCGAGGTGGTGGTACTGGAGACCGAGAGCAGGCGATCGGTTCAGTTTGCCGTGGGATCTAGCTGCCGCCGGACGTGGTTGCAATAACGGTACCCAGTAGCAAAATCAGTGGCAACTAAGTAGAGGGAGTGGATGGTCGGGGCACGAAAACGAGAGTCAGAAATTAGCACAGATTGCCAGATGTGAGAAAGAAGCACCAGATATCCAGATATTTTAGCAGATATACAAGTTAACAGATTGCTTAGAGCGTAGGGCACACAAGTGCGCGGAGCAATACCGCAATAATAAGTGGCGCAATCGGTTCGGAGTGATGTACAGATTGTTAATTATTTGGGTGGCATGAGTTAGTGGCGCTCTTTATCCATCTCCGCGAAAAAGTAATTGACCCCCTTAAAGGGGGGCGGATCCCATCGGCAGCCGGAGCCAGCTGAAGAGCCTCTTGCTTAGCGCACTTGGACGCAACCAAAAGTTTATTATTGTTTGTGCCACGCCACGGGAGTGTAAACAAAAACGGCGGTCAGAACTGGCGCGGCGAGATGGAGAACGTGCGTTTTTCCATTATTGTAAGTAGAGCCTCTAATTTTTGCTCCTTCTAATTCGCCTGCTAGTTCTTTTGTTTGTTTGGTTTGGCAGGAAAACGACTTAAAATGGAACTCGGAGAGCGACCAGGCGGCAGAGGTGGACTTGCTTTTAGACAAAAGGAGCATCTCCAGCGAAACAAACAGCGCAGGTGTCTTTAGCGACGAGGCACACGAGATTTACGCGCGCCAGCAGCAGAATCAGATTCTTTGGGAGCTCGAGGAGATTGAGGAAACCTTGGCGTCGTCGCCGGGCGGAAAACATGTCCTGGAAATGGTTCGGTCTGGTTGTTTTTTGGGTAATTTTTTGCATAAGTTGACTTGCTTTACAGGCTAACTCTTTTCTCTTCTGATCGCGCAGAACTTATATCCGACTCTGGCGACTGCAATCTAGCTCTCATCTGCTGCTCGGCGTTTGGCAATGTGGATAACATATTTTTCCTGTTGGACCACTACAGCGCAGATCCCAACGTGGTGGATAGCAAGGGACGGACTCCTTTGCACTTTGCTTGCTACCGCGCAAACGCCCCCATTGCCAAAATGCTGCTTGACCACGGCGCCGACCCGAATCGCTGGGATGCCAAAAAGGAGGTGACTCCGCTGCACTGTGCGGCCAGGTAAGAGACTGAATGGACTAAAACACCTTCTATCCATTGTTGCACAGCACACCAATGTAAACATGCATATTCTTTAGTCCCAACTGGTTATAATTAAGTGTTTTCTCCTTAGTTCCAAGAGCGTGGAGTGCATCCTCCTGCTGCTGCGGCGCAAGGCGAACATCAACATTGGCATTGAGAAGCGCTCTGCCCTGCACTACGCAATCGATGTTAACGCGGTGGACTGCGTCGAGATACTGTTGAGATATGGGGCCGACCCCAACACCCCACAGGTCTACACGGAGACGCCTCTGCACACGGCCAGCGCCAGCGGATTCGCCAACTGTGTCCAGTTGCTTCTCAACCATAACGCCGACGTGCGATCGCAGTTCGGCGAGGGAAAGGTCACGGCTCTGCACTTGGGTAAACAAAGGCTCACTGTTCCGCCAACCAATTCCTTAACAAATCTTAAACTGCAGCTGCGGAGAACGACTACGTGGAGTGTGCTCGTCTGCTCTTAGAGCACGGGGCTGAGGTGGACTGTCGCAATGCCAGCCACCAGACACCATTGCACCTGGCCTGCCTTTCGCAGTCCATCGGCACGGTGGACATACTTATTGCGTACGGAGCCAATGTGAACGCAGTCTACCGTGATGGGAGAACGGCTCTGCATGCAGCCATCGTAAAGCAGTCGCGGTGTTTGGACTGCTGCAATGCACTGCTCAAGGCAGGGGCGGATGTCAACAAGGTAAGATACGTACCGGTTTTGACCTATGCACGGTCTAACCGTTAACGGTACCGTTAATAATATTTCGGGAAATTAGACAATAGGGTTTTTCTATCTTTGCAGAGGTTATTTTTATTTCAGTCAAAAGCTTGCAACGCTGTGCAAGTGTACATATTGTTCTCGATCAGCGTCAACGTTTTTCTGCATATAGTACATGCATAATTGTGAGGTACAGTAGTTTTCCAAGAGTCTTTAATTTGGAGTTCGATTTCGGACGACTACATCGTTTAGCTGCTATAGGAAGCAATCGGATTAATAAGAAAAAATTAATAAAACAAAAAATATACAAGCCTGTGAATTTGTAATGGCATGGTTTTTACTTCTTTTTCGTTTTACTTACATGCTCGTAGCTTGCGTTACAAAATTTCATACGATTTCAGATGTAAAAAAATGTTTTCAGTAACATCGAGCGAATTAGTAACATAGCTGTCATAGAATCCTAGTATTTGTTATTTTAATTATGTACCTCCAAAAATTTTTGGCTAAACAATTTTTACAGATATTTCCATTTGTCAACGGCTTGCAAAAAGAAGCCCAATTTCAAGACTTCCACAGCCCATAACTTTTTAAATCTTTTACCGACCTCAAAGCGGTTTACCTCATAACATTTTTGGTTTTCGATTGCTTGTCCACAGTCCGTAGAAGAAAAGCAACAGTTTAAAAAAGGCAGTATTAATGCATGTCTATTTCTTGCAGGCAGATAGCTATGGTTATACTCCCCTCCACATTGCAGCCTTGAATGAATTTAGCAGTTGTGTGTATACATTTATAGGTAAGAAGCCTGGCACTGGCATGGTAAAATAAGTATACTTATACTTATTCTTCCATGGCCTGGCTACAGCGATTTCTTGTTAGGTAATTGGTCCTGTTCATCCGCAGAGCACGGCGCGGATATTACTGCCAGGACCGATGGACACGTCTCTGCACTATCGTTCATAGTGCGGCGCACGCCTGAGATAATACCCAAGCTAATGCAGAAACTGGACCGCTCCATAAAGGCGAACGACCATGAAATAGGGGACGTTGATTGTCAAATAAAGTTGGACTTCAGGCTTTTGGTTCCCAGTTCTTCGATGGAGCGTGGGGAAACGGAGCTGCTTCTCTCCCTGATAGAGGTTGGTCAGAAACGCATCCTAATGCACCCGCTATGCGAGACGTTTCTCTTCCTCAAGTGGCGCCGCATTCGCAAGTTCTTCCTGATGAGCCTGGCCTATCACACGCTATTCGTTCTTCTCTTCACGCTCTACGTCATCCGAGTATACGTGCGCAGTTGCAAAGAGGGAGAGGTATGCATGGCGCCTGGGTACGTCACGACCATCGGATACCTGGTGATCATGCTGAACCTTATCCTGCTGGGCAAGGAGGTGTTCCAGATGGCCCACGGTCTGCACGGCTATGCAAAGTACTGGGAGAACTGGCTACAGTGGACCATAGTCTTCGGAGTGCTGTTGTGTGTTTCCCCAGAGATACTACGAACTGGCGATTTGCTGGCTGTGCCGGTGTGGCAGCATCATGTGGCAGCTGTGGTGATTTTGTTGGTTTGGCTCGAGCTAATGATGTTGGTGGGCCGATTTCCCATATTTGGGGTTTACGTTCAAATGTTTACCAAAGGTACGTACACTAAAATATGTGCATATTTTTATAGAAGTAAACCGAATGATTCGTTCTTACTTACCTGGTTAGTGGCCGTTAACTTTGCGAAATTCCTGCTGGCTTACATATGCCTTCTAGTGGCATTTGGTCTCAGCTTTGCCGTGCTCTTCAACGATTATCCGGCCTTTGAAAACATAACGTGGTCCTTTTTAAAGTCCATCACAATGATGTCCGGCGAGCTAGAGTTTGAGGACATATTCTATGGGGACTATGCCGTGAAGTTTCCGGTCACAGCTCACATCATATTTCTGTCCTTTGTGCTGCTCGTGACGGTGATCCTCACGAATTTAATGGTGGGGTTGGCCGTCAGTGACATCCAAGGCCTGCAAGTTAGCGCGACGCTGGATCGTCTGGTGCGTCAGGCGGAATTGGTTTCACGCCTAGAAAGTCTCTTCTTCTCGCGCCTGCTGCGCAGTGCACCCACTAATCTGATCCAGCTCTGCAAGCGGAGTGCTCTGTTGCGCACCTCCCGGGACAAACTCCAGTTTACTATCCGACCCAACGACCCACGAGACAATCAGCTGCCCGAGGACATCAAGTTGAATGTCTACAAACTAGTGGCAGAACGGCGCGACAGGAACCAGAGCCTTCGGCGTCGCCAGTTCGAGGAAAACTATAGTATCTTTAGCCGCAGTTTGCAGCGTCAGCAGGAACCGCTCCAAAGGAACTCTCTCCAACAGGAACCAACCGTGGCGACCACCTACAAGCCATCCCAGAATATCATCCAAATGCATGAGCTACTGCGGCCCAGATCCGCCACAAACGTGCCGCAGCAGCTGCGCCAAGAAAACGAGGCAACCGTTCAACTGAAGAACCAGACAAATGGCCTTAATGTCGTGCAAGCCGAGGTACGGGCGATTAAGGCCCAGCTGGGTGAACTGGTAGCGAAGTTTGAGCGTTTTTCGGAAAACGCCACCCGCAAACTAAATTACAGTGCCGACGAACTATGCCGGCTCCGGCAACAAGGTCAGTCCCTGGCCTCCGGTCATAACCGTCACCAGCGCTAAACTGTCTGTCGGAATAGTTTATTATATTAACAATTAAAGCACCTAACATAAAAAGAAAACCATTGTCGATCTGGGATGCCTAGCGGGTTAGCCATTTGTCGTTGCTCTGATTCCAGGTGAGAGTGTCTTCGTTAGGCAGCGGATCGCCTGACGCAATCAGGGTCCACGTCTGCGACTTTGGATTATATGCGAACTTCTTGGAATGGGGTGGAGGAGGAGGAGCGGTTTGCGTCACCAACGGCGGTCGAGTGATGGGCACGATGTTGGGATATACGTTGGCAGCACCCACTACTTTGTCGTTGCTGATGTACTCAACCTGAAACTTTGGGTTCGGGTTTTCCAAAGGCGCAGCAAACAACATGACGGGGCAGAGCAGTGCCACAAGAGCTACAAATGCGACGTCCACGGATATGTTCTTATCATGTAATTAGGTTGTAGAGTGTGGTTTAAAGACTTACTGCAAATGTGGACCATTTTCCAAATTGTAAATTTATTTTCTAATAGCAGCCAAAGGTTTTTTAAAGCAGCTTGCAAACAAACAGACAAACGATTTGCTTTCGACTGACTTGATGCCCGAGATTCAGATTGTGTGGAGGTCATATGCCGTAAATAAAATCGATGGGGTTTGTTTTTGTTTTTATTCGCTGATGTCACCGATCGATTCAGTAATTCACACGTAGAAAAAAGCTAGATTGCTATAATAACCCCAAAATAAGCCTAAGTCTGACAAACTCCTCTATAAAGCTGACGAATACCTGTAAGGGGGGAGGTTCTAATTTTCCAACGAATTATGTACCTAGAGAATGTACTTACTTAAGCCACAGGTCAAGGCGCAGTTGAATTTGTTTTCATTGTAGTAGATTACGTTATCACTTCCACAGATGGGATTGTACTCGCTTGTTGCCGGACAGGACTGCAGGCAAGCATAGTACCGCGGAGACTGCGTGGTTGGTCGAGCAGTGGTGGTCGTGGGGCTGCCTGATCCGACCGGAGATGTTGGAGGCTGACCCGATTGCTGCGGTCGCGTCCATGGGTTTTGCCAAGGCGCTTCAAATCGGTTTCCGTTGTCGAATTGAGGATAGCAGTTAACAACCGCCACCAAAATTAAGACGAGACCTAGAATAGGAATGTTCACTTCTATCGCCTATTTTATTGCGTGCACAACACACCAGAGATTACGATACGATTCATTTCACTCTAGCCCTTGGCTTCCGGCACTCTTGGAAAACAAGTCACTTCTGAGGCATCAAAACAAACGACGCCTATTTATAGGCCAGCTGCGTACCTGATAATCGTGATTGAGACACGACTTCCTCCCTTTCGCCAGTTGATCTGCGGGAATGAACAAAGGAGCTGTTTGTAATTTCAAGAAACGACTTCAAAACCAGTAATTGGGGTTTACGGTCAATGTTAAAAATAATTATAATTAAGTATATGGACAGGCAGGAACTCGGCTCTGGCCGACATTGTGTCAATATCCTAAAAATATGTATTTTGTTATAAGTGAGTTTTTTTCGCTGACCAGCCAGATGTGTACAAATATGTATATTGGTTAAACTCCCCAAAACACCTCCCTGCTTACGCCCCTGACTCAAATTGAAATAATTTTATGGTCGCTGAAAAACCATTTGTTGAAAAATATTTGTATAAATGGGAAATATTTACCTTTGTCCATTGTCAAGATTATATCTTTCTTAAATAAGTAAAGAATACGTTATGGTCGACTTAATTTTATTTTTTGGGCGTTCTGCAACTTAGCTTTGATTTTAAACTTAATGTACATACATAACAATATACATTTATATAGAGCTTGTTGGTATATGCAACCGTATATCAAAAAGCATCACAGAATACATTTTCGCCAAGCATAGCTTGAACGCATAACTAGAAATGTAGTTCCAAGAAGTGAATTCTGACCAGTTTTGGATTTTGGAAAACAATTGCAATTGACGGTGTAAAGAAAATGGAGCTCTTAGTCAAAGCCGAAGTGCAATCTAAATATGTTCAATTAGAAGCTGTTTTGCCTCATCGCAAACATCCGCTGCTGTTGCTGAAGCTGTAGCTGTAGTCGTTGCTGCTGATGATTTTGATTCACTGGCGGCTGGTGTTGCTTAGGCTTGTTCCTACGGGAGGCACCAGATACACCGGGTTGATCTTTAGGTATTTGAATGCTTTGATCACCCATAGTCAGGAAACCCGTTAGTTTATTGTCCAAAACGGTCAGACAAATAGGTACCAACGAAAGCAACTGCAGCTTGCGAGGTGACTGACTTATGTTGCGCTCAGCAATCATAATGTAGTTGGGTGCGCTTTGTGTGTCCACGATTACCTTTTGCATCTTATAGTTAATACTTATGACGTGTCCGGACTCCAAGGTAACAACATTCATCATGTGCTGAAATATCTCCATAACCACTGCTCGCATGTAAATGCCTTGCTTATTGCGGACGTAGCGCTTAAAATACAAGTTGCCAGAGTCCTCACCGGCCAATTTTGCATTGTATTTGCGCTCATTGGCTAGTTTCGTTAGGGCGTGGAGTTCATCCGGCGTGCGTCCAGGCGGTGGGCAGTATTTAAGTGCTGCCGCCAGCAGGCTGAAATGAAGGATCAGTGTCAATAATAAAGTCAAACTGCAAAGGGAAGAGTCAGATACCGGTGCACCATAATGTCAGGGTAGCGGCGGATCGGGCTGGTAAAATGGGTGTAGATAGGTATAGACAAAGCGTAGTGCCACAGGTCGGCTGCTTCCGTTTTACCTTCGCTGCAAAAATAACTGCAAATGGAATGATTGTTAGAAGATACATTTTTCTCTAAAAGAAAGCACATACGTTGCCCTTGCCATTGGTTTCATCAGCAATTGGCTAAGGCAAGCCTTCATTGCGACCGGATTAGGAGCCTCGTTGCAAAGCCGCAACATGCTTTCCTGGAGCGCCTTTGAAGAGCTGTAGTCCAGGTCGAATCCCAGGGCCAACAGCTTTTCCCGTAGCGCCTTAAGAGACTTGGTCAGTGGTGGCGGGTGATTTCGCAACACAGCTATCTCAGGAAAGGAATCGTGGACAAAGCGAGCCACCGCCTGGTTGGCCAGCAACATAAATTCTTCAATCATACGGTTTGCCTCGCGTTGTTTCTCCACTTCGAATGATAAAGGCTCGCCGCTTACTGGATCAAGGATGAAGCGGAGCTTGGCGTTATTAATAGTGATTGCGCCGTTGTTAAAACGCTCTTTTCGCAAGGAGCTTGCAATCGTGTGGAGCAACAGTATCCTTTCTTTAATGTCGTCGGGTTGAAATCCGTTTAAAATAGTAGGGAAATCGTTCTCGTTAAACTGCTCATTAGGGTTATCGATGATTTTTTGGGCATGTTCGTAGGCAAATTGCGAGCATGAATTAATAACGGTACGAGAAAACTCCGGCTTATCCTTCTGCATAACTCCCTCACCATCCACCTTCCAAAAGACGGAGAAGGCGAACTTGTCCTCTCCAGGCAAAAGTGAACAGCGCATGCACAGTGACTCAGGCAGCATGTGGATAACTTCATTGGCCAGGTAAATGGATGTAGAACGCTTCTTAACAATATTGTCTAGTTCATTACCCTCAATTAGGTAGTGCGACACATCGGAAATATGAACGCCGACCTCATACTTGTTGTCGCCTACCTTCTCAATGGAAACGGCGTCGTCCAGATCGCGTGCAGTCATAGGGTCTATAGTAAATATGCAAGTCTTTCTCAAGTCCCTTCGCAGACGTAAATCATCTTTGCTTATCACCGGTGGTGATTGGGAATACATGTCCTTGAAACGTTGCTCAAATGGCTCAATATCTCGAAGATTATTGTGGAAGAGAATAGCTTTGAGCTCGTCGTCTAAATTACCGACGCGGCCCACAGGCTGAATTAGTTCTGCGATGCAGTGCCCATTGCAATCAGTTTCGAGTATGTGGGCCAGGTAAAGGAGGCCGGACACCTCTCCTTGCTGTTTGCTCCCGATGTGGGCGGCACAGGCTTCCATTGGCACGTAGACCATTGGCACCCGCAAGTCATACGGTCGGAATTTATAGAAGAGCTGATCGTCACAGAGTTTAGAGGGGCTCGTAAACGATATGGTGCCAACGATCTGGCGTAGTTCAGTCTGCTTGGTGATGGCTATAACGAACGCCTTAGGGCAATTGTCCGACGATATGACAATCACGTTGTCGACATCCGCTTCCGAGTCCTGGGACTCCGTGTCGTCCGACAGCTCGACATCGTCCGCTGGATAGAAGGGAAGGATTATGCGACAACGTTCAATAAAATGATGGAAATAACTCACCGAGTGATAGCGAGGGCTTTCCTCCTGTGATTCCTCCAGAGCTCTCTGGCTTTGAACTGCACTGGGCACCTGCGTTCAGAACAAACGCACGCACTTTGTCGCCTTCGAAGGCATATCGGCGGGCCACAGGCAGAAGCACGATGCCATCTCGATCAAGGGCTTCACGGTCCGTAGACATCGTGATGAAGGCCTGCCTGTTGTTTTTGCGGTTCACTCGGATTTCCTCCTCTACAATGCGGCCGTACCCTGCCGCGGTCAGGCGCTGTGCATGATCTTCCAAATCCGAAAAGTCGCCCTTGAAAATCAACTGTGGAGGCAGGTGATCCGTGCCCACGTGGTGTTGAACAATCTTGTTTATGTATAACCGCAAGGCCTCTAGCTCAGTTTTTAGAGACTGTGTAGTAATTTTGCCAGAGCTCTCGCTTTTCTTACGGTTGCGCTGTCGTCGCCCCGGTTTCTGCTGTTGCTGGACAGGATTGCTGTTGCTGCTCGTGTTGGAGACTTCAGACTCAAGACGATGGCGGCCGTGTCCCCGCTGCTGAGGCAATTGTTGCCTGATCATCTCACTTCCGCCGTCGATCCGCTGTGGTAGTTGTCGGCGGGCTGCTTGTATCGGCACTGGACCGACATTGTTTTGATGAGTCCACTCCAATTGGGATAAGATTTCGTTTTGATGAATCAACTGAGCGGCATACACATTAACGTCCGAGGAAACTTGCGACAGCAGTTTTACCATCTCCTGAAGAGCCTCCACTTCGTTTCTAAGAGTCCGCTTCGACTTCTTCTTCGCCATTAGCTGTTGGCTTGTATTTGGCGGAATCTGCATCGGCGGCAGCGGTTGCTGGAAGGGCACCGCCAGCGAGTAGGAAGGCATTGTCAGGTGGTAAGGTAGGGACATTGCTATCGCCGCCGGCGCGGAATCCGGCACAGCATTTCGGACAGCCTGTCGGCTGTTAGAGGACGTGGCTGGGGCAAGGGTGCTCGGACCCTCTACTAGGCGTCTCTGCGGTGGTGGATTAACGACCTTTTCGTCCGTGGCGGCTGGTGAACCTTTGCTGGCTGCCCTGGACGTCTCCATCTCTCTCTGCATATTTTGGAGGCGGGCTGTCAGGCGCTGGGAACGCTGACGGAGCGCCTCGATCTTCGTGCATTCCTGGGCGGACGGTTCGGCGGAGCCCCGGTCCGCGTCATGTTCCCTTTCCGCATCTACGACAACGCTTGACGTTCCCGACATTCTGAACCGGAGGTGCGCTTCGTCTTTCGGTCTTACTGATATCTGAAGGCAATTGGAGCTACTATGCTCTCTCTGTGGGGATGTATATGCTGCCGGACAACATCAATTAAGCACTTCTTCGAAATTAAGGTGACGTGACCAGGGCTGCAACTCACACCCGCTGCAGTAGGACCGTACAGCGGGGTTATTAGAGCACCAGCCTGTTCGGTCACACTTCTTCAATTCGGTTGAATCGAGATGAACGACGGTGAGTTGTTTCTATTTATTTAAGCACTTACAAACATAAATTTACACTGTTTTCCCAGAGGAAATCATAAAGCAGCGCCTGCTGATCGACGGAGACGGCACTGGAGAAGATCGGCGACTTAACGTGCTGCTTAAGCAGTTTCTGAAGTGGGCAAACGCCAAGAGCGACTCGCCGGAAACCAAGTATGATATCGCATAGGCGATGCGCTCAAAGTACTTAAAAATATATTTTTAACTCCACTGTAGCCCCATTATGTATGACCGTTTAATGGCCCAGTTCGCTCAGTGCAAGCTCACCGCGATGAAAAATATCCAGACGCTTCAGATGATTGCTGAAGAGCGAGAGAATTACAGTGAGCTGATGAAACAGCACGAGCTGAGCATCGTCTTAGCTAAGGAGGAGATCGAAGCGAGTAAGAAGGAGCTGATCACTGCCAAGCAGATTCGCAAAAACAAGATGGAGTACGATCTACTGGCATCACTCATTCAGGAGCAGCCTGACCGCAATGGCCAACAAAAGCAGATCGAGACCATAAAAAGAGAGATTGATGACTTGGTACAGAAAAAGCTTAAGATGGAGCGCAAGTTTCAGAAACGTCGTAATGACTTTACGCTTCTCATGTATACGATCCACGAGTTGGAGCAGCAGCTAGATCAGGACAACAGTTCCTCTTCGTCTTCTTCATCCTCCTCGTCGTCCTCCCCTTTCAGTGAAACCGAGGAGCCGGACCTGGATGACAACGGCATTATGGAGGTGAGCGACGAAGATGACGATCTTAACAACAGCAGTGCCACCAAATTTGATGGAATCCGCGGTGAACCAAAGTTCTACTCTGTTTCTACGGAGGACTCCAAGGCCATGTCTGTGGAAGAGGACACTGTGCTCGAGCTGAGTATTGACAAGGATGAGCATGATGTAGATGTAGCCGTGGCCAGTTAGGTTAAAAAGCAATTATAAAAATCATCAAAAGTAAAAATAAATGGCAATGGCTTTGTGATTTGACAAAACAAGGCTTGTTTTCATAAAAACTTTCTGATCTCTAATCCGTAAACACCATTACGATAATAGGCTTACTATTTTAAGAAATAACGCAGGCACATCTAAATGGAAACACTTTGTGCTTTGATGTGCAGTTTTTGCCATGTTTTACATTAAATATATAAATCAATATAATTAAAGGTGTTAACACTTTAATAACGTTTCAAAATCGATTCCGTTTTGGTATGAAGGCACTTATTTGATGTATTTGGTTATTTTCCACGAACGGTCACACAGAAAAGCTAAAGGGAAGAAGAAGAACCAGAAGAAATAGAAAAGTTTTCATCTACAAAAAGTTCAAGATATACCTAAAAAGCGCGCTTTATCTAAGAATTCCCAAACTGTTTATAGCGACAGAATGATGAACGACGATAAAAGGTAGGTAAACTCTATAAAATGTGCAAACCACATGTGTGTGTATTGACTGGAATCGCACTCCCCTCACCATCCAACAGCTACGACTCGAGCAACAACAGCGAGTCGGGGGATCGTCGAGCTAAGCATAAGAAGGCCAAGAAGCACAAAAAACACAAGAAGTCCCTAAGCAAGGGCGAGAAGGACAGACATGTCCATAAGAAGCAAAAGAAGTCAAAAAAGCGCTCCCATCGACCAAGCGAGTCCTCAAACGACTCGGACGCGCCGGGAAACGCCAAAACCAAGCTTGCGAAAAACGTCGGACTTAGCAGCAAGTTCACCGAGATCATGCAGAGAGCCAGCCGCAATGGTGCTGACTTTCGCATCACCAAGCCACTGCTTCCGACTGACCCGAGCAGCCTGGTCGAAGAGATCACTAAGACCATTCAAAATAAGGTGCTGCCCGTCTTGGAAGTGGCCAGTTCGGGTAGCGAAAGCGAAGTGTGAGTATTGCGGAGTAAAGCCAGAATTCGTGACGCCGCTTACTTTTTCTAATTTAGGCCCGCCGATGTAGCTAGTCCGATCATTGCGCCTATAATCGAGGACGAGCTCAACTTGGAGGACCTGATGCGTCAGAAGGCTTTGCTGCAGGCTCGCCTGGGCGCATATATGTCGGACCCAGAGGCCGAGGAGAGAGGCGAGCCCTATCGCCATTCGCAGCATCCACAACCACAAGCAGTTCTGGCCAAATCAGTGTCCAAGGTGGCCACCTCCGCACCGCAGCCCCAGCCGCAGGCGATGGCCGCCAGCAAGCCTGCAGCGCCGCTGGCTACTGCAACCAGTAAACATGCTAATATTAAACAGTGTAGCACTCATAACTCAAATGAACCCGATGTTATATTGTTGGATGATTCTAGCGGAGGCCAGCGAACTCCTTCGCCCACACCCGAGAAGCGAAGGCGCTACACATCCCCGTTTCCAGCAGCCCCGAGAAGTCGAGCTCGCGATGACCCTGGCCACGGACGTCGGGAACGGCGCTCCAAAGAACGAGACCGTACTCCTCCACGACGCCGGGCAGCAGAGCAGCCCATACAGGCCCGGCCTCGCAGTCGCAATCGGAATATGGAGGATCTGCGGCAGGAGATCAATCGCGATAAGCAGAGAGAGAGACGCGACCATAGCCGTGACCGAGACCGACGTGGATCAGAGAGGCCGATGACAACCGATTTTCGACTAGGTCGTGCCCGTGAGCGAGATATTCGGCCCAATCGGAGCCAGCGGTCACACAGCCGCAGTAAGTTTGAGTCTGACAGGCGCCGTGAGCGGGAACGGCAAAAGGACCGGGATCGTGGTAGCTTTGACCGTGGTGGCGGTCGCGGAGGAGCACGCGGCGGCGCAGACAACGGAGACCGGGATCGTTACAAGGGTTCGCTGAGTGAGGGGCAAAAGAAGCATGACAAGGAGAGTAGTGATGAGGAGGTGAACCTCGACATTGATATTAACGATGACGATGATGACGAGGAGCGTATCATTGAGCTGCGCCGGAAGAAGCGCGAAGAGCTTCTCAAAGTAGGTTATAGGTTTTATTTTAATGTTGCGAACGGATAGCAAATATTTTTTGAATGCCAACAGAAACTGGGAAGTGGTCAGGAATCACCAACGCCCCAAAACTCCATCTCGAATGAGTCTCGAAGCTCATCGCCGGTCTCATCCCAACGCGAAAGACCCCCTAGGACGCCGACGCCTACTCTGCCTAGCTCTGATCTGACAAAGGACCAGCAACAGCTGGACAACTCGAGCAGCCAAAAGAACTCTGTGAAGGAAAAACGAAATGAGTGGGATATGTTCGCCGACCAGGACGTGGATTCAAATTTCGATGTGAGTCGCAGGATTGTAAATTTCAGTGCCTCATTCCCATAGCACAGTTAACTATCTTGATTTCAATTTTCGCAGTCACCTAATACAATCGTTCAAAACAAGCATCAACACGAAAATCCCGCCCTCACCGATAACTGGGACGATGCTGAGGGCTACTATCGTGTACGAATTGGTGAGGTATTGGATAATCGCTACCTTGTGAACGGGTACACAGGTCAGGGCGTGTTTAGCAATGTCGTTCGTGGCCGAGACCAAGCTCGGGGACAGGCCAATGTAGCCATCAAGATTATACGCAACAACGAAATAATGTAAGTTTAAATGTTTCATATAACCGAAGAGTACATCTTACACGGTTTTCCAACTTTATTAGGCACAAAACTGGATTGAGGGAGCTGGAAATCCTTAAGAAACTGAACGATGCTGATCCAGAGGATAGATTCCACTGCCTGCGTTTATATCGCCACTTTTTCCACAAACAGGTAATTCATAAATATTTTCAGTAGCTGGCGCGCTATTTACGTTTGATTTACTATAGCATCTTTGCATGGTGTTCGAGCCACTGGCAATGAATTTGCGGGAGGTACTCAAGAAATACGGCAAAAATGTTGGCCTTCACATAAAAGCAGTGCGTAGTTACACACAACAACTATTTTTGGCACTTAAATTGCTGAAAAAAACCGGCATTTTGCACGCAGACATTAAGCCGGATAACATTTTAGTTAATGAAAATAACCTGATACTAAAGCTGTGCGATTTTGGGTCAGCCTCGGCCATCAGCGACAACGAAATAACACCATACTTGGTGTCACGGTTTTACCGCGCGCCAGAAATTATTTTGGGTATACCCTACGATTATGGAATTGACACCTGGTCCGCTGGCTGCACAATCTATGAGCTGTACACAGGAAAAATTCTGTTTAGCGGGAAGAGTAACAACCAGATGCTAAAGTTCTTTATGGACGTGAAGGGCAAGATACCAAACCGAATTGTCAGAAAAGGTCAATTCAAGGAGCAACATTTTGATCAGAGCTGCAACTTCCTTTACCACGAGATAGATAGACTCACCGAAAGGGTAATTTCTTTCAAAAAATGAGAACAGCAAACGCCTGAACTTTAATATGTTTCTTCTGCAGGAAAAGATTGTTGTAATGCCGGTCGTTAAACCTTCGCGCAGCTTGCAGCAGGAACTAATTGCAGAACAAAACCTGCCAGACGATCAGCATCGCAAAGTTACCCAGCTCAAGGATTTGCTTGAAAACATGTTTGCCTTGGACCCGGCCAAGCGGATCTCCCTCAACCAGGCACTTGTTCACCCATTCATTCAGGAGAAAATGTAGAGCCAACGTCGTATATTAAACGTAATTCTATTTTACCTAGCTCGTAAGACAATGGTCATGCCCAACTCGCAAGTTAGTTAGTAGTTTTTGTTCGTTATCACTTAGAAATCACACAATCTATACATTTACACAAGCGATGTAAATATGCTCAGTGGTTTTTTGCTGTACGGCGCGTTTTGAGAATAGAATTATAAAAAAAAAAACAATTAGCAAATTTTGTAAAACTTGTTATTCAATTCGTGTGTGTATGCGTGTATATAAGTATATTAATGCTACCTTTGTATAAAAAAAAAGCATGTGAGTGATTTGCCACACACCATACACATATATAATTTTAAAGTAAATCGTAATAATGTGTGCTACAATTTCAGTTTGTCGCTGATTTCGGGAGTGCGTTCCATGGCCTTGTGGCTGACTCTACTGGTAATACATTATACTTACGACCTTGCAGAGGATACATCTGAAGTTAAACAATCAGTAGGTCTTTTCGGTTACTATTAATGCTCGCCGTAAAACCATTACTTAGAAGTAATGATTTATATAAGAACAGTGCTTCGACAAATATTATTAATTTCCTGTAACAAGGTTAATAGTATTTGTTCTTATCTTAAAAAGTTATGAGTATTTTCTCAAATATGAATCGCTTAAACGTTTGTTTCGCTTAAGTGTTAAAGACTGTCAAAACAAGAAATTGCAAGATTCGGCAGGTCGTAAAAAGCATCAGGCATTTAAGCTTTAAACTGATGAACTACCTGTTAGTTGCGGCTAACCTCTTACACCCACACATCTTTGATTTCTCTATTTTCTTTAAACTTGCAGTTTGGGTTGTCAACACATTTCTCTGATGATGATCTCCTGTCTGATGTAATATGTAAGTAGATTAAGTAATTTTCAGCGAAGTTTTTAGCAGGCCCTCGCATCCCCAGAGCTATGTGTGCAATTTGGTCAAAAAACGGTGAGTTGAATTTTTTTAAATATCGAAGTCTGTGGGCACCGGCAGTTCAAGCGCTGCTTGTAAGGACTCACTCGAGCACAGATTATGAATTCCCGCTGTTTGAATGGAGGGGATGCTTTTTAGTAGCCACCTCACTTTCATGAGCTTCCAATTGTTTCCCGCATAGGGATCCCGCACCAGCCCGAATGCGCACTCGAAGACACCAACGCAACGCTGGCATGTGTGTAGGGTGCCACAGCAGAGCACAATGAAATGTCCATAGGAATCCATCCGGCCCTGAATCCCGGCGTGTGTTAAATTCGGATTGAAGTGAAAGTCGAACTGCTGCTTGGCGCTCATAAGTGCTGACAGAACCTCGGCAGCTGTCGTGCACTCCTGCTCGTTAATCCCATCGCTGGCTATAATAGTGAGATGCAGTACCGCATCGGTCCACAAGTCCACCAGGCTTAGACTGTCTGAATTGAAGCGCTCAAAAAACCACTCTCCGAACTTACGGGCAATCGCGTGAATGGGGTAGTCTTTTTCGCTCTGCTCAGAAATTGAGACTTCGGAGGCGCCAGCCTGGTCTCCGGAAAGGAGTCGTCGTGAATTCTGGTCATGATTCTGTTCCCAGTACTCAATCACTTTTGACATGAGGTCCGCTTTGCTGAAATCTGTTGCTACTTCGGGCTGGCGACAGTGCAAATATGTAAACAGAAGTTCTCTGGTAATAGCACGCTTAGAAAGAAATATATAAATGTCCGGAATATGTGCAGTGAGCACTCGAAGGGCTTCTGCAAAGTAAACACAGACTTTGGGTATTTATTGATTGATTAAATCTGGGACCTAAATTTCACCTTCTGGATCCTCTGTTTTGCACACATTTTTTGTGATGCCTTTGACCATCTGCAGGAGGACCGTTGAGTTCCTCTCATTTACCAGTAAATCCCGAAGTCCCATTACCTGAGTCTCGGAAATCGGCATGGCTGGAAGCATAAAATTTTATCCCTGATGCGATATTTCCTTAACTGTGGATTTTTAAAAAGCAAGTTTTTTTTCTGTTATTTTGATTAATCAGGTGATACCCCCAGTGTACGGCCACACTTAGAGTGTTTCCCGTAAATATCACGGTGAATGGTCGTTTATGCGAAAGATAAGCAAAAATATGTGATTTTCTAGAATCTAGATTATGTAGCTGTTAGTCAAAATGAATTCTGTATCTAAAATTTGAATAATACTAAAATGAATTACTGTTACTGAAAGTGTATGTTTACGGCTTAACCAATTTATAGCGACACGTTTGAGTTTTGTAGATTTTTTTATAAAAGTAAAGATTTTGAATTTTGCCATGCATAAACTGTGTTTCGCTGGTATGCTGTGACACCCATCCGCAATAAATATATTTACTCACCGAACAAGTTTCTGTAAGGCCGCACACGCGATTACCAAAGAGAGGGCCCGCACACCTTATCGCTTATCGCATACTTTTCGTAGAATATGTCTACAAGATTCCAATAACTAATTTTAGTGTCGAACAAACTCGCGAGAAAGTATATTGGCATTTATTGACTGTGAACTCTGGACACCCATACCCAGTAAGAAATGGACTCCCCCTACTTCCGAGGTGGCCTCACCCCCGCTTGCGTTGACTGGTCCATTCGTTGGTGCTATCGACGATGGTACAACCTCCGCCAGGTTCATAATTTTCCGGGCCGGCACCGACGAGATCGTGTGCTTCCACCAGATCGAGGTGGAATCGATCTTTCAGAAGGAAGGGTGGTGCGAGCAGGACCCCATGGTCATCGTAAACACAGTCAACGAGTGTATCGCTGGTGCCTGCAAGAAGCTTGTTACTCTTGGCGGTAAAGTTGAGGTACGTCGTACTGGATAGTTATAAACACCCCTCACCAATCCTTACAAAGATGGGCGATCGATAGGTTTTTTATTGACTTAAGAAATCACATGGAAGAGCAAAGAGGCTAATTTGGCAGCTAGCTTTTGTCCAGCAGAAATTTGCGGTATATTTGTGCCTCTTTGATTCTTTCCTCGATCGTGCGCGCTGGTTTTTCCTCGGCACGTTCGTCAAGTTTCACGTAGATTTGGTCGTTGTGGCCAAAGTCACCGTTGCGACGCGGCATCACATGGAAGTGGACGTGAGGAACGGTTTGCCCAGCCTGTGCGCCGTCCTGCACCGTGACAGTGGCGGAAGTGGTGCAGTAGATCTTCTCCAGCAACCTCTGCACCATGCAGACGGTTGCGAACATGTCGGTCATTTCAGCGCAATTAAGGCCGCACAGGCGCGGCGTTACCCGCTTGGTGGACACCAGAACATGGCCCTCCACTACGCAGCGCAGGTTGGTAAAGGCGAAGCAATGCTCTGACTCGTAGAAAATGGTACGTTTATCCACCAAGTTGTTGGCAAAAAGGCGATCCAGCAAGAACTCCTCGCTACGGATGTTGTAGGCCGTCAAGCTGTAAACGTCGTGGCGCCTGTGCTCAAAGCATGGCATGCTTTGGTATATGGCCTTTAGCGACGAGAGATTCACCACTGCCGTGCCGATAGTCAGCTCCTGATCGCCGCCGCAATCGGCAAGCACCTTTCCCCAGGGATTTACGATGAGGCTGTGGCCCCAGCTCTGCCGCTTTTGGTTGTGCCAGCCTTGCTGGGCCGCCGCGACCACGAAGCACTGAGTCTCTATCGCCCTTGCTCGCAGCAGAATTTCCCAGTGCGCCTTGCCCGTGGCATAGGTGAAGGCAGCCGGGTAGGTGAGGAGCTGGGCCCCAAGTTTTCTGAGAAGCACTGCTGGCTCGGCGAACCGGAGGTCGTAGCATATCTGAAGTCCCACTTGACCGGCAGGTGTGCTGACAGGGCGCTCTAGGCGCCGGCCCGGCGTCACGGTGTCCGACTCCCGCAGTCGAACCTCCTTTGTGGTAGCATCAAACAGATGTAGCTTTCTGTAAACCGCAGCCAGCTCTCCCTTCTCGTTAACCAGCACGTGCGCATTGTAGATCTTGCCTTGCTCATTCCTCTCATGCACTCCGCCTAGGGAGAGCCACATGGCGTTACACCTGGCCAGCTCCCGGTACTGCGCCATCAACTCTCCATCCAACCCCTCGGATAGTTCGAGCGTTTGGGCTCGGTTTTCGCCCACAAAGTCGCAGCACTCGGGTAGGAAAAGCATGCAGGCATTCCTGCTCTTGGCCCTGGCAATCAGTTCCTTTACCTGGCCGAGATTGGCAACCTTGTCACTGGTAGAGCACATCTGCCCTACAGCAATAATCGCACTTTGACCTATTTGCTCTTGGCTGGACATCCTGCGAAGCTTTTGCTGCTGGGTGATCACAATGCTGCGTTGTATAATTCTGACAAGAGTTGACATTAATACAGGCCGTTCTGGTTACGTCGCTCTGTGCAGGTTATCAATTATTTTCAGAATGTTGTTTACGGCCTTTTCCCCGTTCTCCCCTTTCACGTTCCCTTGCTTATCGGCGTTTCTCAGCGAATGGCAACTCAGTGTGTACACAGATTTTTAAAAGAAAAACATATAATATATTGTAACGGTTTTCAGCCACTTAAAATTTTTAACGATTAACGATAGAATTTTAATTTTTAAATTGTTTCAGGAAATTATCACAATTGGAATAACGAATCAACGCGAGTCCACGGTAGTGTGGGATAAAAATACGGGAGAGCCGCTAGTCAATGCTATAATCTGGCTTGACAACCGGACTACAAGTACGGTAGAGCAACTTCTGGAGACGATTCCGAACAACGCTAGGAACATCAACTACTTGCGACCCCTATGCGGACTCCCTCTTTCGCCTTACTTCTCGGGCGTGAAGCTTCGCTGGCTGCGGGACAATGTTCCAGTAGTCAGTCAGGCTATGGAAAAAGGCACGGCCATGTTTGGTACCATCGACACCTGGCTTATGTACAACCTGACTGGCGGCAAGGAAGGAGGTGTCCACAAGACCGATGTAACCAATGCCTCGCGGACAATGCTGATGAACATCGAGACCCTTCAGTGGGATCCCAATTTGCTAAAGTTCTTCGGCCTACCCAGGAGTATTCTGCCGGAGATCTGCTCAAGCGCCGAGCTCTACGGAAACATTGCACATGGAGTGCTTAAGGGCATTAGTATAAGTGCGGCTTTGGGCGACCAGCAGGCGGCTCTTGTGGGGCAACAGTGCCTGGCCAAGGGTCAGGCAAAGGGTACCTATGGCACTGGATGCTTCCTGCTCTACAACACAGGGAATTCAATCGTGCACTCTCAACACGGGCTGCTAACGACCGTGGGCTACCAACTGGGTCGGAAGGCTGCCCCATTCTACGCCCTCGAAGGCAGTGTATCAATTGCGGGCGCGGCCTTCAACTGGCTGCGCGATAACATCAACCTCATCCAAAACTCTGGCCAAATCGAAACAATGGCCAGCACTGTGGATAACTCTCTGGACGTTTACTTTGTGCCAGCATTTAATGGACTCTACGCCCCCTATTGGAACCAAGACGCCCGGGGCGTTATTTGTGGACTAAGCGAGGAGACAACTAGTGAGCACATTGTGCGAGCCACCTTGGAGGCGGTTTGCTTTCAGGTTCGAGATATTCTTGAATCGATGCACAAGGACTGTAAAATTCCTCTGACTAAGCTGATGGTGGACGGGGGCATGACTGTGAACAACCTGTTCTTACAACTGCAGTCCGACCTAGTAGGGATACAAGTGCTCAGGGCCAAGATCGCGGAGACAACAGCGCTGGTTAGTATTTTAATGTGTAGGTTAAGCTCAGTTCTAAAATCGAATTCTTACAGGGAGCTGCCATGGCAGCCTACAAAGCCGTTGAAAGTCGCTACCAAATAGAAGCTCCACTTTCAAAGTCTGGCCATCGAGAAGCCATTAAACCGTCCATCAGTGCCACCGATCGCGATATCCGCTATCAGAAGTGGAAAATGGCCATTGAGCGTTCTTTAAACTGGGAGACTTCGACGCTTCCGCACGGCGAGCGCGAGGCCTTCGATGGAGCGTAGTTGCAGCTGCTTGGGATTTGGTGATGGTTGTTTCATTTGTGAGGCCTGGCCCAAAGGCCCAATCTGTGTTCGACATTTCGATTTATTGCATATATATAAAATGTTGATGAAAAACGTAGAAAGAGTTTTCTGTGCGCGCTGCTGCTTTGGCAGTGTATTTCGTCATTCGGTGCTGTTCTTTGTTTTACATGTTTTCTTCGACAATGCCGGCGGCACCGGCACCCACAGCCTGATCCAATACATTCAGCATTACAACTCCACCAGCCGCCTCATCCACAGCAACCACGGCTGCTGGACCAGCCACGCCAATCGCTGCGGGGGCGGCGGCCACGCCAACGACTAGCTCTGCATTGTTGGGATGCGGATTGACCACTGCGATGGGAAGAATCGGGTTTCCACCTAAAAGGAAGATTGGCTTTATGGAGCTGTCACTCTCCACGTCGAAGCTTACGTACTTGCGTCCAATTCCAGTGGCGGATCGGCATTTGCTTCGGCGAGATTCGTTACAGACTTGGATTTTACGCACTGGAAGTCAACATGACGGCTCTTCGCCTCCTCTTTCTCCCAGGACATGTGAATAAACGGGCGCTGAACATAGCTGTAGATCACCTCGGCCCGACCGCCAGGACGTCTGCGTATCTTCTCCTTGTGAGTGGGGTATCCCTCTATGCCGCAACGAATCTTCTTCAGCCCTCGATCCTTCATTACCTGCTTTGCCACATCGCGATTCTCGATATACTTGAAGAATCGGTGCATGGCAGTGCTGTGAACGGCTGCGTTCAAAAGAGTCCTTTTATATCTGGGATCCCGATTGCAATATTTTCTGTCTCCACTTACTCTGGCAATACTCCTCTCCCATTTGGGGCGGGAACTCCTCGTCCCATTCGACCATATCGTCTTCTAGGAGCACCACCACATGGCATTCACGGTCCCCGCGTTGCGCCGAAGCCACCATAAGGGGCAGGATGAGATCCTCTAAAAAGAGCTCGAACTGCTGACGCGCTCCCTCGTTGCTGAGTTCATGGAGAAGGCCTCCTTTATGTCGAACACAACAGAAAGCATGTTTAAAGAAAAAGAAAACGGAAAGAAGCAGAGGTGGCCAAAACTAAAGTTCGCCCAGGCAGGATCAGCACGCGGTATACTCACTTAAGTTCTGGCAGCGCACGGTAGTGGCGTCGAAGGGGATGAGCAGATAATCACAGGCTTCCTTTAGTTCCGGTACGGAAACTGTAGGCGGGCAGCGAATGACACCGCTTTTGTAGTACTCCAAAATGGCCCGGAACACTAAGTGGGAAATACCGTCGGCCACGTCGTATTCCCCGCGCTCATTGGCATGCGCGAATTGGAAGCCGGAGCCAAACATTGTGCCCAGCATTGTGGTAGGATGCGCTGTGAGTAGGGACTGCTCCACCGTGAAGCGCACGCCGTCCACCAGCATGGATATCCGCTCAGGGGGAGCCTGGAGACGATTTCCCAAGCCGGATCCAGTCGCCTGGCAACTAGGAGATGCTCCGCCCGGGGACTTTCCATCGTGCTTTGGCACTGCTCCGCCAGCTGACATGTTGTGCTGAGGCTGCGTTCGGTTCAGCCGACTGCGCTCCTTTAGGATTCGCCTTCTGCGCTCCTCGGCCGTCTCGCGGCCCTCTTCGCTGCTGTCGCTACTGTACGTGTCCTGCTTCTGGGAGAGGGGGTGTTTGCTGTTGCTGTTACTGTTGCTACTACTACTGTTGGAATTGGGAGTGGTTGACATGTTTGTTGCGTTTGCTGAGTTCTTTACACATATGTATTTCAGTTTCACAACGCTCCGCCCGACTTTTCAGGCGAGACAATGAAGACGATCTGACAAGGACAAAGGAGGGTCAAAATAACGAAGCGATAACCAAGCTTATCAGCGGATCTACGGATCAAATAATACTTACATTACCTTTGTGCGACGAGACTCTTGCTCTTTCTTAAATGTAATTATAAATATACATATTTTTTCTTGTTGGTGCTGGAGATGGACTCCAAATCGGGCTTTCAAAGCGATAGTTTTTCAAAATGAGCTCGGCAGTTTCAGAGTGCCCATTAGTTTTTTAAATATCATTACAAAAACCCATATTAATAATAAAATTATTTTAAAAAGGCGTCATATGATATTATATACATATTTGCTGTATATAACACTACTACAAATTTCTCACTTCCTTAAAAAAGATTTTTTACAACTTTTATAGCAGCTTTTCATGTGAATTAATTGTCTAAGTAATATACATACATACTACTTGCATTAGAAAGAAGACTGCTAGATTATCTAAAATGGTCATTCGGACTTGCTTTAATCAATATTTCATTATAATGTTAATCTTTTGACGTTTTTTCTTTATCAAGTTTAATGAGACTATGGTACGCTCGAGGTATAACATTTTATATAACTTAAAGAAATGGCGAATTACGATTGATGAATTATAATGGTGCTTATTGTTTATATTTAAAGGACACCAGTATTTAAAAAATAAGAACTTTATTAAAAATTTAAAATATTCTTGCAACAGTCCCTGTCATATGCAACCCTGTACACAAGCTATGCGTATCGATACCGTCCACGACTATATGTACTCGATAGTTTAAATTTGCAACCGTTCATCATGGCGATCTGAGAAAAATAATTTTTGCTCAAAAATAAAATAAATATCAAAAGATTTGTAATTGCTGCGAATGCAAATTCGATCTAGCGAAACGTGAGTTTGGTAGTGAGGCTGCGCGAAGTTCAACGGTTACAAGCGGTTTTCCGCCCGTGCAGGTACCAGGCGTGTGTGTCTGCGGCGGCAAAAACCCAAATGTAAAATATATAACAAAATCCCAACTCCCTTAAGACCGTGTCGTGCGAAAGTAGTGACCCAGGTGGGCGTAGTGGGCACGGCAGCGAGAAGGGCGCGTACAGTGGGTGCAGGAGTGTGTGGTTCGCAATAACAAATAATTTGTTATATTAAAAGTGAAAAAAGTGCAAAAAAAAAACTATGATTGCCTCTGTGCAGAAGACGGGCGGAGGGGGATGGCTGGCTGTTGAGTAGAAGCTGATAGATGCAACACTCGCGCCACCTGCTTGCCTCCCGCTCGCACTTACGCGTGGAGTGAGCGCGCCTTAAGCGAGCGTGCTATGTGCGAGCGAGAAGGCGCTAGCAGTGTGTTGCGGCATCCAGCAATTGTTTGGTGATCGGAGCGTTCTTCTATATATTTTGTGTATTTTTGGAATGGTCAAAAATATTAAAACTTATTTGAACGCTCACGGCAATCGAATTAACAACCAACCTTCCCGTCTGTATCCGCCCTTTAGATCAGCATATGACAAACAGTAAGGCAAGCCAGTGGGCCAGCGAAAACCTACAAAAGTGTATACAAACACAACGAACAATAACAAAAGGAAGCAAGCGGGAGGTGGCAGTGGACTAACTTGCCCGGTAGTGGAGTGCGAAGCACACAGGACTGCAAAGTGGCGTCGCTACTGGATATCCGGGCTGGGGCAGCAGCGGCGTCCATGTCCACGGGACACCAAGGGCGGACCACCAAGAACTACGACCGCACCACAGGCAGGAGAGCGCAGCAGCAGCAGCAGCCGGTGTGGTGTCGCCAACTGTGGCCTTAAGCATGTAGTAAGTAGCCATCAGATGCCATCTGAACTGATAACTGTATACTGTATAACCACTCCTACAACAATCTTTAACTAGGTCTTGCAGTACATAACCCGTTCTCTAAAAAGCACAAGACATAAGGGAAAGGTAGCAATCAAAGCGAAAACACACACAAATCCAATCAACACCAATGAAAAATGTCACAAAGAGGTAAGCGCGGTAATCAGCATCACCACCAGTCGCACCATCCGCCGCCGCAGCAGCAGCTGCGCAAGGATGTTGAGCCGCAGCCGCCGCCCACCAAACGGCGCAAAGGCAGGCCGCCCAACGGGGCTAACACGGCAGTAATAGCTGCTGCCTCGGCGGTCGAGGTCATTGAAGGGGGACCTGGAGCTGGCGCAACAGCTGTCGGATTAGAGCGTCTTGCAGTTCTAAGCAACAGCAAGCATGACCAAAAGGGGGGTCCAGAGCCCGATGCCGGAGGAGGCGAGGGTAGAGCTACGGCGGGTGCCGGCAGCACTAGCAAACCCAAGTCAACGAAGCTGGCCAAGTCGGCGAGCAAGTGCAAGTCGCAGGGGGCGAGTTCGAGCAGCTCCTGGCAAGCACGATCTGTGGCGGACATTAAGATGTCGAGCATCTACAATCGTAGCTCAACGGAAGCCCCGGCTGAACTTTACCGGTAAGTTTTGGTTTAGCGGTCCAATCCTCACGATTTAACTATACTTATAATTATAATTCCATTGCAGCAAGGATCTCATTAGCGCAATGAAATTGCCAGACTCTGAGCCGCTGGCAAACTACGAGTATTTAATAGTAACGGATCAATGGAAGCAGGAATGGGAGAAGGGCGTGCAAGTGCCCGTCAATCCCGACTCCCTTCCCGAGCCGTGTGTCTACGTTCTGCCTGAGCCTGTTGTGCCGCCTGCACACGACTTTAAGCTGTGAGTTCAAGTCTGCCACCATAGAACTGAACTCTACATGACGTTTATCTTTTACAGCCCGAAAAATCGCTATCTACGCATTACCAAAGACGAGCACTACTCGCCGGAGCTGCATTACCTGACAAATGTCGTTGCCTTGGCGGAGAACACATGTGCCTATGACATAGATCCCATTGACGACGCCTGGCTGCGACTTTACAACGGCGATCGTGCCCAGTGTGGTGCTTTTCCCATCAACGAGACGCAGTTTGAGCGCGTCATTGAGGAACTAGAGGTGAGGTTACTGATATCCTTTAATATACCATCGTAATGACTTGTATTTAAGGTTCGTTGCTGGGAACAGATTCAAGTCATACTTAAACAGGAAGAAGGCTTGGGTATCGAATTCGATGAGAATGTCATCTGCGATGTTTGCCGGTCGCCCGACTCCGAGGAGGCCAACGAAATGGTATTCTGTGATAATTGCAATATCTGTGTGCACCAGGCTTGTTACGGCATTACAGCAATTCCATCAGGTAAGTTATGCTCGGTGTCAAAGAAAATTTGTAAATTCACTTACATCCATTTTTGTTTCAGGCCAATGGCTATGTCGCACTTGCTCAATGGGCATCAAACCAGACTGTGTGCTGTGCCCAAACAAGGGCGGCGCCATGAAGTCCAATAAATCTGGTAAGCACTGGGCCCATGTTTCCTGCGCCCTGTGGATACCTGAGGTCAGCATTGGTTGTGTGGACCGCATGGAGCCCATCACAAAAATCTCAAGCATTCCCCAGTCACGCTGGTCTCTGATCTGTGTGCTCTGCCGCAAGCGAGTTGGCAGCTGCATCCAGTGCTCAGTAAAACCCTGCAAAACGGCCTACCATGTAACCTGCGCGTTCCAGCACGGTCTGGAAATGCGTGCAATCATCGAGGAAGGTAATGCTGAGGACGGTGTGAAACTGCGCTCCTATTGCCAGAAGCACAGCATGAGCAAGGGTAAGAAGGAGAATGCTGGTGGTCATGGTCATGGCGGAGGCAGTGCCTCAGTCGCGAGCGCCATGCACAAAGCAAACAGATACGGCAATGGCGCAGGCGGAGCTGTAGACGACGGCAGCAACGCGCAAGGGACGTCTGGAGAAGATCCGCGCAGACGAAAAAATCACCGAAAAACCGAACTTACCTCTGAGGAGCGAAACCAAGCTAGGGCTCAGCGACTTCAGGTTAGTGAACCCATGTTGCCCTTTAAGTTTATTATGATGGACCGTTTGCCTAAAGTTGATGCTAATTGTTACCTTTAACTTTCAGGAAGTGGAGGCCGAGTTTGACAAGCACGTTAACGTTAATGACATTAGCTGCCATCTCTTTGATGTCGATGACGATGCTATTGTTGCCATATACAACTACTGGAAGCTCAAGCGAAAGTCACGACACAACCGCGAACTAATCCCGCCCAAGTCTGAGGACGTTGAGATGATAGCAAGGAAGCAAGAGCAGCAGGATATGGAGAATCATAAACTGGTGGTTCATTTGCGTCAGGATCTGGAGAGAGTTCGTAATCTCTGCTATATGGTTAGCCGAAGAGAGAAGCTTTCGCGTTCCCTCTTCAAGCTACGTGAGCAGGTCTTTTACAAGCAGCTTGGTGTGCTAGACGAAATGCGATTAGAAAAGCAGCTGCCGCATCAGGAGGAAAAGCAGCGGCCTGAAATGGACCTGGACGCCGTCATCTACGCCAATGACGGTCCCACGTTGTATGACCGCTTTTACAGTTCCGCTGGAGGACAAACTGTGCCGGCGCAGTACCAGGATCTAAATTACATCCTCGAACAGCTGATGGGCAAGCTGCACAGTGGTAAGCAGGGGCGTGGCCGTGCTTCTCAATCTCCCAACAAACGAAAGCAGCCTGCCAAAGCGTCACCAAGCAAGAAACTCAACAATGGCGCCCTTAGCTTCCGCACTGCATCGCCTGAAAAGCCTGCGCCAGGAAGTAAAGTGGGAGCGACTGTCGCTAAGGTGCGGGGATCCCCTCCTGGAAAGACTCCTGCAGGGAGGCGTGCCTCAAAGAGCAGCGCGGCGGCGGCGACGTCGACCCACAACAGAAATCAATCGCACTCAAATATCCGAATTAGCGCGTCCTCCCATTCGTCAAGCGGCAGTTCATCATCGGGTAATTCCAGCTCGGCGAATGGCAGCAGCAGTTCCGAAAGTTCCTCCGGAAGTGAATCGGGAAGTGAGAGTAGAAGCTCTAGCGCAGCCAGCGGAGTCTCCAAGCGAAAGTCTGCCTCAGGAAGCCCACTCAAAAAGCAAAGTTACGCGCGCTCCGTTGAGCAGCGACAAAAACAGCGCCAGCGGCGCCAAAGTGAAGCTGCTACGGGTGCGACTGCGGCGTCTCCGGATTCCAGATCCGGGAGCAGCTCTAGCGATGACGAAGACGAACGTAGTAGGGGCTGTCAAGATCGTGACCGCGGAGCGAGACGTGGTCCAGTCCTCAGTAAACCAGTACCTAATAAAAGCCAGACAACTAAGTCAAAACCTAACACGGAAACCGGCACTGGACAAGGGGCTGGTGCATCAGCGAGAAGAAAGCTGTCCACGGCAACACGAGGTCTTGCCCAAATGCACAAGGATGCCGAGGAGAGCTTGTCGAGCGACGAAAGTGAAGAGTTGTTGCCTTTAAGACGCGAACCGCAGCGTGAAAACACAAGGACTTCTGGATTGGTCTCGACTGGCTTGGCCACCAACCGAAAGATGGGTCAGCACATCTATTCCGACTCTGAAAGCAGTTCCTCTGCCCAAGAAAAAGATGCAGAGGAGCAGGCAACTGTGGAAAGCAACGTAAGTGACTCACAGAATCAGCAGACAATAAGGACGAAGGCAGCTTTGAAACAGTTTGTGCCAGGACACACCACCACAAGTGCCCCTACTCCTCAAGCGGCATCCTCGGGTAACAAAGTGAAGTCCGTGAGGGAAGAAAAGGATTTAAAGGATGGAGGGACCAGTACCAGTAACAGCACAAAATATAAAACGAATTCAAATGCCAAGCTGCCATATCCAGCTGATCTCCTGGTGGTGCCACAGCGTCAAGCAGCCAAGAAAGCATCGGAGAACATGCGGTCCACGAATCTCGCCACGACGCTGCAGCCAGATGTCTCTGAGAGAGTTAGAGAGCCGGAAACAAACTCAAATCCAACGAGCGCTAAGAGCAAGCATAAGGACTCGAGTTCTCGGGCAGGGCTAGAGACCAATAAATCTAGTTTAGAAAAAGTTCGACCAAAAGAGCAGCCCCAGAAGGCGGGTGGAAAGGCGTCCGAAAACGCTCCCGTGGAAAGAGGGAAGCGAGGGAGGCCACCAAAAGTGCCAAGGGATACCCGCCATCCCTCCACATCCGAAAAAGAAAAGCCTGCGGCTCCAACGCCTTCCACAACTAAACCTCCATCGGTCCCCATTACTGCAGCCTCAACTAAATCAAACTTTGCCGTATCCCTGGTTCCCCAACGGCAAGCGGCTAAAAAGGCGGCGGAGCAGTTGAAAAGTAGCAAACCCGTGCAGGAATCTTTCTCTATTGGAAATGACACCTCGCAAAAAGAAGCAGGAACGCCGGCAGCCGGACCTGGAACAGGAGCAGGTGTATCAGTGATCACCATCCCAATAAAGCCGACCAGACGAACTTCGCTTAAGGAAGCACAAATAACTCCAAAGGAAAGCTTAAGTAGTAGAAGAAGGTCTAAAGAAGATGCGTCCGTGTCGCCCAACAAGACAACCCCTGCAATCAAGCATCACGTAGCGGCCCCCAATCTTTCAAGTTCTAGCTCCGGCGACAGCGACAGCTCGAGTTCTTCCAGCAGCTCGGATAGCAGTTCCAGCAGCGGCGGCAGCGATAGCGACAGCGAGTCTCAGGCCAGCGATTTGGAAAAGCCAGCGAACAGAGAGCCCGTCCAAGCCACTGCTTCAGTCCCATCAGTGTCCTCCATTGTGCCAAAGCGTTCACCTCGCAAGTCTATCGACAAGCCTTCAGCTTCAGCCGTCACTATTGGAACAGCCCCACCTCAGCCTCCAGCTACCCGGTCCCGCCAGAACTCTACAACAAAATCGCCAAAAAGAGCAATTCAGAAACCTGGGGTGAGCGCGCAGGAAACTGTTCCAAATGCTTCCAAAATACAGTTGCAGCGTCGCCAGGGATCTTTGGATGAGAGTGCAAAGCAGGTCCAGTCGGAGCAAGCTACAAAGAGAGCGACACGTGGTTCCAAATCGCGCCCTCCTTCGCCCGCAATAAAATCTTCACCAGAGAAAACAACACCCCGGCGTAAGTCTCGAGCGGATGATTCTCCCAAGAAAATAGCAAACTTGGAGCACGAGATTAACCAAAGGAAGGCTGCAAGCGGAAAGGCAACCAGTTCACTTGACAAGCTTCTAAATAAAAAGCAGCAGCAGATGAACTACTCTGTCCCAGCTACGCCACCTCAAATGTCACCGACTCCTCCTGCTTCTAGCACACCTATTGTGAAAAGTCAACATGAACTCACAGAAGTCCCAGTCTCCCGAACCAACCAGGACACGGATGTGCAGCCAGAGCTCGAGCCAGAGCCAGATAACGCAGCAGAGGCTGGCGAGCTGCCAATGGATATTGATGAAGAGCTGACAACCGCACCAACGCGAACTCAACTCTCTGCAAACGCGAGTAAGCTGGCGGACATTATCGATGATGAGCGTCCCCCAGCTGCTCCGCTTCCTGCCTCGCCCACTCCCACTCCTACCTCTAATGACGAGTTGTCCGATGCCGGAAGTGAGCTCAGCGATAGGCGGCGCATGCGCTGGCGGTCCAGGCGCAGAAGAAGGAGGCGTAGCGACGAGCCTGACGAAGAGCACACCCATCACACACAACACCTACTTAACGAAATGGAAATGGCCCGGGAATTGGAGGAGGAACGTAAAAATGAGCTGCTTGCTAATGCAAGTAAGTACTCGGCTTCTACGTCCTCCCCAGCTGTCACGGTTATTCCTCCCGATCCACCGGAAATTATAGAGTTAGACTCGAACTCTGCGAATTCTGGGGCAGATCAGCAGCAGGTTCAGTCGCAGGAGCCATCCTTGCCGCCACCGCTTGTGGTGCAGTCCAGTGCGGCTGGGGTGGTGCCATCCGCTATTCAACTTCTGCCTTCACACCAGCCTCTCATCGAGCAATTGCCAGTAGAGCACTTGCCACCAGTGTTGACAGAGCCCATCGTTGACACAATACTAGAGATGGAGGACAGCAAATTCGCCAACAACTTTGCGTCGAGCTTAGCCAGCGTGTTAAATCCCCCCAATCCAGGACAGATGGGCCTTCTTGGATCAACCATTGATAGTAGTAAGCAAATCAGTGAAGAGGATAATATCCAAGCAACCCGAAACCTATTGGAGAAACTACGCAAAACTAAGCGCAAGCCACAGGATGATTGTTGTGCCAAGGAGGCAGTCGATATATTGCCTCCAACTCCAGCCATTCCATCAGTGTTTCCTTTCCACAATGCTGCGGATCCAGAGGATATTATCCACGTCCAAAAAGAACAACAACAGCAGCAGCAACAGCAGCAGCAACAGCAGCAGCAACAACAGCAGCAACAGCAGCAACCACAGAGTTGTATTTATGGCAATTCATCAGGACCCAACTCTGTGGCCTCATTGACCATTAAGGACTCGCCCATGACTGCTAACAGTGGAAGCTATGCGAACAGTCTTACTAGCACTCCAAACGCCACACCCACCAACGCAACAATGAGCAATCTTGGTCCCAGCAGTGTCTTCCAAGTCAACTTTCCGAATTCCCAGCAAGCCCCAACTTTGAGTTTGTTTTTGGAAAAGTCTCCCCACCAAAAAGGAGCTTGTTCGTTAGCCAGCAATGGCGGAGCTGGTGCTGGGCCACCCGGAGCCACTCCCGACTTTGTGGATTTGGCAGCGGCAGCTGTCAAAAACACTCTCGGGAGCTTCCGCGGCGCAGTGGTGGTTCCGAGACAATCCGGAACGGGAGGTACCAACAAGATCAGCGACTACGATGAAAACACTCGGATGCAGTCACCGTTTGGAAGGATTCCGTGGAATGAAAATGACCTAATCGCGGAGAGACGGAGTAGCTCGCCCAGTTCAGTGTCGGAGTCCAATGATCCACCGCCACCAGCGGCCGCAGTGGCGGCAGCAGCATCGGCAGCCCGCTCTCTCGCCCAGATTGAAAGCTGTAAAAACTTCTTTAACAGCTATTCCACTGGAAATGGGACGCCTAGCGATGCAAACGCCACGACGCCGTTTAACCATGCTCCAATGGTGAACGGTATTGATGCCATACCAATATTCAACAATACTGCGCCGCCGCAGCATCAACAATCAACGCCAACTCAACAGCAGCAGCAAAGAACTCCCAACAGCCAGTACAATGGAGGTATCTATCCGCAAATGGCAGCTATGATGCATCCACAGACGACGCCGACGGAAACGTCTCCAAATTTGTACGGAAATGGCTCTGTTGGTGGTGTCGGTGTTGGTGTTGGTGTCGGTGTCGGTGTCGGTGTCGGTGTCGGTCCTGTGCATCCAACGTCACTGCCTGCGTCGGTTCAGGCCAACCAGTACTCGGGGACACCTTATTCCACAGCCAGCTTGGGAATGCTGCCAGTACAACCACCTGCACTTTCTCCTGTTCCCGTTCAGACGACGGCAACGCCAAATCACCAGTTTGCCCTGACTTCGCCAGTGGATGGAAAGATTCAGGCCTATTCGGGTCAGATGCTTAGTAGCTGTGCTGAAACCGCCGTGGCCTCAATGATGCCACCCACGCCTCCGGTGGCAGTCGCGACCAAGGATTCGCCGAACAAAAGGATAAGCAGCGTAACCGGTGGCAGTTCATCTAAGAAACAATCACACAAATCTCCCCAGCTGCTCCAACGAAAATCGCCCGGCAAGTCCCCTAGGCAGCCCTTGCATCCACCAACTCCTCCAGCACCAGTTCCGCTAGTGGCCTTGCCTCCTACCAAATACGACCCGCAAACGCACACCTTGCAGGGCAAGCCGCGTCAGCGTGCTCCGCGAGGTAGCGGCGGGTCTGGGGCGCACGGCAGGGGCAGAGGGCGTGGAAGGGGTCGGGGACGTGGGGCCGGAGCTACGACTGGCATGACCATGGTTCTGCCGCCGCCGATGGCAGACTACGGAAGCAACACTCATATAGTTAACAATTTAGTCGGAACGCCTTTTGAGTTCAACAACGAGTTCGACGACATGGCAGGACCAGGCGTTGAAAATCTGCAATCGCTCAGAGACCGGCGAAGAAGCTTTGAGCTGCGAGCGCCACGAGGTCAGAGCAAGCCCGCAACTACTCCAAATAACGCGACAGCCACAAATCCCCTCCTGCATCCAGTACTGCCGGGGCCTGTTGACATGAGGACATACAACCTTGGATTTGAAGCACCCCATAGTACGGCGTCCCAAGAGGCCTACCAGAACAATCTGCTGGGGGCCTTTGACTCGGGGACGGCAGATCAAACACTCAGTGAGTTTAACGAAGAGGACGAACGTCAGTTTCAGTCGGCCCTGAGAGCAACCGGCACAGGAACCTCTCCCAGCAAGCAGCCCCCAGCACAAACGACGCCTGTTGCAGCCCCTGCTACCCCCGTGCTGCCACCTGCCGCGAGCCTTCTTCTTCACTCCACAGAAGCTAACCAAATGGCGCCCAGTGCTATTGTCACAGGTGCTGCAACTCACTTGGTAGAAGGCTCGCTGGTAGAGGCTTCTATGGAGGCAACTTCTGAGGAGGTCTCGATCGACTCGGACAGCACTATACTGCACACGAAGACCTCAATATCCGACGCCCGAAGTCAGCTGAAACTCAAGATCAAAAGCCCGTTAACCTTTCCGGAGCATTATAACTCAATGACGAACAGCAGTAGTAAGACTTTGTCCAGTACCTTGGTACAGTCCTCCAACGCTGTGTCTGCCGTGTCCACCTCAACGGTGGTGAGCGCGTCATCCGCTGTAAGCGGCAACTCGCGTCGCATGCGTAAGAAAGAACTACTCAGTCTCTATGTGGTGCAAAAGGACAACCACAATGACGACAGTTCATGTGGCCTACCAGCCGCTTCCGACAACCTTCCTCTGGAAAACATACTGCGAAAGTCGGAGGAGGAGGATGAACTCTCTGGAGCCAATGGGTCGAAAAGGTTCAAAAAGAACTCGAGTAGCAGGGAACTGCGTGCTCTTGATGCAAACATGTCCCTGGTAGAGGAACAGATGCTCTCTGGAGCTTCGGGCACGGCAGCGGGAATATCATCTGGCGACGGCAGACGGCGCAGCGCTTGCAGCTCTGGCAGCAACAACGACAATAACGGCAAGACGGGAGCTGCAAGCAGTGCAGGTAAGCGCCGAGGGAGAAGCAAGACTCTTGAAAGCAGCGAGGATGACCACCAGGCCCCTAAGCTGAAGATCAAAATCAGGGGATTGTCTGCAAACGAGACAACCTCAAGTGCCTCCAATGCTGGCGAGGGGCAGAGCTACAGCTATGAGATGACCCGAAGGGCTTGTCCTCCCAAAAAGCGTTTGACAAGCAACTACAGCACTCTCACGCTGGAGGAAATCAAGAGGGACTCCATGAACTACCGCAAAAAAGTTATGCAGGACTTTGACAAGGGGGAAGACAACAATAAGAGGGAGGGACTAGTTCAAGCCGGAGAGTCTCTCATAATGCCCCAGCCTCCAAGCAAGCGGCCCAAATCCTCTAAGCCCAAGAAGGATAAAAAGGAGAAAAAAAGGCAAAAACACCAACAGCTTATTCTGAGCAGCAGTACAGCTACCATGACTACTACCCTAATTGAGAACACGGCAAGCGCATCTCCAGGGGATAAGCCCAAGCTTATCCTGCGTTTTGGCAAACGAAAGGCGGAGACTACGACAAAGATGGCTTGCTTTGAGCAGCCTCCTGCGGTGGAGGCACCAGCACCGCTGCGTTTCAAAATAGCTAGAAACTCTACTGGAGGTGGCTATATAATAGGCACAAAGGCCGATAAGCAGGAAGAGCCTTCGCCGGAGAATACGTCTCCGGTTACAGAGCTACCGCTGGTAGCGCCGCTCGGAGAGACTTCTCCTCAGGCTCTGCTGCTCAATAGTTTTACGCCGCACTCCCAGAACGCTAACGCGTCGCCAGCCCTGCTTGGCAAGGACACAGGCACCCCATCGCCGCCCTGCCTGGTGATAGACTCTAGCAAGAGTGCCGATGTGCACGACTCCACATCCCTACCCGAAAGCGGTGTCGCTGCCATGGGCGTGACGGCCTCCCTCGTGGGCGCCACCACACCTCTGTGCGTCAACGTCGGAAGTTACGACAACAGCAACAATTCACTGCCCTCTGCCAGTGGCACTGGATCGGCTTCCAGCAACTCTTGCAACAGCAACTCGAACAACAACAACAACGGTAGTGGAGGAGGACGTGCCAGCGGGGGAGGCAGTTTACTTCCATTGAAAAAAGACTGTGAGGTTAGATGATAATCGTAGATCGCGAGTGTGCCGCTTATACGCGTTCCTGTCACTTCGTTCATTTTAGCTTTTGGATTTTACCTCCCTTTGTGATTAATTCCTTTTCTCTTCTTTTCTCGCCCATTTTCAAATGTTAGTTTCTTTTGTAAATGATCGAACATATATCCCAAACGAACTTTTTATTGTACAGTTAGTTTGTAAATCCCTTTTCCTTTTTTTTTTGTGTCTAACTGGTTTGTTGTAATCGCATATGCGTAAACAAGATATTATCTCTTTACCTATAATATATAATTGATTAATATGCATATAGCATATTCTGCGAGATACAAAACAAAAATTGTACATTTTTAGGGATGCAGATTATATGACTAAGATTTTGTAAATTACTGTATTAAAGTTATAAAAGATACAAGAACGCAGACATAGTCGTCTAGCTTAAAAAATCCAAAAATGCTCTCGGTTTAGGTTTATAAATGCCTCCATTCACCCATAAATCCTTCCACACCTCCTACTCAGTAAAAATGATTGATAAACGAAGCATATATATTCTAAACTTATTTATTAATAATTATTTAATAAAATGCGTAAAATAATCGTAAAATATTAGCAAAAACTGTTAAAAGCGTGCAAAAAGTAACAACAATTTCAACAATTGTAGCTATAGTCATTAATTGTAGTTCTTAGCGAAAATGAAAGTCGGTTGTCTCTAACCGCAATCTAAGTGCATATAAAGTTCCCTCTTCCCAAACCCCTGTGTCTAGAGAGATAAATAAGAAATTAACTACATTTACCCTTACCATATTATCGAAAGGGAAATGTTTGTAATTTAGCATGTAAGAGTGCAATGTATCGAAACTTCAGATGAAATAGATTTTTTGATTTTAAAAGAGTGTTAAAGAAAGAGTAACAGGGAAAGGTTTTCTACAAGCAAGGTGCAAGCAAGTGCATCCAGCATGGAGCCAAGTCACGACCACAAACACGCCAAGAAATGAAATCTAAACGAATCTAAGCACCGGATCGCGAGTACCTAAATCCCGGAGCCATTTGCTTGGCGTGGTTGCATTCCAGATTCCAATTGCGGAACGATATACAGAGCCCAGGTCCACTTAGGTTTGCGAAGGGTTGTTTGTCGGCAAAAGTTCAACAAATTACATTTTTTTATAATTTGATCTTTTCTAACAGAAAGACAAAATTATTAAAATCAGAATAAAGAAACCAATGCAACAAATATTAATTCCAAAATACAAAACCCGCAGAACGGCAAATAAAGAGCATAATATAATCAATGTGTAAAGAAACAAGTAAAAAGAAAATTTAAAGTTAACGATATTTCAGTACTTGTAAATAATTTTTCGCGACAAATGTTTTAAATTAATACCATTATGTTTAATCTAATTATTAATTAATGTTTATGATTATTAATTAACTCTAGTTTTTAGCAAAAATTTAATAAAAGCAAAAAAGCCTTATTTAAAAAAACACTTTTTTAAAACTGCACAATATTTTATTTCACCTATTAGTCAGTACCTTGTTATTGAAATCTATGCACGCGTTGCCATAGTCTATTGTCAATTAATGCAAACTATACACTTGCAGAACGGAATCTTTGTTTGATCGTCACCAAGGCATCCTGTCACAACGCAGGATAAAGTTGCGCAAAACATAAGCAAAAAAAACTATATCAATACACTTGAGGGCAAAAGATATGCCCTTGGATTATTATTTTTATTCATTACAGCTCGCAGACCAACTAACAATGAGAAACAATGTAAATAAGTCAACTTGGAAAATAAAAGATTTATTATTAGATGTAAGAAAACTAAAGAAAATTAGGATCATGGATACGAATGAGGGTACAGGGCCGATAAGCTCCTTGACAACCTCCGATTACATACCAATTAAAAAACTTCTTAAAAGCAAGGCAAAAAGAAAGATTAACAATATTTTCTAATATTGACTAGGGTGTTGCAGGGTGAAATAGTGAATTGTATGTTGAAGCTTCGCATGGTAAGGTAACTCAGACATGACATGAGGTATGGGGGTCTTCAAAAATATTTAGCAAATTAAATCCACGTAATTTGTAAAATATTTAAAGTACTATTTTTTGTATTTTTAAGAGCATAAGTTTAATAATTAGTGGGCCCATTAATATGCTGTAAAAATCGTGTAAAAATCAATCAAACAACTTAGAGAAGCTAAGTTGTAACATTAATACGAAAATATAGCAGAAATTATACATACACATAATTGATTAATTTATTATTTATTTTTCAATGGTAATTTGTCTGTTATTGGGGCAAGAAACAACTTACAGCCAGACAAAGTTTTGGAAACCAGAGAAGCCCAACAATCTATTCGATTGAATGCAATTTAATTGCAATCTTCGCATTTCCAATTTTCGACAATTTTAGGTGTGAATGCCATCGGATTCAAAATTTAATTACGAGTTCATCGATATATGCCATTCCACATTTGGGAGAGTACTTTCAGTCAGAAGTTTGCAATGCAGTGAAGGAGACACCTCAGACTACTATCGAATTTGATTAAATTTGGTCAAAATTGGATAAGTATAGTATAGCTGCCATAGGAAAGATCGAAATATATATATATATACATATATGGCAAAAAAAAAGATAACATCGTTGTTTTTTTATTCCACGAACATTCTTACAACTATTCTAACTATATATATTAAAATAATTTGCCCAACAGATCTTTAACTGTGGCTCTTGAAAAAAAGCTAACCTACCTTTGGTCGTTTGTTTCATCTTAAAATAAATAACTTAATTATTTACTGCCTAATTCATATACTTACTGCGAAAAAACCTTGGTGCACTGCAATCTTTCGTCTTCTTGAAGTAAGATAATCACTGCAACCACTTTATCCGCAACATTTACACTTTACCCTGAAATTAAATAAAAAAAAAATAAATATTAATTTGTTACAAATAACAATAGTTAGAATAAATTTGCCACTAAAAAGGTATTTACCTCTTTGGGTTATTGATTCAATGCATCTTAAAGTTCACTCCAAGTAGAAAGGTATGGTCATCACCTGTAATGAAAAGAAGGATTTCAAAATATTAGTTTTGTTATTTTATAGAAATTAATAATTTAAAAAATACATACCCCAATGGGCTGATGCCCTGCATCCTGGAGTGGAGTTCAATAAGATAATCACTGCAACCACTTTATCCGCAACATTAACACTTTCCCTGAAATTAAATAAAAAACAAAAAAAAATAATAAATAATTTTTTCAAATAATATTAGTTAGAATTAATTTGTTATTAAAAAAGGTATTTACCTCTTTGGGTTATTGAATCAATGCATCTTGAAGTTCACTCCAAGTAGAAAGGTATAGTCATCACCTGTAACGAAAAGAAAAATTCCAAAATATTAGTTTTATTGTTTTATAGAAATAAATAATTTAAAAAATACATACCCCAATGGGCTGATGCACTGCATCCTGGGGTGGAGTTCAATAAGATAATCACTGCAGCCACTTTATCCGCAACATTTACACTTTACCCTGAAATTAAATAAAAAACAAAAAAATAATAAATAATTTGTTACAAATAATATTAGTTAGAATTAATTTGTAAGTAAAAAAGGTATTTACCTCTTTGGGTTATTGATTCAATGCATCTTGAAGCCCACTCCAAGTAGAAAGGTATAATCATCACCTGTAACGAAAAGAAAAATTCCAAAATATTAGTTTAATTATTTTATAGAAATTAATAGTTTAAAAGATACATTCCCCAGTGGGCTGATGCCCTGCATCCTGGAGTGGATTTCAATAGAAGATCACGCCATTCATAATTGATCCGGCAGCCTGTTGTCCAGTCCATTTAGGTGGTATCAGCATACTATATGTCTCCGGTAACTGCATTCTTACAACTATTCTTACTATATACATTAATATTATACGTCCCTAATTGTTTTTAATTATTAATTGTGTGTGGTTTTCATGTTTTTCCAGTTAAATATTTGATCCAATTCGTTTTTTAAATTTCTTTCATGTCCTTGAATACTTTCAGATACTTTATCTGTTGCTTTTAATTTCTTTGTCAAAATATTTCTGATTTCTTAGGATAAATAACTTGAATATTTATTGTCTAACGGATGTACTCACTGCGTAACAACCTTGGTGCACTGCGTCCTAAAGTCGAACTCCAAGTTACAGGTAAGATGGTGCCACCAATTATTTTCTGTAACCAGCCAAATACACAACCATAAACCTGAAATAAAATAAAATAAATATTTAATTAAATAATTGCATTACATTTACGAAAGTCCACGTCATCACTTAATTAAAAAAAAAACTGCTACTCACCTTTTCCGGTTTTGATGCACTGCATCCTGGAGTCCACTCCATGCAGGAAGGTATTAAAGTATCGGGCACCTTTAAGTTCATGCCAAGTTAGGTCATGATGCAGTGCATCCTCCACTTCGGGCAGGAGGATATACACAACTCCATACCAAGTCAAGTGATGATGCACTGCATCCTGATCCATACCAAGCAGGAAGGCATCTGGCATCCAAAAGCCCATGCCAAGTCAGGCCATGATGCACTGCATCCGGAAGTGGACTCCAGTAGAAGGAGTCGACCCATGATGCACTGCATCCGGGAGTGGACTCCAGTAGGAGGAGTCGGCCGGATACTCTCACCCTCACTCTGGAACCACTTCACCAACATACACGCACACACACACACTTCCAGAGACCGGAGAGAGTTTCTTACAGAAACTGCCGGTCATCCCGGAGAACTTGAGAAATTGGCCAAAATCAAGGGGTATCCCACTACGAATCAGCTAGAACCAGTTGGGAATTATAGGTGCAAGAAAACGAAAAAAATTTTTAATTATCATTGTGGCTGACGTGGCCATATAAATTTAATTAACATTAAGTTAACATTACATTTACATTATATTAAATTAAAATTATATTAACATTATATTAACATTATATGTATTTTGTTTAACATTTCACATTTAAAATACTTATTTTTTAAATTTATTTAAGTTTTTATGACACAACCCCTTACCAAATTTCCAAAAAATAGGTTTGCTGAAAATTGGCCGAAATGTAATAGTTCTAAATCGACAACTTTTTTAATTTTAATCAGATTTTGAAATGGCATGCCTCTGAAAGTAATTATTTTCATTGGTTTTATTTAATAAATAATTTATTTATATTTCATGAAAATTCGACGACTACATCATATAGCTGTTATGAACAGTCTGTAAAAATATGGGAAATAAGTAGAAAAATCATTATTAGTGCGATGTTGAAGTAAAACTGCCCCCAAAAAGTGCACTGCATTTATTATGGAAATGTGTTTAATGTTGGAGTTTGTGCGTCTTGCACTGAATCGATCTGAATCGAATTTTCGTCCCAGAAATTTCAATTATTCCGAAAATATCGTTTTTCATTTTACACCTCTATAGCCCAGTATAAAAATATATAGCTCTTTCGCTTTTTCGTTACTTTTATTTGAAACAACACTCGCCTTCAGGTCCTCTACAGATCTCGTATCATATTTTTGAGTTAACAAACAGTGCCTTTTTGGTTGATATATTTTATGGCTTTTATATGAACGACAATTTTCAAACAGAGAAAATTGATTTTTAGTGAAACGAGCTTCGAATGGTTTATTATGCATTTAGTTTCTGGTTTTACGGTTTCTGGTGCAAAAAAATACAACGTTGCAATCGAGATCTTTGCTTCTCCAAGGACCTATGTATTCATTCAATTACGTATACATGACCACTTTGTATGAAAGCTTACTTTTTGGGAAGTTCCTAAGTTAGTTTTTATGGTCTGTGTAAGTATATGTTCCATGAAATATTTATCCAATAATACTTCTCGCTTGCTTCTTAAAATCTATAGAAATATATATCATACCGGGGTATATGTACAAATAGATGCTTGTTAGTAAGTGTATTTGATACTTTGCAAGGTAATTGAATTACGTTTACTTTTAAGAGTTCTCGATTAGGCTCTTTCTCTTAAATAACTCAGTCTAGCACCCCTAGAGATTGAACTTGGATAAAAGGGTCGATCTGCCTGAACTATCGACTCTATAAATATACAATTTTAGTTATTCATATAGTACACGATATATATGTTAGTAATAGTACACAGCTCAATGATTAATTGGCTGCCTTACCAAAACTTTTTGATCAGTGGTTTTTGATCCGTTACTGATCAGTTTCAGTTTTGGCTACCCGAAGCTAGCTTCCTTTCATGTTTTGAGTAATTTTATTAATTAATTAAAACAAACATTGTTTAATGGTAATTTGTCTGTTATTTGAGCAGGAAGCAACTTACAGCCAAACAAAGTATAGTTTTGGAAAGTAGAAAAGCCCAACTATTCATGCCACCGAATGCCATTTAATTGTTATAGTTAATTGATCCTTTAGTTAGTTCATAAAAACTGATTTGGGAAAGATCAGTTGACAATTCCGGTAGAAAATCCTCTCTTTTTAGTGGTTTTTTGGTTGTAATAGGGCCAAAAGGTGACTTACAGCGGAACCAAACACTGTTTTGAGCACCTTATGACCACAGTTAACGAGCCCAATCACTTTTTGGACGATTCAAAAAAAATGATTTTTGGCCAATTTTCGCAATTTTCATAAGGGGTAACATCGTCATTTTTTGCGAAAAATGGCAAAATTTCAACTTTTTTGGGTGTTTATACCATCGGATTCAGAATTTTATCACGAATTCAACGAAGTATGCCATTCCACATTTGGAAGAATATTTCCGGAGATATTGCTAAAAAAACTGGAGTTTTTTCAGTCATTTTATGTAGTTTTTGGCAAAAAAAAAACTTTTTCCATTGGTAATTTGTCTGTTATTTGGGCAAGAAACAACTTACAGCCAAACAAAATATAGTTTTGGAAAGTAGAAAAGCCCAACTATTCATGCCACCGAATGCCATTTAATTGTTATAGTTAATTGATCCTTTAGTTAGTTCATAAAAAGTTAGTTAGAACACCCACATCACGGCGATCAGAGCCAAATGCGTTCGCAAACTCCAAAAGCTCGATTGGCTGCTGAGCTCCAAAAGCCTCCAGCTCTCGACGAAAGTTCTGCTCATCAAAGCAATCCTTACGCCAACATGGACGTATGCAATCGAAGTTTGGGGCACCGCATCCAAGCACCAGCTAAACAGGCTGAGGGTAGTGCAGACACGTGCTGCTCGACGGGCATCGGGACTTCCCTGGTATGTGACAAACCAGGACATCCAAAACGACCTACGCCTTGTTCCTGTGGGCGACCTCCTTAACCAACACAGCCGGCGTTACTCGGATAGGCTAACGAGCCACCCAAATCCACTGGCAGGCAGGCTGGCCGACCCGCAAACCCTCAGACGCCTAAAAAGATTCCACCCCAGCGATCTGTCTTCGCGTATTGTAAATTAATATTGTAAATAGTTGTAAATAATTGTATATACCATAGCCCAGGTCCATATCCCATATGTACCACACCTACCCCATCTTCTAAACGCCCGGTTATGCTCAGATGGTCCTGAACGATTCCGGCGACAATAATAAATATCGAAAAAAAAAAAAGTTTTGGAAACCAGAGAAGCCCTGTAACCTATTCGATTGAATGCAATTTAACTGATATCCTGTCAAAAATCCGGAAAATAGCTTATCCTAAGCTTCTTTTAAGAAGCCTTGAACCTTGAAAAAAAATAATAAAATCCTCTTCACTACGCCCCTGGGAAAATTTGGTATACTGAAGAGCAGCAACCTACTAATTCTGTTCGCCTAGTATTTCTACTAAGTACATATATCACGTTTTAACAAAAACACATTTAAAAGTACCTGGCAAACATAACTCGGCAGTCTTCCTGTGATTTGAATAGTTCCCAAAAGTATGCTATTGAAATGTTTTTTTTTTAAGTAAATGTGTATTTATTTAACAGGTATCGTACAAAGTCCCTATCGATCGAATCCTTCGTCATCTTTTAGCTCGAAGGTCGCAGTTGGTATTTGTTTACAATTTTCTTCCTTTCTTCTTTTTTAAGTAAATGTGTATTTATTTAACAGGTATCGTACAAAGTCCCTATCGATCGAATCCTTCGTCATCTTTTAGCTCGAAGGTCGCAGTTGGTATTTGTCTACAATTTTCTTCCAAAAGAATATATTTTACTTCCACTGGAAGGGAAAAAATTTATTTCTTCAGTATTGCAACGAACCGTAACAAGAATAATGCCGCAGCCTCTACATAATTGCCAAAAGCTTTTGTCAACTATTTCATCGGAAAAGAAATTCAATGCAAGTGGAACGTGAAGATTAATATGAACAGCGCAGGGATGCAATGCGCAGGACTAAGCAACCACGATTGGAATGCAGACACTTCAACTTGTACAGGTAGTTGTTAACTTGTATTAACAGAGTTGGGGCTTTTTTTAGACAGAAGAAAAAATGCAGTTGTCTTGGGTTGGAGCTCGTCGTCGAGGTACCATTGAAATGCAGGGCAAACGCAACTAGGCAGTTAAAGTAGAAACTTCGGGGCCATGGCTGTTTATGGTCGTCTAGTCGCGATTTCGGCGCTTACTGGTATCGCACCAGCTTGGGCAAAGGCGCAAAGGAGGTGGCGACAGCCGGAGAGCTGATCGCCTGGGACCTGAAAGAAAGATATTAGGTCATATAACTGAATAAGACCGGCTTCACACTTACCGCCAGAAAAGGGAACTGCCGCGCTTAAGCTCACCGCGAACTTGTAAGTCATTCCAGCAGTCAACCCAGTTTTTGTATGCCGGCATAATGGGCGGCTGCCCAGCCATAAGGCGAGAGCCACTCACCGTCGAGCAGGTGGAGACCACCTGCAGCGGATACAGCAGGCTCGACACGGCGAACTGCGTGAAGCCAGCGTTGTACTGCCTTCCCAATTTGTCCTTGATTACGTATTTGTTGAGGATGTATATAGTGGAGCTGCTGAGCACGAGGCAGGCCACATCACACAACAGCTTTGGCACTAGGCCTGCAAAAAAGCCCGCAATTCCCTCAGTCTTCCAGATCTCTGCGACCGAGCCAACAATGGAAGTGTACAAGGTCTCGCGTCCCACAAACTGTGCCATCATGCGCAGCGAAATCACGTGGAAGGGATGTGAGGCTACGATTCCAGTCACGGTCAGCACGATGTCCCTTTTTAGGCTGGACTTAAACTGGATGTACCTGCAAAAACCAAAGCTAAAGTCGCACGGCGGGCACGGGGAACCTTAATCAAAAACTTGCATTTCCTCTTCCTCTTTCCTTTTCTGCGAGTCGTCCTTGATCTCTTCGGGCTGCTCCAGGCCCAGACTGTCGGCCACCCTTTCGCTCACCACCATGGCCACTAGGGAGCCCACCAGCTTGGGGGCCAGTCCGCGGTAGCAACCGTAGAAGCCGTCAATCCGCCGAATGTGACCCGCTGCAAGAGCAGGAAACGATTAACTCTTCCCAATACAGCCGGCGATCGAAACTTTGTACCCACCGTACTGGAAGATGTTCGGCAGCTTCATGATCGGCTTGCCCAGCAGCGACTTGCCGGGCATCGGGGCGATCGGCTCGTAGCCTAGCTGAATAAGCGTCTTGGAGTACTCGAACGGATGTAGAGCGGCGCTGACGCCCAGCCGAAGTCCGAAGCGGATCCAGCCGTTTACCTCCGTGTCCTCGCCACGGGCGTCCTCGCGAAAGCCGGCCATTCTGGTTACGTAGTGGGTGGTGTGGTGGGTCTGCTGACTGGGACTGCTGATGCGACTCTCTGCCGCTTCGAATTTAGATGGAACGCTGTGAGAAAAGGAGGAAGTATTAGATCGCTGGCCTGATCACATTCGGTTCCAAGGGTTTTGAAAAAAAAAAGAATTTTATTATTACAAAATTCTTTCTGACAGCAGTGTGGCCGCGTACGCCGTTTTTGTTTATCGTCTAAATCGGTTCCAGAATCGATGCCCCGATATTTTCCGGAGTGCACTATCGGTTTAGATTGGCGGCGCAAGACTAAATATTTTATTGGTCAAACGACGTTGTCTAACCAAATCATCTAAAAGGGAGGATAACTGTCGCTTTCCCGAATAGCTCCTCAACTATCGCCTTCCTGAACAGCTGTTCTTGTCCACCTTTAACAGCCGGTCCGCAAGAGAGGGTGGGGCCATATAACATGCACAGGTATTTGTTAAACATTTCGTACATCGGCACGACATTTCGGTAATTATTGGAAACCCTAAGTGGAAAGTCTAGCTAAAAACATCTCCTCTATCAAACAGTGGTATCCAGAAGACGGTTAACAAGGCTGAGCAGCCGCGCCTTGACACTCAGTCCATTCAAGGCTGCCTGGAGCTGGCGCTGCGCGTGTTTCACCCCGTGAACGAGATTCAGACCGTGCTCTCCAGTCGGTAGGCAGTGTAAAGGGAACAGCCCAGCAGATATACAGTTAGCGTTCACACTATTTTTAGCACAGACGCGGGTGTACACGCACTGCACTCTACGGTGCACGTGGATCTGGAGCGCCCTAATGGCCAGCCCTACGACACAACAACGTTGACCGGGGTGCTCAACCGGACCCTCGACAAGCAGCGTCTTCCCATCCGCGTTCTTAGCAGCCAGCTGGTGGCGGACACCTTTCACTGCCGCTACCACGCCACCGGACGCACCTACCTGTACCGCTTTGCCGTAAATAAGCATCCGCCCTCCGAAGAGGACAACTTTCGCAACAAGGCCTACGAGGCTTTCGTACCCGTGGAGGAAATTGATCGTTGCTATTTTTTGCAGTAAGGAGCAGCTACCATGAGCTGACAACGTAATTTAAATGATTACCTACTCTTCTACAGGTCCCCGAGCTTTGACATAGATCGGGTCCGAGCTGCGTCACAATTGTTCGTTGGGGTCCACGACTTTCGCACTTTCATGAGCATCAGCCGCCAGAAAAACCTTAGCCGTGATCACCCCATGTTCACAGTGCGCAAGATCGACAAGATCAGTATTCGTCCTGGTGGTGCTGTTGCTGTGGCCCCAAACGCCGCTCTGGCCGCTGCTACATACAATTATTGGGACATCGAGATCAAAGCTAAGTCCTTTCTGTACAAGCAAGTGAGGCGCATCGTCGGAGCGCTGATCGCTCTGGGAAGCGGTCGAATCGACGAGAGGTGCATTTACCAGATGCTCACCATTCCCTCAAAGAATTCGTGGGACCATCGGGTACTCCTGGCGCCGGCTTGCGGACTTTATTTGTGCCGAGTGCACTACCGAAACAACTAATTGCGCAACAATGATACTGCTGTACGAGCTGCAAAAGCGTCTAGCCAACCTGAGGCCGACTGCCACTGTCGTCACCACACCCACCGGTGCCCGCTACGTTGAGCGAAGGGGATCCTCGGCCAGGGAGGCGGGCACAGCCACGAGTCTGCTGCAGCTGGAGCCCCGTCAGTACGGCTTTGTTGTGGACACTAAGCCTGACGCTGTGCCCGCCTGCATTCTGAGCGAGTTCTTATACCTGGGCTCCCAGGATGCCGTGAGCGTTGATAATGTTTTGAAGTATAAGATAACGCACATTCTAAGCGTTGGCATTCAGACGCCCTTTGTAGAGTGGCCCACGCCAGTCAAATGCAAATTTCTACCATGTCTTGATCTTCCGGAAACGGACCTGATGCACTACGTCCTGCCAGTTTCCCTTGAGTTCATCGACGAAGCGCGGCGGTCGCAGGGTTGTGTGCTGGTCCACTGCAACGCGGGGGTCTCGAGATCCGCCTCCGTGGTCATCGGCTATCTTATGCAAAGACGGGACATGTGCTACGACGACGCTTACAATCTGGTAAAGTCGTGGAGGCCGTGCATTCAGCCCAATGCGGGATTCATTCAGCAGTTAAAGGGATCTTCTAAAGCACAAGTTGAGTTAGGCAGTAAGCAGTGAAGTCTGGTGTCAGCTTTTTGGTATCCTTTTATATTTGTTGTACATTAAACAGTTTTAATGAAAAACAGACGAGTGTTAAACTTAAACAAAAAATCAAATCTCTATTTGGTTGGTTGATACAAATTTGGTAATAATGCTCAAAATACGTTTAACGAGATACTTGAAAAATGCACTGCAGGTTGCTCGCACAGAACCTACACAAGGGTGCCTAGATGTTGAATGTCTGTTTCCGAACCGTGAACGTATGCATTTGTAGAACCAAAGTCTCTTTTAAGGACGCAAGTGGGAGTTACAGTATCTGCCGATCTGCTAGCAATGAACATTTGCTTTGAAAATCCCTTGTCAAGAACTTGCCACTCTTTCAGGTTTCTGTCCCTAAGCTTTTTTTGGCTGTCAACAGGGCTGGTGTGGCATTTAATACTTCCTTTCTCCAAAACTGGCGCCCGTTTCCCAGGAAGATCTTCTAGGAGGGGCGCGGCGGATGCGCTTTCGACTTTAGTATCCGCTTTGGAATCGCCTCCGGACACTTTTGTCTCGAATTCGCGACCCAAGCATTCAAGCACACCCAGTTTGGCTTTCAGCTGCTCATTGGCCGTGAAAAGTTTTCGTTCCACTCGGTGGATATCCGCCACCTGAGCAGCCAACTCGGCATCTAGTCTATTGATTTGCAATAGTACCTCGCTTTTTGTTTGGTACGCCCGCTTCACCTGGTGTCTTCGCACCTTCGCGTGGAGGCTTAGCAAGTGTTCCTCTTCCCGCTGTAGCTGCTTGTTGACCTCGTGGATTTTTTCCAGCCAAAATAAACGAATTTCGTCCTTGACGGTGTCCCCGTCGTCTGAATATCGGCAGTCCTTATCTGCGAAGATATTTATTCTATTTTAGAAGTATGTTAGCATTAATCTTGTCTCAGTCTATACCTGAACAAGTTCCTTCGTTACTATCCTGGTGTAATCTCACCATTACGTTTTGAAAGCTTTTCGTGGCATGGCTATTATCCTGGAGCTCGTCCAAGTCCTTTAGATACGTCTCGAGCAGATAGTTCTTGCCAAGCTCGCGCTCCCGCACCCTGTGTTTCTCCTCCTCAATTTTCAGAATTTGACGATCTTTCTCGCTGTGAAAAAGGTATAATACAGGACATGGCATTCGGAGCAGTGCACCTCAGCTTACTGTAACATGGACATCTGCAGAAGTATGGTCTCGTCCTGGGCTAGGATAATGGTCAGCAGATTCTCGTTCGGGATGTGACTGTTTCTCTGAGGCATCTTCCGGCTCCTCTTTGGCTGCTTGGTGCTGGGGTTGTGCATATTATTAGTGCAGGAAGTCGCCTTGTGCCTGCCCCTCCGCCGGAAGCGCATGCTTCGTGAGCTGTCCACTGGACTGCCCATTCCACTGTCCTTGTCCGTATTCTGAGTGTGTTTGCGGGCTGAGGTGGCCAAATGGCGAAGCTGGAGCTGGCACTAGGTGATTGAAAAGGATTAGAATGATTTTCCAGTTGGTGAGTGGTTTCTTACTTCCACCTCCGGGAAGGCGTGGCGGCTAGCTATAATATCAAGCAGTCTAGCACTGCCGTCCAAGTACTCCTCATAGTGCCGCTGCTTCTGCACAATAACAAATTCCTGTGGAGTCCGAGCGCGATGTTTGCTAGGACCTGGCTCTAAACGTTCTGGGAGTGCCCTCTGCTCGGGAAGCACCATTTGCTGGGCGGTTTGAAAACCTATAAGAGCGCAGATCAGATCGGTACAAGTGGTGGTGGCGTCCACGCCGGATATCCAGTGCTCCTCGCCGTCGATCCAAATTGATAAGTTGTCCGAAAGGGAGGAGAGTGAGTCTTTGTCGTCGTCTCCCGGCGCTGCCGAGCAACTGGGCTCGAAGCCACTAGCCGCTGGCTCAGTGGTCATTATGTTCGCTGGTTTTCTGTGGAAACAGCACAATAGAAAGGGGTTAGCCAACGCCGGCCAGTCTAGTCCACAGATATGCTAAACCAGAGGTTGTATAAGACGCGCTGAAAACACTCGGTGTAATTTATACAGCTTAACCGTTGGCGAGTGGAGCAGACAATTGGCTAACAGTTCTTATTCAGAATGTGGTGCGCCTGCGCTGGTCGCTCTCTTCCGTTGCGCCCGTTATCAACGTTTCAAGTCCGGCAATAAGCCACTTTTGCGAATCCGTGGTTGCATGACGTGAACTAATGGAATAGGGAGTGCTAGAGGACAAACTAGAACAATCTCTTGCCAAGTAAACACCGTGAAGCGGATGAGTTAATGAGATGTGTTACGAGTGCGCCTCGCTTGTTACAGTTTAAACTTTCTCGCGATACACCTGTTCTACTGCGGAAAGTTACAACTTTCCGCCGCGGACTGTGTCTTACCGACGGCTTCAAGCTCATCGCCCAAACTGAGCCTCTGCGCGGACAAATCGTGCTTTAAAACAACTTCGCTCTGTTAAGAGCGAGTACAGCCAAGAGCGGTAAAAACGAACAGCTTGTACGGCGAGGAGCGCGGCTCCCCACAGAAACACCTCTCGGTTTCTCTTCGAGCTTTACGGTATCGTGGGTAAGTTGTGGCTGAAACCATTGAGCCACTCCCCTCCACGGCCGATGCTACACCGAGATATTCTTTGCCGCCGGGCCTGGCTTTCGCCACTATTATGAAAGACAGGGAAGGCTTACTACTCTCGTAATTCGTATAGAGCCTACAGAGCTAGCTGTGGCCTAACAAAGCGATAAACGGATCCAAGATTCGGAGATCGGCTCGGTGGTGCACGGAACAGCTTCGAAACTACACTGACTTCGACTCCGTCGGACTTAATTGCTGGCTACCCGAAACTCTGAGCCCAACTAGTCGATTATTATTCGGGCCGAACAAGTATAGACGTCTCCACTCAAAGTTAACTAATTTTCAGATACTCTGTACGGCGTAGGCACTGGAAACATTTCTACCCTCGTTTCTGACTTCGTGGTGATTCACGATGGGTCATTAAAAGCCAACCATTCTCAGCAATTAAGTCGTGAAAACTTAACAAAACACTTGGGAGAAATCTAAAAAAGAAACTTGAGCAAGTCAACCAGAGAAATGATTGGTTGTGTTATAATCAGCACGGTCTTCAGTGCAAATGGATTGTTTCTTTTACTAACGATCGTACTATCATTATGTTTATTCCATTGCAGATCAGCAATGTTGGTCTCATTCTTTTTTATATTTAAAAGGTCTAGCTTGTTAGAAAAGATAACGCGGTTTCTTACAACTATTATAAAACTGAGTACGGCTGGGAGTTCAGGGTATAGCATGGACTAGCTGCCGTGCCATTCACCAATTAGGTTTATGCAGCCAGTGCGGTTTCTATTTTCTTCCGATGGTTTGTTTGGCTTTTGGCCTTTCGTTTTCACGAGTTACACTTGAGGTTCTTCGATTTGGATACCCGAATACAACACCAAACCGGTATGAATTGCATGCATAATGCATAAATGTGTGCCACTTAATGCATTTATGTCTGCACACGTTTGGTTGACTGTGGATACATACCCGTGGAGTAAAGGCTTGGTGTCTCATTTGCCGATTTATAAGTCAAGCGTTTCTAGGTGCGACCGTGTCTCAAACCCCAGAGCTACACCTGCTAGGCTATTACCAAATTCGATTAGCGAACTGTTCTGCATTCAACGTAATCTGAACAGCATTTCAAGTGCGGCCACGTTGACAAAAGCTATAGTTTTAAGGGTTCCCAATCAGGTTTCCATTGTTTTGGTTTTTGGCCTTTTGTTGTCGATTGATTCACCTGCAAAGACACCACATTAAGCGTATCCTGTGAGGCCGATTCAGACTAGCAAACTTACCCATGCAGTGCAGGTATCGAAACAAAATAAAAACAAAAGCTGCGGCCACTGATTGGCATATTACGACATCTAGCATCGGCTCCAAATGGATCTCTCTCTAGCGGACCGCTCGCAGAAAAGCGCTCAAAACAAGTTGTTTGTCCGCCTTCTCGGCCACAAACCGATGCATGACGATGACGACGATCAGTTGCTAAACAAACGTCAGCGTGCGCGGTCGTGATCCAGCCAAGTTAACTAGCGCTTCGAGCCAGAACGGGTCGTATTTGGGTTGGTGCTCTATCTCGCCAAAAATCCGCCTTTGTGTGGTGTACAGGTATCCGAGAGGTGATCACTCTTTTAAGTGCGCCCACAACGTAGTAATACAATTGATCTATAGTTAAACAAACCAAAATCTATACAGTATTCATACATACTTATTCGTACATACCTGAATGTGGACCTCACAATGGCATTGAACTGATGGAAATCTGCTTTCCACGAGGAAATTACGTCAGTTTCCTCTTCGATTCGGTTTCTCAATCCCAGTTGTCAACTCATGCACCAAACTGGCTGGCCAATTATGGCGGTTGCAGCTTACGTCTTTGGTTTTGGCCAAGATGTACACACACACTTGAACTGTCCCAGGGTTGGAGGCGTGACACGGCTCGAGATGCTCCATGACCTTGCTTCTTATAGGATGTGTGATTGGATGTATCGGCGGCTCGGGGTTTCGTGCTGCACGGCCGTGCACGCAGCCAACTCTGGGCTCGGCGAACTGGTTTTAGCTCTTTGCCCGCCTAGATGCTACCCACATAAATATGCAAACAAACAAACAACGTTTGTGTGCGAGGGCAGTGCGCAGTACATGGCCGCAAACGTAGCCGAGTATAACGAAAAAGTTGTCATTAACCGAGCTGTATTGACGCATGTGCGACGGTGCCGAATAATTGCGAATCCGAATCTGACGACTTCCGTTGGCTCTTCCATAGGCACACGGATTTGGTGAGGGCTGCAGTGTCTACCGGACGGAGCCAAGATGCCGCGCAAGCTGCTCAAATTCCTAATCATCTTCGACAACACCTCCCTTCTCTACTTTCCGGGCCAATTTCTCTCCGGACGCGTGCTCATCGAGCTGCAGGACGAGACGCCAGCCTTGGGGCTCCATTTCCATGTGGTCGGCGAGGGCGTGGTGCGCAACGGGCGGCGGCAAGAGCGAACGTACGATAAGGAGAACTACATCGACTTTCGCATGCGACTCCTCGGGGACGTAGACCAGGGCGGGCCAGCCATACTCTCGCCGGGAATACACAGCTTTCCTTTCAAGCTCGGTCTGCCGCTAGGTTTGCCCTCCACATTCTTGGGCCGCTACGGCTGGATCCAGTTCTACTGCAAGGCGGCGCTGCGGGAGAGCAACGGCATCATTCACAAGAACCACCAGGTCTTTATCGTAATGAACCCCATCGACCTGAACCTTGAAAAGCCCATTCTGGCGGTAAGTAGATGTTCTCGTTCTTCTTGGGACGATCTAACACTCCACTTGTTTTAGCAACCCTTCACCTGCGAGGTGGAGCACAAGCTGGGTGTCGTTTGCGTGGGCGGTGGTCAAATCAAGTGCCGGGTGTCCCTGGACCGCGGGGGCTACGTGCCTGGGGAAAACATTCTGGTCACCGCGTTTATCTCCAATTACAGCAACGTCTCCATCAAGCGCACCAAAGCGTCGCTCACCGAGGTGGGTTCTCAATCAATTTTCACTTTCCCTGCTGACTTAAAATTTGTATCCTTTAGACCATAGAGTACTTGGCGCGTGGCAAAGTGGTGCAGACGGAGAAACGGGAGCTAGCTGTCCTGGTGCGCGGCAAGATCCGTCCAGGGGGCAAAGACGAGTGGCACAACGAGCTGTACGTGCCCCCCCTGCCACCGACAAATCTACATGGCTGCCACCTGATCAAAATATCTTACGACGTATTCTTTGTCATCGAGCCCAAGTCCATGGAGAAGGAGATCAAGCTGCAGCTGCCCATTGTCCTGGCGACCTACCCCTTCCGGCACTCCGGGGACGCGGCGAACGCCAACACCTGGCCGGAGTCGGTGCTAAAGCCGGACACGCACACCCACTACCCGTCCACGCTGCCCATATTCCGACCCTGGCTTCACGAGAAGCCCACTGAGGCATAGCCTCCGGCGTCCGGGGTCCAAAGTTTTGTTAACAACGATTTGCGCCATACACTAATATAAACTTATTTTACTCATACGAACCGTTTCTAATGTGTTTCCCCAGGATTACTCAAGATTAAACCATACCCATTAATTGTTTAAGTTGATTCTCCATTTAACGGCTTGGCGGAAGTACACTCCATATACTCCTGCCAGAGTTCATATATATGTACATATTATATAGTTTGGTGATCCGTATAACGGTTTGTTGGTCAAAAATGGCGATTTTGTGGATCTGGCTAAAGACGCTTATATTCTGTACGGTCATTAGGGATGCCTTTATTTAATGATTTTGCTTTTGGGTAATGAATTTTTGGTAAACGAAATATGTATCTCGGCACTCTTATTGCACTCTTCACAAAATTGTTAAAAATTGTTTGAGGTATATTTGTAAACATTTTGAGAAATACCCTGTGCTTGCAAGCTCCGCAAGAGGTATTGTGTACGAAAAAAGAAACGGGCACACTGCATCCACCAAAATGAAAACAATCGCTTTACTTATCTGGATAATTTTGTTCCACACCGCCTCCAGTGACTGTGGCTGCCAGAAACTCGATCGGAAGGCGACTACGAATAAGGAGTCGCTTCCGGAACAAGTGTGTCAGCAAAGAACGCGGGGTGCGAATAGTCACTACCGAGATTACTATGGAGAAATGGAGCCGCAGGTGGAGCCGGAGATTACGGACATGTCTCTCATTCCAGGCGGCACCGTGTACATGGGCACCGACAATCCACACTTCCCGGCCGATAGGGAGTCGCCCGAGCGACAGGTCCGGCTGAAGGACTTCTATCTGGACAAATTCGAGGTGTCCAATGACGCCTTCGCAAAATTCGTGATAGCCACCAACTACACCACAGAGGCCGAACGCTTTGGCGACAGCTTCCTGTTTAAGACCCTGCTGAGTCCCATTGAGCAGAGGAACCTCGAGGATTTCCGCGTGGCGAGCGCTGTTTGGTGGTACAAAGTTTCCGGGGTGAGCTGGAAGCACCCCAACGGCGCGGACAGCAACCTGCATAATCTGGGTCGCCATCCGGTGGTGCACGTCTCGTGGCGCGATGCAGTGGCTTACTGTACGTGGGCGGGGAAGCGTTTGCCCAGCGAGGCTGAGTGGGAGGCGGCCTGCCGCGGCGGCAAGGAGCGAAAACTGTTTCCCTGGGGCAACAAGTTGATGCCCAGGAACGAACATTGGCTGAACATTTGGCAGGGCGACTTCCCCGATGGCAACCTGGCCGAAGACGGCTTTGAGTACACTTGCCCAGTGGACGTCTTCCGGCAGAACGTATACGACTTGCACAATATGGTGGGCAACGTATGGGAGTGGACGGCAGATCTATGGGACGCAACCGACGTCAGTGAGAACGCGAATCGGGTGAAAAAGGGCGGATCCTTCCTGTGCCACAAGTCCTACTGCTACCGGTACAGGTGCGCGGCCCGCTCCCAAAACACAGAGGACAGCTCGGCCGGCAACCTGGGCTTTCGGTGCGCTAAGAATGCGTGAACAAAGTTTTGTGATGATAACATTATTTTGGTACATACATTTAAGAAAATATATAAGAATAAGAATTCCCAATATCGATTAGGTTTATTGTAATTTTATTTCACGTTTATAGTTTAGGATCGGAAGGGTCTCAAGCTGCCAGACCTAATATTGTTACAGTTTACTTGGTAGTTTTATGAATTATGTGTGTAAGTTCGTATATAGCTGACTATCGTTGCCACGGCGCAATGCAAATAAGGTTGAGTGTAAATCTTTCAGATTCTGACTATGCAAGTAATATAAATGATGGTTAAGTGGTACGGCTAATCCTAGAGTATACAAAACTACGCTGAAATGCTTCACTGATACAACATTGCTTGTGCGCATGGCGGGTGTATGGGAATATTCTAATTTACAAAAGTCTGGTGTTAGGATGAACACACTATTTACAGGAGGATCCTAACTTAGGCTTGTCGAAGAATTCCTCCGGATTCTTGCAGGAATCGGGCGATCATGGCTGCGGTGCTGTGCATTTTCAGATGTCTTGCTCAAAAATATCACAGTGCAAATTATAAGCGCTGCTTGCTGGGGATATGCCAATTTCGGATAGCTGCGGTGCATATGGGTGCGCCCGCCAAAGCGAGGGCGAAGCTGGAAGACCTCTCAGCTAATACTGGGCGGGATGGTGCTGGCGTTGTCCTGGCTCTGCGGCGGTACCTACTCAGGCACCCAAGCCCGCCGCCGCCGATAGATGAACAGCCTGCAGCATGACCGCCTTGAGCTCCCGCGCCAGGCTGTTGATGTGCACTACCGAGTCGACCATCTCTTGGACCGCACTGCCGCTGGGAAAGTGTGCCGCCGCCTTCTTCGACTTGGACACGCAGGTCTTCAGGGCTTCGGAGAGACCATTGGTGCAGCGGAGAATCTTCTCCCGCAGCGTCTCCTTGGAGATGTTGCGGTGCACGTTGTCGCCGATGGTCACCAGGTTGTGGGCACTCACGACCACGAACTTGCCGTAGGCAATGAAGAACTTGGGCGGCTGGTTCTTCTCGACCGTCTCCAGGAACGAGTCGATCGCCTGCATCAGATTGCCCATGTGCGTTGAGATCTGCTGCGCGTAGTAGCGCACCAGCTTCTTGTCCTTGTCGGTCATCTCGGGCGACTTGCACGGCGTCGCAGGTGCTGTGGGTGTGGTGGGAATCGACCCGGAGCTGGCGTCCATGGCCGTGCTCTCGGCTGTGCGGAGGACCGTGTCGAACTGCGACTTCAGCCCGGCGGGAATGGCCTCGCGAAGCGCCTGGTTCTTCCTGGCCGCCGCGTCCTTGGACTCGAAGGCCACGTAGTCGTAGTCCTCCAGCCACTCGGCGCTGCCGCTACTACTGTCAACCGGGGCGGCTCCTCCGTTCTGGTCTGCCTGCGGCAGGCGCTTGAAGAGCAGCGAAGCGTTTCCCTGAATGAAGCTGGTGGTGGAGCGCACGTCCTCGGTGAGGGTCTGGGCACAGGCCATTAGCTGATCCAGAGCGTCCGGCGGTCGACATCCGTGCTTGTCGTCACTCCGCGCCAGCTGCTCCACGGACCAGCCGCCTTGTGCGTCGAGGGACTCGGAGGAGTCGTGTATCAGCTTGTTGGCATCCCGCAGGGCCCGCACCAAGGGCCGCAGCTTGAGGGCCAGGGTGCGGTCCTCCGAGCGCGTGGCGTTGCCCAGGGCGCCCTCCCCGAACTCGGCCAAGTCGTGGAGAGCGGTGCGAAGGCGCAGAGCCGCCAGCTTCAGCTCCATGACGGCGGGCTCCAGTTGGCTGCGGGTGCGCCAGTTGGGCACCACAAAGCTCAGCAGTCGGCTGATGGCGGCCGTCGTCTGCAGCTGAAGCTTGGCCAGCGTTTCCAGGGCCGAGCTCAGCTCCAGAGGCAGTTCCTTGGGAGCGGGAGCGGGAGTGCCGACGGGGGTGGACAAGCTAATGGGCGCCGATCGCTGCTCCTGCTCCTGCAGCGGCGGCAGGGGGAAGTCGTAGGCCAGCCCGCTCTGCTGGCGGCGCACCGGAAGCGGGTTGCGGCGCGGGATGTCGTAGTCGGGCATGTTGGCCAGCGAGGAGCGGTTCGAGCTGGAGAAGCTCAGCGAGAGGCTGTCGCTGGTCAGCAGCGAGGAGGCGGAGCTGCTCGGCGTCATCTGCGCCACCTGCTGCTGGAGGAGGCTGCTGGCGGAGATCAGGGGCCGCGGCACGTCGTAGGACTCCTCCTCGATGGAGGCGGCCACGCTCTTGAGCGACTCGAAGCGGGCGCCCAGGCTGGATGCGGAGGTGGGGGTCCTGGGGGGCGCGCTCCTGGGACTGTCGTAGTTCGTCGGCACGGGCATGGCGGGCTTGGGTATGTCGTAGGTCTCGAACTCGCCGCCACTGCCGTTCTGGTGGGACATCATGGCTGATAGGTTCTGATAGATGCTTTGGTTGCTGTAGATCTGCTGCTGCGGCGTGCTGGGCGCTGCTCCTGTCGCCGAGCCAGGTCCACTCGCTGATCCCGGCGAGCAGTTGTAGATGTAGACATCACCGTGTACCTGTGCGAGAAACGGGCGAGTGTTAGAACTGGGTTTTCACGAGCCACCAAAAGCCACGGACCACAACTTCCGACCAGCCACCCACCCCCACAGACTTATCGATTTTCCTGGCCTGCGTGCCTCACATGCCTCACATCTTTTCAGAGGAAATGGAGCCGAAGGGAGCCCTAGCCCAATCGATCTGGGCGTGCCTGCGACTCCGCTCACCTGCTTCGCACGTCTCCTTCTGCTTCTGCTCCTACTCTCCTGCTTATCACATTTTTAAAAGTGCACTGGTATCAGAAATGGGATATAAACTGAATACTGCGGCTGGAAAACGTCGCTGCCGGAAGGTGAAAACTAGACTGCGAGTGCAGTCCAACGAGGGCTGAGAAGGTTGCGGAAAAGTCGGGAAAAAGCTTGGATTTATTGCGCCTGCGCAATGCACATCCCCAAATACTGGGAAAGACAGTTCATGGCGGTTCAGTGTCAAGGTAAAGGACCTGAATGGCCAAAAAGAACAACAAACCCAGCCCCATCTAGACATCTTTCGGATTCTAACTAACTATGGCGCACAAAATGCATACCAAATTAAGTTTTTATTAAGAGTAGAAACGAGGGTAGGAGCTTGACTTTGGGTTTGTGCCTCTTCTATGTTAAAAGCGATTTGGGCCATATGTTCGCGTAACCCAATGCGACATTACTCCGATGGCATATGCCAAATTCATCAATTTTTCGTGGGCCTGGCACGCACCGCAGAAGGCAGAAGAGGCACGCCCCTCGGGATGAATCGATTCCAAATTAGGGAAGCCGACACGCCAGGAAGTTCCTCTACAAAGGGAGGACTGTTTGACGGAGGGCCACTTCTACCTGAAGTGAAGTGGACTTCACCCCAATTTTGCTACGGTTGCGGCTCTTGAAATGCCAATTGACGCGTAGCAAGAGTCAACAAAATGCTCTCTAAATGCCAAATAAATAAAAGCCAAAGCAGCTGCAGCTGCAGATGAGGATTCTGGATTCCGGACCCGCCACTATCTAATCGAGGAATCAGGACAGCTGAACCGAGTCGGCAAGCGGCGATTGAAGTGCCCTCAGAAAGAATAGAGCGCAGTGAGGCCACCTCAAAGAGAGTCAGCCTTAAGAAGTGCAAATGGTTGTGCAATTGCAATCCCTAAGTGGATCAGGCCCAGCGAGAGTTTTCCATAGCTCCGATGGGATTGGTTTCCTGGCGGCCCACTTGCTGGGACCCCCTGACCCGAATGGACAACTTTTTTGGGCCAGTCCCTGGGCTGGGCAGCCAGGCGTTCTGCTTTCCTTCTCTCGAACGGTTCGCTCGATTATGTCTTTCCCTCTGATGGTCGACAGTTCGGATTGCCTACATGCTATGAGTAAGTTTAGATTGGGGGAGTGTGAATATCATACACGGAGAAGCAGGAGCCGAAAGCAGTGGCAAATGCGAGATACCATCTTCGGAGCTCCGATGCATTTAAATGTTCCTCCAACACAATCTGAGCTGATCATTCATTCCACACCTGGCCACGTCGAGTGCGAGGAGGTCGATTGGAAAAGAAAGACCCATGTTTGGCCCAAGCAGTTCTCGGGTTCTTGAGCTGATCAACGTATCAGCATTTCGGCATTTTCTCACGTACCAAACAAAACAAAAAAGCAACACTTGTATGAAAATGTTAATTAGACTGGGGGTAGTCCTTCTCCGAAGGGACTTGCCGGGAAAAGAAGAAATGCGGTCGAGATCGCCTCTGATCGACCTTGTGTAGAACCGCAGCAGCGGAGATGTTTTCACCGCTTTCGCAGCAAATCCGCATTGCCGGACTAAAATGGGGATTCCTCCGGTCCTCCCGCCTTTGGTCACGCACAAATCTTCGCAGAATCCGAAATAAAAGAGAGTTATGTGGCCGCTTGGGCTGCATTTTTGCCCATTTTGGGCAGTAAAATAAAAATGACATGTTTTGCTCAAACACAAAGTCTCGTTCCCGCTCGTTTTGGAGCTGGCCATAAATCTTCATTCGCCATTGGCCGGGCCAGTTGCATTTGGCCACCTGACTTGGCTCGCTTTGGCGTTTGGCGTTTGGCTTTATGGTCGGTGCGTGACGGAGGTGGATGGAGAAGTCGGAGCGATGTCTGTGCGAGTATGTGGGCTCAAGGAACTCGAAATTGTCGCACAATCTGGCGTCTAACGGTGGACGCAAGTGTTCCCCGCCGACCATAATGCTATATGCCCATGTGGGATGCGATGCCCGAGGTACAGTGTCTGGCCAACGATGGCGCAACTTGTGCAAGACATTTCCGTTCTCAATTAGTTTCAGGAATGTATCTGGGCACAGGCGTTGTTCGAGAGCCAATGCTTGGATCTACGAGTGGTAAGTCTATAAGTCGATCACTAATTTGTTTTCTCGCTGTCACCATCTGTTGTTACCATCTCACCTCCTGGCCATTCACCTCTTTTTACCCACTCAAGAAGACATCGGATGGAGGGAACCGCGTAGTGACCCCAAATGGGCACTTCGAAATGGGTCAACGATGCTCCATTCCACACACAAAGGCGAAATCTCCTCCACTCGATGCAGATGCCCCGGATGATGGGTCAAGTGCATGTGCCAGCCCATTCCCCACATGGCTTTGACGCCTTCAAGTGGCAGGCTGAGGAGTGGGGAGACTTCCCGAGTCAATGAAATCGAACACAAACGAAGAGTAGCTGAGCTTTTGCGGCCAAAGGTTTCTCGAGTCGGAGTCAACTCCAACGAATCCAACGAATCTCCCAGTGCAATTTGCAGTGGGGCGGCCACATCGCCGCCTCTCCTCCATTCCAAACTCGAATTTATGGTTTCTCTTGCCTCCAGTTAAGATTGATAGCTGCCGATAATGCGAGGAAATGTTTACGACTCTGTAATTTGGGTTTCATTTTATTTGATTTGCCTGCGAGTCAGTCATTCAGTCAGTCAGTCGACGGGTTGGCGGTTGGCTGGTTGGCGGGTCGGCAGGGAAAGCGAAAGTCACTGCACACCAGCCGCCATCGCCATTGTTATGACCAGTCCATCACCCATCACCCATCGCCCACCGTTTGTGGATGTGGGCGTCAGCCTGCCAAAGGTCGCCGAGCTCTCTGTCAATGGTCACGGTGGTCAATTATATTTAGCAGTTGCGCCATCTAATATTGGATGGACCTAGCCCCAACCCAATGCGGAGTAATCACAGATCTTTACTCTTTCCCTGATCTCTTCGAATCGCCAGCTCCGTCTATTGATCTTGCAGAGGGGCTTCTGCGAGGCAAAATTGGTCGTTTCCTTTAATTTGCAAATCAAACCGAATCAAAGTGAAAGAAATGCAAATAAAACGCATGTCCAGCTGACAAATTGGCAAATTACGAGCCGTATGCAAGGGGAAAGGGGGAAACCAGTTGGACAGCTGCGGACCCCGAGAGGCTATCCCCGTGGACCGAGGATCGCTCTCGCATCGCAACTCTTATTAATTGCACAATTACGACACGCAGTTTACGTGCAGAAGGCAGGGGATCGGACCGAATCCGCAGTCACATGCGAGTTCGCCTGCCGGACTGCTTGATGCAGATGGATGAGCGATGGCTTCTCGGAGCGTAATGATGGAGCGACGATCGAGCCGCAGGAGCCGAGAAATGACTTTCTTTCACTTTCCCGACAAATACAAGTAGTGCGAATATTGCCGCAACGGGATGCAAAGTTTGCGGCCAAGAAACGAATTCAATTAAGACGGACTCCCTCCTTCCTCCCAAGATCCCCGTTCGCAAATGCAAACGCAAACGCAGACGGAGCGGAAAATTGGGAAATTGACAAGTCATCCGGGACGAGGATGGGGACGAGGACGAGGACGAGCACCTACCTTGTTCGGCGAGACGTGCCAAGATCTCCTCGTGCCCCGGGACTCCGCTCCTGGGCCGCCGGACGAGGCCGCGCTGATGATGGACCCGTTCTCGTAGATCTCCGCCGAGCAGATGGAGCTGTTCAGGGTGGCGGTGCTGGCCGCCAGCGAGGGAATCGGGGAGCTGGCCGGCGAGGGCGAGAAGCACCCCGAGTCGTAGGAGTTCAGGACGCGCAGCCGGTTGCCGGGACAAAGACCCTGGAATGCATAAAGAGCGGAAGGAGAGATTTAGTTTTAGTGCACAAAAAGTACAAAAATAAAAACACTTGATATAGTTTTGTACGCCAGTTTTACCCCTTTGTCTGAATGGCTCATGGACCTCAATTGACTTCGATTGGCTCTTAATAAACTCAACGCTACATGAATTATTAATGAAAACACATATACGTATAGAGTGATGGAAACGTATCCCACCAGAGTTTTGACAAAAATGCGATCTGTGCTATGTTGGCTTTAATTGCGAGACACATTTCTTGTTGACATGCGCAGCGCAATTTTGTCCGAGGTTCGTGCGATTCTCCAAAAATACGTATATATGCCACATCAAAGTCGAGTCAAGACGGCAAATCTTGTCGACATGTGTTTCAGCTAAAAACGTATGCCGAAAGTCGAATTCGTGTTTTTGCCACCGCAATTTATGTTGCTGTTAATATTTATGCCACACGTTACACGTTGCTGCTCTCGCCGGCACTCAATTGGCCGTTTTTGGGTTAATTGTTTCCATTAAAAAGCTGCGGCTACTTTTTAATTAGCGGCAATTGCCCGACATAGACCGCATCGCCATGGCGTTTAGGTATCCATATCGCCGTATCGCCTGGCACATTTGATTTCCACTCTGATATATGTTTTGACACCATCGTCACCATCGACCGCCCCACCAATGAATGAGGTTGTTTTTGTTGTCGCGGCGCCAATTGAGTTTTTAATTAAAAATTACTGCCGAACGACGTGCAGAAATGTAAAATTCGCTCAAGTTTGACAAGCTGTTTGATCTCCGTCTTGCTTTTCTGGGGGACTTTGAGTGTGGGGCTTGGTCCCTCCCCCGAGGGGAGAGTTCAAGGCTACCTGGGGCGAGTGATCGCGCTGAGATAATTGGCAAAATCAAAAATTGAGGCCAAAGTCTGGTATGGAAAGAGGTGCGATTGATAAATGAGATTGAGATTAGAAAGTCGCTAAGCGCATGGGATGAAGAAGATACTAGGTCTCCTTTTTCAATCATTAAGTTAATGTGAACCAAATATGCATTTATTCAATACTTTTCGTTAGAGGTATCCGCCGTTATCAAATCTTTTCTTGAGTACTTCAGATCTCACCATTACGTAAACCCCACCCAGCTATAGAAACTAATTCAGATGCAGTATTTCACCGCTTCCACATTATTTGCCATCGCGACGGAGCCAACAGCTTCGACCTCTTTTCCCAGTGCTCAACTCACTGTCCAGATGATGCTGTATGCACTGTGGTAAACGACTGGTAATCGCCTGGTAATGCCCACGCCCCTTCCGCCCCTCTGCTGAGAGACATTACGGCTATCACCCGATGATGATTGTTATTACGGCTGCAGCCGCAATTAAAGAGCCAAAATTATTTAAGTTATAGGCAGACCCTTCGAGGGGAATTGCCACATGCAACGGCGTCGATTGGGCCACGTGCCGGCGATGATGACGGGCTAAGCGAAACAGACATTTACGGAAAATCAAATTATAAATGTAAATGAGTTCTTCCAGCCTTTGAGGCGCAATGCCATGGGCCAACTTAGCAAATGCCCGATTGCTCAATTGCGAATGCAGACAGGGCACAGACGCAATCGGAGGGATTCATTAAGAACCAACAGAAACAAGAAATTTGGGCCGAGGAATGGGCGCGAAAGAGTCGACAAAATGGAAGGCGTTTCCCGGTTAAGTCTGATGGTTCCACCTTACCCTCTGAAAAATGTATATACACAAAATAATTACACCTGATGGCCATTTGATGTCAGCAATATACAATCTCTGTTCGAGCTGCTAAAAGTGAATTAATGCACAAAAACAATGAACCCTTCTCAAGCATCAAAGTTGCCGAAAAACACATTCTAATGCTAAAACCGGATTGGTTCTGGCAGGAAAGGGCCTTGATTTGGGCTGTTCAGATCCCTTTTGGCGAGAGAGCCAACTCACCTGTCGGTTGCGCAGGGAGCAGAGCCACCATCCCTGGATGCCCTCCGTGTCCTGTTCGATGACGGTGAGGATGTCGCCCTTCTTGAAGGGCAGCTCGTCCGGCGTGTCTGCATAATTATCGTATATGGCCTTGGCATAAAGTTTCTGCAAATAAATTCGAAAAGAACGAAATTATTAAAAAACGTATTCGTCTGGATTTCGATCTCCGAGTTATCAAAATAACGCGGGTCTCATGTTGTTCCCTGCATTTCAGGTCTGCCCTTTCCTTCTCTTCTAAGAAGCCGCAAGGCAAACAACTTCAATGGAATTTCAAAGACTGTTCGGGGCTTGACCAGCCACTAAGCTTTAACTCTGGCTTTTAGTAGCGAGTTTTGCCAATTTTGAGCGGCTACCACGTTTTTAAAATAAACAAAAGGCTGCAGAGAACTCGCAATAAAAAGAAGGACAGAAACAATGCGATTTTGTTTTCGAGCTCGCTTCATTAGTTTAGCTGGAATTCCAGGTCAACTCCGGTTACCTTCCCCATTTATCCGATTTCGGGTTGCTTTTCTGTTAGGAAGCAGGCACATCCACAGTCGGGGTCGGCAATGGAGAACCGAGCCAACTGGAAGCAGGATCCAAATGCAGACTCGATGAGTCAAAAGTTCAGCACTGAATATTTCAATTTTCCCATTTGGCCTTTTCCTAATTCTCTGAACATGACTGTACCCTTTTCAGCCAACTTTTCGGTAAATAAATGTAAAGTTGTCCCTGTGTAAGTGGGTGTATCTGTGTTTCTTGCAGGTTAACCGTGGAGCCTTCAATTTTGCCACCGTACCGCAGAAAAATCCAAATCGAACTACTTGAACTCTGCAAAAAAGCGAAAGCCGAACGCGAATACTCTTGCAATTGAATTGAATCTGTATATGAACTGTATAGTACTTCTCCGGTTAGATATGTAAAAACAGAAGTACCATAATGTTGAGTAGAAAGTCTATATCGAAGCGGACGCTGGTGCTGATGAAGAATATTTGATAGTACCATGGGGTTGCTTGCTCGCTACTGAGGATATAATACCCTCTGCAAGGGTGTAACAAAGCAGCCGTGCCTGCTCCTTCTACCTGCACCCCTTCAACCCCAGCACTCCCCAAAAAAAGTGCATAGGTTTAATTTTTTACGCTTTCGAAACTGAACGTCACCGCAATTCTTCGCAATTTACTTATGAAGTTATGAAATTAAAGGATAACTAAGCCACTGATAGTCCCTTGGATATGTACTAGTATATGTTCCGCACATGATCAAACCACTTCGAATTACTCTCTGTGTAGCAGGAGTGAAAGAGGGTCTCAGCGATTACAATATCAAGCGTTCAATCGCTGCTGAACTTTCAACCCGGCTGAGGTCTGATTCGAGTGTGTCTGTCTGTATGTACACGTACTTAGGTAGTTTCGAAACCAGTTTCTACCAGGCGGCGGCTATTTTTCTCTTCTATTTCGAAAGCGCGTTGGAAGCGTTCAAATGTCAAAAGGAAATTGAGCGCACTTGAAGTTCAGTGCCGGCGCAATGACACTGGACCGCGATGTGCGATGAGTTTTCCAAAGAAGAAACAAAGAACCCAAAACCCAAAACCATCTCCAATGTTTGCTGGGTTTGCTGGGCAGACCAACGTTTCCACAGCTCCAGAGCTCCAAAGCTGTCGTCGCTTTCTTCCCCGACATTCGGCCATCTCAGTCGGCTTTTGACACAGCGCTAATTGAAGAGGCAAATATTTAAAGTCGAGAATTGGAAGATTGAAGTTCCGCCTGCTGGCAATTGAAAACCAATTCCTTTTGTATGGCTTGTGGGTTACAAAAAATTAGGGGCCTTTTACAGTTTACAGTTGTTTGCCTGTTTGCTCGGACGACTTTAATTGGTTTGTTTAGGGCATTCCGAAAGCCGAAAGCCGACAACGACAACGGAACTGAATGAGTTCCCAGATCCCACCTCCTAGACGTTCCCCACTCAATCTCTGTCATAAATCGCCGAAAAGGTTTACATGTCCGAGTGGTTTTATTGAAAGCAATCAAAGCCTCTGGGCCAAGTATCTGCCTTCCACTTCCCTCCGTTTTGGGCCGCAGAAGTGAAAGAGCTGCCTGGCCATTTGTTGTTTTTGTCTTTATGTTCGCATATGACGGACCGTGGCCATAAGCAATTTTTCGGTCAATTTTTCAGAAGGCAAGCCACAATCTGGACAAAGCCAGCTCGGGTTCGGTTATTTATGTATTCCAGGAGTAGCTCAGATCCGACTGGAGACCATTCAATTACTCAAACCTAACGACCCGCTTCGCCGGCAGTTTCGCACATTTCGTTGTGGCTCAAAAACAACGCAGGCAGCAGAGAATCGAGTATAAAAAGCGAAGAAGCCGCCAACAAACAGCCTAATGAGCGCACTTCAAAATCGGTAAGTTCGCCTGCCCACTGACAAGATGACAATCTGTTTTCATCCTAAGACCTAAGGAGACCATTAACCGCATTAGGTGCCCGTGACTCTGGAGAACTGAAATCCCTTTATCCGAACAGAACAGCGTCGCCAATCAACGTGCGGCTTAGCAATATTCCCAATAGAAATGCGATCTCGTTTTCGGCACTCAGCTGATAACCCAGCAAACCCGAAAAAGCAAAGCTGATAAAGTGGCAATAGTCTAAAGTCAAGCGCTGGTTGGCGTGACAGATACTATTTTTGTCCATTTTAATTAACCGAATTTGATGAAATTGAAGCGGACTGCGAGGGGAGGAGCTCTCACCCTGAAAACCCAGAAAATGTGGAAGGTGAACTTTGAGGTTTTGCTATCTGGGAAGGGGTTCGGAGCGAACTTATAGAAAACATTAAGATACAACTTCTGACGTGTCGCACATTTGGTTTATTTGGTTTATTTCGTTCCGGTTTCTGCCCGATATGTGGACCCCACATTTGCATTTTCACCTGAGCTATATGAGTTATCTATTTCCTAGCCGCGAATGCGTCACTTTCCAACGTCGTCGAGCGGACTTCGGACTTTTTCTAGGGCTGTGACTGGTCGAACGTTTTCTGGGAAGCGGGGAGTTAAGGGCGGCGACGAATATAAAATATTTGGCTGGCTTGCAATAAAACGCCATATGTCGCGTTGAACTGGTTTCCGTTTGCGAAAATAAACAAAATGTTTACTGCTCTCGCGGCGGCCTTTTCGACACATTTCGTCAACAAGTTTGTGCGATACTCGTATAAGATTAAAATAAAAACTTGAAGCGAGCAAAGAGAAAAATTCGTACGTATATAGAGTGCGGTGTGACAATAAAACTTCGGGCCGGGCCAACTTGGAATGGAATGGAGACGGAGACTGGGTCGAATGCGAATTCGGTGGGCCAGTGACGGTGAGCTGCAGTGACAAGTGCACGAAAAGCACTCCAAATGCCCCGCCAAGTGTCAGTCCGGGTGAGCTATTCGCCTAGGACGGGCCCAGTGAGCTGGGAGCGAGTCAATGACAGGGCAATTGGTCCCCCCGCAGCCCCCACTGGCCCCTCCCACTGACAACAGACAACAGGCAACAGATGCCCACAGATGCAAGAGTCAATTGCAGTTCGCATTCCAAGCGCTCATTCAATTTGCATGGGCCCTCCAAGTCGGGCAACTCGTTCTCAGACTTCGGCGGGGTGTAGAAAAGTGTGATATAATGCAAGGGCTAACTCAATTCAGCAAGCAAACGATCGTGGCAGTGCCTCGCTCACTAGGTTCTTGGAAACTCACAAAGGGATCTCCCGACCACTCAAAAACCAACTTAGCCACCGAAGTGGATCCCGGTTCGCGGAAGGTGACTCAAAAGCGTGTGTCAAAGCAAACATATGCCAATTCAATTAAGTTAAGTAACTTCTGTTCGCAAAAATTAAAGCCAAAACAAAACAATGCGAAACGGAACGGAATAAACTGAAGCAACAAAGAAGAGAGTACCTGAAATCGAAATGCGAACTGTTGACTTTAAATATTAAAGAACAAATAAAGCGGAATCCACACAAAGTTTTGTCGACCTTCGCAGCAATTTCAGCTCCAAGTGAGATACGCAAAAACGTTGCAAAATTACTTCCCCAAGGAAAGGGAGAAACCCCAAGGTGTTGAAAACTCAACAATTCAGTTGTGGCAAATGAATCAGCTAACAAACGAACGAAATCGAAGCGTGTCTGTAACGCTTCGCTTTTGTACGAGTAGTTTCGAACATTGACTTTAATGGCTCAGAATGTGTTCATAATGAATTGTTCCGACGTACATGTGTACTCGAAAATAAAATAAAATAGCAACCCAAGAAACACAGACGACCAGAGCTCAGTCATAAAATCTTTAAAAGCTAATAAACAGAAAGATCAATCATTTGATAGAAACAAAACATGCAAAAAACATTAAATAATAAAAAATATCATAAAGCCCTAAGGCAAACTGCAAAGGAAGTATTCCCCGGGAATGCAAGCCAATAAAAACATTGAGCGCTGAAAAACGAGGCCCAATGTAAAGTACGCACAAAATATGGGAATCAACGAACTTATCAAGGCACACAATTTGTAAAACAGTTTTTCGAGGGGACAGAAAACCCCTTTCATTCATTCATTCAATTAACTTTTGGGCAGCCTCTCGAGCAATTTACAATAAATCTTGCACGAGCCTCCTCCGCTTCCTCTGCTTTCCAAGTCGAAGTCATTAAGCCCCATTGACTGACATTGAGATTAGGTCGGCGGAATACCCCGGACGTGACTCATGCCTGAGGAATCGCCCCGATGGCTGGCGGTCTTTGTTGAACTCTTCTTTTCGTCTAACTGGTTCTGGTGCGGAGGATCCCCTCGAACTTCGAGTGTCGTGAGTTTGGGAATGAAAACGTACCAGAGGGCTTTCAACCTTTCGGCTTATCGTTCGTTAGCCGACTTATGATGGATTACGGTCCGGGTCTATTTCGAGCCTACTTCTGCGGATGCGGCCCACGCATCCAAACGATCGAAAGTGAGAAGCGAGATGATGTGGAGTGGTGGCCAACTCCCTCCAGTCTTTCCCAGGTTTCCCACGAGCAACGTCACTTACTGATAAATGATAAACGATAAGATGAGTGGAGAGACCAACTCCACGGGAATTCACGGTTCCACACGAGTGCTTTTCTGATAGACAGGGA